AAATAATTAATAATAATATTGTTCGTTATTGTACGACTCGTTAAAATAATCATCGTTCTCCTCAACTAAAAAATTGTTTTATTTATATACAGAGTGATTCATTTAAGTGTCTTCACTCGATACATCTGAAAGATTTATCTTTTTTCAACTTTTTTTTTTTTTATAACCAAGCCTACCCAAGTTTAAAAAATGAAAAATCTCTTCAACGGATTGACGAAAATTGAAAATATCAAACAACAAAATGTATTGATACTATAATACTCCATCTATAAATGGAATTTGTATTATAGGTTGTCGTTTAAAAATTTAAAACAGGTAGCTTATTTCATAAATTATCAAAACAAAAAAACATTTTTTGAAAAAATTAACACTTTTCAAAATATCGACTGTATACCCATTTAAATGGATTATCCTGTGTATACCAACCTAATGCAAATAGATAGAACATAAAGCATAATTTATAATTAAAATTAAAAACATTATTGAAGTTTACTGACAACGATAAAAGTTTCACACAATGATCAAAATACATCAAAACACATAAATGTCGCGAAAAAAACAAGCACAATAGGTATAATTTAAATATTATTTTCAGCCATATTCGAACGTTATAATTATGCCTACTAAAACTATTAAGATTTAAAATTTTAATATTGACTAACATCAATTCAAAAATATTAATGAATTTACTACAAATTCACAGCTTTGGTCATGCCTTTATACTTTTATATAAGTCCAGTTTTCTAGGCATTTTTATTATAAATTCGTTTTTCATTTTTTTTTTTTTTTTTTTTTTTTCTAACTATCGAGTGTCTTCTCGTGTTTCCTCGTGACTCACAGTTTCAACCCCCGTATAGTTAATCGTTGTTATCCGAGTATTTTATATTTTAAAAATGGTACTTCCTTACAATTTTACAACAGTTATTTAGCATTTAATCGTACTATTACTCATATTATTTAGCTGTATCCTGCACGACTTTTCCCAAATTAAAACAAATTTCAAATAATGATAACACGTCTCCCCGTATCTTTTCCGTAGTAAATTTCTCTTTGAGAAGTCTGTTTGACTTTACTATCAGATGTCTCCGAACAATGCTTTGAACATTTCTTAGTTTGTTTAACTTCTACGCAAAACTAAGCAATATATACTTAAGTAATTCACTTATTTAGAGTGTTTTAAACTAATTATTGTTGGGCATACTCAAATTGCCTTCCATTAATACCTTGAGTCGCCTCCCATGAATTGTTTCAGAAAAAGGTTAGTCGAATTGCCTCCCAATTCAAAATGTAATTTAACTCGAATTGCCTACCACATTGAACAGTCTACTTGAATTGCCTCCGATATAAAGCCAAATTAACCGATATAAATCTATAAATCTATATCAATAAAACAAAGTCGAGTTAGTTACACCATTTATAACTTAAGAACGGCTGGACCGATTTTGATAATCTCTGATTTTTTGGATTCGTCTCTGCCCCGAATAGCAGAATAACTATTCAAAAATCGAGAAGATTCACGTAAAATAATTATAGGGGTTTTTAGGTATATTTGGTAAGAATATCTAATTGCCTAATTATTTATTTTTGTTTATTCAAGGGTTTCCACGAAAAAGAAAACTATTATAATTATTATTATTACTATTATTTACACTATTAATATTTCACAGTAGAACACATTTAGTACGCTGAAGAACTTTCCACTTTCCACCAATTTGTTTTCATTCAATACTGACATCACAGCCAAAACCAAAAATGAATATGGGTAAATTAATAATGATATAAATTGGCACGGGCAACGCCGGGCGTGGGACAGTTAGTATTATTCCAACTCAAACTATCATTTTGTCCCCCCCCCCCATTGAAAATTCTAAGTACGCCACTGAATACATCGAATTCATGTACTGTAGGCTTAAGCTTGGAATACATACTAACAAAAGAAAGAAAACATATATTCATATGGATCAACGTATCAAACAAATAAATTACAATTTCAAAAAGACAAAAAAACAACAAAGTTAATAATTTCTCAGATATTGACTGGTTCTTGATAAAATTATTCTCTTGTATATTAGACAGATAAACAATAGTAAGGGCGAAATACCTATGGAAAATCAATATATTCAACACGATAACATCATCGAAATTACTATTCCAGCCAGACTGACTACGTGTACTATCGTATACTGTCGATTTTTTGGATTAATACAAATTGTTTGACTATTTAACTAATTGTATTATTTAATTATTTAAAATTGTATTCATATAATTATTGCTTATTATGTATTTAATAATCATAGATAATATGATGACCAAATATAAAAATGGTCCTTTTTCATCTATTATTTACATTTAATTTTTCATAATTTATCTGGCCTTTTTTTGTCTTCGGCCATTTTGGTATATGGACATTATTACCGACTACTCTTTCTTCACGACCTTACTGTGCTCAGAATCTAAAATGTTTTAAAATTTGTTATATTATAACAATATAGAACGTAGATAAGAACCGTAGTTTCCATAAAAACACGAATAACGAAAAACACAAGTATATGAAATTTAGGATTATATATGGTTGGATAAAATGGAAAAAAACGTCAGGTGTTTTACGTGACATGAAAATTCCAAGACTCACTATATTGTATAGTTCGGAATGTTCAGGAGTAGACTATGGCCAGCCCTATTATCATAAAACTGATTTCATACTTAAAATTGTTCTTTTTTTTATTTTTAAAAATAATATTTTTCTATATATTTTTTATTACCTACAACATATCGTGCATAACTACGACTTTTATAATGAAGAAGAAAACAATCACAATTTAAAATAATATGATTGTCTAACAAACTATGATAATGTATTAAACTGGTTTAATATGCTGTGTCTACAACAAATAATTGTTTTATTTATCTGCGGTCGTGTCGTGAGATATGTGTAGGGGACGTAGCCAACCTTTAATCGCAAAATATACTCATACTGTAGTAAAGACATAATAAATGATTTAATTTGATTTATTTATTATCTTTAAATAAAGACAAATCTTTTAGTAAATAGATGATACCAAATACACGACCACGGTTCTATTTTTTAAAAGGAAATTATTTGACTGAGAAAGTACTTTAAAGATATCATTTTTCGATTTTCTCAGAAGTTTTCTCGTCAAATGCGTAAAACCAGGAAAAAACTTGAGAAAAACGGCACGATTTAAACGTAAGTTAAAAAAATATTATTGAAAATAATATATAATGCCTATTTTATTATTTTACCACAATATGACACATTAAATATTGACAAAGCATCATTATCAAATGAACTCCACTCAGAATCGTTTTTTCGTTAGCAATGGTTATTATGCACGTTAGCATTATTATTTTTTTTTTTTTTATTTTTTTTTTATTGCGTTTAACATTTATTGGGAATCCGCCGAGAAGACTCAAGAGGCACTGGTATCATGATTTGACATAGCTAAACTCATACATAAAAAAAAAAAAATGTAAATTCACAATATTTGTATATAAAAAAAGCCTAAAAATTTATCGCGTCTGAGTGTTACTGCTGGGTAGCCACTTTACTGAAGCTTTCAGGTCATATTACTAAACATCTACAAAGAAGTATAATATTATTGTAATTGGTGTAAACGTTTATTTAACTCAACCAAAATTATTACTATTTTTTAATTTCACTAAATTGTTTTCATTTATATTATTTTAGGCCGGTGAAACGAAACTCTCTCGGGTCATTTAAATTCAGAATCCGCCGCTGGAAAGAGTTGGTTAGATACGATTTAAAACGATTTGAGGACAGCCACGAACCGGTGTATGTCGGTGAGATATCGGGTCAAGTGGAAGCTTAGGACGAGAATACCCAACCCCAAATAGTTGAGGTTGAAGTAAAAGAGAAGAAGAAGAAGTTTTTAGTGTATTTTTCAAAAACCCAAACCGTAACCAGAACTTTTAAGTATAGTAATTGACTACCGAAACCAGAACCAAAAAAAACTAAAGTTTACCATTCCAAGATTTTAACACTATTTTCAAACTTTTACCACACTCCTTACACCATGAATGAGTATAAACTTTCAAATGGATTATTATAAATATATTATCTAGTATGTAGTCGTATCTATTTACTTATTTTTATGTAAGACATCAAAAATATTGCGATTAAATGAAAACGAAATATATGCTGAAAACACAAAAAAACATCTCATTTAACAAATTTAAATGTCAACCCGTACTCGTGTTATATACTTTCGTGAAATGAATGAATAATTTATTTAACTCGAACCGTATAAAAGAAACGTTGCGAAAGTACAGGAATATACATCCGTGCCCTTGCTCATCAAGTATTTAAAAACGCATTATGTTGTTCCTTATGTAAACATTTGACAGGCATATTTTTTGTCACCAAACTGACTACGATCTACGAATAATACGGTAGCTATAGTATACAGCATATACCTACTGTATAAAGCATAATAATATGTAACACGTTAAAATTTAATATTGTTAATCATTTATTTTGCATCACCAAAAAGTTCACTTTACAATTAACAATTTTTTTTTCTCCTCTGACAATTAGTATCATTTAAGCACGGTTAATTTTTAATTATTAAAGATAGACTTTTGTATCATAAAATAATAATAAATTGTAAATAAATAAATAAATAAATATGCCACAGCGGCGTAATCATGGAAAGTTGATCTGTGTGTCTGTTTTCGTTTTTTAATATTTCTACAATTTAAAAACAAAAATAATTGTATATTGTGATAATTTGAACTTTTGACCATATTAAATGATTTATTTCTGTTATTTTATTTATAACTTTTATACAGTTTTATTTTTGAAGAAAACAACTTTTCTGACTATTATCACTGAAAATGAAGACAATACATTTACAGAATTAGTTAATGGGGAATAACCAAAATTCTATATTAATACAATGAATATTTAAATCCCAATATTTATTTTATGATTAAAGTTTCGCATTTTACCTGTGTACCTGTTTACCGCTACAGAACTAATATTATGTTTTCTTTTTTACAGGAAATGAAAACATATCTAAGAAATACTATGTCAAAGGTATATTTATTATTGAATATTACAATAAATTTAAAAACGTACTCACTCAAAATACTTAAAATATTATTAACTTGCCCAGCCTTAAAAATACCATCAATTTTATACGGCAAATAATCCATATTATTTAATAACTAAATATTGTAACCCTTATAATCAATTTAATGGATTTGCAATGTTGGCCTAGTGTGAACTGGAAAAAAATACATAATATGCTACTAATATTAGGGCAAAACAAAAACTTGAACAAATTAAAGATAGTAAAAAATTTGACTGAAAAAACTGACATACTTTTTACCATGGATGAGCTGCTGTTGTAAATTGAGAATGTAAGATATACATTATACAAAAATTAATTTAATATATGACTGTATTCAATCATAAATTAGTTCAAACGTAAAACGGCTTTGAAGCAAATTCAGTTACATACGTTACCATATATGCGTGAAGTTGCCCCTTTCACATTAACGTGTCAATTCAAAAGACATCCTAGGATAATGGTGCAGCCATTGTTAAAAGTAATTTAAAGTACACCTGTAAGCAACGATAAACTATTGCTAACGAAAAAACGATTCTGAGCAGAGTTCAGTTGATAGTGCTGCTTTGTCAACAATACATGTGTCATATTATGGTAAAATTACAATGATTCCAATTCCAAAATTAAAATGGATTCCGTTTTCCCTCCGTTTTTTTTGGTTTTTCACATTTGTTGAGAAAACTCCGGAAAAAATTTAAAAACGACTACTTTAAAGTACTTCTACAGTGAAATTTCCTCTCAGAAAAGTTACTACACGTAAAAATCGGAACAAATCACTCAGAATCTAAAAAAATAGTTACCTACTTAAACAAATTGTTAGAAAAGTTAACATAATCTAAATCTTTTATGGTATAACGTTTCAATAAAGTAAAATTTTGCCTAAAGAGTCTAAATTAATTTTTAAAGAAACACAAATTTTACAAGAATTTTCAGAATAATAAAATCAATTGAATTTTTAAACAATTTATTACGTTTATGCACTTCAGAATCAATAATATATTTATACATTAATAAACAAACAAGTTTATTTTTTATAGTAAAGTGCATTTAAATTATTGAGAATATAGTATTTGTAGATATTATATTATTTGGGTATAACCTTAACTTGAAAAAAATTAATTTAAAAGGGAATTAATAGTAATAATCAATTTATTTGTATGTACATTGTAAGTACCATTCCAAAAGAGTAAATCATAAGTAATAATAGACTAAATCAAACATATATGTTATAACTTTAAGTTTTGGAAAAAGGATATTTCTTAAAATACCTAAACTATAAAAAATTTACGAAGCACATTGTTAGGCGATTAGCATAATTATTCCATTTTAGTTGATAATCAATATAAATGGCTAAATATTTTATGAAATTGACTTTTTTTAAAAAAAAAACTCGTTATTATTAATATTAGATTGATGAATTATCATCTAAAAAAATTTTATACTCAGCAATGTCTAAGAAAATTATAGGTAAAATGGCAAATATTAACGGCGCGCCATGGCGTTACAGTTTTTATTGTGTTATACTTAAATTTTTTACCAAAAATGTTACTCGAATAGAAAAATGACAATAGATCGATTTTCCTCCTTTTAATACATAGCCACAGACAAAGAAAATCGTTTTTGATATCTAAAGTAGTTCGGGGTAAACCAAAAAAGACGAAATAAAGGTACGATTTTTTTCAAATTACGGCACGTTTTCATTTTTTTTAAATTTGTACGACTTATGTTTTCTCCTTTTTTGTTGCGTTTTGTACGTTTAGTTAGTGACCAAGTCAGTCAGCTTTTGATTTTCTTTGTAATTTTTTTAATAATTAAGTAAACCGAAAAAAACATAGAAATAACGAGAAATATTACGAAAATAATGCTTTAATTAATTTAAATTTGGTTTTTTCGTTGTAATACAGGCTAAAATATTCATAGACTTAAAATATTTGAAGAAAACCTTTATTTACTTTTTTAGTTGTGTTAAAACTTTCAGAACATTTGAGCTATTTTGGAACTATTTATAGACAATTTAATTTTGTGAGATTTTTACGTAATTTTTATTTGATAGGTACTCTGCAGATAAATCTTTAGACTATTTTTAGACTAGATTTTTTTTACAATTTTTAAAATCAAATTTTTAAGAAAATCATAAATATTACGGCCCTTAAAAATATTTCTTGGACTAAAACAGTAGTAACTCATTTGGGTCATTTACCGGAAAAAATTAAAAAACACGAGAATTAATTTATTCATTTACAAAATGAAGCTAATCTTAAAGTACTTCGTACCATTAATATTTTGGATAAAATGGACTCTGGTTACAAAGTTGGAATACAACGTCATAATCAAGAAGTCGATAAAAATCGTTATATTTTAGACAAAATTCAAAACTGTATACAATTTTATGGAAAACATAATTTACCACTAAGAAGTCATGATAAAAAAATAAATTCTAATAATAAAGTAATTTTTCTCGGTGTAGTTGAGTTATGCAAAGATTTGGATATAAGCCTACGTAGTAATTTTGAAAATTCGAAAGTGTTTAAAGGGACTTCTAAAATAATACAAAACAATTTGTTAGATTGTATACTTCTCGTTGCCAGAAAAAAAATTTTACTTGAATTAAAAATTGAGCAATTTGTTTCTATAACAGTTGATGAAGCTACTGACATTATTAATATGTTTCAGTCAGTTATAGTATTTCGCCATGAAATAAAAGGTCAACCAGTAGAAAAATTTTGGAAGTTTTCAAATCTTGATGGCCACAATGCAGAATCATTAACATCAACAATATTATCTGAAATAAATCCTATTTTGAAAAATACTCAAAACAAACTAATAGCACAATCGTATGATGGGGCGGTATTAATAAGTGGAAGAAAAAGTGGCCTTAACACCTTAGAGTAAAGGAATTTTACCCATATGAGTATTACATTCATTGTTATGCACATCAATTAAACATAATTATGACTCAATCTCTTTCTCAAAACAAAGAAGTTATAATATTTTTTTCAAATTTATCAGAAATACTGGTTATTTTTTTTTTTAATTCACCGCATAGAGTAGCAGTATTGGACAAATTAGTTGGTATTCGGTTACCACGGGCTGTAAAAACTAGATGAAATTTCAATATTTGTACAGTTAATACTGTTTATGAGTATGAAAATGAAATAATAGAGATTTAACATTAACAATTACTCAGGCAGGATCAATAAAACATTTATTAAGCCACTCAGTATTTTTTTTCTGGCTAACTATTTTTCATAAAATAATGCTACATAAAGACTGTTTATATAATAATTTTCAAGCTGAAAATATTGACCCATTACAAATAAATAGTTCAGTTGAAAAATGTATAAAAGAATAATTCAACGAAAAAAATTCTTACATTATTTTATATTTTTAACAAATTTAAATTGTCTTTGTTTGAATTACAGCAAATTTAATTTAATAATAAATAGCTCATATTATGTTTTCTTAAAATTAAAGGAGAGAAAAATGAATAATAATAAAATGTATCCGTTTACTTAGAATTTAACTAGTAAAATAATTTTTTATTTTTCACATGAAAGTATCAGAGTCATAGCCAGAATAATCAGTGTTGGCTGTCATATTTTCAGTTTTCATAAGAGAAGAATAACATCTGCAATAAAAGACAAAAAAAAAAAATAAATATTATTTATGAATTTATTTTCAATAAATATTGGTAAAATCTACAATTTACTTGAGTTCATTAGCTTCACGTCTTTTACGTTCTTCTTCTTTTTTCTTCTCTAACTGTAGTTTTTGTTCAGCTTTTTGTTTAAAAAATTGTTGATGTTCCCAAGATCCTTTATACCATTCATAATCATATTCAACAGATTCTTCTGTCTTTAGTAATCTATTTACTATGGCCTTTTCTTTTTTCACAACTACCTTTCTCACCTAAATATATTAAACCTATATTATTATGTTTTCATTAATTAAATAAATATATAAGCCTACAATATTTGGATGATGAAATGCCACTTCACCAGGTTTCATGCCTGGTAATTTTTTCAGATTTGACCACATTGTATAGATAACCTTTACTTCGGGTAATTTACAACCTTGAATGCTGTTTGCCTTAACCAGTTGGCAGGCATCTTCTAATAGTGGTTTGGGTATATCATCTAATGTTTCATCCTATAACATTTTTTAACATTATTTAATTTTTAAGTAAAAATATGTTAACTCTATATAAAATTGGTACAAATGTCAAAATATTGCAAAAAAAATCATGAAAATTTGATCACCGAAGAACATATAATATTTACAATGAACTTATAATATGAAATGTAATATAATTGATGATTGCAAAATTTAATCAAAAAAATTATTTTTATATATTATGTACAAGAGTAGTGTATAAACTAATTATTTTTAATGCAAATTTTCTTATAGTATTAAATTAATAAATTTCTAATCCCAGGAAAAAAGGACTTAAACTAATTTTTAGCAATTTTCTTTTAAAATACCTATTAATAATTTAGTTTATTTTTTCTGAGATCAGCTTTTCTAGGAGCAATTGTTTCAATTTACAATTATATGTCTTTTTTCTAAAAGGAAATCTGATTAGGGAGGTACTTTAGGGAGGTCTTTATTGATTTTCCCGACAAATAGGAAAAAACAGGAAATTAGGTACAATAATAAACAAATATTAAAGAAAATATATAATCTAAATGTAATTATTTTACCATTATGTGACATACATATACTATTGAAAAATTGACACTATCAATCCCAAATTCTGCTTAAAATCATTTGTTCATTAGCAGTGGTTAATCGTTGTTTACAGATATAAATCAAATTACCTACACCAGTGGTTGTACCCATCCCCATTATCATATGCCAACTTTTTTAAATTGAATTAAGTCTGGTTTTCCTGAGACCAAAAAGTATAAAACATTTAACTATATATAGTATATAAATATAAAAAGTGTATGTATAGAAATAAAATATTCATACATCATAATACACCAGGCATATCCATTAATTAATTATTTTTTTATTTAGATATTTATTTACCAGTAATAACCATTTTAATAATTTTGTTTTTGCTTACATAATTATTTCATTATTTAACTATACAAGGTCTGACCAATAAGTAATGAGACTATTTTTTTGCCACGATTGTGGTAACACTGCGAATCTGAAACATCGTTCGGTTAATCTCTCATCCCTCCTCTATCGATACATGTGCTCGCGATGTTCGTACAATAATTAGTTTTCCAGTTGTGTTGTTTTCGACAACGTGTTTGTAAGGCGTATCACAAATATGGAACAACGTAATATGCATTTTGTGTTAAACTCGGCGATTCCGTTATGGAAACGTACGATAAATTGGTGAAAGTGTTCGGTGATGAAGCCCTGAGTCGTGCTAAGGTGTTTCTGAATATTATAAAAATCTATTATTGATCATAATTTTGAATAATTACTTACTACTTTCATGGGTTTCCAAAACCTTGGATTCAGCTGGTCCAGTATTTTCAGCTAATGTTTTAAAAAAAAATATATATTTGATTTGTCATGGGCGTCCCCAGGAGAAAGAGGGCAAGACAAGTCGCTTGTCCAACCTAAAATTTTAAATTTGTGTTCTCCAGCATTATTTGCTGCACACTCATTTAGTATAATTTACGGCAGCACGGTGTATAATTCGGGTTTCGATTAATTTACACAAACACCATAAAGTGAACTTGAACCGGCATATTGTTGGTGAATATATTGAAGTAAGAGTATAGTAAGAGGCATGAGGCCTGCGATAGTTCAGCTCCTATTGCTAGTTAAAATTGGTCGTTTATTTTAACCGTGGAGGATCTTACGATCATACTATATTAAAGAATTGCATAATTCAAATAATAACAGAAAGACGGGTATGCCGTTTATTTAATAGGATAATATTAATTATTTTTGAAATTAATAAGTTTACATTTTTGTAAATTCAGACGTTTTTTTTATTTAATCTTATTTTACTGAGTTTAAAATATGTATATATTTTCTTTGTAAAACGAAACAAAAATAAAAATAATATATAGCTAGGTATAAATAACTGGGTCAAAGTGTATTTTGGAAATAATGTACATGTTCCTCGTTTGCTTAAATATAACACTAACATGTATTCTTGAAAATTTCTGATCCCTGGACGATTACTTTCTAACAAATGGTAATAAAACAAAAAATGTATTTTTACCNGCCTTCCAGAAATGTTATGAGAGCTGGAAAAAACGTTGGAACCAGTGTATAGGGGTGGGAGGGGAGTACTTTGAAGAGGATCACATCGATGTATCTTAATATTTAAATATACGTATTTTATTGAATTAGTCTCCTTACTTATTGGTTAGACCTCGTATATATATTTGTATTAAACATGAATTAGTGTTCTCCACTCACAATATATTGGTTTTATAGTGTGCTTTTTTTTTGTTCACAGAAGCAATTTTTCTATTGGAAATCTTACTCCAATCAAAAAATGGCAAGACACCTTTTTTGTTATATTTTAGATAGAGTTGGTGCATGTTTAAATTTTCCAAAGAGTTTTCATAATAAATAGGAAAAATGGGAAATTTTCAAAAATAATGCTTTTAATATTTTCAATATTGTGTTTTTGTTGTCATTCTATTCATGTTTATAGAGATTTGAAATTTGGAAAGAAAAATTATATTTGTTTTTACTAGTGATAAAATTTTCAAAATATTTGAGCTATTCATAAGTATTTTAATTTTGCTAGTTTTATCCATCATTTTTGTTCTGTAGATACTATATGAATAAAATTGTTAGACCAAACAAAAATGTTTGATAATTGAGTAGAAGTTCATAATAAGATGCACTTGGTGGTCAAGAAAAAAAATTTGAGTGGAATGCAGTTTTTCTTTTAATAATAATTTTAATATCAAAGTTTGATGAAAATTGTAAATATTACAGGCTTGGTCAAACTTCCTTCAGAATTACATTGCATTGCATTAGCAACAATTAAATTTATAGTTGCCTTTAGATATAAATTAAGTAACTATAACTGAGACATACACATCAGCAGTTTTAGCTCATTTAGATTCTGAGCAAAGAGAGGATTGTATTAGTTTTATAATGATGTTTATTTATTTCTTTGTGGATAACATTTTTACCAGGAATTTTGCATTTTTAATTTTTCCAGCAGTTTCCATAATAAATTTGAAAAACTTACAAAAATGAGAAAATAGGTACAATATTAAACAAATATTTTTAAAGAAAATATATAATGCATAATATGTAACTAATTTACTATAATATGACATAACATTGACATATTATACATTGTTGAAAAATTAACACTATTAAGAAAACTTCTCTCAAAATCACGTTTCCTTAGCAATGGTTAATTGTTGTATTATACAATGTACAGATATATATAACAATCCCTTCTACCATCCCAACTTCTCATCTACAAACCCATAAAATATTTTTTTTTAATAAACAATTATAAATTGAATGCCTTATTTTTTATGATTTTTATCAAAATTTGAACTCATATATATATATATATATAAATACTAAATTACCCTTTACTTTTTTCTTCTATTCTAAGTTCAACTTAGAATGAATTTGCTCTTCAATTTTTAATTTATATCCACAACTATGTGGATACCTACCCCAAAAAAAAAAATTACATTAAACCTCCAAACAGTTCAAAAATCACTAAAATATTTTGAAAATTTTACCAAGTTTTTAACTGAATTACAACAAAAAACAAAATTGAAAATAATGATAATATTTTGGTAAACTTGTTGTTCTTTTATGTTTCTTTTTTTGTTTTATTCAATTATTGAAAAAACTACATGAAAAATCAAAAAACAACATTCTTACTCAAAAACTAGATCCAAAATGCAAAACAAAAAGGAGTTCTTGTCAATTTTGAATTAAACAAAATAAAATAAAACAGATTATATAAAAACCAATAGATCTCCCTTTACTCCAGAAAAAACATCAAAATATTAGAGCCAAAATCAACTATTAACTATTTTGATCAGTTCAAATAAGTTTAATAATAATACATCTCTTAATTTCAAGTACACGTGTGCTGATGACATATTTTCCACATGAAACCATACATCTATAGGTGTCATTTTTTCAATCAGTACATCATCTAAAAAAAAAAAAAAAAACATAATTAACATACATTTAAAAAAATTCAAATAATAATTAATAATTAATAATTAAAATTGTATTTATATTTATACTTGGAATTTACAAATAATATCATTATATTTTGCATACAAAATTGGTCATGTTTAAAATATTTAAAATAGGTAGGCATAAAACACTGGGGGTTCTTGACAACTTTTGATGGAGGGGTGGAGAAAAAGAAAGATATTTATACAGTAAGTGCAAAAAAAAATCAAGGTAATGGTAGGTTTATATAAGTGACCACACTAATACAGTCTCTACTGTATGAGAAAGGCAGTATGATAACAAGACTGTGGATTGCCCACAGATAAATATTATAATTAAAAAAAAAAAACCTCAAGAGCCAAGAGGGGAGCTCTGCCATAAAACTGCCACTGTGGTCTAAAAAATTTAAAAACCGACATTTTTTGATAAATTGTCTAACTTTGTATCATATTAATAATTCAAAAAAAAAATATTTAAATTTAAAACAAAAAGCAGTTTAAAATATAATTTGGTTTCAAGTTATTCATGTAGGTAGTCTAATTGTATGTATTTTTTTATAGGAAAAACATTTTTATATTCCCAAGTTGATATTGTCAACCATTTTTTTTTATAAGGCTTAATATGAAAATTACTGTTTGCTAACCAATAAAATCTATACAATACAACAATTTTATATTAATAATAACAATAATAATAAAAATAATAAAATATAATCGTTTATTGATCATCAAAAATCTATAAAATATAACATTTACTATATGTTAGGAAAAAAAAATTGAGCTAAATTTTAGCATTTTTCAAAATACTCGTGTTTATCTTAATTAAAAGGCTGAGATTTTGTATTAAACAATTGGCAGACAATATTTATTAATTTATTGTTTATATTTATATAAACATTTAATGTTATCGACATCAACCCTTCCAGTCATTTCTTTAGTGTATTTATACCTGATAATTACAACTAAGTCTTGACCTGGGTCTAGTGTCTCAGGGTTTTCACTTATAGATATAACTTGTCAACTGTGTATTGTTTAAATTCTAATAAAAACCATTTGTAGGCCTAAACGCACTTCTTCCCATCAAAAGGCTAACACCATTAAGATTTTTAACAGGTCAATGCACTTTAATATTAAAACTAATAACATATAAATGATTCTGATAAATGCAAATTTGATATGTCCTGTATTTGTAATACAAAAACAGCACAATATGTAGGTATGCCAGCTTCTTAAATTCAAATATAATATAAATTAAAATATTATACAGGTTCACAGAAAAAAAAATTTAACCAAATTAATTGTGTTATTATTATTTACAATAATTTATAAGAAAAAAAAATGTTTAAATGAAAAATAAATATTTCTATTATAATATACAGAAATATGGAAATCAGGGTTAAAATGTATAATACAGTAAAGTATATAACACATATTGTACTATAATCTATTATAGGTATGTATAAAACATATGAACCATAAAGTATAAAACTATTAGTTGTACACATTTTATACTGTATATAATTTTTTTGCTGCAACTAATCAGAAATTACCAGGTAAAATAATTTTTAATTGAATTTAATCATCATTTCATATAACTTGTATAACTATATATGTTGTATCTTATATTAATTATCTAAGATATATGTGATGATTTGTTATATTAATCACTCAGTTTATCTTTATTCTTTATTAATAACTACACCAAAATTTATAATAAAAAAAAGGAAATTAGTTTTGTTTTTATTTTATTCTAAATTTAAGAAAATTCACCAAATTGATGTGATTTGTTAATTTGTTATATTAATTTATAAGTTTAAATACATATTCAAATTAAAAATGTACAGCATTATCACTATGATAATAAACTTAAAAAAAAATAAGTATTATCTTAGTTGTGATAAGTTTTATACACTTTGTCATTTTACCAACCCTGATGTAAACCCTTTAAACTTATAAACCACATTTTATATTACGGTTTAAAAATTAGATGACATTGTATTTAAACATTGAAATAAATATCCCCATTTTAATTAAAGAAAGTATATTTAAAATTAAAAACATAAAATTATAAGTAATATTAAAGATTCACTTCTATAAATTAGATTTATTGTAAATTCATAGGTATTACTACACTTTAAAAATGTAAATGTTTAGATTGATAATATTCAAAAAACATTACCATCAAATAGATGTAATGCACTTAATAACTAGCTCAGTAGAGTACAAGAAAATGCAGTTTAAACTAGTTAACTTACTTTCGTGACTGTTCACACCTCTTATCAAGTGAGCTGGTGGGTCAACCGCTATTAGTAAAACAATGAAACAATCAAATAATAAAAAAATAATAAGATAATATAAAAATTAGCATTGTTACCTGTACTTTTGTATTGTAAAACCATTGCAAATATCTGTGATGAGTGCAAGAACCTAGAACGAACCACACAAATAATAATAAATATTTTCAATTTTATAAAACTATTTTCATAAAATGTAAATAAATATGAATTTTTGTAGAAATATTGGAACAAATATACTTTACCCTCACAATTTTTAAATTTTAAATAATAAGAGATGTGTTTTTCAATTCTAAGTTTTTTTTTTTGAAATTAAATTAAATTTCATTAAAAAAAAGATATTAGGCTTTCCGTCAACTTCCAAAACCAAAAATAATATGAAATCAAAATTAAACCACCAATTTTATTTTGGCTTGACAAACTTATAGGGTACCTAGGTGATCACCATAAACTCAACCATACAAATTATATGCACGACTTCTATATGTCTCATAATATTCAAACATTTTTTAATAATTTAATAATGGTGTTCGCAAAAAAAAAAAAAATTAAAAATTTTAATGTTGAAAAACCCAACTTTTCAAAAAACGAAAAAAATTTCGAAAGTTTTGAAGGGCATATAGTGCACTAAAGCTGAATATTTGATACATTAGATATATATTGTTTGGTAAACAATATATCAATATATTTGTGAAATACTCCAAAAGTTATACCTATGCTGCCCTACCATAATGAGAGGAAATACAAAAATGTAAATGTTGAGCAAATGAGTTTTTCTTCTTTTTTAACTTTTTTGCTTGTTAACAAAATTATTAAATAATGTTTTGATCATTCTTTGTAGTTATTTACCTCAAAAATCATCTGGATAATTTTATTTTTTCCTAAATCAAATATTTTTAATCTATATCATTTTTGTCAAGATCAAGTAGATACTGCCATTGTGATAGTCAAAAATTATTATAAACTACAATTAGAAAAACAATTCAACCATTCATATATTTTTTCTTTTTTTTAAAAAATAACAACAAATTACAAACACCGTAGTTTAACCATGTATGTATTTAATTAATAAAAAATAACTTTTTTAAAATTAAGATTCATTCTTAGGAACCTAAATAGTTATGATCAGCAAACAAGTACAATGTCAAAATGTCAGCAAAACATCTAATGGATCATAACTTAGTCTGTGTATTACATACTTATTAAACATGAATAGTACCTATTGTAGTAATATAAAAAATTGAAAAAGTAAGAAGGGGGGATAAAGAGTGTGTGTTGCGGGAGAGATAGTAGTAGACTAAGACACTATATATAGTAATAGAAGATGAAAATATTTAAAATAATAGGATACCTACAAAGAATAAAATATAGAGGAGTAGGTATAAAAATGTACCTATATAATATAAAATAATTGATCTAGTTTTTGGTACTACAAAGAATGATTTATCTTTAATTATAATAAAAGTTCAGCAGACTAATTATATTATTACCTTCCTTCTGATGTTTGAAAAGAATTCTGAGTCGTGAATTCGAGAATGGTGACGAGATCAATAAATAAAGAAAGATATAATTATTTTACCTACCCACAGTGTTGGAAGGCTAGGATGTATACTTATGGGTATCCTCATGTGATCCTGGAGTCGTTGGACAGCAATCACAGTTTAATTAAGATAAACCAATTAAATTAATTAACACTTAGCATCTGTGTGCACTCAGATAAAAAATGTTAATTTTCAAATTAAGAAAATAAAAGGTTAAATTATAAAATAAACTAATAAATAAATCGAACACGAGTGATTATAGCTGCTAAANGCTAGCTATTCGAGAGAGATCCTCGAAAGAAGTTGGTGGAGCGTAATTGTTGCTGTGTGCAGGATTCTTGACAAAGTGATCGTCTTGGGATTTCTCGAGGGGTCAAGACGTTTCATTTTCAATTAAAAAAAAACATTAAATTTTATAAGTTTAAATAAGCCAAAAAAAAGGTCAACCATAAAAAAAAATAGTGTTGTGTTGATTTGAAATTTGTATAGAAATAATTATAATGGTATATAGTACGAGAGAATGATGACACAGCAGTATCATCAAAGGGCCAATTGATGTTGTGTACCAATTGCTTAATTTTATTTGACTCATATTTAAATGTTCTTAATAAAAGTAATAGATCAGATATTGATTCTTCTCGAATGATAAAAAAAACCCATTGGAATTTGTGAGCTTAAAAAGATGGAACAAATGGCCTTCACATCAATATCAATATAAAATAACTAATAAATGAATTGTGAGAATAAGATAATATACAATAGTATAATTGAGGCGGCAGTGACCTCAAAGGGTCGCAGCAGATGGCATTGAGTTCTATTATATTTGACACATTTTAAATTATTTTGCTTGTAGATAAGCTTGTATCCCTCTCGAATAGTGAGCGATCCATTATATTTTTTAAATTATTTACCTTTTGTAAAATACCAAGTACTCGACCATATTTAAAACTATTAGTTACATTTTTGTAATGATATAAATGATAAATAATTATACATGTATAATATTATGTTGTGTGAGCATAACATTAAACTATTTATGATTCTAAAATTAAAATGAATAATAAATTAATCAATTCTAAAATACAAAAACTAGGTAATTCTGACTAATCAAAGTTAGGAACAAACTCATTGAAATATGATTATTTTATGGAATTATAAAATGTAAAATTAATTCTAAAAGAATTTAAAATATTGGCATTTAATTTAAAGCATGTAAATACTGCTTACTGTTGGTTATATTATCTAAGGTTTCTAGATACATACGTAGTATGTATGCCACTAAATAAATTTACCAAACATATAAGCAGTAAACTACACAACATATACTGCGTTTTTTTCTAGAATAATATATCATTTATTGTTTATTTATCTAGTATTCGTTAGGTAGATACTACATATTTAAATCTCATTTAGAGGGTTAAAGTGATATTATACTGTATTTTACTTAAAAAAAAAAAAACTTAAAAAAATATATGTAAAATTGCCAAACAATGAGTATTCTACAATAATCTCATTAATGAAAAATTGTTGATTACTGCCTTTCAGTTTGGCAGGACAGTATGCACTTGCGTTTATTACGAAGTATTTATGTACAGCTAGCATAGGGGATTCGGGTTTTTTTTGTATTATTTATACAAAACAGACTATATAATACAACAATATTTAAAGTTAAATAAACACATAAATGTAGTTTCCTAGTTTTAAAAAAAAAATAAAAGGTTTGGGGGGAATATGACACCTAAATCCCCTTCCGTAATTACTCCACTACTATATAGTCCTTTGTGACGACACATATAATTAATCGAAAGAATACCGTAACCGGTGACAAGAATCTTTTGTTTCCAATGAATTTTGTGTTAATATGCGTGTGTATGTGTTCTTTAAATATTAAATTTCCTACATAGGTACTTACACAATTTCGATGGGCGGCAGATCCGTCAATAATAAATTATCGACCACGTTACAAAACTATAAAATAATTAAATACGACACGGTCAAATGCAAGATAATTAATTTTTCTCAAAATCAGATTTACTGATGGGAAAGTAAAACGTGACGAACGTTTGCACACAAAAACTCTAAACAAATAATATTTGTCTGATAAACGTACAGGTAAATAATATAGGTTATGAAATTATTCCATTATCTATAAGACGCCCCTCCGTTATCAACAGCTATCATTCATGGTACCTAACAACGTGAGATGGTGAATACGCAGATCGGTAGACCGATAAAAAAAATTGAATTTACTTATATATCTCTCTGATTGAGATTGATGTTTGACAATTTTATTTGCTGCTTATATACTGAGTAATTTCCGAAGATAATCTCTACTATGATAATAACGCAATTGATACACGGTATCGAATAGATATTTGACCTACGAGTTTAATAGCAAAACGACAGTATTATAATATTTGATAAAAATTGTTAATGAAATTTTCTGATGTTTCGGTTTGAGAGTCTAATAACATACTAATAAATCCATTTCATCCCAGTCCATTATTTTAGAAGTTACCCAATTATCACAGTAATATCAGGTACGTTGTTACAAGATTTTGAAACTTCAAAATCAAATATTTAGATAGGTATTAAAAAGCAATACGTTTTGAAATACCTACCTAATTTTTATTCACATCTGGCATCTCCCTTTCATCTTGCATTGTCTTTTGTTTTGTTTTTTTTTTTTTTTCATGAAATTTGTATGGTAGTGAATAAACTGAGTCAAGTTTAAAGTGACGCTGATCATAAACCGATTATTACTTTGTAACACTTTTATAAAGCTTATAAATGAAATAACAGTAATAATGCATAACGCCCATGAGACCAGTAATATATTATTTTTTTATTAATATTGGTATTTTAAATTTAATCTTGTTTTTATCCTTAATTATTTGTATTGAACAGTATTTATTAGTATGCAGTTAATTTTTGTATAACAGATGGATGATAACGACTCCAGATCTCCAACTACATCAAGTGCTGATCGACTCAATAGTTTCCACCCAGATTGCAATAATTTAAAACAGCAATATGATCAATGTTTCAATTTATGGTTTACCGAACATTATATGAATGGTCATTATGACAACAGTGATTGTCAAAAAGTGTTTGAGAACTATACTGATTGTGTAAAAGTAAATACCTACCTACTTATAACTTACTTAATTACTTTAAATATAATTTTAACTGTATTGTATTATAATATAAATACTTCAATTAGCGTGGTATGAAAGAATATGGACTTCAATATGATCAAATGTCGATTTTGAATTTCGGAATAAACCAAGAGAAACTGTCCAAATCCAAATCTAAGTAGAATCATGAATAATACTAATATATCATCAAGCAATCCAAATGTTGACGTTGTCGAAGTATGTTGATTTCCTATGTTTGTAAGGTGTTTGTCTGTATCTTGTAAACTGCTAAAATCTTTTTGAAATCAATGAAACATTTTTTACAATAAAACCTTGCACTAGGTACCTAGTTTAAGGATTTCAAAATGTTTTGGTTGTTTAGAAATGGTTCAAAAATGGACCATATTATAAACTAGGCTAATATTATGTTTTCACCAAGGTATGGGACTTATTGCATTTGCATACTTTTGTTTTTTTGTAAAATATATTTCTATGTAAATAAATCTATTTATCTTTGTCATGATATTAATATCATAATTCATAGATTTTGCATTAAAGTGCTTTTTTTTCATTTTTGTGATTTATATATATATATATATTTTGACAAAGTTTAAACCAAAACTACAAAATTCAACCAATTAGTAAATTTAAGTAAGGGTCCCAACTAAAAACAAAATATGCTATTATATATTTGTGTTATCTAAAATTTAATTCACAGTGAATTATAATTATTTTGTAGTTATAAATTAAGGTTAATAAAATATATAGGTTGCCTCATAGTCATGTAAACATTGTAGATTCTCCGCAGCACCTACGCAATCATGATAGGCGCTGCGGGGAATCATTCTACACATTTTGTGGTGGCGCATTGTTATACATACTGTATTCCTATTCATAATTTGTATATTATATTTTTAAACAATGTTATTATTTGTATGTTATACACTTATAATATGCAATGGCGTAATTATGACTTTTATTAATTAATATTTACAGAAGTTTATCTAACAATATATTTATTGAAGAAATATTAAACAAATTTGTGAAAACTGTTCATTAACTACAATTATGAATAATAAGTAAATAATAAAGTAAAAATAAAATTATTAAATGGTTAATACTCGCAAATAAATATAGAGATAAATAAATAAATGAATGGGGTGGGAGTATTAAAAAATGTCTATTGTACAACCGATTTAAAATTTCATCATCAGATAAAATCATAAAGTCAAAAAGTAAAAAAAGACTGAATATGAAAAAGTAAATGAATTTACAATACATAGTTATAAATTCAATACAAAAGAAGTACAAGAAATTATTCAATCAATAAATTTAATTATTAATCAAAACTATTTCTAATATAATAATAAATTATGTTCGCTAAAAAAATTATAGGTGGACCTTATTATAGTAAATAATAACCAAATAGTTTATATTTCTTAACATATCTATGTCTAATAATAACTTATTTTAAATAATCTCTCTTATTAAAATAAATTATTTCTATGTAAAACTACCCTTTTGTATAATTTTTCGCTATGTCTTCATTTATTTTTTAATATTCAGTCGCATTACTTCTTGACTTTATGATTTTACCTGAATATGAATTTTTAATTTGAAACCCCTATAATACACTTTTCATAATACTCCAGGCGAAACATTTATTTATTTATTTAATATTAACAATTTTTTTTTTGAACATGATTTTTATTTAGACAATTTGTTATAATACAGTATCATAATATAGATACCTTGGTACATCATTAAATGAATAAAAAAGGTATAGTTTGTTCAATTGAATTATTTTTATTTATTTTACTATATGATAAACAATAATTTTTGTTAATAAACAACTAACCAACTATGTATATATCATTATATTTTTATGTCTACCACACATAAAAATAGAATGATAAATGGCCACAGTTGTCAGTCTTTGGATTTGGTGAATTTAAAAATTTTAGATTCAGAGTTGAGCAAAGAAGCCTATGGTTGTACTGTAGAGAAATCATTTTTCAATTTTTTCAAGAGTTTCCTCATCAAATTTGAAAAACCGAGAAAAACAGAATAATATAAGAGATGTAGGTAACAACAGATAAATTTAGTGTAGGTATTATAGTGTAGCATCATTTTTAAAAAATTTAACTCTTGGAACACAACTTATAATTCAGATTTTAAATCTTAAACAAAATAATCTTCTTTAAATTTATCAGAACATATTATAAATAATTCCAGGTGTCATTGTGCTTACATTTATTAGACCACTCTTTAAGAAGTATATTAGACTTTGGAAACCTTTAAAACAAAATACATTTCTCTCACCTAATGAATAGGATTATTACTTATTGCACTTAAAATCACAAAAAAACATTTTAAAACATCAAAAAAGCCTTGAAAAAAAGTACTTTAAACAAATATTATTAGACCTAATGGTAAAAGGGTTTAAATGTCCTCTGTCTAACTACTCCAAATTATTAAATATAATTTTCTAATACTACAATAATTATTATCAACAATTTATTTTGTTTAAATAAAATTGTAAAAAAAAATAACTGGGTTAATAATTTGTGTAGCGTTTAAAAATTATATTTTATAGGTCAAAGCCATTAGAGGAAGGACATTTAAACCCTTCTAACATTTAGTTTAATAATATTTGCTTGAAGTGCTTTTTTTTAATGTTTTTAAGAGCTCTTTTATGAACTTTAAGTGCAATAAGTCCCAAAACCCTACTAATGAATATGTATAGTTTATAAAGTAATTAAAAGTATATATATAATATATGTAACATACCTCTGAAAAGATAAATTGATTCTACCAATGTTTTTGGCTTTGTCTGATTAATTTGTACATTGCAAAGCATAAACTGCCTTGTGATTTGCATTTTGGAGTTGCCATTAAAACAAATTTAGCTAAAAAAAATTTTGAAAATAACTATTGTAAATTTGATTAGTCTTATAATGAACAAATAATGTCATACACTGATTTCCCTATTCCCATTTGTTTAGATTTTTGGTATGAGGCAATCTGTATTACATTATTAACCTTGGATATAAATAACTTTTTTTTAAAAAAAATATGATTGCTTGTATCATTGTATTCTAATAACAACACAACTGCTTAGTGTTTCCCTGGCTTTAGATTTATAACAAGTTCTATCATGTGTTCTTCATTAAACAGTTTTCCTTTAAAAATGTGTTAAAACGTATTCAACTAAACAGTTGTTTTACTTTTGGTATTTTAATATGAAATACAAACATTACAAACACAATATCAGGAAGTATTATTTATTTATTTATTCAACTTAACAAAGGTAATAAAATATATATATGAGTACAATATAATAATACCTGATTACCCCTATCTTTAAGCAAACTTATGGTAAAAGGGAGGTAAGTATGGTTGTACACGAATTAAACCATTATTAGTATTTCATTATTGGGGATAATCTTTGTGGTACCTACAGCATTTTTTGTCTTATTATGCAACGAGCTCTATTGATGAACAATTATCAATTGGTCAATAGATCAATGAGTCAATACATGGATAAATACAAATTTAAAAATAATCAAAATGTAAATATTTCCTTGGTTAGATATTAGTATTATTAACTTAATGCTATTTTTTTAAAAATACTAAAATATGCAAAATAATCTAAAAATTTTCGAATATGCAAAATAAAATTGTGCATTCTAACATATTTAATAAAATAAATTGACTAAAATTCAAATTTGTGTCTTACTTAGCTAATTCAAAAAAATGTGTAAATGAATATAATTCTGAGTCCTACTAATGATGAACTTATGGTATAGGCATTCTTTAAAATCATAGTTTAGATTGAGTACCAATACTAGTTGTTATATAATAATTTTATTTATTTGTCCAGTCAATTTTAATGTGAACCTACTTAAATAGTAAATTAGTAATTAATAAGTATTTTAAATTCATATTTTTCAATTTTTTTTTTATGTTTATTACACAGTTTATAATGCATATTTCGATATGGCAAAGTACATATTTTTTAACTAGTGTAAATTTAAAAACTGTTTTGCCATATTATAGAAAGTGTAGTATATTTTAAATTTAATCTTGAGTTATATTTTTTCCAATGCAAATCTTGGTCAAATGTATCATCTAAGTAAATTATTATAATTGGTTCATAATATAATAACTACTGAGTCCATTGTGAAAACTTAGTTACCATTTAACTGCATCATACAAACATGGTAATTACTATTATTATTGTTCAATGATTATAACACTGAATTTAAGATTTAAGAGTCAAAATAATAAACATTTTTATAAAATGTGTACACACGATAGTTTCAAAAAAAGCCTTCACATCTTTACTAGACTTGTTTTTTTTTCTGTGGTCACCTAGGGTGGAAGTATTATATAAATGTTTTAAATAACTTATTTGTATGTTTGAATATTATTAATTTTTTAATAGTATTTTCATTTATTGTTTATATAATGCATGTTTTAATTATATACAAATTGAGTTTTACTAATATGTTTAAACAAAATGTTAAAATAAAACAATTTTTTAAATACCTATTATAAGTATGCTAAATTCATAAATTAATTAACTTGAAATTTAAAGTTTTCTTAAAACTGCTAATACTGCTAAAACCATAAGGTTTTGTAATCAAATAAAAAAAAAATTTCCAATGAATTATAAATTATATAAAAGTATTAAAATTAAAATACCATAATATTCAACTTAAAATAATTTTGGAAAACAAATCTATAATAATGTAATAGATAATTAGCCTATACTAATTGCTTAGTAAATTTAACTATTTTTCTTAAAATATTAAGAGAAATCATTATTATATTAATATATTATAAGTATGACAAGTTATGTAACTAATAAAAATATTGTTTGTTATTATAGGAGGATCAACGTCTGCTTCAATTGGAAAACTCTCTAGATATAGAATTAAAAAATCTACAAGAAAAAAAAAAAGAAAGAGATAAAATTATGAAGGCTTTACATCATTACAATGACATTAAAGATACCACTCAAATTGTGTTGGGGCAACTAGCCATTTTAGAAGGAGTAACTGTTGCTGAAATCCACCGAAAATATAATTTGCTTGAATCTGATTGATAACTAATAGAATAAATTAATTTTTTTTATCAAATATTGTAAATATGTTATGGTTATAATACTTAATTTAAAAGTATGTTATAACAATTAAAACTATATTTGTTTAACAAAGAAAATTTCAAATCACATTGTAGGTATGATTATTTTAACTAATAAGTTCATAATTATGTTAGAACTTTTTTTAAGCAAATTTATTTATGTTTACTTTTTAATGTATTTTATAAACTATAAAGTTCTAAATTAAGTAAAACAAATTATTTATTCTAAAAAAAATGTTTTGGCATTGTTTTATAGTTATAGATTATAATTTTGAGTTGGGATTTTTATGCGAACATATTTTCAATAAAATTAAATTTTGAAAATTGGTTTTACAAATTGCATGAAGATTCTGCTTTCTTTTGTATAATTAGTAAATGTTTGTATTAGTTTTTAGTATTACTATTGTAGTGTTGATTTTATATCTTAATTAATATTAATGCTATGTGGCTTAAATAAATTTAACAGTAGTTGTCAGATGATATCTTTTAAATTCATTTTTACTTATGCTATAACACAAAAGTACTAACCTCTAAAGTACCAACTCTGGAAAATCTTACCAAGTTATTGTTATCAACAGTAATTTTTTTTACATATTGAAGTTAGAAACCATATAACATAAATTATATATACCATCAATATTTTTTTTGTTTATCAACAAGAACAATGACTACTTTACTAAACTAAAAAAATATTTTTAATTTTTTCTTTTTCAAACTTATAAATATAATAAATAAAAATATAAAAATAAAATTAATTAATTAATTTGAATTAAAAATTCGTTATCAGGTATATCACAGTCAAATAAAAAACGTGACTCTTGACTGTAATATATACATTTTTATTTACTATATTTATTTACGAGTTAACCATTTTAATAATTTTGTTTTTTCTTTATTATTTTATTATTCAAACTTATATTTATCTTTTATATTCACAAGTAGTTTAACTATTCATTAACTATTTTAATTTTTAAGTAGATTTAGAATGAACATAGATAAAAAAAAACATGAGGTTCTAAGGTTTGAAGATGTCCATGATAATGCTCTCCAACTTAGTGACACAATATAAACATTACAGAAAATAAAATAAATTGTCAATACTATTTGGAAAGAAAAAGATGTCACGTGAGTGAAAATTCAAATTTAATTTAATGCGTTAACTAGAATAATAATACAATAACTAGCTTTTCTTTTTTTTTTTTAAACTAAAATTATTAATTTTGATACAAATTTATTAGTACTTCCTCAGCATTTTGAAATTTGTTTTCCCAATATTGTTTTAAATCTTAATTTCGATGTTGCAATAACATTTTGATGGAGGCCATTTCTGCACTAGAACATAACAAAACCACACACATGTATTTAAAAATTGCTCATTTAAAACTCATCAATAAATAAATTTCAAATTATCATAACTTCAAAAATTTTAATAATAATTTTGACAATTTTGTTTGCATCAACTTTTTGAAAACCTTGATTCAGTTAAATTGAAGATAATAAAACGATCGGAAATCTGTGATATTGCTAAACTAGATTTGTATTACAAATGTATATGATTTAAAATATGGCAATGAAAATTGATATTTGAAACAATTTTATATGAATCAGTACCTATCTATTTTGTTTTAAGTCATATAACAACAATTTATAATTTAATTTACAGATCAGTTTTATGTTTAATTTGTTCACAAATTAAAGTAACTATATAAGTAACAGCTACTTTTGAATGTAAACACCGATTTTTAAATTGATTGTCTTCCATTGTTTTTAAATAATTAGTCTGTTTCTTGAACATTCGTATTTGTCTTGTAGGTTCGAATAATATTTTTATTTCATAACATTAATTATAACTAACTTAATTTTATTGCATTATTATATTATAAGTATTACTAGATGGGATCATCCAACTTCCCCATAGTCTTTTTATTTCATTTCATTTTTTTTTTCTTTTAATGTATAAGGATGTCATAATAACTATTTTGTTTGCTATTGAATACTTATAATGTTCAATTTTTTTCTTCAGCCACACAAAAAAAAAATCATCTGACATTTTAGTTGATATTATATTGAAGATATTTTTATAATTATGTCCGCTTAATATGGTATTTATTAAATTATCACTTTAAAAAACTCAAAAAATCATTCGATCATCAATTATTATAAGAGGATAAAATCATCTTTGATGATATATTTATTAAAATTATTTCCGTTTTATTTACAAAATAATCACTTAAAAGAATCTGAAAAAACTATTTCAGTTATCAATTATTCTTATATTTATCAAAACGGCCAGAACCCGGTTTTGCAAGAATCTTTCATTAATTATGCAATTATATTTTCAAAAACACTTAAATATTTCAACAATTGATAAAAAATCTATTTTAATTATAAGTGATTAAGTGTTTACGTAAATAGATATTCCTTATAGGGAATACTCTCTGTATTGTGTATAAGTACATTTCCTTTTTGCTTTTGTTTTTTTTTTTTGTTTTTATGAATATTTTGTTTAGATGTCAGATTTATTCTGACATTTGGTGGAAAAACAGTGTAATTTTGTTTGATAAAATAAGCTAATAGTACATTACCTATTACTTACCTTTACTATATGAATATTAAACTAAGTATTTGAAAAAAACAAATTTAAAAATTATTTTTTTAGTATATAATATCATAAATATTAAAAAATATTATATTTTATAATATTTATCAAACAAGTGATATTATTTTTTTTTTTTAAGAAAAAATTAATTAACCAAGAAGAAAAAGATTTAAAAGATTTAAAAGTATAGTTTTTATAAAATAAATTAAGTTTAATTAATAGGCGATTATTTTTGTCTATCATTTATGGTAGAGGTGGATCCAGGTGGATTGATCGCCCCTATTGCCCCTCTCGATTATTTTCCAATAATATTTTAACTACATTATACTCCTAGCTATATTTATACATCATCTCTCATGAGTCATGACTTGTTATAAATGCCTGCCTTATACCTATGCATTTTCAACCCCCCCCCCCACTATTATGTTATCCGGGATCTACCCCTGATTTATCGCAAGTAAACATCAACTTGTCACGTGTGAATACTATCAAATATACAAACATAAACTATACAATTTGCAACATCAGATGCAGTAATATGTTCGCTCAAATTGATATTTAAAATTTATTTCCGTATTAACTTGAAACAAAAAAGTTGTCCTCGGATAATAGGGAAGTGTGCAGCCACTGTTATAGGTGAGAAGTTGGAAAGATAGAGGAGAAAATTAATGTAGATCTATATGCAACCCAATGCTAACGAAAAAATGATTCTGAGTGAAGTTCAGTTGTTAATATTGCTTTGTCAACAATATACATATATATCATAATATATCACAATAACATTAATTTAACATTATACCTATATTCCCGATTTTTCTACGTTTCTTCTGGTTTTCCTATGTTTTTTTCGGTTTTGGGAAAACCAAATGAAAAAATGATTCTAAGCAGAAATTGGAGTTGATAGTGTTAATGTGTCAACAATATATATCTCACATTATGGTAAAATAATAATGTATACATAATATATTTTCTTTAATATTTGTTTAATATTGTACCTATATTCCTGTTTTTCCTATTTCTTGGGAATATCAAAAGAAGATCTCCCTAAAGTACCTCCTTAGTCAGATTTCCTTTTAGAAAAAGACGTATAATTGTAAATCGAAGCAATTGCTCCAAGAAAAGTTAATCACAGAAAAAACAAACCAAATTATTAATGGGTGTTTTAAAAGAAAATTGCTAAAAATTAGATTAAGTGCCTTTTTCCTGGGATTAAAGATTTATTATTTTATTACTATAAGAAAATTTGCATTAAAAATGATTAGTTTATACAAGATTCTTTAGACGTAATATTTTATAAAAATTATTTTTTTGATTAAATTTTGTAATCATCAATCATATTATTTTTCATATTATAAGTCCATTGTACGTATTATAATATGTTCTTCAGTGATCAAATTTCCACAATTATTTTGCCATATTTTGAAATTTGTACCAATTTCATATATATAGTTTAATATCATTTTAAAACCAATACATTCTTCGCTCAGCTCAGAATCTAAAATACGGACATACTTCGTACGATGGATGGGCCACTGTTGTAGGTAAAAAGTTGGGAAGGCAGGATATAGAGGGGAATTTAACATACATATATCTGTAGTATATAACTTTTAATTACTGATCACAAAAAACGATTCTAAGTGAAGTTTGATAATACATGTTTTGAAATTTGATTTTATTAATTTCACCATGATTTGATATTAAAATTCGTATAGAAAATAGAAAATAATTTCTAAAATACACTTGATTTTTTTATTTAACCAATAAGTACAACTTACAAATTATAATGAATCTTCTGTTAAATTTCCAAGTATTTCTTTTTAGTCTAACAATTTTATTCAAAGAAAGTACCTATTATTTCATAAATTGTCCAGTTCTTTCTGCGTTTTTTTTTCGTCTTTGCTCAATTATTAAAAAAACTACAAGGAAAATCAAAAAACGACTTTCTTACTCACGAACAACATTAAAAATTGAAACAAAAAAGGCTTTAAGTTATTTTTCTATTGGAGAAATACTTTTGGAAGAAAATATAAGTCGTACAAATTTAAAATAAGGAATGCTGGCACCGTAAATTTATCAGTTTTTATTTTTCGTGTTTTCCGTGTTTTCTCAATTTTATGAATGAATTCTACGAATGAATGGAACATATTTGGAAAATAAATAAATAACTTTGTTACTCACTAACTGAATTAAATATATAATAAAAAAGGTTTCCTATTTTTTTTTCTATTGGAGCAATATTTCTGGTAGAAAACATAAGTCGCAAAAATTTAAAATAACAAAATCGTTTGCCTCAAATTTGTTTGTTTTAAATTTTTCGTCCTTTTCCGGTTTTCCTAATTATTATGAAAACTACTTAGAAAACCAAAAAACGATTTTTTTCGTGAGCAACAAGATACAAAATACAACAATAAAAATGTTCTTATCATTTTCTATTGCAGCAATATTTCTGGTAGTAAACATAGTTTGCAAAAATTAAAACCAATGAAATCAGTAACGTTGAGGCGTGCCGTAAATATTTGCCATTTCATCTATAATTTTCTTTTGGGTTTTCCCAAATTATTTCGAAAACCCCGTGGAAAACCAAAAAATGACGTAGTCAACGCACCAACTAAATAAATTACTTTTCCAAAAAGGTGCTACACTTGATACTTGGAGCAAGATTACTGGTAGAAAAGTTGTTCATAGATACACACACTAAAAAAAAAAAACACACATCATAGTCAAATCAATAGATCCGAATCTAAAACTCGCACACAAAGACACGTATGATACGTAGTATAATAATAATCTTCGTTAGAAAACCGTATCACAGTTTGTTCAATGTATTCGATTTGAACGCAGTTTATTCATCTATTATTGAGAAAAAAAAAAATTCGTCGCAGTCAAACCATTACCCTCGCGTAATCCGATAAAATATCGATAAACATAATTGTTTTTTTCTCTCCTTGTGTTACACCCGGCGGGTTATATACTGGTGGTCACGTTTCGTTCGATTTCCTTCCCAACCGGTCCGGCAGTCGTGACCCCGGTCGCGGGTCAGCGCGCCGCTGTCGAACGAAAACCTCCCGCCAAAATCCCATTACGTCTTAATAACCATCACGTTTATTTCATTGCCCCCCCTCCGTTATCTATATTGTTATCTACGGCTGCAGCCGACTGCAGGCGACAGACCGACCACGGCTCGGCATTCGCCTGTCCGTCGGCGTCCAGTCGGATTAAAATTCTTCGCTGCGAGTCATTTCGATTTAATTTACCGCGCTTATTGGCCTTATTCGGTATTATAATTTTATTACTATCGTAACTAATATATTATAATTATTGTCTGTACCCACTTATGCGGTTTGATCAACATTACGTACCTGTATTCACAAAACTACAAGGTGCGTATATTTTAATATTATTACTTATACCTATGTAACTTGGTTGCCTGTAGGTATTGAAAATCAGTGGCCCCCCGAATAGTTAGCGAGGTATGCTAATTCCCAATGTATAAAGCGGCCGTTTCATGGCCGTAATTAAATAGGTATACGTGTGTATAACACTTTGTCACGTAATATATTATATTGATAAAAAAGGCGAAGTGCCTAATAAAGGGACATCGGCTCTAGTAGCCTTAATTACAGCAACTGATTCGTCTAGCCTTGGATCGCCCGAATTGCAAAAAAATAGCATGCACCTATTTCATACAAATAATATGTGGTAGTTTATTGCAATTTTACTGAAACTGTCTCCGTAGAAAAAAAAATTCCACGCCGTCACTGAGTATTATTTTTGTATAATATTCTGTGGTACCTATTAAAATTAAATATTTAAATATAAAAAATTACAGAACAATTTTTGAGGAGATATTGACATTTTTGTTTTTTTTTTTTTTGGGTTTAACTAAACACCCAAGCTCCTCTCTGTTAATAATAATAATAATAGGTAGGTAGGTACTACTGCGGGTGTCCTGAGTCAAAAGATTATAGACGATCGTTGGTTGGCATGTGGATATTATTATCGAACATGATAATATATATATATATATATATATATGTATATAGGTATCAATAATACTAGCCGATACTATACGTAATAATCTATAATATCAACATAATGATCTATAGATACCAATAAATTTCGTTTTGGTAAATCTTTCTATTTCTCTGTTCGAAAACGAATAACCGTTATCCGAACCAAAAGGTTATCGCGCTCAGCTTCCTCCCGGTTGCACTTTTGTTTATTTGATACTATTCTTGTTTTTCAGCTGTGTATAATAATATAATAATATCTAATCTATGGCTACAAAATTAGGTCGATTTCGTCGAAAGAAATTATTCGTTTTCCGTAATAAATATTATAATATTATTTCGATCCGTACGATATTGATATTATGCATAGTAGTTAGTAGATACCTATAAAAAAATACTACCTACATACACTGTATACCAGAGAGCGTCTCGAGAGGGGGGCAGGATGGGATAATAATTGCTCTTCCTCTGAGTTTTCAGTTCAGTATGAAAACGTGTGAGGAACTAAAAATCGATAATTTTTTAATTATTTTTTAAATTACCATTGCGATCTTCCTTTCTCCCTCACCATCTGGAAAAATATCTGCGGACGCTCATCCACTAACCTGTTATATAGGTACGTCGTTCGTCATATTTAGTTAGGAGCCTAATGCATATTTTTTACAAATAAATTGCCGACTTAGAAATATCTTATGTCGCTGTTGTTTCCGTCCATCCATATAGTACTAGTACATACCTAGTTATGATTGTTAATTTGGTTAACAAGGAAATATAAATTATTCCTAACATTATTATTATTAATTTAAATATAAAAAAGATGGACATATTTCGTATGTGGGTGGGCCATTGTTGTAGGTACAAAGTTGGAAATGAGAGGAGAAATGCATATCTGTACCCAACGATTAACCATTGCTAATGAAAAACGATTTTGAGCAGAGTTCCGTTAATATTGTTGCTTTATCAACAATATATATGTCACATTAGAGTAAAATAATTACATATGTGTTTTATATTTTCTTTGATTATATTTGTTTGATATTGTAGCTATTTTCCTGTTTTTCCTACGTTTTTTCCCATGTTTTTTGTTTTCATTTACTGGAAAACTACTGGGAAAATCGAAAAATGACTTCTTTAAAATACCTTTCCAGTCAGATTTCCTTTCAGTAAAAGTACTGTTATTGTAAATCGGAGCAAAATTGATGGTAGAAAAGTTGTTCACAGTTTTTTTTTTTTTTTAAATATTACTAATTTTCTATAGATTTAAAACGGTCGTTTCAAGGTTTTCGTGGTTTTGACTAATTTATTTGGCGTTCAACCATTTCATTATGATTACTAATTTTTATAAAATACTTACATAAAGTTTTAGTACTCCTACATTTCCATCTTTGCTCATCGCCCTTAAACAACTTATGAAAGGAAAATGTATAACCGTCAATTAATAAAAGCGTTTTGTTTTTTTCTCTTGTCATTTGCTTTATAGTGAATGAATGAATAACGTTTGGTTAGCAACTAATTGTATAATATTGTACTTTAAATTATTTTACATCGTATGTATTAATATATTTTATCGATTTTTATGGTAAATTTGAGTGTAGTTACGTATAATATCAGTACCTATATGTACTATGTAGTTCGTTATCAGCTAAGCTCAGCCTTACAATAATAATATCGAACAGAACCAACTTTTATTATTATGTAAAATAATATATTTGCACTATAATATAATTTTTGCAGACACAGAACTTGTGTACCAGTACGATTTTTTCGTTGGTACTCAACTCGTATAACCTTTTTTTATCATTGAGTCATAACTCGTTTGTCAGAAACTTCGTCGAGACGCAACTCGTTAACTGCGATAATTTAATGTGTTTAATATTTCCTTTTTTTCAGATTATAAAAAACCACTGAAAGATTAAGAAGATATATAAATAAAGAATCTTTTAGATTTTTAATGGACCGAAAAATGTATTGGTTTTACAAAGATGTTAATTATTTTTTTTTTATGTGAACACTTTTTCTATCAGAAAGCTTACTTCGATGTATACAATTTTGCTCCGATTTACAATCATAATACTTTTTTTGAAAGAACATCTAACTGGAAAGGTACATTAAGAAGATAATTTTTTGATTTTCTCAAGACTTTTCCCAGAAAATGTGAAAAACGGGGAAAATCGGTACATTAAAAAAATATTATTAAAGAAAATATATAGAGCCTATTTAATTATTTTACTATATTATGACATATATATTGTTAACAAAGCATTACTATCAACTGACCTTCTGTCAGAATCGTTTTTTCGTTAGCAATGGTTTATCGTTCCTATCAGGTAAACATTGAATTACCTATAACAGTGGCTACACTCAGCCCCATCATCCTTTTTTTTTTTTTATATATAATGAAAGCAGTATAAATTAATATAGACAGTGCATATTTAAGCATATTTTGGAATTTTTCAATGTATATTTTAAATCATATTTAGTCTGTTTTTAGTGCATAAACGCATATTCAACACTTTTTTTGTGCATTCAATTTATAGCTATTAAATAATAGCAAATACCTATAAATAGTCTAAAAATAGCAATAATGTTTTGAAAATGTATAACCAAATAACAGCGAAAAATCCAAATACCATAAACTTTGCCGTGTTTCCTACGTTTTTTTCCTGTTTTGCGTAACTATTAGAAATATTATACGGAAAATCAAACAATGACTTTCTTACTCATAAACTAAAAAAAATTTTCTTTTTTTAGAATTCTCAAAATTTGAATACAAATTTCTGTTAGAAAAATATAATCTTAAAAATTTTAAATATTAAAGTCATTGCGCCGTAATTTGAAAAAAATCGTATAATTCTTCTTTTTTGGTTTTCCCAATTATTATGAAAACTACTTGGATATAAAAAACCAACGGTATCATAAATATTTTCCGTTTTACCTATAATTTTCTTTCCGGTTTTTCCCAACTACTTTGAATACCTATTGAAAAATCAAAAAATGACCTGTATAATGTACCAACCAGATAAAATTTCATTTTGGAAAAGATACTATATACTATATATCGGAGCAAGATTTCTTTTCAGAAAGTTGTTTACAGATACTAAAAAAAAATTTAAAAAAATTTGCATCATAGTAATATCAATAAATCAATCCCAATGCTCCGAATCTAAAAGTTTGAAACATGCTGATGCCACTGTTTTATTTTATTTTTAATATTTGTTACAGACGAGCCAAAGGTACAGATATGAAATATACATTAATTTATATTTATTTATAAACATAAGAACAGATAGAATAGGTGTGACAGTAAAATTTAATAATAAAATGGAAGCGTAGGTATTCGTTAAGTGCATCATTCGGTAAATAGGTTAGTTTCGTCCGTAATTGGTGCGGTGGAAGGAACATATAAAGAAGTGATGGGAAAAATTCGGTTTTGTTGAAGTTCAAAAATCTAGATTCACGGAATTTTTAAATCCGGGTTTTGGATTAGTATTCTTTTATACGTATTATGTATAATAAAGTTTTTATAATTACACTTAGATTTTACTTTAGATTGTGTATAAAAAAAAATTAATTTTTTTTAATTAGAATACAGAAATCTACAATGTTAAACCTAAAATTCGGATTTCATAATCCGAAGTTTAATTTATATTTGTACGTAATCATTGCTAACGAAAACCTGATTCTGAGCAGAATATTATTATTAGTCGTACACTAGAAGGAAAATCAAGATATGACTTCCTCAATGCTCCAAACTAGATTAAAAATGCTGCAAGAAAGTCCCTTTGTAAAATGTTATTTTTCAATTAAGTTTTCTGGCAGACAATTTTTTTACACACCGAAATATATTTTACACATAGAAAAACTAGTTCGTACTAAATAGGTACCAAAATAATAGTACTTTATAATTTTAAAAATGTCTTGTTAACTATTTACAAATAAGATATTTAATTAATGTATTTTTATATTTAAATTATTATTATTATATATAACTATTCTAACTTATTATTTAATTATTTAATTACTACTAATGACACTATTTTGTAAATTAATTAATATTGAATAGCGTGAGTTTAATAAATAGACATGGATGAAGAGGAAACTCCTTACAATCCAGAAACAACTCGTTTACGAACTAGAAATGTACTAGCTGAAATACCAATAAGTCATGACAGGTTATCTTCATCGAACCTTCTAAATGGTTTGTTATTGGATAACATTATTTTTTGTTTTATTGAATTATAACTAACTTTAAATTGAATTATATTTTATAGTTATTGACCATAGTGATCATTATACTAATGTTATGCAATCAGTACAATCAAATATAAATTGTATTTCCTTATCTACTAGTCCAGATGAATTAATCATTCAACAGCGTGGACGTAAAATACGAGTTGTTTTCAGTCCAGACATTGATGTTACTAAACAGGTATTTACCAAAACATATTTTAATATTACAAAATATAATATAGGTACATTATAATATGTTATATGTTGTGTTTAATATTATGAGGTTTACTTGTTTAACTATGTACAGTGGATCAAAATATAAAAAAAGTTATTAATAACTAAAAATAATTATCTATTTAATTACTGAATTGTAATTGAATAGAAAATTAAGAAAATAAAAAGGGAAAATCTAAGAATAGAAAATTAGAAGATATTAAGATACGGGGTGTGAAATTATTTATATTAGAATCATAATGCAGAAAGTAGAAACGGGTTAGTTAGGTTTACAAAAAGAAAACAGTTAGGTGAAGCTAGTAATGGCTAGTAATGAAAGAATCTGTCGAATATAACGACGAGAGATGAAAGGGTGTGTGGTCATCGACGGTTTTACAATCTAGTATGGCGCTACGTTGCCACTATGTGCGAGCCAGATGCAGTGTTCCTTTCGGGCATATGTGCAAGGCCCCTCCCCCCCCCCCGGAGAAAACTTTAAGAATAGTAAAGAAATATCAAACATTGGACAAATTTAATTTTGATATCACGGTAAATGACCTACCCTCTATTTACAAGATCATTTTTCCGATGGAGAAATCATTAATTTCTTAGATAATATTGTTGGGTACCGGTGACGATAAATATTATTGAATACCAAAAATAATATCAGATAAATATTTCATTAGTTTATCAAAAGCGTATCATTGTTGTAGACTGAGGTAGTGTCATATCAAACGAAAAAAAAAAAAATAGGCGGAGAATGGGTTGTCCACCCATGGGCGATTAATAACGGACTAAGTGTTCTAGTGTGTCATACATTTTTTCATCCCTGTGTAACGGGCCCAACGTAGGAATAGGACTCGGATGAGAAAATTAATAAATAAATTATAACTCCAACTCGAGTTTACAAATAATTGATATTTCACTTAAAAATATTACAAGTCCAATAAATAATTTTTCACAAATTTACGTTGTCCAATAATATAATTCGAAATATCAAAGATATTCTAAGTCCAAATAACAAATATTAGTGACGAGAAATTGCTCGCAATCGATCGTGGTGGACTCGTCTCAATAGACGATGATTCAGGCGGCGTTATATACGCTAATGTCGTGCCCCCGCAACCCGTTATTCAAAGCCACTGCTATCTATATTTAATTACTGCCGCCGGATTCTGGCGACGGCGAAAACGTGTGTAACCAAAATTACATATGTATTGATATTATATTAATATTATAACATGTTTATATTCTGTTGCGACCTGGGCCCGCTCATAACAGTATTTTTATTTGTTCAGAATACTAGTGACGTTGGTCCATGTGTCGAAACTATATTTCAGTGCTGTATACTTTACAAGCCTACTGTGTCGGGTGGGTATTCGGTTTCATGTATGGTGAATATCATAGTATACGGCTCGCACGCGTTTCTCGCGGAAGACGTGTGTGGGCACGTAACACCTGTTACCATTGATACCCATACAGAACAAGGATTAAAAGGATTAAACTCATGAGCATAGTATGTATGGGGGCTATGGGGGCTACAGCTCCCACATAAACTTTTGTAGCCCCCTCATGGTGTTTACTTTCATTTTTCACATTTTATCCGAAATTATATTTTTAAATGTTTTTATAATTTTCCATGAAATTCATCAAGGCTTCAAAATTTATTAGCAGTGTAATTTTTGTTGACAATACGATTATACTTGCATACAAATACCTATTTATTTTTATTTTAAACACGTTTATTTATAGACCAACGCTGTATTATATATTCAGTTTAAAACATTCGTAGAAACTTGAAATTTTGGCAGAAAACTTATATTTGCTTTATCCGTGGTAGAATTATATTATAATATAATTTGAGTATAAACATAATTGGAGTCATTTTTTAGCTATTTATAGACATTTTAATTTTGCAATTTTTGTATGTAATTTTTATTTGGTAAAGGTACTCTGTGGATAAAATTATTAAACTAAACAGAAATGCTTGAAAATTTGTAAGGAGGATTATTATAAGTTGTATATAGTGGCCAATAAAATAAATTAGTCTAATGTAGTATTTTATATTTTTATAAGTTTTAAAATAAAATTTTAACAAAAATTGTTAATATTACGAAATTTCAAAACATGTATAATTGAACTTCGCTCCTAATAGTTTTACATTATTAATGGTTTATCGTTGGTTACAGATATAAATTAACTAACTTTATGTATCTTACTTTCCCTACGACCCACTTACAACAGTTTCTGCACCCGTCCCCAGTATCGGCTCTATTTTAATATTCACTAATATAAATTTATATTTATTAATAATTTTTAAATTAATAATGTTAATAATTTATTTAATAATAATGATATGAATAATATATATCTCTTCGTCAACCAAATTCAATAACTATAATGTGGATGATGGATGGACACAACAAGGATATAAGGTGTTCTTAGTTTATCTTTAGAAACCTAAAATAATTTACTCTAAAGATTTTGTACATAATAGTACATTTAAATTCATATTTATATACTTTTTAGAGTGATGAAAAGTCATTAACAGAATCAGGTAGTTCGAATTTAAATAAAAGTTCAATTGGTTTGAGAAGTTTGCCTTGTAAAAGATTATTGTTAAATAAACCACTAGAACTATCTTCATCTGTGGAAAACAAGACTGTATTCATACTTTATGCATAGTATTATGTAATAATATTATTTTATTAAATATACCTACCTATTTACTTTTAGGACTCACCCACTTCCAAAAAAACACGTATGGAGACAATGATTGTACTTCCTGAAGATAATTGTTTATGTTCAGCATTAAAAACATTGACGTCTGATCAGCTTATTGGTTTAATTGGACAGATTGTATCTGATCATCCTAATGTTGAAAAGGTAGAAAATTAGTTTCCTTAAAATGAACAGGGTAAAGTCAGCAGAACACAACTATTATTAACCCCTTATAAATTGTTATTAAACTAGTACTAAATAAAAACTGAATGCATTATTTTCTTCAAATATCAAATGTTCCATTATTTTATAAAAATTAAACTATTCAAACAGTTATACAAATTCAAATATACTGTTAAACAAATAGCTGCAATTTTTCGGATTGTTAACATTTTAATTAAAATGTATACAAATAAAAAATTCTTGTCACTTTCTTTATCTGTAAAATTAACAGAAAAACCTAATTAGGTTCAGCACTATCATATGCCATGTATTCTTGACCAGGTGACAAATGGAAAGATTTTAAAAATATTATTATAAATAAATACTGCCTGAAAAAGCACTCCAATGTTGCCCAAGTTCATGATCTATAGTAGATTACATTATTATTGACACTCTTTGTAATATTTGTTTTTTAATATAAATGATCTATATAATATGTTAATATTATGTAGTAAAATATTACGGTCTTTTTTTCCGTGAACAGCTTTTCTATCTGTAATTTTGCTTCAATTTACAATAATAGCACTATTTCTAAAAGAAAATCGGACAGGAGAGGTATTTAAGAGAGGTAATTTTTTAGTTAAAAGTTTTCCCAATAAATGAGGAAAAACGTAGGAAAACGGGAAAATAGATACAATATTGAACAAATATTATTAATAAAAATATATAATTTATTATTTTACCATAATGTGACATATATATTATATTGTTGATAAAACAACACTATTAACTGAGCTCTATTCAGAATTGTTTTTCCTTAGCAATGGTTAATCGTTAAGTACAGATACACTTTAAATTTCCCCTCTACCTAGTTGCATACAGACATATATTAAATTCCACTCTGTATCCATCTTGCGAAGTATATCAGTATTTTTAACCACTGTTACGTTTTAGATTTTGAGTGGACGAAGAAGGTTATGGTTTTACAAAGATATTTTTTATTTTGTCTGTTAACAACTTTTCTACTAGAAGACTTGCTCGGATTTCTACGTGTAGCACGTTTTCTGAAAGAAAATCGGTGTGGGGAGGTACTTTAAGTAGGTCATTTTTCGATTTTCTCAGGGGTTTTCCCAGCAAATGTGAGATAAAACATGGGACAATCGGGAAAAACGTAGGAAAATTGGGAATATCAGTACAGTATTAAACGAATATTATTAAAGAAAATATATATAGCCTATTTAATTATTTTACTATAAAATGACATATATAGTGTTTAAAAAGCCTCATTATGAACTGAATACTGCTCAGAATCGTTTTTTCATTAGTAATGGTTTATCGTTGCTGTGCATTAAATTATCTATAACAGTGGCTGCATCTGTCCCCATTGTCTTAGGACGTACTTTTTTCTACTAAAACTAGCATAATTTGTGATTTTATATGAAAAAAAAACTGCATTACATTTTTCAATTAGAACTTAATTAACACTGTATTGTGGAATAATAATTAATAATTGTTACATTCTGCTGTCTTTATTATGTTTACATAAGGAACACAGAAAATTAACGATTTAGTAAACATGAATTTTGATATTATCCACCATTAATTTATAGGAAATTAGAATTAATTTTCCAATGGCTGATATAAAATCCTTGGAAGGACGTATTTGTTATTTATGGCATAATATCTACAAGGCATTGTCTATTAATAGGCTGGTTTCAAAAACTAATCCAATAGCTTACAACAGAGTATCAATACACCTATTAGAATTTAAGGTTAATCCAATATTTAAACTATGTATTTATATAATACTTAGTATTAATAATTGAATATTTTATTGTTTTTAGAAATGTGTTATTAATCAAGGTAGGCATTTGGTAGAAAGCAGTCAGTGGTCAGTTGTTATAGACTATGTATTTATGGCATGGAAATATGTTCGCCGAACGCCAATATGGGATTGCCCTTCTCACAATGCAGCTCGAAAACAGTGTTTTAAATCATTGTCGGAAATATGTATGACTGCGCTACAACACATGAAAGAGTCATTAAACCAGGAAACATGTGAAAATTATAGAAATCGGTGAGTTTTTTTTTTCAGAACACTGAAATTATTGTGTAGCTATTGTTTCTTTTTATCAATTGAACTTTCCATCAATATGAATAATGGTTGGCATTATATTTTATGTTTCAGATTGAAATTGCTTGCTAATGATCACAAAGAAGATATCGAATTGTGTTTAAGATTTTTGGAAATTTAGTTTTGTTTGTAATCATTGATTTTATGTATTTTATAAATATATTAGTTTTTGAATACCTACTTAAAACAATACTATACTCTATTCAGGATAAGTCTGGAAAAATGTACGACGATAACGCGTCCAGTTTCGCGCAGATGTGTCACGTGACCTGCCGGTGACGAGCGTTGTTGACGACGATCCGGTTGTATACAATTCGGTTCGCAGTATGTATATATGTATACATGAGTATGTTTCATAAAATTACCTATACAGAACTTCTTCATAAATATAAGAAAAATTGACTGTGCAACGACGTATATAATAAGTGTAGTGTAATGTTATGCTCACATAACATAATATTATAACTGTATAATTATTTATTATTTATATCATTACAAAAATATAACTAAAAGATTCAAATATGGCCGAGTACTTGGTAGTTTACAAAAGGTAAATAATTTAATAAATCTAACGGATCGTTCGCTATTCGAGAGGGATGTAAGGTTATCAATAAGCAAAACAATTTAAATATGTGTCAAATATAATAGAATTGCATGCCATCTGCTGCGGCCCTTTGAGGACACTGCCGCCTCAGTCATACTATTGTATAATGTCTTCTTTTCACAATTCGAGTATTACTTATTTTATATCGACATTGACGCGATTGCCGTCTGTTCCATCTTTTTAAGCACATAAATTCCAGTGGTTTTCTATCATCCGAGAAGAATCAATATCTAATCCATTACCTTTATTTAGAACATTTAAACACATACAATTTAACGGTTTTTTCTAATTGAAAATGAAGCGTCTTGATCCCTCGAGAAACCTCAAGACGATCACTTTGTCAAGAATCCTGCACACAGCAACAATTACGCTCCACCAACTTCTTTCGAGGATCTCTCTCGAATAGCTAGCTCCGACTTTTAGCAGCTATAATCACTCGTGTTCGATTTATTTATTAGTTTATTTTATAATTTAACCTTTTATTTTCTTAATTTAAAAATTAGCATTTTTTATCTGAGTGCACAGAGGTGTTTAGTGTTAATTAATTAAATTAGTTTATCTTAATTAAATTGTGATTGCCGTCCAACGACTCCACGTGAGGTTATCCATAAGTATGCACCCTAGTGTTCCAACACTGTGGGCAGGTAATATATTTATATTTTTCTTTAATTATTGATATCATCACCATTCTAGGATTCATGACTCTGAAACCCTTTCAAACATAGGAAGGAAGGTAGTTATATAACTAGTAGGCTGAACATTTATTATGATTAAAGATAAATCATTCTTTGTAGTACCAAAACTTAGATCGATTATTTTATATTATATAGGTACATTTGTATACCTACTCCTCTATATTTTATTCTTTGTAGGTATCCTATTATTTTATATATTTATGTCTTCTATTACTATATATAGTGTATTGTGTTTGTATTACTACAGGAAATAATTTTGAATAATTTTAAATAAAATTTGAATATAAACGAAATGTAGTATCGCACGACAACAAAATTTGCTCGATTTTTTTGGATTTAAACTCAAATAATTACAAGTTGAATGTCTATATTAAGAAAAAAAATATATTTTCTATAATTGTTTGTATTTGCTTAGGAGATTATGCGGAGAAATTTCAAATAAAATTTGAATATAAACGAAAAATTGTATCGTACGACAAGGAAATTTGTCCGATATTTTCAGATTTAAACTCAAATAAGTACTAAATGAATTTCGATATTAAAAAAAAAATTAATACCAATCGAAAGATCACATAATTGTCTATAATTTTTCGCATTCGAAAAGGAAATAATTTTGAATAATTTTAAATCAAATTTGAATATAAACGAAATGTAGTATCGCACGACAACGAAATTTGTCCGATTTTTTCGGATTTAAACTCAAATAAGTACTAAATGAATTTCGATATTAAAAAAAAAATTGATACCAATCGAAAAATCATAACACTTTCTATTATTTTTCGTGTTCGCTAAGGAGATAAATTTGAACAATTTTAATTAATATTCGAATATAATCGAAAAGTAGTATCGGACGACTACGAAATTTCCCCCCATTTTTTGGATTCAAACTCAAATAAGTATCAGTTGAATGTCGATTTTAAAAAAAATATAATGCTAAAAGAAAGATCATAATTTTTTGTATTCGGTTAGGAGATTATTTTGGTTAATTTTAATTAAAATTCGAACATAAACGAAAAGTAGTATCGCACGACAACTTTAAAAATAAATTTGTTTGTGTAGTAAACAACTTATTAAACTAGTAGCAGAACAATTACAGGAGTTTAATAGGCAACATTGTTTATAAATTTGGGAAGCACTGGGCCTTCTTATCAAATATTGCCAATGGACGTTCGTAAAGATATAACCTATAACAACGATAAGGCACCGTGACTGTTCAGTTCTGAGTTTGGACGCTCTTTTTTTTTTATTATTTTGATAAAGGATCTACGGTAATGTTTACAGCATTGCAAGCCGTAGTAAGGTTTACAGACATATATAAAACAACAGGTTTAGTTTGTTGTAGTCTATTCGGTCACCACATCACTGGACACCATTTTATTATTTTATCTTTGGACACCATACTGTTGTGAGAAGACGCTAAAACTTAACCTAATCGAGTTGTACATTAAACGCCGTCATAATATTGTTTTTGTCTCCAGCCGTGACGCCGTTGCAAGTCGTGATCGTTGTTCAATCTCTTTTCGTGCTACTACGATTTCGTAGTTATTTTGTATATTGTAAGTATCTACTTATAAAATAATATTAGTTACTGGTTTTTTTTTTTAGATAAACTATAGGTTTAGTTATTATAATAGAAAAATTCACACTTGGTGGTGAGTCTATTTGATGTTTCGAGTAGAGCGCAATTAAGAATCTATAGTTATTATTAATGCACGCATGATAGCCTTCTAATTTCAGAATTGATTTTCAATTATTCACCGTGATTATCTCTTGATGCTCCTACCGACCTTTAATGGTCAACCTCGCAGATGAGTCGTTTTCGATCACAATGACTATTCAATTTGTGAAATTGATCAGTTAGGCAGTAATCTCACTTATGGTACCACCGCCATGCCAGAAATCGAATTTAATTAAACCGATAATCCAAACGATAGTAGCCCGTACGTTAAGTATTCGGTAATCACTGTTAGGCTCTCCACACACTAAACAATTCTTGCGATACATACAATTCATGTGGTCGAGGGTTATACAAAGTGAAATTCAGCCACAGTTAACATTTCCTATATATGAGAGGTGGGCAATTGGAGCCCTTTTTAAATAATTTTTAACTGGTCAGTGCTACATTTTTAAATTACTTTATACAATTTCAACATTTGTATAAAGTTATTTGTTAAATGTAGACTTTACTTTTTATGTTCTATAAATTGACATTAAGAGAACTCCACACTGACATCTACTGTCTCCATCTAACAAACACAAGACATAGCAAATTTGCATACAGTAGGACATATTTTGTACTGTTAGTTTTAATATTAACTTATTACCAAATTCAAAGGTAAGAAAACTATGTGTGCCCTAGCGTTGATGTTTTTTTTTCCATATTTTAATTTTTAAACGAAATATGAATATGCGAAACTCCACAATTTAAAATTTTGAAAAAACATCAACACTAGAGCATATATAATTCTTTTACCTTTAAGATAAGTTATAAGTCAATTTAGCTTTAATGTTAAAACTTGCAGTACAAAATTTGTTCTATTGAACGCAAATTTGCTTTGTGCGCATTTCTTAAATGGAAAAAGTTAATAAGATTGTGACATTCTATTAAACAAACTGTAAATATTATACAAGATAAATGCTAATGTATTATAATATAATAATATACTAATTATAATTAGTTATTTTTATTAAACTTGTTTATTTTTTGGTCTCTATACTTTGGCCTACCTACTAGACCAGTGGTCTTCAACCAGTGGGTTGCCACCTAATATTGGGTCGTGAAAAGTAAATTTTACTTATACTAAAAAATAATGTAATACCTACTATAATACTGCTAGCTATATAACTATGTAAAATAGAAATAGAATTTAAACTGAAAATGATTTGCGGATTGCATTGTGTAAAATCTAGCCGAAATGGAATTTTTTACGTAAAAATAGTCACACTAATTTTCGCTATTACATATAATAAAAATATTATTTATTATTTATTCAGTTATATAATAGCACTTCTATAGTGGCATATTAAGACATTAAGCAATTTTAGCTTATTTTTGTTTGCTTTTCTTAGCTAACAAAGGTAACATAGATGGGTCGCAAAAAATGTATGGTTAAACAAAGTGGGTCGTGAGGAAAAATAGTTAAAGACCATTGTACTAGACTACTAGATACTATCTAGTAGTCTAATAAAATAATCTAGTAGATATTAGTGGTGTACTTATTGGTAAATGAATTTATGGGTATATACATCTAAAAAGGGTTAAACAAACCCCAAAAAATGTTTCTTCACTTACTTTACATCAAACTACCTAACTACCTTACTAAACCGTCACATTGTCTAGATCTATGTGTCATTGTAAATAACTTTTTACTGGCATAGGTACTTATAGAAATTTCCTTTTTTTGTTTTTTTTTTTTCATAATATTCTTGTAGCTGGTTATAGTTAATTATACTTAAGTTTTTGGTTTAAACTATGTCATATAATTATTGTGTAATTTCCACTATATTATATCTGGGATCCAGTACCATGATTATTAATGATGTATCAATCAACAGAATCAATGTATTTTATAATATTGTTTATGCACCTATGTCTGTTTTAATATTTCCACAATTTACTTAGACAAATGCCTCTAGCGAAAACCAAAGTAGTTGTTGCATTTTAGTTAACTTTTAAATTAAATTGAAAATAAAGTTTTAGAGTTTAAATTACAAATAATTATTATTTAATATTAATATAGTTACTTATCATTTAATACTTTGAAGTTATTATTTTATATTAATATTTAATTTAACAATATTGTTATTTACTTATTAAATTGGCAACTAACAATAGTTAGCAGTAAATTGATAAAATTGTCTAATGCATTCACTAGGTATTTACTTTTTATTTGAGTAGGTACCTGAAGTTTTATTGAAAATAATTTTCAATAGAATAGATTACCTATAAAAAATACCTACCTACCTATAGCTAATTATACAATTATGATTTTATTGTTTAAACTGTTGTATTGTGGCATTCATAAACACAAGTTTCAAAGTTATGTAATTTTCTTTAACTTTTAAGTACCTACATGCTATTTTCAAATTAAAATTAGGTTGAGTTTAATTATAAATTGGTGCAAATGTGTATTTTAAATGAATTTTAACAACAGATTGATTTTTATGTATTACTTAAACTGTATTCTAACTTCAAAGCTGTATAGGAATATCCATATGTATTATTTGTACATACCTACCTACAATTTTATAACAGACTTTTATTATTATTTTTTTAGAAAAACCAAAGTCATGGATGATGATTCGTGTATTATCGTATCAGATGGTGATGATGAAACCCTAAGACCAGTTCCACCAGCAGTCCCACTATCAATGCATACATTTTTGCATGTGACTGAAGACCCTAATATCATAGTGATATCTTCTGATGATGATGGTGGTGGTAATGATGATGATGGTGGTGGTAATGATGATGATGATGATGGTAATGATGGTGATGATGAAGCAATTGATACAAATGAACAAACATTCTCCGACAGCGAAATTAGGAAGATGAAACTAGTGGTATTGGCAGATGCTGAACTCCCCAGAATAACAAACAAACCAGGCCCCAAGTCTAAGACTAGACGTGTATTTACAAATAATGAGGTTATTGCAAAGTACATAGCGACTCAACAAAAGCTTAGTCCTGGGGATAATAAAAAACGAAAGTACTCGAATACTAACAAAACTGGAACTTCCATTGGGGGTGTTTCCAACACTGGGAATACATCAAAGAATATACCACTTTATGATATCGCTAGTGATAGTGATAATGATGATCTATGTTTAGGTGATGGTATTACTAAAATAAAAACTATCAATACTAAACAAGAGGACATTTCTCCTTCCACTTCAAATGTACAACTATTAAAAGACGTAGACTATGAAAACATTACAAATGTTGATGGTGGAGCTCCAGCACAACAAATTGCCGACAGATCTTCTTTGTTAGAAGCACCAGCTCAAAGCGCGCAAAGTACAAAGAAAACTCCAATGTTGGAAGCAGCGAATCAAAGCGTTCAAGATACAGAGGAAACTCCAATGTTGGAAGCAGCGAATCAAAGCGTTCAAGATACAGAGGAAACTCCAATGTTGGAAACAGCAGATCAAAGCGTACAAGATACAGAGGAAACTTCAATGTTGGAAGCAGCAGATCAAAGCATACAAGATACAGATGATACTCCAATGTTGGAAGCAGCAGATCAAAGCATACAAGATACAGAGGAAACTCCTATGCTGGAAGCAGCAGATCAAAGCATACAAGATACAGAGGATACTCCAATGTTGGAAGCCGCAGATCAAAGCATACAAGATACAGAGGATACTCCAATGTTGGAAGCAGCAGATCAAAGCATACAAGATACAGAGGATACTCCAATGTTGGAAGCAGCAGATCAAAACGTACAAGATACAGAGGAAACTCCAATGTTGGAAGCAGCAGATCAAAGCGTTCAAGATACAGAGGAAACTCCAATGTTGGAAGCAGCAGATCAAAGCATACAAGATATAGAGGATACTCCAATGTTGGAAGCAGCAGATCAACGTATATAAAGTACAGATGAAACTACTATGCTGAAAACAGCAGGTCAAAGCATAAAAGTCATACAATTATATAATATACTAGTAGTAAAGTAGATTGCAAATTCTTTAAGTGCATTTTATTTTATTTATTTTTAAGATTGCTTATGCTTTTACTTTTATTTTATTTATATTAATTTATTATTAGCAAGTAAATTATTTGACACTTCCAGATCAAAATGGATAATAAATTTTTTTATCAATACAAATCAGTGCCCTTCATTACTTAATACACTGACTTATCAACACCTATTCTTAGAACCTAGAAACTTGACATTTTAATGGTATATATATTACATAATGTAGGAGTAATTAAGAAAGAATTTTTACAAATTCCCTCTTTAAATGGGTGCTTACACACAGGCTACTCTTATGGGGCTATTGTAGTTACTACTTAAATATATGCCTAAACAAGTTGTTGAATAACTGTTATTTTAGAAGTATCTACTATCCACTTGCTTCCTTCAGAGGTATAAAAGTTTTATTATTTTTCTCATGTACCAGGTGATCCATTGAAGTAGTTAGATTTATTATCTCTGAAAGTATTAACTTTTTCCGAAATTTGTTTTCTAGACATTTAAGAAACAAGCTGCTCTATAATTTTATATTTATGTTATTTTTTCGCCCTTATTTTTCGGGGTAAAACCACTACCTACTTGTGATTTTCAAATGGCAGTCTATATTAAAAAGTCAATAAATAGATAGAAGATAAATTAAAATAAATTTTAAATTTAAAATGTTGAAATTTTTGATTTGTGTCAAACTGTTGACAAAATATTTCACTTTTAAGTTTGGGTTAGAGGAGTATAGTGGAGTATCATTTGTGTGGCGCACCCCTACTTATCTATTAATATTATTGGTAAGAAGACAAAAATGTATTATTTACACAGGTGAGATTGTTCTTAAATAAATTTAATTTTGTTTTATTGAGTTCTGATTTTTAGATAGGATGATTAAAAGGTCTAATAAATTATTATAGTTATAACTTACAACAGTTATAAAATACTCGAAATGCATTTATTTTTCAATATTACCATTTTCTGTACATATATAAATTAAAAATAATTTATTGTACAGCTTATTATTTATTAATAATATTGAAAAAAGAAAATTATACAATATGTACATTAGTAATATTGAAATGTGTGTACCTAAATAAAAAAAGTAAAAATTTAAGATTTAGATAAATGCAACAATTTATAATAAATAAGTGCATTATAGAATTAATATCAATACCTTTGTATAACTAATTTAAATACCCAATTGAAATAAAACAAATTACATTAAGATAATTTCAAAACGAATTTAAGAGTCTTACCCAAATGGATTTGGTGATCTCTTCATTTTAAATAGGGGAATCTCAGAAATTGAAATAGGTAAGTATTATAGTAAAACTAGGAGATCAATTATTTAGAACTACATATTCCAGATGGAATTTAATTAAAAAGCAATAATTTATAATGCAAGTGGGATTTAAACATTGAGTAACTATAATTTTTACTTTAATTAAATTTAATTTGGAGAATTAATTTTTATTTCATAAATATGATATCTAAATTATAATTTAGTATCAAAGTTAACGACTAATTTAATAAACTATGGTTTAATGTAAAATAAGTATTTTTGTACAATAAATAAATTATAGAACATTAACTAAAAAATTCATTAGGTAAACCAAATATAAAGTAGGTATTCGAGTACAGAATAAAAAAAATGGGATTTACTTTGCAGCTTACAACATAAGACGTGTATCATTGAAAATTAGGAAGGTAGGATACATGTAGGGAAATTAATTGAGCAAATATTCCAGGTTTTTTCTAATTTTTAAGACAAGAGAAATCAAAAAATGACCTCTCCAATACACCATCTAGGCCAGTGGCGTCAAAGTCCATGTTAAGGTCTGGCCATGGACTGACCCTTTTTTGAAAAATGTGGTCAGCAGGCCACATTATATTTACATTATAATTGTATATTACTATATTAGGGTAACTCTATACAATTGTATAGTATTAAAATTCAAACATTTAACATAGAATAATGTGTAGTAGCATAGCTGTTTCCTGTAAATTCATGCAGACTCTGAGACAACATTCATAGTGACAATGAAGAAAATGATAGGGAAATAGACAATTATAAAAACATGACAAGTTTAATAAACATTTTTGAAACAATAATTAACGTCAACATAAAAACAGAATTTAAAAGCTTATATAATATAATTAAATTAACCTTAACACTTCCAATATCTAGCTAAAAGAAATTTTTAAAAATTGAAAATTATAAAAACCAGGCTATGGTTCAACAATGGAACAAACAAGATTAGAAAATTTAATATTTATTTCAGGTGAACATGATATAAATATTGATATTGATAAAGTAATTATTATTATTATACATTTTATACTTAATTTTAATAAAAAAAATTGATAATCTATATAATTTTATTAAAAATAATGGTATTTATTTTCAGATATTGGACATTTTTGCTGAAAAATCATCAGTTTTGACTAAATTATTAACTTATTAATTTTATTAGTCATTAGTCTTATCATTTTTTTCTATTTTTTATGTATAAACTAACTTAAAATAAATATATTTTCAACAGTCAGTATCTTAAATATATATTTTTATATTTTAAGGATTTTAATTTATAAGTTATTGTAGCATTCTAAAGATTCATTTGTAACTTAAAAATTTACTTTTGAAAAATATCTATGTATTATATTATTGTACAAAATATAATTAATATATAGTACCAAACTGTCTGTTGAGATCTGTGACATTTTTCGTCGGAAAAAATTTTAATTGAGTTTTTTAAATAATTAGTGAGACAATGAACTATATTTATTCTTTTAATACAACTAAATATTTAATAAAATTCTGTTGACTGTTGGGATAGGATGTATCTGGATGTATCATGTAATGTATGATGGTTAAATCTGAATGGAATCCAGTGGACATTTTTTCACTAACTTCCAGACACGATAAAAATAAATTTTGTATACAACATATTATTTTGATGTAATTTTTTATTTACCACCCCCTTCTACCCAAATTGGAAATTTTTTTTACAGCAATAGGGTTATTAAAGTAATTAAGATATTGAGGCTGCAAATTTTTGAAATTGCCCGACCACATTTTAAAAACTTCGGCACCACTGATCTAAACAACATTTTCTACCAGGAACTACTCTTGAAGTTGTTGATCGTTTCAACATTTCTGTTGAAAAACTTTGTTTAGACCATGAATTAAGATATACAGGATACAAAACAATGTGCCTTATCAATAATATTTTTGAATCTCTGACACATTCTCATCTTGTAGCTACACTTAGCGCTTAAAGAGAATATCGGTAGAATTAGGAACTAATGCGATATAACACGTGAATTGAATTTTTTTGACAATATTAATAATTGTTTTTCTAAAGTACGTTGGTAGTTAGAATTATAATGCCCTAATTTATAATAAGATATAGTTAACTTTTTATTAGATTCATTAAGATCTCTTAATGAATATCTTGGAACCACATTGAAGGCAATTGAACAAAAGGGCATTTTTCAAATTTGAATATGTAGAATATAGGTTTCTATAACATTTCAGTATATTTATAATGATTTTTATTACAAGTAAAGTTTCTTATTTAATATCAATAATATTACTCACATAAGGAATATTCTGAGCACATGTGGTATTAGAAAAAATTATAATATCACTTATTTGACTTTGACTCTTAGAAATATTGTCTAATAAAATATAACTTTTATAATTTTCATTACGGTTAATATACATTTTTAAATACAGATTAAACTTACATAAGAAATATCTTGAAAACAAGAATCATTAAAAGATACTAAAATTTCACTACTTTTATCATCTTGACACATAGGATCATCATTTTGTAAGTTAATGTTGAGATATAGTTCTGATAATTGTATGTAATACCTGAAGTATCTCATTTGTATATTTTAAAAATACTTACATTGGATGTAATCTTACTGAATAAATCTGTTTTTACTGATTTAACTGTAGAGGGTTTTTCATTTTGAGGATTTAACAGGTATAGCTCTAGGTTTCAAACAAGGCCTTATAACCTAACCTAACATATCTTCAATAAAGAGATATTAAATGTCAACTATTGATTTGAAGATATAGTTATTGTAATATTATGATTACTTTTGATATTTCCAAAATTACAAAATAGATATGTATACCTACAGAATATTTGTTGTTTCCTTCACCTGATACCCAAGTATCTATTAAATCATTCTCTAGAAAATGTTCTCCACATATTCTAAATCTCTTATTTAAAGATTTTCCCAATTATCATGTGAAATTGTAGGATACAAAACCTTGATTTAGATGTTCTTAAACAATTATCAACACAACAATTGTCCAAACGAGGCATGGCAAATAATTAAAATTAATTTTAGTATTTGAGTGATACTTTTTAAGAATTATAACAATACACAAAATATTTACATATGCCAATCTGGCATTGCCTTATTTAAATTTTGAGGGAAAAATTAAAATCATTTAAATATAATTTATAATAGGTATATTTGGAATCATGAATTAAGATATCTTAATTTGTGTTAAAGAATTAATAATGAGCGGGAGATTAAATTAACTGATTATGTCTCGAGATCGCGCTAACAGTCTAGCCGTAACGTGAAAAGGTGCGAGTTTCACTTATCACAAGTTCGTCTCGTATCCTCTATATCTGAATTTGTGGTTTAGACAAAAAAAAAAATTCTCCGCTACGCAGAGAAGAGAGAATCTAAAATTTAATGGAATATAAGCTGTCAAATTGAATTTTTTTAGTTCGAATCATGGTAAGTAAAGTGTTGAAATTAGATATTGATTTTTTTCATATCAAATAATTATTATTAAAGATAGTGAAAAATTGATTAATATAAGCGTTGGTAGAAATAAATAAAACAAAGAACTAAAAAATAATTTTTTAAATAATATCAGCTGATGTTATTGTTATCGGATTAACCTCAACCGTGATACGGCAGAAAATCATTATCACAGCCGCGACGTTCATTCGATTCGCCGTGTGAAACATCATTTTTCCATTCTGCGCCGCCTCGATCGTGCCCCCACCGATATCGGTTTCTGTAAAATTACTGTTTTACTAAATTTAACTATTTCTTTCGTCTACTGGTGAATATTATATTAACTAAAATTGTTATTATTGTCTATGTTTTTTCACCCCTTCGCCAATCATAACCCTAAACGTGTCAGCTGTTAATTGAATGAAACTATTGCGGAATTACCGAACGGTGGTCGTTGTTCGAGTGCAGTAAAAACAGTCATTACAATTACCAGCAAGAGCTCAAATATTTATCGGCGATTTCATAGTGGAACTTGACGCCGCACCGACACGATCTGTTTGTTTGCTGACCGTAAGTAGCCTTCGCCGCCCCTCATAATGGAAGCCCTGATTCCAGTCATCAATCGATTGCAAGACGTTTTCAATACAGTCGGCTATGACGCTATACAACTCCCTCAAATCGTTGTCGTTGGATCACAGGTACGTTTATTACTATAATCTTTTTATTATTGATTTTACTGATTCACATTACTATTCTTAATCTTAAATCTGATGACAAGGTATCAGTCAAAAATGACAACACCATCTTAAGTTAATTTCCAAAATTATTTGATAAAACCATTGAACCTAAACTGTCTGAATCACTTAAACATTAAATAGGTAATGAACAGAATGGTTTTTGTAAAGCTAGATCCACAGCCACTAATTTACTTACATTTTATTCGTATTTAATGGATATCATCTCAGCCAAAGGTCAAGTTAAATGATCTCGCTATAAATGTTTTCAATTTTTTTCACACGCCTTAGAAATAATTTAGTTTTTAATTAAAATATTGGTCTTGTCAAACTTACAACTGTAAAATCAGTTATAGATTTGGGTGTTATTTTTTTAAGTGATTTTTCATTTAGTTCACACATTTATATGATATTTACCAAAGTACTTAGAATATTAGGGCTTATAAAATGTAAATGTTGGAATTTTTCTGATCCCAATTGTTTGAAAATTCTTTGCTGTGCATTAGTGCGTTCTATTGTTGAATATAGCTGAAACACATTAAAAAAAGGCTATCTAATAAGTTGGAGAAATTACAAAGACGTTTTCTCTGTATGTTATCTTTTAAATTGGGCGTGGAAGACGGTTCTTTAAATTTAGTTTAGGAACAGTTCAGTTTACTGAAAAAGACAAAAGACTTCAGGCTGCTGATGTTATTTTTATTTATAATTTACATGATTGATTGCCCTGAGATCTTCAAGAAAGTGTTTTGGAGGGTATCTGTGGTTAATACTCAAAATTCTCCCATTTTCTACCTATACACATATTATCATTTATAGCTGTTAAATTTAAGAATGATACTCATATTTAATTAATAAAAGATAAGTTATTATTCATTAGTTCAATATTAAATTTAACCTTCTTTTTAATTATATTTATAATTTTGCTGTTGGAACATTTTCACATAGCATAATGAGGTAGTTTTGAACATTATACAGGTACCTACTTATTTTCATTTAAGTAAATATTATATACTTCTCTTACAGATTAAATTGTTAGAAATTGTGTTAAAAACTTAATAAAAATGAAAATTATTCAAGTTTCAATTGTTATGTTTATAAATTTGTATATATTTTCAGTATACTTATTACCAATTTCATATGTAATATATTATACATTTATTTGTTTAAATTTTATTGTAAACATATTTACTGAAAGTTGTGTGAATAAAACTTTATTTCTTAAAATGTGTTTTTTTGCTTTATCAAAAAAAAAAATATATTATGTTCAAAATTACCCCATGCTTCATCTAAATAAAAATGTTGTTTGAATAATAAATTATAGTAAGTGTAAATATCAAATACTATTCCCTAGAAGTTACTTCACTCAACAAAACTATTTCTGGCTATGTCTATAGAAAAATATAAATCCGAAATATTTTAAAATATGATCCAGTCTCCTCTACTTAATATTTTTATTTAGGTAGGTATATTATAATACACAGTATCCAAAATTCAGGCCCAATCCGATCAGAAGTTCATAATTTAGCAAACTATTTTCTGGACAAAAATGGTTGTGTAAGGGTCAAGCCGAAACTCAAGTAAGGTTGAGTCGGTTTATACAGGTATCTAGTAGATATGTGTCTGCCAAATAATCAAATTTATTACGAGGGTGGGCTGATAAGTAATGCTTCTTATCTCATGATTATTTTTAGATTTATGATAAAATTTTCATTTGTTGTACATTTAATAGTTTTTGTAGTTGGTTAAGTGTGTATTATTTTATTATTTACGCAATTTATAATAATGGCTCCTTCAGATGTGTAGTTCAAACAGCAATTGAATTACTAGAATTTCAAGTTATTCCACATCCACCTTATATAGCCCAGATTTGGCCCTGTGCAATTTTTTTTTATTTCTTAAGCTTAAAGAACATTGTAAGGACAAAAAATTCAATTCTGATGAGAAAGTTAAAGCTGAAGTTAAATGATAGTTCAATGCTTAAACTTTAGAATTTTATTTGAATGGCATTTCTAAACTAGTAAATCGTCGGAAAAAATGTATCATCCTAGAAGGTAATTATGTTGAAAAATAATAGTATGTAAATAAAGATATTTAATTTACTATACATGTATTTTTAATTCATTGTTCAATGTATAATTGTTTTCCTGTATTATTTATTAATTTCAATGAACTTGGTCAATTAAAAAAAATGAGACCTCAAACAATATTTTTATTTACCATTTAGATAAAATTCCTGTTCGAATACTATGAATGAAAGATTTGACAAGCAATTTTATAAAATTATGATCTAATTAGTAATAATCTAAATATAAATATGCAAATTGAAGTACAAATAGTTATTTAAAAATTAAATAACAAAATCAGAACAAATTAAATTTTAAATAAATTGTTTGACTGTTTTACCTGTCCTTAAACTCATAAGTGAATGAAGATGTTGGTGTTGTTAAGAATGAACCATTAATACTAATACTGTAGACCTTTATTTTCTAATCATTTTCCATAATTTTTCTAGATCAAGTGTTTAAGATAATATTAATATCAAAAAAAAAAAACAAAGCTACTTAATCTTTAGTTTATAATATCAGTTTAAAATACCTTATATGCTGTTATTTCTTTTTGTTTGTATAGGTTGATACTTGTACATAGAGACATTATGTTTTTCCTAAATTATTTATTATTAATAATATATATTTTAAGATAAACACTAATATTTAAGTAGGTATATTCATACTAGTCAATATTAAAAGTAGGTATCAAAATATAAATTCTTAAGAGTTTTAAACATTTCTTTTGAAACTTTTATGGAATTATAGTTTATTGTTTGAAAGATGTTTAAAAAGAAAAACTGGGAACTTTTCATGTTCACAGAATAAGCTATTCTAACTTATTTGTTATGAGTTATTGATTTTATAATATAAAATAAATTGTATTTTACACATTATACAATTTCAACCAACTAACTGTACAAAATTAATTATTATAACCTAGATACTTTGAGATTACTTATGTAAATTGCAGATAGGAAAATATTATATGTGATGCCTATGTGACTACAAATTGAAAAATTATTTTTTTGGACACTGATTTTTAGTGTTTCTCGGGAATGATCAAAGTATTGGTTTGAAAACATCAGATTATCTATATATGTTTAATATTTTATTATAATATTAGGTTTAACCACTTTGTATTCTTAAGTGCAAAGAAAGCTCTTTCAAATATGGCCATCATTCTTATTCTTTACCTTTTGTTTCCAATCCGAAATCCCATTTTTCTAATTTTAGTAGTATTATCATCATTTGTATTTCTTTGTGTATACTCAATTTCTTTCTTTTTTTTTTTTGTACATTTTTAAATGTTTTTTACAGCTTGTTACTGTCAGCTTTTAAAAACTATTATATAGTTTTAAAATGATATCTATTTATAATACAAACAATTAATTAATGATACCTACATAATCAATTTATGTCTATTTTTTCTTAGAGTTCTGGTAAAAGTTCTGTCATAGAAAGTATAGTCGGAAGATCATTTTTACCTAGAGGAATTGGAATTGTAACTAGATGTCCTTTAATTCTTCAGCTAGTTAACTGTCCTCCTAATGATAAAGAACATAGAAGAGCGGAAAATGGTAAGTATTATTATTATTGTTTTATTAATAACCATTGCAGTATTTTAGCATTAGCACTATTTTAAATTTTAAATTAAACACAAATACAAATTTCAATCTGCTAATTGATTAATATTTTTATTTTATTATATGCGCATATATAGGTACAGCAAGCTTGGATGAATGGGGTGAATTTTTACACAGTAAAAAAATTTTTAAAGATTTTAATGAAATACGAGAAGAAATTCAAACTGAAACCAATAGAGTCGCTGGCAGCAATAAAGGAATATGCCCAGATCCAATTAGTCTAAAGATATATTCTGTAAATGTGTTGAATTTATCACTTGTGGACTTACCTGGAATAACTAAAGTACAGTATATAGGTTTAATTTATGTTCAATATTTTAATTTAAACATGTAAGTATTCTTTTAACATTATTTGGTTTTTAAAAATATTAGGTTCCTGTAGGAGATCAACCAGAAGATATTGAAATTCAAGTAAAAAATTTGATCATAAAATATATTCAGAATCCAAATTCAATCATTTTGGCAGTAAGTACTGCTAACACAGACATGTCCACCAGTGAAAGTTTGAAATTGTCTAAAGAAGTAGATCCTGAAGGAAAGAGAACACTAGCTGTGATCACTAAACTTGATCTGATGGATGCTGGTAATACATTTTTTAATTAGTTTTTTTTATCACTAATTTAATTTTACTAAAGGTACTGATGCTGTTGATATACTTTGTGGTCGTGTTATTCCTGTTAAATTGGGCATAATTGGTGTTGTAAATCGATCTCAACAAGATATAAATGATAATAAAGTATGTATTGCTTAAAATGACCTATTTATATATATTTTTAAAATTAATTTTTTTTTTTCAGTCTATTGTGAATGCCCTTAAAGATGAATCTACTTATTTGCAAAGGAAATATCCTTCATTGGCCAATAGAAATGGTACTCCATATCTAACAAAAACACTCAATAGACTCTTGATGCACCATATTCGAGATTGTTTACCAAATTTAAAAGTAATGTTTATTAATCATGACAGCAATTTTTGCTGGTCATTAATATTTAAGGACTCTATTTTCTAATCTATAATAAATATGGTACCCAATAGTTAACATTAATTTTCATGTTTACACATTATGTTCAAAAAATGTATTTTTGAATCCTTATTAAAAGATACATATATGAACATTTATATAGTTTTCATGGAAATTTTAATAATTTAAGATATAACTAACTACCTATTAATTGTTTGTTATTCATTCATACAATATTATTATTATTTAATATTTACAATATGGATTAAACCAATGGCTTTATTTAGATGTATTTATAAAATGCATACCTCTTCCACAATTACTAATTAAAATTAGTAAATAATTATTTTTGCTCATGGATATCTAGATGGTTTATTTATTATAATATGTAGGTACTTTATTAATAAAGCAATAAATTCAATTAAATATAATTCATAAATAAATACATTTTAACATATATTGTATATTATATTAATGTTTTATACTGAAAGCTATTTAATTTTTTTTTATATAATACAATTTCTAATAGATATATATATATATATATATACCTAACTGATATCAATAATAAAAATACCTATGTTAAATTCAATAAAGTTAACTTTAAATATTTTAGAAATTAAAAATATTACAATAACACAGTATAATTAGATATTAAAAAAAAAAAAAACATATTTTTTACTTGATACCAAAATATGTTAAAACTGTTATTTAACCAGGGCGGAGAAATTTTAGTTTTTTTAATTTGTTTAGATAGGTTCTAGAGCAATATGAGTGATGTATAGAGATATTTATATTTAAAATTTTGTGTACTTAAATAAATGAGACAAATTAATAGCATAATAGGTAAACATTTGGAAAATGTTGATATTATATAAAATAATTTAAATGTATAAAATATAGCATATAGAGAATTGTCCACATATGTATCTATATATAATATAGTAAAGGTAATAAAATATTTAGTTAATACCTATTCATATGTTAAAATAATTTTACGAAATACATTTTTTATTATTTTAAGATGAAAGTTAAAAAAATAAAGAAGCTGAAAGCAATTAATTTTTCAAGTTTTTATTATTAGTTCAAATATTATTTCTTTAAATTTTTTTCCATTTAAATATTATAATTTAAATGCCATATTTTATATATTATATTTGTTTAGATCAGAGATTACAAACTTGTGGGTCGTGTTATATTTTTAAATAAAAAAAATTATAGATTCTGAATAGAGTGAGGAATGTACAATAGTTTTACAATGATGTTTATTTTTTGAAAAACTTAACTATCAGAAATCTTACTCTAATTGTAATACTTTTCAAGGAGTTTTCTCAACTAATGAGAAAATGTACAATGTGTAGGTATTAGTTAAAAAAAATATTACTGCCTATTTTTTGCATGTGAATTAATTTTCTACTAGCAAATTGGATATATTCTTGCAAATAAGAGTATGCAACTGAACAAACTTCATGAATCATCCAGAAATAAAAAATAAGCCATAAGAAAGTTTTATTGATATTGTTGTGGGTCGCCAAAATTTAAATTATTTCCGAAATGGGTCATGCCATAAAAAGTTTGGGAACCTCTGGTCTAGAGCATATTTTAAGTGCATATATATTTTGAGATTTTAACTACTAGAGGTCCTTAACTAAATATACACTCAGTACAAATGGTGTACATCTGTATGTACACAAATAATTAGGAATAAAATCTGAATTTTTAATATTAAAGAGGTTTATGTGAACATCTGTCTCAACAGTTTTAAGATTTATTATATAATTTCAAAAAACATTTTCAGACCAGAGTGAACGTAATGGTTTCACAGTTTCAATCATTACTGTACTCATTTGGTGATGATGTATCAGATAAAAGCCAAACATTGTTGCAAATCATCACAAAATTTGCTGCAGCCTATTGTTCAACAATAGATGGTACTTCCAAGAATATCGAAACAACTGAGCTGTAAGTAAAATATTATAATCTATTTTTGAACATAAATTAATTAAATGTATTCATGTATTATTATTATAGATGTGGTGGAGCTAGAATTTGTTATATATTCCATGAGACTTTTGGAAAAGTATTAGATTCCATTCACCCATTGACTGGTTTATCTAAAATGGATGTGTTGACTGCTATACGTAATGCAACTGGACCGAGACCAGCATTGTTTGTTCCTGAAGTATCTTTTGAATTACTGGTAAAGAGGCAAATTCGCAGACTAGAAGAACCATCTTTGCGATGTGTAGAACTTGTACATGAGGAAATGCAGCGTATGATCCAACATTGCGGTATTGAATCTCAACAGGAGATGATCAGATTTCCCAAACTCCATGAAAGTATTGTAGATGTTGTCACACAGTTACTACGCAGGAGGTTGCCTACAACAAATACTATGGTAAATTTCAATTTTGGTATAAACAATAATATTATCATATGATATTACATTTGTATTTTATTGTTTATATTTTGTAATAAAAAAAGGTTGAAAACTTGGTAGCTATTGAACTAGCATACATTAACACCAAACATCCAGATTTCCATAGGGATGCAGAACTTGTATCTTTAATGATGAAGAGTGCCGAAGAAGATGAAGTTTCGAGACAACGCATGTTGAGAAAATATAATGTAAATAATACAGTGAATGGATGTGACCGAGATGTGAGTAAACTACAACTAAGCTATATCTCTTGTACCTTGTCTCTGAGCATTAATTTGTTTATTTTTAATAAACCATATTCATTAATTTAATAAGTAAAAAAAAAAAAAAATATTTGGATTTTTAAATAATTTCAGTATATTGATGAAGTATTTTTACTTGAAATTGTTCATAAAACTTCTAAAATCCTTCTTTGATCATTTTATACTTCTTATTATACTCATAAATAACCCATTTTTTGAAAGATTAAATTATAAATATATATATATGTAAAGAGATACCAATATATTTGAATCTATTCCCTACTATTTAAAGACTTAGTTTGTGAGGAGTTTTACCCCAATTTATATATTTTCGCTAATATATATGGAGTATAAATGTATCATCAAATTACAATGACATGCATCATGTTTGTAAGCTTGCAGCTCAAGACTTACCCAGCACCCATATCTGGCCCGCTGATGACAAGTGGGGCAAATATCTCCTCTGCCACCTCCAAATTTTTAGATGTTTATTACTTCCACAATTACCATATTGAGTAACTAGGGCTTCAGGCCTTCTAAACCTATTTGCACATATGTATAGATTAATTCAAAATTTATGTTTGAGCCATTTTATCATTTAAATATTCAAAATACAAACAAATATATAATATAAAAGTTTTTGGATTTATAAACATCTAAAATAAATTTTACATTTTTTTTCTTATTGTCCTTTTTTGGGGATCAACTTCTGAAATTAAAATGTGAATATATATTTAAAATTCTATAGAATTTTTTATTTCTGTCAGCAGATGAAATATGGAATATCAAAAGTTGATCCCTTTAAAAAGAGTAAAAAAAAATAAATTTACAAATTATTTTAGATGTTTATAAATAGAAAAACTTTTTGTATTATATATTTTTCATAAATTTTAATCATTCTGTGTATATTATATATATATATATATATGTATATTTTTATTTTTTGAAAGAGTGTCACAAGTACAGGTTCAATGAAGAGAACAACACCAAGACAACAACATCAAACTGATATGAACAGCGAAATAAATTCTGTTGAATCTTCACCAGCCACTACACCAGTCCATCAAATGAAAACCGATATATCTATGAATGTTGCCAGTTGTTTCAACAGCATAGATTTACAAAGTCCATCCAATAGAAATTTATCAGAAAAGGAACTACGAGATTGTGATGTGATTGGTATGACACATTGTGTAGTACATCTTATTCACCCAATTCATGTGAAGTTCAAAAATGAACAAATATTGTATTTTATTTTCTCTGTAGTTTTACTCATAATTAGGAAAAACCACATGGGAGGAGGGGGACTGACAAATTTCATTATTTTAAATTTTTATGCTTTCTGTTTTCTATCAGAATTATTGGTTTAATAGAAAAACAAAATTTTGTTTTTTTAATGTAATTCAGTTAAAATATTAGCGGCCTTGAAATGTTGATACAAAACTGATATTTGCTTTTTCTAGACTATACAGAAATGCTTAGAAATTTGAAAGAAGATTCAAAAAGATATTAAGTGTATTGTAGTATTTTATTTTGTGTTAGGTTAAAATCAACCCACTAGAACTCTGTTCTGAATCGATTTTATTATCAATAGTTTATCATTGATTACAGGTATAAATTAAATAACTTTATGTATCCCACCTTCCCAACTACTTATCTACTACAAGTAGCCACACCCTTCTCCATTGTCAGCTCCTTTTTTTTTTTTTGTATATGATTTGTGTTGCACTCAAAAAATAATTTATTTGAAGAGTTAGGTTAAAACTGCATTCTTTAATAATATTCCTTCCAAATAATCTCATTTAAAAGGAACTGTTGTACTTTTTTATATTCTGTAAGAAATGCTTCAATCAAAGTTCTTGGCCAGAAAGCTATGATGTCAATGGCTCTGGTGGTGGTGGTGTCAATTGTGGTAACATTTCCATAAACATAAAACTTAATCCTAGTGGTTTGTGTTGAAAACCTCAAAGCAATGTTGTAATAATATGTATAATAATAAATATGTCCTTTTTTTCATATAGATATATTAAATTCACATTGATTTTTATTTATATAGATTGTGTTCAATATGAATCCCTAAATAGTCATTTTTTATTTACCATAGTTTGTGTGAATGGGACTATATATTAATTTTCTTTTTTCAAAACAATTTTCAACTTCATAATATATTAAGTAATTAATGCAAATTTTTCTTATGATTTATAGAAAGATTGATTAAATCATACTTCTACATTGTCAGGAAATCTATTCAAGACAGTGTTCCCAAGGCTATTATGCATTTTTTAGTTAATTTTGTAAAGAACAATTTGCAATCTGAGCTAGTCACCCATTTATATAAATCTGAACAAGTGGAAGAGTTACTTAATGAATCTGAACATATATCCAAACGTAGGAAAGACGCTGTGGACATGCTAAAGGTAAACATGTTATTTCAAAATATCTGACTAATAATATTTTAAATATTTGTTTTCTTTTCCAAACAGGCTTTGCAGAACGCTAACCACATTATTAGTGAGATCCGTGAGGTACATGTCTGGTGATAATGCTGCCCATTGAAGACTAATGTAGTTTTTAGTTTTAAAATTAATCCCCAATATGTACATTGTTACAAGTCCTTGATTATAACTATTATTAATTATAAAATACAGACAAGGATAACCCAGTGTTTTTAAGGGTACCATTAGTATTTATTTAAATATTTCTTTTAGGCTTAATATGATTATTTATTTATTATACATGATAATTTATAATAATTATCCATTCCCTGTCATTTATATAAAGCATAGTGTAGGATCAATCAGTATCTATTAGACATGAAATTTGTATGCCTTATATTCCTAATAATTTGAGTGTGAGTTTATTTTAAAGATTGCATTTATATGATTAAATCATATTTTTATTATTATTATTATACAAACAAAGATTATACATAAGGTATAATCTTATATCTACTAATAATTTTAATTCATAAGCAAAAAATGCCTCTTTATTTTATTGGTATAGCATAGATTAGTGGTTTTCAAACAGTGTCACTATCTTGAAGTTTTCTATACCTGAATTGTATAATAAAGTACAACTTTTTTAAATTTAATTTGTAGGTGTAAAAAATGTATTAATGACTAGAAAAGTAATTTATGTGTTCTTAAAATCTAAAAAAAAATGTGTGTAACAATTATTTAAAAGTACAAAAATGTAGGGATTTAAAAGCTCATCTAATAACTCTTCTAAAATACAATGTTTAACACTACAAAAATAATCAAGACTGTAATTTTTTTTTTCAAATATATTTAAATGCTTATAAATGCAATCCTTAATAATTTAATAAAAATAATCTTTATTAAAGTAAAAGTTGTTCATAGAAAGTCGACACAGTGAAAATTTTGTGACAGCACTGCATTATTCTGTGTTTAAAAAAGTTTGAAAACCACTGGAATAATAAGTAATTCAATTTTTGATATTTTCACACCTAGTATATTCTAACAGTTTATTCAATAAACTGATAATTAAGTAAATATTTATTAATGTATTAATAATTATGAATAAGAAAATTAGAGCAATATATATTTTTTTTTTTCATGTAATAGTTATATCTGTTATTAAAAAATATTAACCAAGTTCATGATTAATAATTGTAGAAGACTGTTACTTTGAAGATTTACTGTTGGTTTTTTTTAAGTTAATTATTTCCATATAATTTGACATTGCCTTACACAATATTGAACTGAACTAATGAAAGTAATGTACTGAAGTGTTTGTTATAAACTATCAATCAGTTAAAAATAGTAGAGTATTTTAACTTTTAAGTGGACTAATAAAAACTAGCTAATTTGTTTTTCTCAAAGCTCAGCTTCACCTAATAATATGGTATTACACTAACCATCATATTACCAAACCGATAAATTTTCGGTATTTTCGGTATTTTAAGTATGGGACAGTAGTTTCAGAGTCAATACCACAAAAGGGTGTTGTGGGTTGCTTTGATTTTGGATTCCATCATCCACTGGCTGATTTAAAGATACACCAATATTAAAGTCAAATTAATAAAAATAACTGTTATTTGCCATATTACCATTATATAAATAAAACAAATTTTTAAAAAATAAAATTAAAAGCCATTGCCTCATGTCTATACACTTGTAAACACCTTTACACAAGGTGTATACACCTTTAAAATCTGTAAGTAACAATACACTATAGCTTACTAAAAACAATTCTGAGTAGAGTTCAGTAGATAGTGATGCTTTATCAACAATATATATGTCCCATTATTGTAAAATAATTAAATAGGTATTATATATTTTCTTCAACAATATTTGTTTAATATAATACAGATTTTCTTGGTTTTCCCATGTTTTTTCTTAGTTTTTTATATTTGTCAGGAAAATCGAAAATTGATCTTAAAGTACCTTCTTAGTCAGATTTCTATTCAAAAAAAGTGCTAACATTGTAAACTGGAGCAAAATTGCTGGTAGAAAAGTTGTCCACAGAAAAAAAAATTCATAATATTTTACTAATATATTCTATACATTTTCCTGGTTTTCCTCCTTTATTTCTGTTTTTCACATTTGATAAGAAAATCTAAAGTATCACTCCAAGTAAACTTTCTGGTAGAAAGTATTCACATAGAAAAAAAAAAATAAACATCTTTGAAAAACCAATACATTTTTCACTACACTCAAAATCTAAAAGAAAAGAAATCCAAAATATATTAAACTACATACCCAGCTTTTTCATAATATGACATATCATTTATTTCTTACAGTTTCATTTTGGTAATTAAACAATTCATATGAAAATGCTACTAATTCTCAGGTCTATTCATTAATAATAAAATAATAATTAAAATATTGGGTACTTTTGAAAACCTCTGTTCAGCAGATAAAGATGATACAGCTATAATGTAAAACACTTTATATGCCAAATGCAGGTTTGGAAAGACTGACGTTAAGTTGAAACTTAATAAAAAAGACCCTAAAATGTCTAGAATAGAAGTATTTTTTTGTATTATCTTCAATTTATGAATTATCATTGATTTATGAACTAATATCAGGTTAATAATCAATTCCCTTCATTTTTTTTCATTTAACATTTTGGTTTAGTAGTGTCATTAAAACTTAGATTGTTACTAAATATTATATGTTTATATTGTAAATTGGTTGTATCAATATTTATTTTGAATCATTAAACCTAATGTCAATTAAATCTAAAACTTCATAACATCACAGCAAAATAAATCAATAGGAGAATATTGTACTTCATCTTTGGATAATTGACCAAGTATTGTTTTTTATTTCTTGCTCTTAACATGTTGAAATTAAATTAGAAAATATTAATAGCAAATTCTTTAGCAGTACTTATTATATCAGTACATCCTTCATTAGTATGTAAAATTTGCAATCTAGTCTTAGCAACATTCGCTATGGTTAGGATGTCACCTTATTTATCAGTTAAAGAAAGTTGAGATATTCATTTCATTTTCTGGAATTAATGCTGATTTTATGAAATTAATTGCATAAAGTGAACCGATTTCAAATGAAAAATTCAGTGTTCTTACTTTCAGCAAGTAATGCTTGGGCATCAACTTCAAGAATTTAATTTTGATTGTTTGATTGTATAAACACTCAAGCTATTAAGGTTTTTACCATGATTTATATTTAAGTCTAAATAAAATTTCCCAAAGTGATAATACGATTATAAGGTCTATATTTCACTTTTAGTTTTATCTTTTTTATTTAGTAAACATCTTTTTGAATCATTTATACTGGTAAGACTATCTTTTTTAAAGGTGGAAAGAGAAGTAAACAAAAAAAAAATACATTAATATAATATAATAATCATACTGAATAAAATATATCTGTTCTGTTTATTTAAATATAAAGCATTTCTAAAAAAATCTATCAGTCTACAGCACATTGGAATCATTATTATTATTCACAACTATAAAAAAAACTTTATAGATACACAAAAAAAAAAAAAATATATATATATATATTTATCCTCTGTTGAGCTTTACTTGTAGAACATATTATCAAGTTTTAGAAATTAAATTATTATTTAAACAATGTATCAATGTATAATATATATATATATATATATATATGTACTGACTAGAAACTTAAAGTAGTAAAGAAAAAATATTATTTCTTACAAAATATCTGTAGGTACCAGTATTATAATATTATATAGTAAAAGGGAAAAAAGATTGTTATTGTTGAATTACATAATATTGTATATTATACATAAATATAAAAAAAACAATTTTTTTTTTTAAAAATAAGACTAGAAAGGTATATTTGAATTACAAAATTAATGTGATGTATAATTTTTCATTAAGTTTAATAATATAAATAATTTATTTAAAATGTTCAATATATACAGTAGAAACCTTCTATTTTTATATTTAACCTAATTTTATTTTTAATGAATTTATATTAAAAATAGGAATGTTGCCTGTTATAAATGGAACATTTTTTTAATTAAACACCTATTATTCATTTTTATATATGCTCATACACTACAAATGGTAATATGAATAAATCAATAAATTAAATAAATAATATTAATCTACATATTTAGTTCTTTTTTTTAAAAAAAATATCAATATTTTATAGAATTTTATTATGGTTAGTAAATAGTTGTTTAATAAAACAATAAATCATTAAAAAAAGTGATTGAAAAATTTAATCTTTGTTATTAGGTATGCACGTGATTCAATAATCATTAGGAAAATTGGACATTGGTTTTCTTATAGATCCATTATAATTGTCAATTTCTACTGTATATTTTGTTACAAGCTAGATAAGTAGTTTGTTAGTAAGTATTCACTCACACACACACACACACACATACACACAAAGAATGTAATACTTAAATATTATCGTATACAAACAACATAGGCATAATTTTATTATTATATTTTAACTTAAATCATTTAAATGTAATAAAAATTAAATATCTCTTAACAAAGTATCTTAAAATAATAATATATATAAGTATAATATAAAAAAAATAATTGTCAAATTCTAAGTTCTGTGATTCCCAAAACAAAAATTCACTAAACTTTTTTAAGGTACCTAATTTCTTGGCATCCTACCCTCCCCATAACTACTTTGGTTAGGGCCCTATAAAATCAGAAGAAAATAATATACCTACTTTAAAAAGGTAAAATAAGTTAATAATAGGGTAAAAGTGGAAAAGTCTACATTAATTTATTGGTGTAGAAATTTGTATTATCACATATATATTATATAGTTATTAAATAACTGAAGCAATCTCCAACCTAGAGACCATTGTATATGACCATAACTTGATGGGACTTTAATGAATATTATTATCACCATTGTCAGTCCAAATCTTTGTTAAAAAGAATATAAGGAAGATAATATACATGAAACTAACCAAAACTAACACGGAGTAGTGGAAGTTTAAAAATAAATTATCTTAACTTGGGTGGTAAAATAAAAACTAGGAATTTAAATAGAATGTATAGAGATTCGATTATAATAAAATCATAAAACATGTTCAAACTATGGATATCTTTGAGGTAGCCTATTTACTGATGTCAAATATAAGATATTCAACACAAGAATGGGCAAGTAGAAATAGAATTGGTTAAGTACATGAGGTCACCAGCAAGTGCAAAACAAATTTTAACTTACCAAAATGTATTATTAAAAATTATCAAACAATTTAGTTAAAATTTGTTGGTTGTCCATATATTTTACTAGTCCTAGTTATTTAATAAGTTATAAAGTTAAACAAATGCATTTTTTATTTGTCAAATATATTTTAAATGTATATATATTCTGGAATATACCAGAAATAATAATTGCATAATGATAATAGGAAATTGTGTACCCCAAACAATATATTATCAATATTACCTGAATTAAATTTAATAGATACTAAATATTTTTTATTTATACATTGTATTATCAGTTCTGAAAATATTAGAAAGTATTAATATTAAAATTAATATTTTGTGTGTATATATTATATAACTAAATCAAATTATAATATAATACATTATGTGTTATGCCTAATGTATGAAACAAAATAACATCATTTTATTTTTTATAAAAATCATTTTAAACCAATATATGATGTAAGATATTTGTCAACTTATCATCAAAAAATTAATAAAAAAAGAAAAATAATTTTTTTACTTATAATAATGAAGGAAAAATGGATACTTTACTAGCCAATTGACATTGTGTGATAAATGTAAAATATTATAAGGCAATTTATTCTAATACTGTAAATATTAACAGCAACACACAGATAGATATATATATATAATATAATATAAAAATAGTAAATATTCTCAGCAACATATTGGTGATTTTTATTTTATTAGGCTGTTGATTTCAGGAATAAATAGAAAAATATTCTAACACAAACAGTAATTTACAATTTGTAGTAGTAGTGAATAAATCATAAAACTGTTTAATACCTGGGTAAAAAAGGTCACACAGTGAAAAAATAATTTTATGTACACTGAACACACAATTAATATTATATAACACTTGTTGACCATATTATAATAATTAGATTGAACTATAAGATTAAAGTAAGTACAAATTATCCTTTTTTTTTTTTTTGGTTTTTGTTTCTAAATTACTCTAAATATATTATTTTAATATAAATAGGAATCAATTTTTTAAAATTATTTAATATTAACAAATACTTAGTTTCTGTTACACTGTATTTGAAATATTAACATAATAATATTTTATTGTTCACCATACTCTAGGATAAAAGGAGACATAAAAAAATAAATTTTTTATCAAAAATTAGATCAATTTGATTTTATAAAAAGCTAAGACTACTATAAATCTAAAGAATAAATTATTACTTAATATGAATTTGTATAGATATTATACATCCAAAAGATTGGTAATGATGGTGTTAGTTACCTATTTTCGAGTTAATAATTTTTACATTTCCAGATTTATACTTTTAAGCATAAACAAAATGGCAATCTTTTTAATTGAATTTATACAATAAAAATAAATACTTGTAAAAAAAAAAAAAAAAACTTACTTTAGATCATAATTAAATTATATATTATATTTACAATGGAGTCTCTTTCCTCCATTTAAAGCTATCTGTAGGCAAATGAGGAGTTTTATTCTTACGTCCAGCAGCCATTTCTAAACCACTACGGATGGCTGGCATTATTCTTAATGCTGGGTTAGTGACAATACCATTACGTTTTTGCTTGAGATTTCCGACATTTTTGCTATTGCTGTAAAATAAAGTGTGATTAAAACACTACCCATATATCTAATTAATATAATTATTTTTATGAAGTACTTAGAATCAGAAGTAGATTTTTTCAACACAGCTTTATTCCCTAGTATAATACGCATATGGGTGTCACGCGAAAAATGATCATTTGATAGCACTAAAAAAACATTACAAAATCATAAAATTATATTAATAGAAATGATTTATTTATTAATTACTTATCAAACAGTAAAAATATATTTTTTTTTTTTTTTTTTAAATGCCCTGGGGCTTTATTATTTAAACGACCTGATGGTCTTTATAAAAATGTTTAACAGGATAAATCTTACATATTAGAAGATAATATATATACATTACACATTGATAAAGTCACACTTCCAATGAAGTGGCTCCTGTACTTAATTTAAACACTTAAACTAAGTTGTATGGTTTCAGACGTTTAAGGCATCTAATGTCTTTGGAGTTGTCTAACAGTTTGATGGCCATTGGGTTGATATGGTCCTCTAATCTCCTCTCGTGTTTACGAGCAAACTTTTGGATTTCTTCTGCTATTGTAGGCAGCATCATATCGCAGTGAATGGCATCCTTTCTTTCAAACCGGTAGGCTGCAGTGATGGTCCAAAGAGCGATGTTTTGGCAACGTTGTATTATATCAATGTTAGACCTACTAGCACAACCCCACAGTTGAATGCCATAGGTCCAAATTGGTTTTATAATAGCTACATATATTGTTTTCTATAGTTAACTCAGAGTGGGGTCCAACTAACCAATAGAGCTTTCGCATATTTTCTTTAATCTGTATTTTTTCTGACCGACATGATGTTTCCAGTTTAAATGAGAGTCAAGATGCATACCAAGATATTTTGCTGAATCTTTTTGTGGGATTAAAGTTTGATTCAGTAAAATTGGAATGTTTTCAGTTTTACGTGTATTGATTTATCACCATTTATTTTAATTTTCCAACGTCTCGTCCAGGCAAAAATGTTATTAATTGATGCTTGTAAGTTGTCAGTTGCTGTCAGCTGATTCTTAATTGTCGACAAAATTGCCGTATCATCGGCAAACATAGCTGTCATTATGGTGTCATTGTTATCATTGTTTGGTATATCAGCTGTGTAAAGTAGGTAAAGAATAGGTCCTAAGACACTACCTTGTGGTACTCCAGCTGATATATTTTTCCATTCGGTTACTGCTTCTTCATGTATGACTCAGAATTGACAGTCGGTTAAATATGATTCAAGAAGTGGACACCAGGTATGTGGCAGTTGTTTTTTTCTTCAAGAGCTTTACTTATCATGTTAGTAATGCGATGGACTTTATCGATTTTCGAATGTTTGTTACAGAATCCAAACTGATGGTCCGTATAAGATGTTTTTCTTCTATAATTGGTTTTAGACGTTTAAGTAGAAGTTTCTCTAAGAGTTTAGACAAACTCGGAAGGAGGGATATGGGACGGTAAGATGTGACATCTTCTGGTGGTTTAACTGATTTGAGCAACAAAATGACTTGTGCCCGTTTCCATTGTTCTGGAATGTATTCCATACGCAAAATAGCATTGTAAATGTGCGTAAAATGAATGATGGCCTTCTTAGGAAGCTCTTTAAGTATTTTTGGACTTATTTCANACTGTCATCTATTACTGTAGCAACTTCTAATGTAGTGAAATTTTTAATCTTTTTACGTGTTGTACTAAGCTGCGGACATTGTACAATGTTAAGCTCAGAGTCTATGGCGTAGTAAAAATATTAATTACTAAAATATTTCATAGTTTTACATATGGACTGTGGTTTATATTATCAAAAGGTTTTAATTTTTAAATAAAAATCGGTCTGTTGAGCATATCATCCATTGATACAGAATATAATACTCATAATACTCCTAAATATTAATATTAATAATGTATAATTACAATGCATTGGTTTAAATAAATTTTCTAACTCCAGTACTAATAATAGTATATAAATATATTTTTAAGTTAATAGACTTGATACTTGAATACTGGTGAGTTTATTTATTTGTTAATTAAATCATTAAAGGAAATAGAAATATATTGTTGGTGATTTAAAGTGTTATTAAATACCATCAGTTTACTGCAAAAGGTAAGATTAAAAACACTAAATAATTAAATTTTAAGGTTCATATTTTATCTTTATTAAATTAAGTTATGGTTAGCTTAAAAGTTATTAAAATAAAATACTAAAAGACAAGACTCGCCTAATCAAGGGCTGTCCAGAAAGTAACAGATGTACACATCGTGCCTATCATACTTTGATAACAGTGGAGTTTTAAAATGAGTACTACAATTGAAAATGCTGCCAGTTGTGAAGTAGGAGCTGTAATAAAATTTTTGTTGGCGAAAAACCACAAACCAATTGAAATTTATTGCCAAATTAGTGATGTGGATGGCCAAGGAATAATGAGAGAAATCTGAGTAAGGCAATGGTGCATTGATTTTTAAAATGGCCAAACCAATGTTCATAATGAGGATCATAGTGGTAAGCCTAGTCTTGTAAGTAATGAATTGGTGGCAAAAATTAAATGGAAATTCTCAGAATATTATGCCCCCCCCGAATACCACAGAGTATTGTTCATGAAATTGTGGTTGGTAAACTTGGTTACCACTATCAACAAAAATCTTATTACAGTTCTCACTTCACAACTGACGGTATTTTCAATTGAAGCACTCATTTTAAAACTCCACTGTAAACACCTGACGCCAAGATGGCGGTGCTAGCCCTCCCACTGTGGTCATACCAAAACAATTGTTACTTTCTGGATAGCCATAGAAAATTCAGGTGTATAACTTGAGGATTAAATTCATGACAATTAAAGAAATATAGTTTATTAAAAATTTAAATATTTAAATTTTTTTTGACAAAACATGATGTTTAACATGTTTGAAAATTCAGAATAGTCAAGGTATAGTAGAGCAGTATAGACTGCACTACTATACCTTGACTAGATTATCAATTGTTTTCGTAAAATTATAATTATTTTTTTTTTGTCACCAAAAATTTTGCTAAAATTTTGTATTAAATTTTAATAAATAAAACATAAACTCTTATTTTATAAGATTATTTCTAATTTAGTTATTATTATTTTTACCTTGAATACTTGGAGCTGATGGTTCTTCCAAATTGGGACTGTGAGGAGGTGTTGCATATATAGGACTTTGTAAGGGACTAAGAACTTTAGATGTAGGTCTAGACTTAATACGACGACTACATTGTTGTAACTTTTGAGTAAATGTCAGTGGTGTTAACTAAATATAAATACAATAAGATTATTAAGTATAGTTTACTATTAAACAGATATTACTTGTGTTGGTAAGTCTTGATGAGAACTTTTAGTACTATCTGTTAAATTGGAACTGGATTTGCTGTAGTTGGATACAAAGGATGTTCTCTTAGCTGTTGAATCTGGCGATTCAATAGGAGAAGAATCATGAACAATGACATGATTAGAACAAGATAACAATGGATTTACTAATATTGCTGAAGATGGTTTGGTTTCAGATGTTGAGCCAGAACCACAAGAAGTATTAGTTGTATTAAATCCATTACCTAAAATTATATTTTAAAGAATATAATAATCAACATTTTTTTAAATTTTATTATTCATACTATTAATTTCTGGTTTTATTGGACAAAATTGTTCAAGTAGTTTAACTATATTTTCATGGCCACTTTTTGCAGCAATTTTTATTGCATTTCGTCCACAGTGGTCAGACACCATTGGATTTGCACCTTGCATTAAAAGTAATCGAACACAAGTTTCATTACCTTCTTGAGATGCAATACCTAAAATTTGTTCGACAGTTCAATATTGAAATAAATAAATAAATGTATTTAATATTTGATTATATGAATAATATTCGATATAATTAAAAATTTTATATTTTAAATCTAATATTTACATTTGAAAATATATTTTTTATATTTTAGTAAGGTTTAAACTTACATTCATACATAATAATATATACATTTTTTAAAAAAAACCTGTAATATACTTTTTCATATATTTTATAACTGTTTTCAAAATTATAACAATGGTTTTAATAATTTTTTTTAAATTCTGAATGCAAAACTTGTTTAACATTATGAAATAAGCATTATAAACAATATGAGATCATAAATAATACATTATTAAATATTTAAAAAAAATCTAAAAAATAAATAAATTAGGAATTAAATATAATAATAATATACCTAATGCAGTTGCTCCTTGGTTGCATGCATGATTTACATTAGCACCATGTTCAATTAACATTTTAACAATTATAGAATGGCCCTGCCAAGCTGCTAAATGAAGAGGAGTTCGATTTTCATTGTCAGTAGCATTTAAGTCAGCCTTTCCCAGTTTTAACAACAAGGACACCATTTCACAATGACCCTGCCAACAACTAACATGTAAAGCAGTGCGACCCTGAAATATTGGAATATAATAATTAAAAACCCTAGTGCTTTTTTGTTCTTTAATAAAATCAGTAATAATATAAATAAGTATAAACCTATATAAAACATAGGTTCTTACCATTAATTTAATGATACACAGAAATATTTATTTGAAATGATTTTTCCAATGTTTAAAAATAATAAAATAATAAAGTAAAAAAAATAATACGTATATTATACTTTTGAATTAAAAATTCATCATCAGGTATATCATAGTCAAAATGTAAAAAGGACTGAATATAAACATTTTTTTTTTTACAAATTGGTTGTTTTACATAAAATATAGAAATAATTTATTTTAATAGGATAGATTATTTAAAATTAGTTATTATTAGATTTAATTAGTTATTTATTATCAAACATTTATTGATCTTGAATGTAATGGTTTAAAGAATGTTTTATTCAAGCAATAGTTAAGTAATAATTATTGAATTATTAATAAATGATTTATTCAAATTTTTAGTGAACAAATTCTCTCTATAATGTGGTTTAAAATAATAATTGGTTATAACTTATAACCTTATAACTAAAGACCAGGTTTATATTATTTTATAATCCACAAAAAAGTACTTAAAACCATTTAAAAAAGCAAAAATAATAGAAGGGTTTAAAAGTACCTCACTAATGGCTCTAACTTATTAAATTTAATTAAAAACACTACACAAAATAATGATTAATTTTTTTTTAATTTTACATATTATAAACAAAAATCACTTTAAATGTATCATTTTTGTAGTGCTAAAATATTATTTGTAATGTAAAACTGTTAGAGAAGATACTTTTAAACCCCTCTATAATTTTTGCTCTTTTTTTTTTACGGATTTTCAGAACATAAAAATCCTGTCTTTAATTATAATAGAGACCAAAAATATTTAACATTGAATTGAATACAAAGTAAAAATGGGAAGTAGGATACATAAAATTATTTAATTTATACCTGCAAGCAAGGATAAATCATTGTTAAATATGATTCTAAATGGAGTTCAGTTACATATTTTTTTAACAATCATATAGTTTTGAAATCCTTTAATTTTATGTTAAAACACTTATAAAAAAATTACTCCATTCCGCTTGGCTTTTTTATACCAAACAACCATAATATACCTTGTATTAAATTTGCAAGCATTTCTGTTTGGCTTAATAGTATTATTCACATTAAAACAAATAAAAACTAAAACAAAACTTATAAATGTAAAATTCCTATAAATATCAAAATATAATTTTTAGTGAAGTTCAGGTAAACATGTTTTAAAATGCTATGATTTTATGATTTTCTTCAAAATTAAACTACTAAATTGTCTTTCTTTTTTTCTAAATATTTTTTTTACCACTACATACGATGAACCTAGTGTACAATTTTCAAGTATTTCTAATAGTCCAAAACAATAATTCACATAAAAACTAAAAAATCTCAAATGCTAAAAAAGTAACCTAATGTTTTGAAAATAATGTAATTGTTAATGTTGTAAACTTTAATTTAAGCCCACAATTTCTAACTATAATGAAAACTACTGGAAAATCAAAAAATAACATCTCCAATGCATCAAATAGTAATTTCATACTGCTGTAAAAAAAACACACATAAAAGTAAAATCAATTAATTTCTTGTTATTCTCAAAATTTAAACATTTTATTACTAAATTATATATATGATACAATATACACGGTTTTAATAATATATTACATAAAAATACTATACACACCTCAGAGTCAGTACTTTCTACATCTGCTCTGCCTGGGTCAATAAAAAATTTAGCCATAGTTAAATGATTTTCAAGGGCAAGAACATAGAGTGTACTACGACCATCAGCATCTTTTTTATTAACATCAGCTCCATATTCGAATAGACTTCTAACTACTTCAATATGACCTTCTAATGCAGCTAATCTATATTTAAACATAATAAATTATCAGTCATTATTATAGTTCACACTGGTTTGTAAACTTGCAATAATACCTTATAGCAGTTCTTCCATCATGAGCTTTTTGATCTGGCGGTGCACTATAATTTTTTAAAAATTCACTAACCAATTCCGAATGTCCTTCTTCTGCAGCCAACATTAAAGGTGGTTTTCCGTCATTATCTGTTTGGTCTATTTTCGCTCCACTTTCTAACAATGTTCTACAGACAACCTGATGTCCTTCAAATGCAGCATAATGCAATGGTGTCCAACCGGAATTATCTCTGTGTTGTTCATCGAGACCTAAAATAGACACCAAGGTATAATTAAACAATACCACAATTGTTGTTAATAAATTATAATTTATAACAATAGGAAATTACTTAAATCTATAAATAAATAAAATTAATCAACAGTTGAAAATATTATATTTTAACTGAAAAGATAGATACAGTATTTAATAAACAAAAAAAATAATCAAGGCTAATAAATCAAAACACACTCATACCTCTATCAAGTAGTTGAGATACTACAATATTATTTCCTTGAGCCGCAGACACACTGAGTACAGTACGCCCTTCATTATCTATACTGTCTACATAACAACCCCAAAAGAGTAACAGTGTAACACAAGCAGGGTGTCCCATAGATGCAGCAGCCCATAAAGGAGTTCTGCCTAATTTATCACAATGATCAACATCAGCCTCAGATTCTAATAAAATTTCACAAACATCTCTACAAAAAAACATAATATCAGTAGTTTATTTTTATATTAATTTTCAATTTTATAATATGTATTATGTAATATATTCTAATACCTATGGCCTTCAAATGCTGCAACAAGTAGAGGTGTCATTCCATCTTTATCTTCATGGTCGACAAAAGCGCCAGAATCCAACAATAACGAAACAACTTTGGCATATCCACCATTGGTGGGTGCACATAATGCGGCTACACTCAAAGCGGTGCGTCCATCACTATCTTGATGATTGATATTGGCTCCGTGATCCAATAATCTGTTTACTATATGAGCATGACCCATATATGCTGCAGCAATCAAAGGAGTTCTACCATCACCATCAGTAGTATTGGGGTTTGCTCCAGCTTCTAGTAATTTTGCTACAACATCACCATGACCTCCCCAAGCTGCTGCGCGTAATGCTCCACGTCCTTCACAATCAGAACATTCTACATTTGCACCATGTTTTAGCAATAACTCTACTACCTAAACAATAAGATAAACAATATAATTATTTATTATTTTATAAATCAAAAAAATAAATGTTACTTGTGAATGGCCTCCCCAAGCAGCAGCTCTTAAAGCAGTCCATCCTTCTATATCTGCATGATCCACTTTACAGTTGTATTTTAAGAGAAGCTGAAAAATAAAATAATGTAATAAAAACAATTAATATGGCATATAATCCCTGAACTTTTAACTAAAACTTTGATATTTTTGGTAAGCCATAATAAATGCAATAAGTGATAATTTAAAATTAGATCTTATTCATTACTTAAAAACTATAACACAGTTTTAATTCAATAATAAGTATGTTTTTAGATAAATTAAACATAGTTGTACACAAAAAATGAACATAGATACTAGTATTTTGATGTATAACGGAAAACTATTATATAGTTAGTTTTAATACCTCTACAACTTCAAGATAGCCATGGCGTGCAGCTATATTGAGTGGTGTTTGACCATTATTGTCATTCAATTCTAAATTGACATCGGAATGAGCTTTTAATAGATCCTGGAGGACACTTAAATTTCCATCCATAGCAAGCAAATGTAAAGTGTTACGGCCATTGATGTCAACTTCATATAAATTTGAAGGTAATAAAGTATTTAAATAAAATGTTGAATTAATTTCGATTTTTGGTGATAATAGTCCAAAATTTGACTCAGCCTAAAAATAAAAATTATCAGTCATATTTAAAATATAATATACAATAAAAACGAAAAAAAAATAAATTTGAAATAAACATAATACACTATTTACATTATTTGATTTTAAATTAGTGTCCGATTTAAAGCAGTTATTGATTTCTTCTAGAAAATGAATAGCTTTTCTATCATAACATGGAATTGCCATACTCTCAGAAATTAGAGCTCCACTGTCAATCATTAATAACAATGGTAATAAATTTGGATCAAAAAAATTTGTCCAAACTGGTAATGGATTTACTCTTGATAAATGATAAGCCAACTTATGTGTTTCATCGCATGTAGGTGGCTTTGAACATCTAAATTTGTAAAATATGGTTTTAACTACTAATAAATTTGTATACAAATCATGAAAATAATAATAATTTTTATATACCTAGTTGAATAATGAATAGCTATCATAGCATGTCCTTCATTTGCAGAACATAAAAACCTTCTAGTACAATGTTTGACATCAAGAAACCATTCTCCAAAACTGTGATGAAATAGTATTGTCTTTGAATCTCTTGGTAGTGAAAATATTCTTCTTAATAAGCTAAACCGCTTGTGAAATTCTTCAACAGCCATGTATTGGTATGTAGAATGTATAATACTACTCAACTGTTCTTCAGACAAAGGTTGAGGGGATGCCAAGATCACATTCAATAAAGGCCTCACCTGAAATAAAAATTAAGGATAATTATGGTTTTTTAGTTCTAATAATTATTTTTTTTTTAAGTACTTACTTTTAAAAAATGTTTTGAATTCAAAAGTCTTTGACAAAACCACAAATACAAACCATTAAGTGTGCCTGGAATGTCTTTAATTTCCCTTAGGACTACACATCCATCAGATATTCCATCTAATACCCTTTCCAAATAAAGAAAACATCCATTACTTTTTATGTGTAATTGATTCAACATTTCAGCTGTATCTCTACTCATATGCTGGCGTAAAGATTCCTCAGATTCCAGACGGCTTAAAATGTATTGTTGAATATCTCTTACAACCTTTGAATAAACCACCAAAAAATAATATTTAAGTACATTTGTTTGTTACAAAATAAATAAATTTGTATTAAAAAATTATAAAAAACAAAATATATATTGTTAATTAAAAATAGTTGTGTGTACTTGTGATTTACGAAGATCATCCAGACAAATTTTCCGAAAACCAGAAAACATACGAGCTACATTTTTATTTTGTCTGCGTGTTGTACAGATAAGCATTAACCATTGTGGAAATAAATGATGATGAGTAGCCAATAATTCGGCAATAGTTCTACTTGAATTATTTTTTGATTTTGGATCAGATCTTTCATTAATACATAACCCTTCATCTACTGAATCAACCAAAAGGAACATTGTATGTTTTGGTGTTTCTAAATCCAGTAAAGGAAAGACAATGGCTTTCTTAAATGCATTGTCAGCTTCTTTTACTAGGTTTATCGGTAATAAAGATTCCCGTATCTCTGAATCAGATTTCAATCTCTCTTTATATGATTTAGGCAATGATTCAGATAATTGCGAAACCAAACTTTGAATAAAATGTGTAACAGATAGTGTATTGATATTTTGAGCTTGACAAAAATGATAAGCTATAAGTCTTCTGTTTAGTATTCGTTGTTGTCTACCAGTTGGTCGAACAATTTCACAACATAATGCAGTCTTTCCGCAACCAGCACCTCCAACTAATAATGCCCCACATGTTTTCCAATTGCTCCTCTGATCGAAACAATGTAACAGTTTTTGGAACACCCATTCTCGACAATAAAATGGTTTTTGAGTCAAATCACTACAAGTCATTTTGTTCCCTTTGCAATCATAATAGTAGTTAAATGATTATTATTATAATTTTTTTTTATAAACCGAATCTGAAACATGAAAAAAAAAATGCATTATGTTAACAACTGATATAGATAAATTTAGATAAATCCTATACAAAATATTTATTGAAATCAATAATGATAATAATAATTTGTAATCAATAATCAGTAGAGTTTAATAAAATAAAATGAAACATTATAAGAAGTTCAATAATCTATAAATTCGTAATTAGTATAGTAGAAAGGAGGTGAAAACATGCAAGTTGAACAGATAATACGAAAAGAAATTTAAAAATCAAGTTTTGAAAGTAAGAATGTGCAATCAAAAAATAAAAGAAACTAAAATTAGCAGAAAGTCTGCGGTGGTCTAAGCTTATTAAATTAAGTTTACAGAGGATGAGATCATAGACATACGGTGGGTGTTTAATTTTGAGTAGGAAAGCTATATGTTTAAGAAATGTGCGCTTTAATTGCTTGCAGGACACTTTAGTATAGGAGTCCCAAATATAGAGCCATATTTAATAATTGATCAAACAAGGGCACATTCAGAGAGAGCTATTAAAAAAAAAATCATTCAAATTAGGTTTCATGAAACCTAACATTTTCAAAGCTTTCTCAATATAAGGATTAGGATTAGAGAAGGACATAAAATAAAACCAAGATCACAAATTTTATTGATAGCTAATGTAAATTTAAGCCTTGAATGATATATATATTTTTTTGATTTCATTATGTATACAAAATTTGTATATCAATATAACACAATTATAAGAAAAAATTTAATTGATAAAAGTTTTATTTTTCAATATTTTTAAAATGTTTAATTTATATTTACTCAGAACCAAGTAATTAATGGTACTATTCGGTTAAATGTTCCACCCAAGTCCGGTAATCACAATTTGGTTACCTTGACTACTACAGTGTCTATTTTGATCCCCTGTTACCTACCCAACATGCTTTAAATTTTTTTTAAAAATCCAACATGAGTTCACACTTTTAAAGAATTATTCTTTTAACACATACACATTCACCAGCTATAAATATGTTACCTGAGTGCAAACTCATGCTGAATTTTTAATCAAAAATAAACTCCGAATTATAAGCAAAATAATATTGAGTCGGTAAGGGGCCAAAATAGCAAGACCAAATAAGATCATAATACCAATATTATGGGCGGCTGCCCACATTAAGCGGAATTAACTGTATTAAGAAATTATACCAAGTGAGGTTATCACTCAAATAGTCGAGGTCATTTTAAACACCTTGAACTTATACAAATTCCATAGGTAAATAGGTACAAAATAACTACCATATTAATAGATAATATGTCAGGTAAGTAAATAAATATATTTAAAACCATAAACTAACATTACATCAAATAATTAATAAATACTAGAAATAGGTATTATAGGAAGGTGGATACATCACAGATTTAGTTTTAAATGTAAAACTATATTACGAAACAAATGTAATAATAAAATTATTTAATTTATATAAACAACTTGATAGTGAAAAAGACTCATATATCCCACTAGATAGGATATTTGTATGGTTTTATCACACAGACAGTAAATATTATGGAACATTTTAAATAAAAAGCAACGATTCATTAAAAAGCAAATAGAAATATGTTGTGTTATGTTTTTTAAAGAATTTGAATATACTTATAAAAATTAAAACCTAAAAATAAATTTGAATTATATTATGTTATATCCACATTATAGGTCTGGAAGGATTTTTTGAAAATATAGGTAATGAACAATTATTTTAAAATAGTTTTAATTACTTAATATCTGACTTTATACTTATTGAATAAATATTTATTTACCAAACACTATTATGGATTCATATTATAGCTATTCATATTATTGTAACATCAAGTTAGATCAGTAGCAGCGTGAACCTTTTTATTTCATGAGACAACCGTAGATGTTAGAGGTTGACCACTACCATCTAAGTATTAACACTAATTATTAGAAAAAGTCGTGGGAACAAAGCCCTCACACACTACCCCCTCTCTTTTCTTAATTTACTATTCCACAACTATATAGCTTTAAGTCATGATGATTTTATATTTTATGAATATTAAAAATTAATAAAATTGGGCACTGCATACATGTATTTTAATAATAAATTATACCTTTTTTTATTTCGCTATCCGTCAATACAAGAGAACACTAGACTATAATAACCAAAATACCGAGCCATGTAAAACAAGCGACTTTTAATTTTTTTTCATTAATTTATACAATTAACAAATAATTTATTTTATTTTATCTTCTTCATAAAAATATGATTAAAAATAAATTAAATACCATTAAATTCGAAATTTAATACATAAAGTTTAAGTAAATTAGTGAAATATAATTAACTTAACATAAATATTTATATATACTTTATGTTAATAACAATAAACCTTTATTTAAGCAATAAAATATTAGGTATCAAATATCAGTTTGCAATGATTATTATTTTTAGCCACCCAATTGACCATGAGGCCATCACCTCATAAAATACCCTATCATACCACCACCGAGTTAGATGGATACTTATTTGATAATAATTGACTAGAAAACTAAACTAACAGTTGGTATTAATATTAATTGGTATTAATAATTTACATTTGAATGTAAAAGTGTAAGGTTACCTACCAACCAATTTTTAAATGACTCATTTTTATTAAAGATAGGTAGGTAAGTATTAGGTGCCTATATATTATTTCTTCGTCATAATATTTTAATATGAACTAAATAGGTAAATGTTATTATCCTAGCAAAATATTCTTAAACACAATTACTTAATTCACAATAATTTTGTTTTTATTATTAGGTAAGTAACTATATAAGACCACTTTTTTTGTGTACCCACTTAATAACCTATTTCTTGAAAAAAAAACAAATGATACCAAGTACAAATTTGTGCTACCAATACGTCATACATTTATTATAAAACTCTACATTTCAATTACATATACGCTTAAAAATTATTATGAACTTGCCAAATGTAACAGACACAATAAAGTGTAAAAAATATCACTGTACGTATACTGAATTACCTGATAATAGTGAGTTGCACGTAATGGAGATCAATACACAAAAATTTCTATAAAAAAACTACTGTTCACACACAAGACCGAATGGGAAAAATATCCATTATAAATATTATCGTCTAAATACTTATTGCTTTAGAATTATACAGTTTATTGCTTACAGATAGACTAAAAACCAACTAATCGCATCAGTGTTAATATAACTATGTATAAGAGGTTCCCGTAAGACAAACGTACTAATGCTATCTAGTTAGTTGTCTACACAAACCAATGGCGTATCAGTCGTCTAAATATTTTAACAGAGCTCAATATCATCTTGTTGAGAAACACCGCGAGATGGGCATAGTGCAGCCAGTCATCGTCGGTGCGCCAAAAACCGTTTGGGAGAGTCTCATTGTGCTTACCTCGATGACGACGAACAGCACGACAAAAATTCAGAAGTCTCGATTGGAAGGCTACCGAACAAACGACACGAGTTTCTGATGGTAAGATGGTGGCGGCACAGTTACAACTTACAACAATAGGTAGTAGATAGATATATCGCTGTCAATAATAATCGTCGGTAGCTAATACTGTTTTTTTATACCTATTTTTGTTCTCGAACACTCCCGGGCCGGCAGTAACCACCAAACAATAACAAAAACGAAATTGGAAAAAAAATGATACCTACCTATATAATAAACGCACGACTGCACAAAACTTATCATCATTCACCATCTACTGTCTTCCCCACCTTGACGCACGATGTGTGCATGCGTGACCGTATATCGTAGTATTACCGAAGTATCGGAGTCGAAAGTATCCGTCGGGGAAAATAAAAGTCACGATCGAGTGACAATACCCATCGCGGCGTCGCCACATCATCTGCTGTCTGCTGCTTGCGTATTATTTTTTGGTTCGTGTGTGCCTGCCGAAGGTTGAAGATGAGTGGGTGTGTTTGAACATTCTGACGTCATGACCGTTTTGACGGTCACCGCTTGATTGTGACGTACTCGCGGTGGTGTTTTATTGTGCTACGCCACTACGAGTTGAAAGTGTTGAAACTACACGCAGTGCCCGCGTCATTCCGCGTTTTTGCTCATCTATCTCCTCGGAAAATGAACCCGTAGACTGGACATAATAACGGTTAAAATTATAATAAAATAATAAATTGTATTATTATCATGGTTCATACTTAGCACCCATAGACATTAGTAGCTAAAACCATAAACACTAAGGAGTAGGTATTAGATTCAGAGTGTATCCAGGGGTCTATTAGTTTTACTATCATGTGTTCTCTATTTTTCTTTTTCTCTGTAAACAACTTTTCATAAAGAAACCTTACTACGATGCATAGGCGTACGCACTGGTAGGACTGATTGGGCTTTAGTCTCACCTGAGTCATTTTTTTTATACGTAGGTGGGTACGTACTTGATACTTTATAAACTTATGACTAAAAGTAGGTATAGCCTTTTTTAGTTTTTAAACGTTTGTTTTCCCGAGAGCCTAAATAGAAATTAGAAAGTAATAAGACGTTATAGCTGTAAAAAATTGGCAACCAAATAAATCAAAATCATAAATATTTACACGATTAAAGATACACTGATTGGTGGTTGCCCATCGAGATGTGATAAGTATTCATGGACATTAATCATGTTTAATATCTATGATCAAAATAATATTATGTTTTATCTTTATGTGTGTTTATACCAATTACCATTAAAAGTAATTGCGTTAGGCATGCTATACTTAAAAAAGTTACTAAACAAATAAATGTAAAACTTGTAACGCTAAAATCAATATCTAACACCAGATGGGTTTACTGATCTATATACGCTATTAAATCGAATTATTCAGCTTTGGTTATGGCGCTTCAACAAAATGTTGATTCAACCAGACTCTCTGATTTAAGCGCTAAAGCTCGTAGATTAATTTTTCAAAGGCAACCTTTTAATTTTATATTCCCCCTGAATATGCTGGAACCTATTTTTTCAGTTATATTTAAAGTCAGTACAAATTTACAAAGTGAACAATTAGGTAATTTAACAAGTAGTCAATATCAGGCTGATGATGAAGAATACAACAATTCTATACAAATGTGTGATTAAAATATTTTCATTCCTGATGTAAAAAAACGAAAAATATCACAACAGGTTGATGACAATCACGATCATCAATATTTTGAAAAACTAAAAAAATGAAATGAAACATTCTTGCTTTTATTTTGTACTTTATCAAATTAAATCTGGATTAAATGTTCGATTTAGGCCGGGTTTTACAATTTTATGTTTTATCCGAAAAATAGATATCCCAAGTATAAAGTTATACTACACGTTATCTAGAGTATAGGATATTTTAGTTTTACAATGTAATAAATTTTCTAGATAAGAATTCTCTGGATAGCTCTGTGATATGAATTGTAACACCTTAATATTAGAAATTGAATGAAATACAAATCAAACATAATATTATAAATTTCTATTATTCTGTTAGACATTTTTTTTTTTGTTTATTACCTTTACTTAATATTATTATATTATATATTATACATGTTAATATTTCTATACTTATGTTTAGCAAGACTTGAAACTGAAACCAAATCAAATATTCTATTATAAATTGTTATAATTACTAAAATATAAATTTTAAAAGATTGTAAATTTAAAAAAATTTATATTTATATGATAAATTTTGAAATTTTTAATTCTAGGAATTTGTATTTTATGCAAGAAAACCAAAATTTTATACTTAATAAAGATTTATTGTAGTAAAATTAAAACTTTGCTAATTTATTTTTAAAATTAAGTATAGAAATATGTCTATATTGAAGGTAATAGTGCACTATAATAACATCAAAATCTAATTTAAAAAATATGTTATTAAATAATTTAAACCAGTAATAATAAATAAAAACATAATCAATAATAACTTAAACACATAAATTTACAAATACTATACATCATTGTGTTTCAATATATTGTGTATAATCTCATGTTTTTAATTGGTTCAAAAAATGTATGTTTCTTTTTTAACAATACTAAATGTTTGATTTTCCTACTAATAGTTTTGAAAATGATCAACAGTTACATTATTACTTTGATAATAATTTACCCATAAAAAACAATAATGATATAAAATTGAACGAAATTTACCTATATAAATAAATTGTTGTTCTTTAAGTTTGTACCTGTTATCTCCTTTTCAAAATAGTATTTTATTGTTGGACCAAATGTAATTGTTGGACCAACAAAATGTATTTTAGTAACACTAAATTAACACAAGCTGCAAATACAAGGACACTGAATTAGTAAAAATTATTTTTCCAAATTTTTACAGTTATCTGTCTAACGGGTAGGATATAGGGAAAGAAGGTAAGACACAGAATGGAAAATACAGAGATAATACATCAAATATCTAGATTTCAATTTTATTTACAGAGCTTCGCCACAAAGATCTCATAGATTAGATACAGAAAAACGAATAGGATAGGGGAAAATTAAGATATATGAGTAGGTAATATACAGGAATTCGGAGGATGTCTAGATACCAATATTTTTGGAAGTGAATACAGTTGGTGATTGTATAACATATAACATATGTAAAAATAATAATTACATAATAATAGTATAACATAGTATCTATACAGAAGAAAAAGTTTAGACACAGTACATCAAGACATCAAATTTTTACAGGGCTAAGCTCCCAGACCCTCGAGGAATCTTGCAGGAGCCTGTATAAGGTACTAATGAAGTTATATAGTACAAAACAGGAAAAACAGGAGGATGAAGAATCGCAGAGGGAGCTCATAATAGTTGTGAAAATTCCGAAGGAAATTATTGTGAAAAGAACAGACGCGTTAAAAAAGATTTTGTTGTAGAGGTGTTTTTGTTAAAAACTCACCTGTTAAGCGTTTTATTAAGTAAGTATATCGGACAAAATTGCAAAACAGGGAATGCCTAAAATTAATGAATTAGAGTTAAATTGTTGTTTGTTTTTTTTTAAATAAGAGTTTGAACTTTAATAATACAAATTAATATTTATTTCAAAGCAATACAATTTTGTTTATTTTTTTTAGCAATTACATTTAATAAGATAATTGGATACATATATATATAAGGAAAACTAATGTTTACATTCTATATAGATAAGTATTTTTTATTTTTATGTTAATTTTTAATAATAAGATAAATTCATAAGTGTATTGATAAAAAAAAAAAAATGTATTCAATATAGTATACATAAATAAGTACATAAGACTAACGTTAATGAAGAATTTGATTTAATTAATATCAAATTTAAAATTCAACACATACAAAGATATTATGAATACGGCTTCTAATAAATTGGTTTTTGACAGTATATAAATTTTAATTTCAATAATTCAATAGCAAAAATGAATACAATTTCTAAACTGGAATATGGAGTAAAAGTTTAATAAGAATAAAATAAAAATATTTGTTTAATATTTAGATTAAAAGCTTATTTTAATTACCTTATAAATACATAGGGTAGAGTAATAATATATAATATGATGTTAAAGTCATAATATTAAACAGACATACTTATCAATGATAATAATAAACAGTATTACACTATGTAGATAATACTTACATAAATAAAATGTCACTAAAATAAACTAAGAAAGCTATAAAATTGTAAAAAGTTATTTTAAAATTATTAATAAGTGGCTTCATTGGGCTCCATTCACACTTGTATTAAAAAACACGTTCGTGAAAGCCTGAGGTAGTAGAAGTAGATGCGCCTTGACTAGCAGCAGCGGTTGCTGGTCGCATGGCAGCCGATTGGTGGTTATTAAGTCGACGTGGAGCCAAATATTCAAAATTACTTTGTGTTTGTTGGGACAACATTTTAGATAGATCACATGGCATGGGATCTGTCCAGAAAAAGTCATGGTTTAAAGCTGAGTCAGCATCAAATCTTTTAGCCGGATCCAATACAAGTAATTTGTCGAGTAGATCACAACCCATTGGATCACGTACATAAGGCTTAAGCCGTTCTTTTACCTATATTTTAATATTTAGTTACAGTTAATTGAGAAAAAAAATTAAATATTTAAAATTTAAACCTTTCGCTTTTGTCCTTTGACTAGTTCTAATTGGTTGTATAAGTCCAAGGATTCTACTTTGGGCCATACGTCAGGCATGATTGATCCACATAGTTGAGATATCAATGTTAACTGTTGTTGTTCTGAATTGCCTTGCATAATTGGACTACGAGTCCACATTTCAGCCATAATGCAGCCAGCTCCCCATAAGTCCACAGGTGGTCCATAATTACGATCACCAAGAAGTAATTCAGGAGGGCGATACCATAATGTTACTACACGATTAGTGTACCTAAACATGAAGATTTTATTAATATAAATTAGTGATGTTCAATCTTTGGTAATTATCTTTGAGTAGGCCACCAAATATAAAAGTATGAATAATCTCAATTAGGTACATCATTCCAATTTTGTTTAGTACATAACTATAACACAATGTACTTACCTATATAATTTTGTTATACATAGTAGGTATACAATATATAAGTATATATTGGAATATTAGACTTAATTCCTTATATATTGACTATTGAAAAAATTAGAGATTGATACAAAGTAAAGATAGTTTGATTAGCATGCTCTTTTAAGTAAACAAGTGATATTGATATTAAATTGTAAAATTCGAAAATGTCCAATAGAAAAAAAATCAAACATTTTGTAATAATACATTTCTATAAGATTCTTATTTATATAAAATGTTTTTTAAAAAAACAAACATTACAAAAACAAAACAACAAACATTTTTATGTCAGTCTCATCAAATTAAAAACTTATCATACAAATTTAATTTACATAGATATTCAATTTATTGTTAATTTAAAATTATATATAAACATAAACAGCTGCACACAATACTACTTAGTAACAGAAAAAATTAAACAAAAGTATTTAACTCTACCTATTCGGTTGACCATTTTTTTGTGCACTAAATGCTCGAGCTAAACCAAAATCTGCCAACTTTAAAGTTCCAACTTTTGTAATGAGCACATTTGCCGCTTTCATATCACGATGCAATATCTAGTAACATTGTAGATATACATTTTAACTGATTTTAATTATTTTAGAAATGTAACTTTTATAAGTACCTTATTGCTGTGTATGTAGTAGAGACCATTGAGCATTTGTTGAATAACTTGCTTAATTTCTCCTAGACTGAATTTTACTTTAGTATTGGACAATAAACCTGCTAGATCATGTTCACAGAATTCAAACACCAAATAAAATGTTGACCGATACCGATTAAACTGATTAGCTATAAAATATTTGTATTATATTAATATCATAATTAAATAAATAATTAATATACCAATATGTGAACCTCTAGTTTGACAGATTTCCAATAAATGTACAACATTATCATGTTTTAGTAGTTGTAATATTCTTATTTCTCGCAGAGCAGTTATTGGAAACTAAAATTGACAAATTAATAAGGTATATAAATAAATATGAACTATAATATTATTGATATTTACATGCATAATTAAAGTTATAATGTATACTAAAAATGTAAATATTTATACACAGAAAAAGAACATATCTCAGATCAAGAATTAAAAAATAAAAATATGTATATCACATATGCAATAATATTAAATTAACTTAATTGTCTATTAATTATAATTATGTACACATTAAAGTAAAAATAATTTGCTATTTTACTATCTTATTCAGTATTCAGAATTTTTAAACTAATCTAATTTTATATTTTGTAAATTGTTGATAATTATTTATTTTAGCAGAATTTAAAACATAATACACATTGAAAACAATTTTATTTATTTAATTACTAGAAGTATCATTTACAATATTTAAATTTAAATATGCTTCAAGAATATATTTTAGTAGGTTGTGAAAGTAAATGATTTACTGGTTGTTTTGGTGTCAAAACTATTTAGTATTTGCTGTTCAATACAATGTTTACTCCTATCAGTTGTTTAGAATTATTAGTACCTGTGATTATCAATTTTAAATTCTGATCATCATAGATTATAATTACTTTATATAAGATATCTAATTATATTTGATTACTTTTTTGAATATATTGATTATTTTATGCAAATTGAATATTAATAAATAACTTACTCCTTCTTTTTCATTTTCCATAAGAATTTTTTTCATAGCAACCATTCGTTTAGGATTTTTTTTGTCTCGCGCTTTGAACACCTCACTGAAAATTAAAATTAAAATGCTCAACTAACTTAATTAACTGAGTAAAAAATAATTAAATATAATAAATTTGAAATGTACTTAAGAAAATATAGAATTTTACTAATAGAGATATTCCTTATAAGTTAAACTCTTAATTATTTTATCAAAAATGTATTAAAATAATTTTAAATATTGAATATGCTTAAATAAACTAAACTACTACATAGATTATTTATAATAGTTTGTACTGTTTGATTAAAATTTTAATATTTGATCTATAATTAGTGTTCAATGCTATTATATCTTTTAAAAATATTATTTATCATGTATACTTGGAATGTTTAATAAAAATTTAGCTTTTAATTCTAATTAACTACTAGATATGAATTATTTTAAATTAATTAATGTAGATATTATTTTTATTTAAAAAAAAAAAAATAAGAAAATATAAAACAGTTGTGGTAGTAGTTTAACTACCTACATTTTTTGTGTACCTACAAATTACAATAAGTATTATATTATACAGTGTAACCTGGATAAGATGAAAACCTTGAGTCAAAATAAATGCTGTTCCTTTGTGAAAATCTCGATTACTCGAATGAAAAACTATACGTAACTAAAACATTCAATATAGACGAAGAATTTTTATAATTGTTTGTCTAAACAATTTGTGTGTCTCATAATTTAACATAATCACGTTTATTGTGTTTATTATTATATTTTTAATTCAATGTATTTACATTCACTACTCATTAGTGAATGTAAAAATTCCTCATAAATTTTTGGCAATACAATTTTAAATAATAATAACAACAATATTCACTGTAATTATGTGTACAGATAATATACTATATACAAATTTAAAACTATAATAAGTACATTTTGAAAAGTCAATTTTTTTTCCTAAAACCTTGATAACTCGAAAACGTCGATTTATCAAGGTTCCACTGTAGTTATTCTTATAATTAGAGTTAGGAGGTTTATGCACTAAAAATGTACACATATGTATGCATTTAATTTATGCATTAAAAAGTTAAAAAATATGCATCAAAAAATAAAGATATACTGACAGAAATAATGCAATAAATACAAAGACAAATTAATTTATAAATAATATATAAACAAATTCTGTACTAATAATAAATAATTTGATTTTCTAATTTATTATTATGTATATAAAAAATAAATAAATATTTTACAAAGAGTTGTATTGAATAATTTTAAATTGAAAAATATATTTTAATAAAAGTTGAATTAAATAATGATAGTTGATTTTAAATTTTTCATTGAGTATCTGTGTCTGTTTAATGTTAATAAGTTTTTGAATCTATTAGAAGAAAAACGTATTCATATTTAATCATCAAAAATTTAGTTATCACATGTAAATTGTAATGGCTTACAATTTTAAGATAAATGTGACTGCCATAATCAATGAACTTTATCGAAAATTCTATTTAAGTAAGTACCTTTATTCTATGTACCCATATCAAATTCTCCACAATAAATAAGTCATTATTTGTTTATATTTTATATAATATACAGATAATCAAACTCAGATTAGATTTAATTAATAAATATAAAATTACAGTATTTTTAGCATTTTGTATTAAAAACCATTACATATGCACTAATAAACAAAAGTAGGAAATATGTAAATACATCCAAAATAAAATTTTGTTATTTTAAATATAGACACCATGAAACACATTTCTATATACGAATAGAAGCTATTGAAGAACTTAAAATAATTATGCAAAATCATAAACATCCTAATCCTGCTTACAATTAATAAATAATAGGTAAGTATTGCTAATAAGATAATATTATACACACTCTGCATAATTGATTTGACCCTTGATTTAACAGTCTACAACACTACAGACAATTATTTGACAGGTTAATTTTATGAAATACCCAATCTGGTACATGAACAGTTGGACCCTTTGGAAAAACACCTGTACGTGGCACCCAAACATAATTTTTTACACTTACAATCATGCTCACAATTATTGGTCCCCTACCAATTTTATATTGATATCATATTTTTAATAGAAAAAAATAAAACAAATTTTGGTCAGTAATAATTAATTAGAGCTGCCATTCGTCTTAATTTAAAAATGATTGTAGAGTAATTTAGTGAAGTATCATAATCATTTTTACTTTTATACCAGTGAACTATAATCATAAAATAATTATAATAATAAAAAGGACCTATGCTTAGTTAAAATCTGATTAAATTAAATTAAATTAATGAATTACCAATACCTAGAAGACTTGTAGTTTATAAAACCAAAATCTTTGTACGTAGCAAATGAAACTAATTTTTGAAACTATTATCTACTTGATTTTCATAATTATTATACCTACAAACTACAAGTATACTTCTCTTTTAACAATAATAATGGTAATTAATAGTATTAAAGTAGCTACTAGCTATCATAATTTAGCTGAGTGTTTGCAGCTATGTGAACAATTATGTTATATCAATATATTTTTTATTGGTACAATAAGACTTCAGTTAAATGTACATGAACATTTATTTAATTTTCAAGAATTAATAATTCACATTGTAAAGGTGTTCAAGACATATTATGATCATTTAGTGGCTTTGATAATTCTACTATTTATCAACGTGAAACAAAACTATATTAAGTAGTGAAATTTACCCAAATGTTCCTTGACCAATCTTTGCCAATTTTTCATACTTTGTCGCGGCCTCACAAAATGGAAAGTTATACTCTTCCAGGTATTTTTCTCTTTCTCGAGCCATATTCATTTGCAGCAGGTTTACCGAAGGCGTCGACGGCGGATTCATAACGCCGTTCAAATTTGTTGTGGCAGCCGTCTTGAAATCGGTATTTGAAATGTGTGTCAAAATGAAAACCGTCGGACGTATAACGGTACGTAAAACCAAACAATACTCCGACTAAAGTGAAAATGTGAAATTATTAACTTTGTTTGTTAGAGCCAGTTCTTTGAAAATTGATAAATTTTTCAAATGATAACATGAATCATAATTGTATCAGTGTGAACTAGAGGTGGACAAAAAATTGTTTTGTTTGGTACATGTTAGTCGATGTATCGAAGGAAATGTCGATGTTTTAAAATGTTTATATTTGTATCGGGAGCGCGTAAAACTCTGTTGAAAATTTTGAAAGTACAAATCTTGAATCCAGGGTTTTACGGAAATCGAAGTTTGAATCATACAAACCTGGAATGTAAAAATCACAAGGTTACAATAATATATTAACATACGGTCCGCCAGTGGTTTCCAAACGACGTAAACATAACGATCGCTTTAAAGGCGGTAAATAAGCAATAAATAATATACGTTCACTACAGTACGGTTCACGAAACTAGCGACTCCATAGTGGCTTTTCCGGTGGTACAATTTCGGTGTTTCGCGGTTTTTCAAACTTGCACACAATACGCAGCAATTTAGAATACTGCACGGTTTTCAAAAAATATGAATAAAAATAATTATTTGTTTATCATGGAGTATCTACGGTAGTGTGGCGGGTTTCGCGCAACATTTCTGCTTCCCGCTGCGCGTCACTCGCGGCGGACGTCGGACACTCCCCTCGCCGTCGGCGTTCAATAGTCATCGGCCACAGCTCCGCTCGACTCGACGTCTCGACCGCTCCGCTCGCTCTCTTCGCACCGGCGCCGCTCGCGAAACATTGTTTTCCGACTCCGAACCATCATGTATAATTGATTTTTACCACTAATGTTGTTCTAATAAATGCGTGCTCGCCTGTTCTCGCGCCACAAGCAGTCAGCTGGCGAGCACGCCAGCGTGAAACGTACAACAGCAATATTTAATAAGAAAGCCCAGTGTTTCTCAAATTTAAATATAATGTTGCCTATTCAATTCCTGTAATAGTACTTCTGTTATTTTAATAAGTTGCCTATAAAACTTCTAAAAATTAATTTTTTAACCCATTCATAAAATTCTTATCCAGTTCCTGAAATAATTTCAGGATTGAATACAAATTATTATATTGTAATTGTTCAGTTTATTTATTTATTGCATAACTAACTTTCAAAAAAATATTTCTGTACCTACCCACCAAAATTTAATTTAATACAAATATGCTTAATATTATAAACCCATAAAACCCATGAAATAGCCTCGAAAATGCAAAAAAAAAACTTTATCCTGTGAACTGTTATTGAATAAATCATCTATATCTCTTATTTCCATGACTGCAGGTAGGTAATCAGTAGGCAACAATATGTAAAATTTTAAACATTCCGCACGAAATAAAATGTATTCAAATTAGGTACATTTAAACATCTGTAACTAAATAAACTATAACAACATTAAATTAGATAAGTTTGTTGAAATCTTTATTTAAATTAATTTTTGTTCAACATGTACACACGATGATCCAAATCAAATTCTGAAAATGTATTGCTAAATTTTAAAAAAAAAGACGTCCTAGGATAATGGAGATCGATGCAGTCACTGTAATTTAATGTATATCTATAAGCAACGATAAACCATTGCTGACAAACAAACGATTCAGTTAATAGTGATGCTTTGTCAACAATATAAATGATAATTAAATAGGCATTATATATTTTCTTTAATAATATTTGTATAATATTGTACAGATTTTCCCATGTATTTTTCCGATTATATCCATTTATTGGGAAAATCAAAAAATTACCTTCCTAAAGTATCTTCTCAGTCAGATTTCCTTTCAGAAAAAATGATATCATTTTAAATCGGAGCAAAATTTCTAGTAGAAAAGTTGTATACAGCAAAAAAGAAGGCCGTAATATATTTTAACTAATACCTACATTTTTTATATTTTCCCGTTTTTTTTTTTTCTGTTTTTCAAATTGGATGAGAAAACTCTTGAGACAATCGATAAATGACCTTTCTAAAGTACCTCCTTACACCAATTTCCTTTCAGAAAAGGTGCTATACTTGGCAATTTTAAAAGTTGTATTTTCAACAAAATAAATTATTATAGCATATAAATAATATATTTAGCCACGGGTACACGTCTTAGTCTTTTTTAATAATTGTATGCCGTCTCCCGTAAGTGTTAAATAATATGGTATCTATATTAAGTAGTAGGTAACTAAATGAAGCTAAATCATCTATATTATATGGCCATATTCAGTAGTCAACCTGTATTACAAAGTAGGTACTTATTAATTTTACATGTTTTATTCTTAAACACCTATCTACCTATAAGTACCTACCTATTAATTTTTTTTTTCTAATTAAATTTTATGGATACAATTAGTTTCAACAGTTAAATAAAAATAAAATAGAGGTAGAATACAAAAAGAACGAAACCTATTAATTCATAGTTTTTAATTGTACTTTCAATTTAATATTTTAGAAATTCTCATTTTGAACTGATATAGATTAAACATAGGTACTCATTTATTATTATATTGTTTACCTACTTTTTTATGTAATATAATTATTATTATATTTTTATATCAATAGAATATACGGAATAAATTTGGTAAGTATATATAAATGTATCTATTTAATTAAAAAACTTTATTATAAAAACGTAAGTACCTATTGGTTGAATTAAATTTACTAACATATTTTTATTATAGTGAAATAAAAATCAAATGTGTTACTAGTACTTATCGTATGTACTTTACTGCATTTAGGTACCTTTTAAATAAAGTGAAATTCTTTTTTATTTGGAAACAAATTGTAGGTATTATAATAAGTAATTAATAACTAGAGTTGTCTATTAAATTATGAAGTATGATAAGCACTAGAACCAAGCAATAGAGAATAATGTAAGAACTAGATTCATATAACTTTCAGCAATTATATGAATGTCCTGTTAGACTAAATAACACTGTCAATGAAGAATTATTAGAATTTGATTAAATTTAATAAATAACTGCAGAAACAATATAATTTAACCTGTTTTTAGTTCATAATTTAGCAATTAAAATTATTTTGATTTTTAAACTAAATTAATACTAGGGGTTAAATGTATATTTATAATTTTTTAAATACTTTAAAAATTGCATTACCAAATAACTATATATCTATTTTATATATATATATATATATATATGTCAAAGTGGAATACATAAGTATAATTAATCGTTAAAAATGTAAATAAATTAATCATTTGTCATATTAGGCATAGTTAAATTTATAATAATTATCTATCTATATATATATATTTATCAGAATATCTATTGTGTATGTCATTAGTAGGGCACAGATTTAAATGTAAGTACATATTTTTATACTGTGACTTGATAAATTAATATAGACAAGTGATAAATTTGTTTCACATGATTTTCAATTAAATGGACTATTATTTGATAACTACATGTTTTTATGTATTTTACAATAATTCAGTTTTTTCTTATATAAGTATTTTGGCAATACCTATATGCCGTTATATAATATGACTATAATATTGTTTTTATTAGAATTTTGCTATGTAAATACCTATACCCATAAGTCAACAACTTTGTTCAATAATAATCATACGACTTATATGCCTATTATAATATATTGTATATTTTGATTTTTTTCACACATATATATATATATATATACATACACATCTTGTCAAACGTTCTAATTGTCAGGTCGTGCGTTAAATTTGATAAAGTGGTTCGCCGAGCAAAAATATATCTTACATTAAATGCAAATCTTACTTCCATCCACAATGTACTAAATTTGTTTTAATTTTCAATTACATTAATTTGGCTACTGAAAACTGCTTTGGAAATGTAACAACTGCATTAAATCCCAGAATTTAACTTTAGGTAAAAAAAAAAATAGTGAAAACAGATACTACTTAAAAAACTGAAGCTATCACTGATTTTTCTAGTGTTCAGTTATCTTTTAAAACAATTTTAAGCAAACTCGAAAAACTTGATAATTTAATTATTTCATTTATTGGAAAACAAGAATCTATGGCCTTTTGTTCTGATAAAATAGATGATTTCTCTTTAAAATTAAAAAGTATAGTTACTAATGTTAAACAAAACAGTAATAAGATACGTGAAATTGAAAATAAATTTACTAAAATGGAAAAAGAAATTGATTATTTAAAGCCTAGCTATAATATCGCTGAACAGTTTAAATTAATTAATAATCTAGATATTATTAATATACCTAAAACTAAAAAATTAATTAAAACTTGTTAATTTATCTTTTATTTTATTTTCTGTGATTATTTTAACTTAAACTAATTCTTGTAAATAGCATATCAAATCTAATACTATGGATAAGTTTAGATTAAACCATTCATTTAATAGTGTTAATAGTATAAATTGTATAAAAACATTATCATTAGAAAGGATCAATGATGTTAATTTAAGTAGTAATTTTATAAATATTTTCTCTATGAATATTATAAGTTTTAAAGCACATATTAATGAATTAATAATTTTACTTGAAAGTATTAAAAATAATTTTGATGTTATTGTACTTAGTGAAACATGGTTAAAAGAAGATTGTAATATAACAATAAAAGGCTATCAAATTTTCCTCCTGTTAGGTATAATAAACCATTGTGATGAGGTAAGCAATAGCTGTAGCAAGAACGAGCTATAGCTTTAGATTAGACACACAAGGAAAGTTATAAATAATTGTAATTCAATCAAACTTACAATCTTTAAGAACGATTATAATTTTATCGTCACTGGGGATTATAGGTCACAATGACATAACAAAGATCAATTTATTACCTCATTAGAATATCTATCAAATGATAATTTTATAAGTAGTCATATTCTTTGGGGTGATATTAATATAAATTTATTTGATATTTCAATTGAATCTAATTTATATGTAAATACTTTAGCGAAATTTGGTTTTACTAGTTATGAAAAACACCATAATCCAATTAGACAAAAGTCTTCAGGTATTCAGGTATTTTTTTTTTTGTTTTTTTTTTTTTTTATATATAATAATATTGGTAGTAAGACTAAATTTATTTTATTTAAGCACAGATTGGTTATTTTTACGACATTTTTTTTGTCAATTTTGGTACATAAGGGGTTTTTTTTTTAAAAATAATTTTCTACCTGTATATTATATAGGTTCACCAAAAAACACAAAGAAGAATTCAGTGGGTAGTTTGATTTCACCATCAGAAAATTGGAATGTAAGTCAAAAGAAATCATTCAACAAATTCTAATGAAAGACAATTGGGCTTAAACTCTACAGTAAATACCCAAGATATAGTGTTATTTACTGAAATATCCAAGACAGTTTATGATGATAAAAATTCAGAATCTAGTTTGAGTTCACTATTAGAAAACTGGAACATAAGTTGAAAGAAAATACATTCAACAAATTTTAATGAAAGACAATTGGGCTTAAATTCTATATCAAACACCTCAGGTATAATGTTATTTACAGAAATACAAGATTTTTATTTTATATTGCTTCTTTTAATTATGGTTCAATTATAGGTTCATCTAAAATATTGGAGAAAGTTTATTATGACACAAATTCAGTATTTTGTTTGAATTCACTGTAATGTAATGGGAATTATCAATAGTTATACATTATTCTTTATGGATGTCCCAAGTTAAACATTTTCAAAGGTAACTTGATACAGTGATTTTATTTTTAATAAAATAGGTGTTTAGGACTTCAATTTTGAAAAATTAACAACAAATTTAAATTGTGTGTGCTAATACTAATATTTTGTCTCATTTATAAATTAGTTAAGTATTATATTATTTCTATGATAAAATTGAAACCAAACAATAAAAATTTCCCAGTTATTCAGTTTTACAGTGATAATTTTAAATCACTTCACATAAATTGGTACATTTTTAAGGTTTTAGATCAAAGTAAACAATAAATTAGAGAAACTTAAAAATGAATTGTATACAGCTGAAAAAAAGAATTTAGGCGCCTAACAAAATGTACCATTTCCAAAATATATGTGGTATTGTCACATAATAGAATAGGATTTGTTTTGCAAGTGAATAATATTAAATTTGTATCCAAAGAAATGTGACAATATTCATCAGTAAATTCAATATTATCTCCTTCTGAAGGTATATCAATTATGTATTTTCTAATATAGAAGTATATAGTGTACACTATAAATATTATGTACTATCGTGTACATAATATTTATATGCAACAAGAAATCTAGAAATTAAACAACAAACAAATTTAGAATTTGATCATAATAATACGTAGGTATCCTAAATTTATAAACACATACTAATTTGTCTTTACGGGAATCGAAGTTGAAGGACCAGATCGGTTTTGAAAGGATCGACTACCTTTTGCTGTGTCAGGCAACTAAACTTACTAACGCCGTCTTTATTGCAAATAGGCAACTTAAAATACCGATCCACTTTTTGTACACACTAGACGGACGATGAGGGCAGTTGTGTTGATGTATCGCGATGGCAACAATGACCACCACAGTAACGACAACTACAGTGAACAAAAGAGGCAGATTATATCAATGTATACCGAAATGTGGATATGCAGGTTAATTTTATTTGGAGGAAGGAGACCCTGTGGCTGGTTCAACGTGGGCAAATCGACTATAAGATTCACAACAAATCAGACGAAAACTTGTCTACCTAAACTAAACTACCTAATAGTAACAATAACAATATACGATTGGATCTGATAGTACGGCGATTATCCGGAAGCGCGTTCTCCTGGTGGACTCCACAATTGCATGGCTGGGTGGGTAGCACACACGACACACATGGTTCGATGGTGGGCTTCCGTTTTGACTAGCACTAACTCCGGTTTCGAACGACTGAGAGGTCCACTTTGAGTCGAGCTAAATTTTATTGCCAAAGAAAGAGCGACAAACAACTCTGTGGACACACGACCGAGTACTGGGAACAATGAACGCATGTAATCAATAAGTATAGATACAATGTTAATTTATTGAATCTTAATGGTATGAGCGAAATATGTATTAGATTGGGTATAAATCGATAGCAATTTGTTAACGAAGAAAAAAGATAATGACAAAAAAATACAATTAAAAAAGTGCTGATAGCAATAAGTACTCTGAAAAAAAGTGACTTGAAATAAGATGCCTTATTATCATAATTTACCTTTTTCAAAATATAAATTACCACATGTATTTAACATAAAATCAAAATTGGTATTACAACTGTGTTCTATGTTTGGTATTGAATTATTTGTCTGCAAACTCAAAATACATAATCACGACGACTTGTTTATTTCTAGCGGCGGATAAATATTACACGTTAATTCGGTCAAATTACCATTTAATGTTATAGTGTGCATGTTAAATTTTGCATACACTAATGTCCACAGTTGTACGAGTTGAATTTCTGTTGTCTTTTATATTTGTATTTAATATCCTTTGAGATATATTTGTAAGTCGAGTGGCAGATTTCCAAAACTGTCAAAGTAATCAACTTTTTTTCCAAACTTTTTGCACGATAACCAATGAGTACCTTTAATTTTTTCTTTATCTATATCAATAACTGCACACTCTGTTTGTTTAGAAGTGAAAGACAACCGGTTTCTAGAAAATACACCTATAAAGAGTGGTATTTTCATCGCATCTGCATATTTTATAATCTCGTAATCGTAATTCTATTGGGTAACGTCGTAATTAGTGTTTTTTTATTTGTGGCTCTTCCTTTACAGGGAGTTTTTCTCTTACCACAGGTAATTTTATACTTGTCACCATTATGCGTAGTGAGATGCAATCCTTTGCTCAAGTGTGTCGGCGTTATTCTATTGAATTCCCCGATTGCTTTCGCTACTCTGGTTGTACCATCCGTTAGAGAACCCAATGCTGTCGTCCAGCGAAAATCGATATTAATGGTGACATACCGCCGGATTTGGGTATCGGTATGACTCTGGATGTTTTTTTTTTCCGTTTTTCTTAATTACCTTTTTCGTGGCCGCAATACATTTTATAGTTAACAAGCATACATTTTTTTAACCGACGTTTTTCTTTAACACGTTTTTAGCGGCCTTAACTTTAAATCCACGTTCAGCACCTAATTTTCTATTGTACATTATATCAGTATGGACTAATATAATATAACTATGGGGCTGTTCAAAATTTAAATTATTTAACGCTGTCAGCATATCGCTCTCCATACTATCGTCACAGCCGGTAAAACAAAAACAACACTATTTTAATTACATTAAAAAAAAAAAACGCGTTTAAATATGAATACATTTAGATTTTCGAAACATTTATAAGTAAAATATTTTTAATTGTATCATATAAAAATGTTTCAATTATATTTTAAAATAGTATTTTTATGTCGTTCAAATATGTTTTAATGGTTAACAGCCAAATGTTTAAGATTTTATGTCTTAAATTATCCTTATCATATTATTTAAAAGTTTTCAATAAAATATTATAAACAAAACAATTACAAAATATTTATAAAACATAAACATTTTCTAATTACTATGTGGGATGCAATCTGTATTCAACTTCCCACCTACAACAATGGCACACCCATCAAATCGTTTTTTATGATACAAATTTGGTTTCATTATAAATAATCAAAATCTAAGACAATATACTAAATCATTTCTAATAATTTCTACTTATATTATCTGGCTTTAATTAACAATATGGAATACATTAACAATACTAATATTATCGTTTGTGTTTGCATATTTTCATAATACTATTGTATTGTCGTCTATGCTTTCCATCGATATTATACACAAGAATTAATAAAATTATATTTAACAGTATTCGTCGTCCGACCTTCTAACTTCGTGTTTAGTTAATCATTATACAAAAAAGCAAAAGCTAACGAAAATATGTTTTTTCTAAACATTAATATTGGGACTGTATTCTTAATTATTATTACGGTTTTGATTTTCTACGTATTTGAAGTCATTATACATACGTTGCTGGACATCGATCATCAAATCAATTATTCAAAAAACTACATGGCCGATAGAAATTACCGATGTACCATTACCGATGACTTTAAGAAATTTTATTGCATTAACGAAAATGCGTCACGTTTGTTCATGGTTCAATCGTCATACAGTAAAATAAAAAAAAAATTAATTATATATATATATATTTGAAAAATACGTCACGGTTCGTTACATAAGGTACTGGTGAGATGGTCAAATTTTACTTTTTACCTAATTTAAATGGTTGAACTGCACGTTTTTATATGTTCAATTTTGATCAAATATCCACTTAGATCAAAAAAGTTTAGAATACATTTATTTCTCTTTCGCCTTACAGACGTATTTAAAAATTAGATTTGTTTAATTTATACTTTATTAAAAAGCATTTCCTGAACGTTTAAATCTACAATTTGACTGTTGCCTAAATGTGATAACCAGTTTATTGACGTATGTCTTACCAGTCCCCTCCATTTGGAAATATACGTTTAGTTGAAAATTTAACGACGCAAATATTTAATATATCATTAGTATGTATTTATATGTCAAATCCCAAATTTCTTACAACCCCCCCCCTCCCATTCACGGTCAAAGGTCACTTATTATATATTTATTTTGTCATCTCGCCAATTTTTCTTCGGCTTACAATGTATAAAATCTATACATTTTTTTCTTTTATCAATATTTGATTATAACAAATCGTCATCTGTACTATTTTTGGTATCCCAACAGCTAGGTCACTTAACCATTTTACTTGATAACAAAAATAATAATAATTTCTGATTGCATATTCTACAATGGATCTTTGACTATATTTAGTCATTTTCATATTATCGAATCAATAGATTCTCTGTTCACGATACAGTTGTATAACGTCTTATATATACTCGTGTACACTAGGGCGTCATTTAAAATATTGAGGGGTATGCTCATGCATACCTAAAATTCGTCAAGATTGCATTTTGGCCTGACTATAATATACTTTTTTTGTTTTTAATCGGTCTTAAGAATCGACAATTACGACCATAAACTGTATAGTAATTGTGAACCACTTTTTTTTTTTTTTTATAATAAAATATAATATTTTGGCCTGCCAAACAGTTTTTCGGCCTGCCTTTCAAAAAGTTGAAATGATGCCCTTAGTATACATACATGTTGCATTTGTATATTTAGTATGATTGTTTTTTCTTTTTTATCGTACCTTAAAAAAATTAACAACACAACACAGAGTCATATTTTTAATTTTTGTTTATTTTTGCTACTTATTGTTATATTGTTATAATTTTTTATAAAGCATGCATTTATACAACACTATAAAAATAAAAGAAAAACGAAAAAATAAATGAAAATATTTGAAAAACGGAACTAATTTATCAAACACGTCACGACGAACATTCATATCATAGTTCACGAAGGACTGATTTATAAAATAATAAATAATCTGAATTATCATGATTATGTACAAGATCGAAAAATAATATTTATAACATTGGTATGGGAGTGGGAACCGAGAATATTAAAGATTACAATAATAGAGTATATACTGTTAAACAGTATAATATTGTGACTATGCAACTATAATTATTGTTTTTGTTAGAGCTCAATATATAATGTTATAAGATATATTTGTATAACTTAAATTAAATAGAAAATTATGAACATTAAAAATATCTCTAAGACCCAACTCGGTATATTGAATATTATGCTCATAATAATGGGTAGATAAAGTTGAAGACGTAATATTTATTTGTATAAATGCCACGAGAATAGATTATATAATGTCACACGTCTACTGCAAATGCCTGTATATCTCCAACGAAATGTTTAGAAAAAATATTTTTAGTTTGCACCATTTTTTTTTTAACATTGAGTACTATATTTTTTAAATATAAAACGATTTTTAATTTTTTCCTTTCATGGTCCTTTAAGTATAATATATGTATATAATATATACTGTATATTATACAGAGTGTCTCCCGATGAAATACATTTTGTTCTAGTCAATATTTTTGATAGATTTTTTTTAAAAATTATTGGTATGCCTCTGTGCTACAGTTTATAAATAAACATTTTTTTTAAGGGGTGGAGGACTTAAAGTAAACAATTTTAAATTTGACTATATTTTTTTAAAAAAAATTTCATTATCCATTTTGTAAAATACATTTTTAGAACATTTTTGGTGACTGAAACTTTTGTTTAAGTATGGTTTTTTTTATTTCTATGATATTTTGAAAATTTAAGTAATTTTTTTTTCAATCATAACAATATTGTTTATCAACATGAATTACCATTTACCAACTACCTAATACCCACAATATGATAATATTATTGCATGATATAAACTCTACGGAAAATAAAATCCTTGTCATGTCCCTTGATTAATAATTGATTGTTGTATTGAATGTTGTAATGAAATAACCTCAATAGGTCGTTATATTCGAATTTAAAAAAACCTTTAAAAGATCGTGCAAATCAAAGACGATACTATAACAAAAGTTTCAACCACCAACAGTTGTAAAAAAATCTATTTCACAAAATGGCTATTTTTAATTTTTTTAAAAAAATTTTAATTAAATTTTATATTTTATGTCTCTTTCTCCCTAAAAAAAAAAAAAATGTTCATATAAACTAGTGATCTCAAACTCAAATTATAGACAGGCCTTTTTTTTTTTTCAAAAACAATTCGTGGGCCAAATTTTAAGTGTCCCCTTTTTTACTGATATACTAAAAACTGAAGACAAAATGAAGGCAAAGATAATAAAAAATCCCTTTATCTAAATTCTAAATAGACTTAGAGACTTAATATATTATGAAATATGAACTTTTCTTCTAATTACTTTTACCAAAATTATTTATAAAAGTATAAACAAAGTAGTTGTTTATTTTACTTATTATTACTACAAAATGATCATTGTGAAAATATGATGAACATTAACTTAAAAAAAAAATTAGAATTAAAATCTAAAAATATCTCGATTATTTGTTTATTTTTATTTTTGAACTGCATTTGAAATTTGACTTTTTTTTCTTTTATACCAAGCTGTCTATATTTGCACAAGAATTTCTTGATGCCAAATGTAAAACAGATTGTAATTTGACATTTGAAATTTGATTGCGACTTTTCGATTTGTTTAATTTCATAAGAGAAACTAATTGTTCACATACATAAGAGCTACCGATAAAATGTTAGAAAAATGTTTAATTAGTTTTGGATAACTGTTTCCAAGATATTTAAAAATTTCTGAAACTTTTCTGAAAAAGTTTTCTGCAAACAATTTCAAATTTTGATTTTAAAACAGAATTACATTGCAAATCAATTAACTCGAGTTGTAAATCTTCCCTTACATGATATACATGTATAGAAAATGGCTCACTAATTTTTACAATCATTTATATCTGTGGATAACTGTTTTAATGTAGGAAAGAGTACTAAATTATTTAATGAAAGTTGAGTTTCCTATAATCGAAGCTTCATCGTAAATGAATGAATTGAGTCGTACATATTTGTAAAAGCTAAAAAAAGCTAAATATTTAATCCAATCATTATTAGTTAATTCTGGAACAATTTTGTTTTTAGATTTCATAAAATAGTTTAATAAATTGAAAAATTTTTGTAGAACTGCTCCACAACTTAACCATCTTACTTCACTGTAATATACTTAACAACCATACTGACCATTCATTTCATCGAGTATTGTATTAAATTGTCTATGATTTAATGCATGGGATCTAATCCAATTCACTGTTTTAATAACTATATCCATAACATGTTCCATTTAAACTTTTTTTGAACATAAAAATTTTTGGTGGATTATACAATGAAGACTTTTCAAATCAATACCATTAGTCATAACTTTTGATTTTGAATCGAGAAACCAATCCTGTTTTTACATCTAACATTTCGGGTGCTCCATCAGTAGTAAATACTCGAAAAATTATTCCAATTTATTCCAATCTTCTAATTCATTAAGATACTTTTTAATACAGTCATATAAATCACTACCGGTTGTTGTGTCAATCATAGGAATCAAGTCCAAGAGTTCTTCAGTTATACCAAAATTATCGAAAACTCTATAAATAAAAATAGCTAAGCGGTATTGGTAATACCGGTACTTTCGTCAACAGTAATAGATTAATTTAAAATTCGTTTACTTTTTTCATGCAATTGTTGTTTAAGATTGTTAGCCATTTCTTCAATTCTCTGAGCAATAGTATTTCCAATTAAACTTATATTCATAAATGCTTGTTTCTTTTTGGGATATATTACTTTCACCGCACTAACTATACACTCGTTAATAAATTCACCGTCAGAAAAAGCTTTTGACGTACGTGCGATTTTTCTTGATGTAACGTAACTATATTTAACAGAATAAATATTTTCTTTTCTTATATTATCAAATAATTTTTTTTGATGCGAGAGATTTATTTTTAATTCTTCAAAATTTTCTTCGCGTAATTTTTCTACAAATTTATCGTAAATCTTACAATGATTTGTGTCATAATGTCTTTTAATGTTGTACTCCTTGATGACAGATACATTTTATTTACAAATCAAACATATTAGAAGAGAATTAGAATTAGTAAAAAAGTATGCATAGCCCCATTTTTCTTGAAAAGCCCGTCTTTCTTCGTCAATTTTACGTTTCATCGGTTTGATATACGCTTATAAACTTAAATTTAAAATTACACTTAAATAGCTACTATAACTATAACTATAACAACTATTACTATAGTTACTAGTACGAACAAAACAACACTAGTCACAGTCAAACTGATACTCACTATTTCTGCACCTACACCGAAATACAATGATATTTATTTTTCTAGATTAGATTTACCGCATTTCAAATACTTTATTGAGTATAATGGGATTTATGAACGATTAATGTAAAAATAAAACATTATAAACGTCAGATATTTTATAATCTATGTCTTTATGATGCGTAAAACAAAAATTAACATTTTCACAATTTGTTCATATATTTTTGTTCAAAATTTATTTTTATTGCCGGCCACATGGAAAGGGTACGTGGGCCACATGTGGCCCGTGGGTTGTATGTTTGAGATCACTAACATAAACTGTAGCGCAAAGGCATATTAATTATTTAAAAAACAATATATCAAAAATATTAAATAGAACAAAAGTTATTTCAAGTGGCAGATCATTGTTGGACACCTGTATACACAGTGTGATCACAATTTTATGTTGCAGCAATTTTCTCCTGTAGATATTCAAAATAGAGAAAAATATTTAATACAAAAGTTTCTTTATTTATAAACACATAAAATAGTTTGTAAATTGTTTTTATTTTACTGAATTTCTTTTTTTTTTGAGGGAGAAGGAGGGGGTTTAAGTGTTAATTGTTGAAATTCAAATGTGAACATTTTGATACATTGTTTTTTAAATAATTAGTATGTATAGTATTAATCTGACCCGATTCTGTTAGTGGCGTAGTTAAAAAAAAAGTGAAGATCATCCCCTCTCATTGCCAGGGGTGCAAGTGTACAACCATAATAGTTTTAAAGACTTATTACTTTATTAAGAAATCATTAACTTAATTACGGTAACCTTTAGACAGATAATTTGTATTTTCCTTTTATAGATGTATTAAAAGAATAATTACAAAAAACAAAGAAAAAACTTAAAATGAAAATAGACAAATATACAACGTTAAGATTTCATTATTTTAAATTTATTTAAAATAATTATATTATTCCAATAAGAAAACAATATAAGACCATTTTTGTTGCTTTTTTAATTTAGTTAATGAGTGAGGAAGTTATTTTCTTAAATAAGAAGATAGGAAGATTTTCTTAGTTGTTTTCATCATAATTGGGAAAAACCAAATAAAGACAAAAAATATAACTGATACATTTACTGTGTTTTTTTTTTTTTTTTTGGTAGGTAGGTATAACAGTAAAAGCTGAAAATTTAATAAGATATTCACTGTAAGTCTTACTTTGTGGTAAAAAAATAAATTGAAATTCATTTAGTATTTTTAAATTCTGAGTGGAGCGAAAAATGTATTAGTTTTAGAAAGATGTTTATTTATTTATTTTTTTTTTTTTATGTGAACAGTTTTTTCACCAGAAAGCCTACTCTGATGTATACGATGTAACCCTGTTTTGAAAGGAATTTTTGTTAGGGTGGTACTTTAAGGAGGCCATTTTTCCATTTTCTCAGGAGTTTTCTCATCAAATGTAAAAGATTGAAAAAAAACGTAAAAAATATAAAAAAACAAATGCCTATTTAAATATTTTACCATATTATGGCATATATATTACTGTTGAAAAAGCATAGCTACCAACTGAACTCCGCTTAGAATCATTTTTAGTAAGCAATGATTTATCGTTACTTAGAATATAGAAGGGAAACTAATTTGTATTTGTAAGTACCCAACTTCTCACCAACAAGAGTTCCTGCACTCGTCCCCATTATCCTAGGATAGCTTTTTTTAATGTCAATTTTAATATCAAATTATTGCGAGAATCGTAAATTTTACGATTTACCACATCTAGAAAAGGCAAATGTTAGTTTTTTGTCCAATTTTTAAGTTCATAGAGTTTCTACAGATATTTTTAACTGAATTACAACAAATAACAAAACTGGTAAAATAATAAAAGCATTAATTTCGTAAATTTCCCGTTTTTCTGACGTTTTATTCTGGCTTTTCCCAGATATTATGAAAGCCGCTTGGAAAATTAAAAAATGATGTCCCAAAAGTACCATCTGGATCCTTTCAGATATAGTGTCACGCATATATATCTGAACAAGATTTATGGCTGAATTTTTCTGCACAGTAAAAAAAAAAAATAAATAAACATCTTAATTAAACATTCGCCACACTCAGAATCTAAAAAAAACTTCATAATAAGACCAATACATTCTTCGTTTCGTTTAGAATCTAAAATACTATAATATAATATTTTACCTCAAAATGTGCCTTATACTAAATCTTATCAAAAAATGACTTTCTTACTCACTAATTTGATTAAATAATTAGATGATTAAATAATGAGATGAAACAAAAAAGTTCTCTTGCTGTTTTTCTATTGGAAAAATGTTTTTAGTAAAAAACAAAAACCATTTAAATTTAAAATACAGTAATTGTAATACCGTACATTTTCCAGTTTTTCGTTTTTCCATGTTTTTTTATTCATTTTGAAAATTTCTAGAAAAAGAGGCACACATTCTAGCAATTTTTAACCACATCTAATATCTATCAATGTAGTTTAAAAAGTTTAAAACATAACTATAAAATGGTTCTGTTAGGAATAATAGGAATTTAGCAATTGATAATTTTACCTACAATTTGATGAATAAAAAAAACATACATAGGTATAAATCTATTAACAAGGGTTTATAATAGGTAATTATTTTGCTATATAGCTATCTATTTATCGTTAGTATTTGTTGACATAAGTTAAAATTTAAAATAATGAAATCATGTGCCTTAAATATTTTATTGTTTATTTGTATAAATAATAATATTATATTATAGTTTTGCCATTATCATTGGCTTTGAATACCGAATTGTCTATGTTGGCCCATAGAACCAGGATGATCGTAATGCAACTTAGCAGATATCTATTCGCCGAAATATATCTAGAAAATAACCGACGACGTGTTTATGGTATATTATACAATAATTAAAGCTTACTTAATTTGAAGGATATTGTTTTAGAAAGGATTTCTCATTTATATATTTTAAATATTATAGACAAATCAATGAAAAGTAATGTCTCCCTTTTTAACAACCATTATCAGAAGCTGGATAATCAAATAGGTTGGTATTTATTTTTTTGTACAGTTATAATACTATGTCATTTGAGGTTTGGAAAATATAATAATATACATATGTATTCATATATATTCATATAGACATTTCGATCAATACCATCGAGCAAATAGAAAACGCCTACAGAGATTTAAAGTACCAATTCAGCATACTGGAAAGTAATACGAAAAATGTTAAACAAGTTTTTATATTATATCCGTATTAGTAGTTATGCGTATAATATGAAATTTGACGATTTTACCGGTTTAGGAATCGGGTTATTGTTTTTTAATAAATGTCCATTGCGTTTCCACCCCATCCTTTAAATGATTTCTACAATCTGATTGACCTTCTCCTAAACTTTTGGACTTTTCCTTCCTCCCTAGTGGGAATATTTTATCAAATATAATATTTTGTTACATAATCGATTAATTCAATAATTCAAAATTTATTTTCTAGTGGACACACAGTAAGCAGTCTTGTTCTATACTGAGTATCCAATATACTTCACTCTGTGTCTATTTGGACACAGAAAACCTCCTTGAAAAATACCTATGCAGATGTTAATAATATATCTATGTACTTTGTTTCGTGGAAATATGTGACTGGCCATAAGAAAATGATTACATTTCAAAATAGTTCTAGGTCAGTTATCTTATTACCTAACGGCGGTCTGCAATTTGAAGGCTTTGTATCGAATAAACTGATTTCAAATGCAAATGTTTTTTGATTCCGAGAGTTGTTATAGAAGTGTGATTTTTTTTAAATTTTCACTTACCAGAATGTCCCGAAAAACCATGCCTAACACAGAGGATCTCAGAATGTGTTTGCCATGTCTTCCCACTTCACCAATTCCTATTTTGCCGACATCCCTCTTTGCTGACTCCCATTTTGCTGACAACATTTTCTTTTGTTGTAACTCATCGGTTAAAATAATATAAATTCTCAAAAAAAGACGTACAAAATGTTATTTATTTATTTATTAGTTATTTATAATAATATACAAATTATACTGCAACCACGTAAGACGATGGCTAGTCACGCAGATAAGATACGCCTTTTTCAATATCGTGACCTCCACACGTTTCATAATGAAAACAAACATTACTTATACAGCTTACTCATTAATTGTATACACCGTACGATTATTATTATTATAAAATTATGAAATTGTTTACAACATTTTTGGTCTTTTCCAATTATCATAAAAAACCCCTCGAATAAAAAATACAACTATCCCTTCAATATAGCAAGTAGATCCAAAATACAACAAAAGTGGTCTCTTGTCATTTTTCAAAATAAATTAAAAACTGTTTTAATTGAAATACTTTATTAATATTCTGGTATATTATGTATAACTACTCTTATTTGGTAAAAATGCATAAACCTAATAAGAATAAATAATAGAAACGTTTGTGTATTATTATTAAAATGGATCATCTGCCAGTGCCACGCCCGTCGTTGGATTCCCACACAACCACTTTGTGCGGAGAAACTTCTTTTTCGGCTACATGTAAAAAAAAAATGACTTTTTTACCTGCATTTAAAACATAGTGTGAACTTAGATTTTGTAATCTCCCATACAGACCTTTTTTTTACATTTTTACCTGCCAAAAATAGACGGTGTGTTCTTTTACATAGATTTTTTACATTTTAGATTGTGAGTGTAGCGAGGAATGTATATTGGTTTTATAATGATGTTTATTTGAGATAATTGTACTTAAGTGGGGAAAAACGTATGATAATTTACGATTTAATTGTTTTAAATAAACACGCACGATGTTTTAAACCAGAAATAGTTATCTAATGGAAAAATTATAAGATACCTCTTTTACTGCATTTTATATAAATCTAATATCTATAAATCTATAATTTTATATAAATATTCGTAAAACTTACGAATGTAAGATAATAAGAGCTGATACTGGGGATAAGAGCGGCCATTGCTGTAGGTGAGAAGTTGCGAAGATAGGATACATAGGGTTATTTCATTTAATATACATATCTGTAAGCAACGATAAACAATCGCTTCACGAAAGATGATTCTGATAGACAGTTCGGTAATACATAATTTGAGTGCCGTCATTTTTTTTGCGATTTTTGTTTAAATTTGATTTCAAAACGTTTTTAAAAAAAAAAAGTTGTCCGATGATTTTGGAAATTTTACGTCTAGGATAAATATTACTATCAAGTTTCAAATCTCTACATGTATTTATAACCGAATTACAGCAAAAAAACTTTCAAAAATTACAATTCCTTAAAAGCTCAATAGTTGCTTAAAAGTTTTGGCAATGATACTGTTATAAGAAAGTGAATTAAAAGGACAACAAAAAAGGTATCTTGTGATTTTTCGATTAAATCTTTTTTTCTGATAGAAAACATCGTCCGTGTTTTTATAAAATAATGAAATCGTTAAATTGTACGTTTTCCTACATTTTTTCCCACTTAAGTGGTTTTATTTAAACAAAACAACAAAAATCAAAAAATGACCTCTTTAAAGTACAATCTAGACAACTTGAGCTTTCAGTAAACGGTACACGTAAAAAGTTGGAGGAAGTTTTACTAGGGAAAAATGTGTCCACAAACTAGAATAAAGAAAAAAATTAAATAAACATCTTAGTAAAACCAATAGATATATCTTTGATACTTGTACTATATATTTTGTATCTTTCCTAATTTTATAGTGTATTACGTATTGTGTAAGTATTAATATTAATGTCGGACACTTCTAGTTTGTACTAAGTACTAAATAGTTTTCTCTAGTTTAAATTCAAATAGTTTTGAATATTTAAAAATAGATATAATTATATACAATAACATAAATATCTATACAGGAAACTTGCAGTGCTACAGTTACGTGCCTCCGAGCCCGCTGATCGCCGTGAGTCCGCCTACCGTAATGAGTCCGTCGACCACCACGAGTCCGACAACCACCGAGATACCGTTGTCCGTAACCACAGGATTCTTGTCCCCATACATCAAGTCGTTTTCGGCCAGAGGCCCGTCGGAACACCATCCGGTCACGGCGTCGCTGATCACGTCTACGAATCTGCAGGCAGAAGATTCAGACATCGCACACATCGGCAACACCGTCGTCAGAAACGTTCGTTGTCATCGCTTACGCTCCGCTCTAATAAACGTTCGGGGAATGATTGCCGGATTACAGATATAAACCGACTATGATTTTATAATATACTACCACTACTATGATTTTATAATATACTACCACTACTTGTACGTTAATTGCACACAAAATATATAAAAAGTAACGAAAATTACCTATTTTCGTATAATACGGTATTATACAAAGAGAATAAGTAATAGCAATAGGTCACAAAATTGGCCCCAAAAATATAAATATGCCTCCAGAATATCTAACAATCGATTTTGTATATTTCTCTCAAACAAACAGATACTTGACTCACTGGTAGAAAACACTCAAACAATAAATATAAACGACCAAGTCATCCAAATTCGCAGATTAATCAATCCCACAAAAATAATAGTTATATCTAACGTATGTCCCTTGATACCCAACCAAACTATACTACTCGTAGATGCTTTAAACCTCATAGACATAACCCCTATATCACAGGTCAGTTATACTGTCAGTTATACAGATACTGACTCTAACATCCTGCATAAGGATGTAGGATGTTGCATAAGTAGACCAAATATCCAAAAACGCAGCCAGAATGGCAAGAACCCCCCAAGGCCTCCATTCCTTCCCAAACGCCACTTTCGACAATTTGTACAAAAAATATCAATTAGAAAACATACTAACAACTGAAATTAGTATCTCCCCACCATGGCTCATATCTATCAATATCAACTTGGATTTACACCAAAATCCCAAGAAATCTACTTGCCCTACTCACTACAATAACCTCCTCAAGGAAATATTGTTAACTACACCTCAACATGCACTTATATTCACAGACGCCTCTGTCACGAAAAACCACACCGGCATGGCCATCATTCATGGTGACTCACAAACCCAATGGAAATTATCCAACAAATGCTTCATCTACACCGCTAAAGCCCTTTCCATCCTTAAAGCTATCGAGTTTGTAACTAACAAATCCGAAGCTAGCCAGATCATAATTTTTAGTGACTCCCTCTCCAGCCTCATTAGCTTCCAGAACTAATGGAAATCAATCGACAAAGCAAGAAAGATTCAAAATGCACATTTTTAGAACCACCCTCTCCGGTAAACACATCATATATGTGGGTTCTTGGCAACTATAATAGAGCAGGCAATGAACGGGCTGACAAGGCCGCCAAACTTGCCCATCTATCCGATAATTCCCTCACATCCCTCGACTTTTCTTTTCAAGACGTTAAAAGAATTATAGCCAAAGATACATACGACCTATTGGAAAAAAAATGGGTAAAATTGTCAACCAAATTACACGAGATTAAAAAGAACCACCTACCCTTGGCCTTTCTCTGAAAATATCACCAGAAAACAGGAGGCATCCATCACTCGCCTAAGGATCATACATACACACATTATCCATTAACACCTCATGAAGAGAGAAGTACCTCCTGTCAACATCAAATCCGTTCTGAAATTTCTTCACGAGTCTAAACTACTCAGCAAAATCTAATACCATTTTAATCACTATCTATTTTAATTGTGATTAAAAATATATCATAATCTTTAATAATGTATAATAATGTTCGTTCAATGGCCTCAGCAGCCCCGGATTTTTTGTTCTAATAAAAAAAAAAAAATAATAAAGTTGAATTGTTATAAGAATTAAATGAAGTGTTAGTACATTTCGACCCAAAATTAAAGATAACATAAACATGTAATGTAATTCCATATGGAATTATGGCTATTTTATCGCATGTATTTCTAGATGGAGAAGAGAAACCCATTGCATTTTGCTTCAAGAAAATTAGGAGTGCACGAAAAAAAATATTCATAACTGGATAAAGAGTCATAAATATTTGGTATTAAGAAATTTCAATATGTTTATATGAAATTGTTTAAATTAAAAACTGATCATAAGCCATTATCCATTTGTAACATTTGGAGAGAAAGAAGAGATTCCTAAAATGGCAGCAAATAGATTGCAGAGATATGCACTAATAATGTCAGGGTATGATTATAAAATCAAATTTGTAAAATGTGAAGTTAATGGTAACGCAGATGCGTTTTCGCGATAACCTTTATATTATACAAATTTAAACGAAGAAAAAGAAAAGACCTACTGAGGATTTGTAAAGAGAGATAATGCAAAATTAATTAGAGGGTTAGAAATAGATAAGGGGACAAAAAGAGACGATGTTTATAATATATATTAATATATATAATTTAAAGATATTGGTAGAGAACTGTAATGTCTTTGGAATCATGTTAGGTTATGCCACCGATATGCGATAATAACATTTCTGTATTTTGTCAAGACACACATTACCACCATGTTTTTTGTCATATCTAATAAAGAGAAATATCTTGTGTTTAAATAAAGTGTTTTTATATAATATTCTTTATTTGTTTTCATCTAAAGGGTGTTAACTTTAAGAATATTGCAATTACCGTTCAACAAAAAATGATTAGGGAAAAAGACTTAGAGATGGAAAATACATCTAGATATTCTTTAGTATCACTAGGTTTACGGGCCAGTAGCACAAATCGATATTGCGCGCACTCCAAACACCACAATACTTCGTGAGCTTTGGTACGGTACCAACGTTGCCACATTATGTGTATTTTTGTACTCTTAACTAAGATGAAATAGGTAACTAAATGTAATAAATTAATAGTAACAAGAAATTGATTGATACTACGCTGTTGTTTTGTTGGCAAAATAATAACTATAGTCACAGCGATACAAAAAAATGAACAAGCAGCAATTGATACGACCCTAATGGTCCAATATCCAAAAATGTATAATAAAATTAAACTAAATATAAATGATATTTGCTTGGTTGACATAACAAAAAATATATATAAATAAAATTAAAAAAAAACGTATAAATTGTCGGCGTATTGCTGGCCAGCTGCTACCAAAAACCTATTTTATAAAATATTCATACACAGAAGAAATAAACAATATATACAAAATTCACAATATTTAATAGCGATTCGCACACACATAAATATTTAATATTGATTTGTTGTGATTTGCGCACGCAAACTAAAACATTGGTAACTCAATGGTCGCGGATCGAGGTAACAAAATTATAAATACTAACTAAAAATGCCTTTTGCAAGTTGGTGCGTTACATAACCGACCCGTTATCGGCGCCAACATTAGAATTGGTAATCTTAATGTGTTTTTTAAATATGATGATATTACAATACTACAATACGTTTTTTAAGTACCTATTACCTACCGTTTTAATATCTAAATTTAATTTAATAAAAAAATACATTTTTCATTTAAAATTCCATTTGATACAGAACAATTTATTTTAAAAACACAAAAAAATAACTGCGTATGGGATAAACGTAAGTATCCTCTCGTTTAATAATTATTTTAGTAATTAGGACTAAAATTACATAGATTAAAAAGTAAAAACATCATTTTTCTTTCTATACATATTATTAAGATATATATATTTATCAAATATATGATATTATAATAGAGGCGAAAAATCATCATGATCTTTAACAGCTACATGTCGGTTGGACCAATGTAGCTAAGACGCGTTCAGAAAACTTCGAAGAACTTAATGACAGCAAGAAGGCAGAAAAAGTAAGATTTTATATTATTATATAAGAAAATTACTACCTATAGCAACATATTTTAATCAATACTTTTTAGTTAAGATAAACTTAATATTTGAATTTTATACGTGGACCTTTACTTGCTAATGATAGATAATAATTGCAATACTAATGGTAAATAAAAAATAATAAGAACGGTTTTGCAGTTTTATACATTTTTATAGATAATTGGCATATACAATATACTCATAATATGTGGTATGAAATTATAAAATAAATAAGCATAAACAAATTATAAAAAGTAAACACCCTAAATATATTTTACAAACAAAATAAGCAAAATAATAAAAACATAATTTTCTTAACATAGATAGAATTTGAATAAATACGTCATGTTATTATACTTATTGATTTATTTACCAATAATTTTATTTTGCCAATTTTGTGCGTGATTTGAGGGTTGACATAATTCACAAAATACTCCTTAACATCCTTCGCATTTGTCTGAGCATTACCAACTCCTCTTCTTTCAGTTATGATATCCATTTCACAATTTAAGCTATCCTCATAATCAAACCCATCACGGCGCCTATTGTGTAAGACACAATAGGCTTTGGTTATTAAAAACGCGAAATTTGGTTCGATATAGTTATTAATAACTAATATTTTTAATAATATAACTAATATGACTAATATTTTTAACTCTAAATGGTACCTACATTATTAGAAAACTTTGAGTCTTTAAAATCTTGCTCTTGGAAACATATAACTCCCCTGTCCCACCTTTAATCCGACTCTGCGTAGATCCCATGCACTATTCGTTTTTTTCATTTACTATAATTGTTGTAATATTAACACTAATACAGTGTAATTTTTCTGAAAGGAAATTCGACTAGGGAGGTACTTTAGAAATGTTATTTTTCGATTTTCCCAAGAGATTTCCCAGCAAATTTAAAAAACCGAAATAAAGCATGGGAAAACCGAGAAAAACGTAGAAAACCCGGGAAAATCAATACAACATTAAACAAATATTAAACACCGAAAATACAAACAGCTCTATTATAAAGCTGTTGGCATTTTTGGTGTACCGGTATATCGTTGTTTCGGTAAACACCGTAAATACTACGGTAAATCGGTAAATATTACGGTTATCTAAAAACTGTGATAAATATTTTGTTTTTAAGAAAAAAAGAGAGCACTTTTTATCAGCACACGTTACTTATCAGTACTACAATATTAGGGCATTTGATCAATCACTGAGTCAATCATTAGATAGATCCAGTTAATAATTTTTATTTTTTTTTATAATTAAGCCGAAGAGACGGTACCAAGTGATTCATTTAAGTGGGTACACTCATTATCTCGGAAATTATAAGCTTTTTTCGGAATTTGTTTTCTAGAATATTCAAGAAACAAGCTCTTCTACAATATTATATTTATATTATTTTTTATCACCCTCATTTTTGGGGGTAAAACCTCTACCTAATTATGATTTTTAAATGGCAACCTATATTAAAAAGTTTATAAGTGAATGAAGTATTAATTAAAATAAATTTTAGTGTTGACATTTTTGATTTACATAGATCAGTTGACGAGATATTCCACTTTTAAGTTTGGATTAGAGGAGAGTGGTGGAGTATCATTTGTGTGGCGGTTCGGTGTTATTAATGTACCACTACTCTCCTCCAACTTAAAATTAAAAGTGGAATATCTCGTAAACAGCTTGACAGAAATCAAACATTTCAGCACTCAAATTTATTTTAACTAATACTCCATCGACTTTTGGAATTTTTAAAATAGGTTGCCATTTTAAAATCAAAAATAGGTTGTGGTTTTACCTCCAAAAATAAGGGTTAACAAAAAATAACATAAATATAAAATTAGAGCTGGTTGTTTTTTAAATGGTCTAGAAAACAAATTCCAAAAAGAGTTAATACTTTTCAAGATAATGAGTGTACCCTCTTAAATGAATCCCCCGGTATATACTGAAAAATACTGTAATAACGGTATACCAGTAAAAACATACCGAATACCGGTGACGAAATTCTCAATATTGCCAACTCTAGGTACATAATATATGATATTATATATCTTTGATTATTAGTTTGAAAGTTTTATAAAATGTATGAACAAATAAAGTAATAATTATAATAATAAATAATAAATCATTTTCTGTTAAAACAAGTGGCTTAACTAGAATTTATGTTTAAATCTCAACCAAATTCCATTTTCCGGCATCATTATAAAGGTTTTTTTACTAAATTTTAAAGGAATTTCAGTTTTTCTACATGGTTCCACTTCAAATTTAGTTAAAATTTCAACTAAAGCCAATTTCATTTCCAGTTCAGCAAAACTTTTTCCTAAAAATAATAATAAAGGAAATGATAAACACAAGACCATTATTAATAAATTTATGTTTCTTAAAAACTCACCAATACAAATCCGAGGTCCATCACCAAATGGAAAGTACGTACCTCTCTGACGTTTAGTTTTTTGTTCGCATGAAAATCTTTCTGGATCAAAGACTTCCGGATTCGGAAAATAATTTGCATCATAATGCAGTGAAAGTGTGGGAATTATTATTTGCTGACCCTTCTCAATAGTTAATGAATCGTTGCCTACATGATAATCTCGTGAAGCTTTCCTGAATAATGCAAATGTCGGTGGATACTTACGAAGCGTTTCTAAAAATCATATTTAAATTATAGATATAGGTGAATAATACATTTTTTGTAACAAAAATTATAGATTCTTATACTACATTTTATAATAAAGTATTCAGAAATACATTAAACTATATAAAGTAATTCAGATAAAATTGAATATAAAATATTAATTCTGTAGGTATTTAATTATTTTATGCTTATAAATTATATTTGTTAAGACTATAATACATGAGGTAAATATCACGAGAATTTCAACTTATGTTAGAAATCCTGTATCAAAATAATAATGATAAAAATATGGACATACTTCGCACATGGGTGTAGTCACTGTTGTAGGTGGGAATTTAAGAAGATAAGATACAGAAGGGAATTTAATGTATATCTGTAAACAAAGATAAACCATTGCTTATGAAAAAACGATTTTGAGCGGGGTTCAGTTGATAGTGATGCTTTGTCAACAAATAGTGAAATAATAAGGTAAGTTCTGTATATTTTCTTAATTAATATTTGTTTAATGTTGTATCGATTTTCCCAGTTTTCCCATGTTTTATCCCGATTTTTCACATCTGCTGAGAAAAGTCCAGAGAAAATCGAAAATCGAACTCTTTAAAGTACTTCCCTAGTGAAATTTACTTTTAAAAATATTTCCCTCATTAAGAGTTGGAACAAAATTGTTGGTAGAAAAGTTGTTCACATAAAAAAAGAAGGCCGTACAATATTTTAACTAATACCTACATTTTTTATATTTTCCTGTTTTTTTTTTCGGTTTTTCAAATGTAATAAAAAAAAAAATTTTAAAAATTTAAAAACTACCTCTCTAAAGTACCTCCTCATGCCGATTTCCTTTCAGAAAAACTTCTATACATAAAAATCTGAGCAAGTCTTTTGGTAGAAAAATTGCACACAGAAAAAAAATAAATAAACATCTTTGTAAAACCATATGCAATATGGTTTTATAATAATATCGTTCCACTCAAAATCTAAAATTGAAAAATTAAATTTGTTCCTCATAATTTTTACTCGAAATATTTTCGTCAAAATTTAATATTAAAATTCCTTCATAAAAAAAGTACTATATTAACTCAAATTTTTTTTATTGAATACAAAGTAAAACTTTTAATGAACCTCCTATTCAATTTTCAATAATTTCTGTTTTGTTCAACAATTTTACCACACAGTATTATTGTATAAAAATTATGTATAAAACTCGCAAAATGAATATTTAAATTTTACCACGTCTAGAAAAGGTAAATATACATTTTTCCAAATTTCAAGTCCATAAAATCATAAAATAGATACAAATATTTTTAACTGAAATTCAACTAAAAATAATACAATTTTTATAAAATGCCTAAAATGGCGCAAATGTTTCGAAAATTCTACCATGTTTAGTAAACATAAGTTGTTTGCTTAAGTTTCAAGTCTCTACGAATATTTTTAATTAAATTACAACAAATAATAAAAGCATTATTTTTGTAAATTTCTCGTTTTTCTTAAGTTTTTTCGCATATTTTCTTTTTATTGGAAAAGCTGTCTGGAAAATCATAAAATAACCTTCCTAACACCACCCCAAAAAATTTCCTTTCAGAAAAGTCGTCTACATCGTATACGTCGGAGTAAGATTTCTGGTAGAATTATTAAACAATATAAAAAATTACAAAAAAAAAAAAATCATCTTAGTAAAACAAATACGTCATTCTTCGCTACACTCAGAATCTAAAATGCAGTGTTGCATTGCATCTTGCCCCCCCCCCCTGTGGGCAATACAATTCACATACACACACAATTAAAACGATTTTAAACAGAACTCGGTTAAAAGTATTGCTTTTTCAACAATATATGTGGAATATTATAGTAAAAAAAAATATATATTGAAGCGATTCATATGCACCAGTAACTAGATTTATTCCACATAATTTTTAATAAAATGATTTCTATCAAATTTGTTATCGAAATTCTTCTATAAAAAGAAATGCTATATTCAATTCAATTTTTTTTTTTTGTTTTGATCATAAAGTACGTCTTCTAATGAACCTCCTGTTTAACTTTCAAGCATTTCTGTTTAGCCTAACAATTTTATTTATAAAGTACCTACTAAATAAAAATTACTCACAAAATTAAAATGTCTATAAAAAGTTTAAAAATGCCTCAAATGTTTTTACAGTTAAACCACGTCTAGAAAAAGCAAATATGAGTTTTTTGTCCAAATTTAAAGTCTCTACGAATATTTTTAACTAAAATACAACAAAATAATAAAAACAATATTTTAGTAAATTTCCCGTTTTTCTTATGTTTTATTCCAGTCTTTCCCAGAAATTATGAAAAACGCTTTGAAAATCAAAAAATTACCTCCTAAATTACCATCTAGACAATATTTCTTTTTAGAAATGGTGCTACACGTACATACCGGTGCAAGATTTCTGGTAGACATTTTTTTCATAGTATATATATATTAAAAAAAATACATATAATTGTAAAACAAATACATTATGAATTTATCTTTGAAAATTTTTTCTCAGAGAAGAAAATGATATAAACCCGAATTTATAACATACCTAGCAGTTCTAGGAGATAACTAATATAATATTTAAATTTACCTGCCAAAACCATATCTAAATAATTTAGATCTACCAAAAAGTCATTGTCAATCACTCCGTTGTTTTTGAACTTTTGTGATATAATTTCATCACGCAATTTTTCTTGGATACCTTTCTTCAATGCTAACTCATATAAACAAAAGCTCAAAGTTGTAGACACCGTTTCAAATCCAGCAAGAAACATGACAAAAGCATTCGCCACAATTTGTGTTTCCGTAAATTTCTCTAAATAAACACAAGAATACAATTTACGTTTAAACGTTATTTATTATACGTAGATATAAGTATCTATTATTTATTTAAACTAAAAAATTTAAAAAATTTTTTTTCAAAAATCTTTATTACCAATTGGAAGTAAATTTTCGTTAAAAACTAAATCACGTCTTGCTTGCATTAGAACTTGAACGAAATCATTCCTAACTATATTGTTCTTTTCTCGATAAGTTATAGTCTCGCGAAACACTGAGTCAAAAAAATCTAACGCATCTGCTGGAAAATCTTTTAATTTTATAACTTTTAAAAGTGCCGGAGTAACCATTAAACTCAATTCTTTTAAAAGATGTCTTAGCGATGGTTTTAATAAGCTCTTTCCGTACCTACGAAATACGATATTTTCTTCATTTATGGTATTTAACTTGAGTCCAAAAGCACAAGTGCTAATGACATCTATCGAATAATTCCCAATGACGTCTTTTACTTCTATTTCGCTATTGCTGTTTTCTGTCAGATTCTTACTGATATTTTTCATCATTTCGTCACCACACTCTTTGATTTGATCGTACATCAACTTGAGTTTTCCCAAAGTAAACGCTGGACTCAATTTATTTCTGATCACTTTCCATTGGGGATTTTCCATGAAAAATAAATTGTTTGACAACGGATTGAACGAGAAGTCCGAGTAAATGCCGCGATTCGGGAAATAAGAGAAGTCTTTTATGAGTATGGTATTAATTAGTTTTGGATCTCGAATCATCAAATAAGGTGTCCTCATTTGAAATAGGCCCCCGTATTGATGGCCAGCCAATTCGTTGTAGATTCTTTTGTAAAAGTCCACTGGATGTTCGAATCCCAAAGCAACGTTCAAAAAATTACCAAACAATGGAATAGGACGAACGTAAGGTACATTAAGTTTTTCCCATTTAGTAAATGTCCACGTACAAAAATAATATGCAATCATACACATTATTACACAAAACGTGGCGATATTAAGCCACCAACTGGGAGAATATGAAAACATGATGAGAGATTCTCGAAACGAAGTACGACGTACAAGTTATCAGAGCGCCATGTATAACAAAATTAAGACTATATTCTTTTATACCTTCGAGTTATATCGAGTTATACCGAGTTGTATAATGTCGGCTTTGGTTAAATGGCCTTGAGTAAATTAATATGCTATTTATTGAATAATATACCTACACTTAAATCAGAATATAAATTACTACGTAGTTATACATAAATACTCGTATACGACAATTTGAAGGTTAACAGGTATTTATATTTTGTTCAATTAAATGGTAAACAATTTAATGGTAAGACGTATTCATTTTAACTATGAATCGATTTTATTAAAATATCTTATATTATAAAATACTAGCTGTCTCGCCTGGCGTATGCCCGTGACAATTTTAGATTCTGAGCGTAGCGAGACATTGGTTTAACTAAGATGTTTATTTCTTTATTCTTTTTTTTTCTTCTAGTCTATGGACACGTTTTTTCCTAGTAAACTTTTCTGAAAACTCAAGTTGTCTAGATTGTACTTTAGAGAGGTAATTTTTTGGATTTTCGACGCTACATTTTAAATAAAAGCACTGAAGTGGGGAAAAAACGTAGGAAAACGTACAATTTCACGATTTCATTATTATATAAAAACACGGACGATGTTTTCTATCAGAAAAAAATGATTTGATCGAAAAATCATACAATACCTCTTTTGTTGTTTTTTTGATTTAATTTCTTACGGTATCATCGCCAAAACATTTGAGCCAATTTGAGCTTTTAAGAAATTTTAGTTTTTGGGAGTTTTTTTGTTGTAATTCGGTTATAAATACATGTAAAGAATTGAAACTTGGTAATAATACTTAGATTTACCTAGACGTGGTAAAATTTCCAAAATCATCGGACTACCTTTTTTTTTTTTTTTCATAATATGTATACATTATCTATAAATAATTACTATTACTATTGTAGGTATCTACTAAACATATTTTATATGTATATGATAATAATTAACATGACTAAAAATTAAAATCAAATAAGCACTACCATCTTTGTAAAACTATAAGCTTCTTCGCTCCAATAAGAATCTAAAATGATGATGATTGGATACCGTCTGTCTAAGCTATTATCATTAAGAAATATATGCTGTATAGTGATATTTTTGTTATTTTCGGGCCTTTATCTATGATCGCCCAGGCCAATTTTTTACCACAATCCGCCCCTGATACCCCCGATTTATTTGGTTTTGTGTTGGTTATTTCGGTGTATTTTATTATTCTAAAAAATAATTGGCAAATTATTAACCGGATTATTATTTTTTTTTTTTTTGTGCTACGGTACTCGGTACCTTAATTTATTGTACGAGTACAAAATCACATCAGGTAGGTAAAGGAGAAAACGTCTTAATTTAAACACAAACCAATTCATTGAAGAATATTTTCGTAAAAAAAGTGTAAACATTCTTGATGTCTATGAAGTTTGAACACTGTACCCCGAGATTTTCACTCAAAAAATTAACCATTGCGTCACAATTATTAATTTAAATAGTGTAAAAATTTATGTATCAGCGTTCTATTTAAGGTGACGCCTAGATACACAAGGTGGTCAGTATTCTGCAATATTTTTCCTGGCCAATCTATATAAAAACGTTTAGTAGTAGTAGTAAAATATAATATATAATGTTAATGTATAATGTTGTTTGAAATAAACAACTAATGTATTTATATAAATATAGCTATCAGCGTGTATGTACCTACTACAAAATTACAATTATCAGTAGTCAACAAACTCGAGCAGTCGAGAGTCGAGACACATTTCTGAATAATCAGTTGTAGCTATTAAACGTTTATCATCCAGGGGCAGTGTCGTATCCAGAATTTTTTTTTTTGGGAGGAGGGTTGAAAAAAGGTAACTTATGAAATTGTTTTATATTTTGTGTGTACTATAATCATAAATTAAACATTATATTACTATTTTACAGCGCTAATTATATAAAAGTTGAAATATTTATCTTTTTTAAAAATTATAAATGTATATTCATTTTTCGTTTTAGCAAGTTAATCTATAACATCATTTATATCCACGTTGATATCGCGATGAATATATTTTAGTAAGACTAAACCATTTAAACGTATTTGTCCTGAAGAATTTCTCAAATATGTTTTCAAACGACGGAGTGTTGAAAACGATCGTTCTCCCGTGGCAGTAGATATTGGAAGTGTTATGAATATTTGAAGAAGTTTAGATTATACTGGATAAACATCTAGACTAGTTTAGAAGTATACTTCAATTGTATTTTTGTCCTAGAGTTTGGAAGATGTTAAATTTGAATATTTAGTGTACCATAAATCTAATTCTCCGTTTAATATATGATCATTTAAATTTGAATCTTCAATTATATCTTGATATGTTTCTGCTAATTGTTTGAATTACTTTTAATATCACCAGATATTTTCATTTCTAGCTTAGGTAAAATACAATTAAAATTATTCAAAACAATCATGTGTGATATAAATCTCGTTCAATTGGTCTCAACAATTATCTATAAAAGGTATTAATACTTAAAAAAATATTCTGGATCATCTGATTTAGATTGATGTAGCAAACTAACAGTAATATCAAATTTTTCCCAGACAGTTATTACAGATAAAAATAATTGTTAAAACTCTACATCACAATTTTCTCTAATATCCTGAATATTATTTTAAACATTAGCAGCTTCTAATGCAGTTTTTAAATCAAGATTTTTTGTAAGAATTACTGAAGACACCAGCTAAGTGGAAAACTTATGGAAAGTACTTTCACTAAAATAGATAATGCTGTTTTAAATTTTAACTGTTTTATCGCAGTAAGAAGATGACTTGCATAACTAAAAATGTCAGAATCTGTTCAAAGTGTAATTTATTCTAGTGCAAGTAAAATGGCTGGTTAAAGTTCTTCAAATAATATAACTACATCAAGGCGATCGAGTTGTACTTAGATTTTTTAGTTTAAAACAATTAGTCTATGGATATACTTCTTCTATTGACATTTGCAAAATATTTTGTCTTTTTGGATAACCAAAAGCGATAACCGATAACCATAGATTTACCTAATATTATAATACACACATTACACTGGACTGGACTTGTATTATTATTTTGTATTATTTTTGTAAACTGTTAAGTGTAATAACACTTTATTTTTTTTTCAAACTATGTATTAGTATTTTTTTTTCATTTCGGGGGAGGATAGGTTACAAACCCCAACTCCCCCCTGGATATGCCACTATCCAAGGAATTGGCATTTAGAGGAGCAACTTCGAAAATAGAATGTAATAACAATGGTAATTTTCTTATGGCTCTTGAGTTATTGGCTGAGTTTAATCCATTCTTATCAAACCATTTAGAAAAATATGAAAATCCAGGAAAAGATAACTTTATACATATTAAATAATATATTTGAAAAATTTATCAGTATAATATCTAGACAAGTATTAAATACAATTATTCAAGAAGTTAAAGCTTCTCGGTACTTTTCAATCTGTGTTGACTCTACACCAGACATATCACATATCGACCAGCTTTCGTTTTATGTTCGATATGTAAATAATAAAGGGGAAACCTTTAGAAAGATTTATATGTTTTTTAGATCAAATAGGACATAAAGCAGAAGACATGGGAAATGCTGTATTTAGTATATTAAAAAAATATGACTTAAATATTGATTATCTTCGAGGCCAATCCTATGAAATGCCAGCAATACGAGGGCTAATCAAAAAGTATCAAGACTGGTAGTATCATTCGGAAAAGGAGCACCGAAGAGCAGTAGGATTGGTATCACTTGCTTCTATGACTTTTTCTGAGTACATTTGTTTTTATTGCTTCTCTAAAAAATTCTTCGGTTTGATTTCACTGACATTTTTGTAAAATATATTTTTCGAGTTTGGCGATTTTGTAATAAACCCAAAAGAATAGTAACTTGACAGATTTGGAGATTTTAAAAAATTTTTCTGCATTTTTTTCCAGTTTCAGAGGGATGCAACATTTCATGGTTTTTGCCATTAAATTTCAATTGAAAAACTGAAAATGTGCCCTCGAGTGGCAACGAGTTCCGCTTCTTTTGGATTCATTACTAAATCGCCAAACGTGAAAAACAAATTTTAGAAAAATATCGTCAAATCAAAACGAAGAAGTTTATAGAGATTTTATACGAATAGATGTGCTCAGAATAAGTCATAGAAGCTAGGTTTACAAATCGTTTTGCTCTTCAACGCTCGGTTTCCGAGTAATATTATCAGTCTCGATACTTTTTGATTAGCCCTCGTATGTCGAGAATCCAAGCAAAAATTAAAAAAGTCAATCCCTTAGAAAAATATGTACCATGCTCTGATCATTTCCCTAACTTGGTAGAAACCAATGAAGTTGATTGTTGTACTCAAGCCGTTTTATTTTTTGAATTACTTTAAAATATTTACACATTTTTTACAGTTTCTTTTCACAGCTGGAAAGTTCTAAGCGCATCTGTTAAAGGACTTTCCGAAACAAGATCTTAATTTTTCTAAAAAGAAATTTTACTAGGGAGGTACTTTAAAGAGGTCGTTTTTCGATTTTTTCAGGAGTTTTCTCAACAAATGTGAAAAACCGAAAAAAACTGGAGGAAAAACCGGAAAATGTAAAAAATGTAGGTATTAGATAAAAATGTTACACCTTTTTTTTTTCCTGTAGACAACTTTTCTACCAGCAATTTTGCTCCAACTTATAATGATAGACATTTTTCTAAAAGGAAATCCGACTGGGAAGGTACTTTAGAGAGGTAATTTTTCAATTTTCTCAGGACTTTTGCAAATTTGAAAAACTTAGATAAAACATGGGAAAACCGGGAAAAACGTAGGAAAATCGGAAAAATCAACAAATATTATTAAAAAAAAATATAAAAAGCCTTTTAATTATTTCACTTTAATATGGCATGTATAATGTTGACAAAGCATCCCTAGTATACATTAAATTACCTATAACAGTGGCTGCACCCGTCCGCATTATCCTATGACGTCTTTTTATGTATACCAGTGGTTGACAAAATTAGTATAAATCACGGTATTATAAAACATGTGATATTAGAATCAGGATAGTTATTCATTTGCAATTATTTACCGTTGAGTAGATATAAGTATGACATATCCTACCTTTCCAACTTTTTTTCTAAAATGACAAATTCCACCGCTAAATTACAGTTCCTACGACGGCGGCGGCCTTTAATACGTTAAATGCGCTACATCTCGCAAGGTCGACGTAACTTTCGTCGTTTATTCCTCGGCAGGTTTGATCGATACCCGCTGGAGTTTTCACGGAGGACCCGAACCTTCCGTCGCATATAAACTAGTACTAGTACTAATGGGTACTAGTCACCATTTGTCAGCGTAAGTTTACTAGAGACGAGCGTTTTCAAAAGTTAAAAAAAAACCGACCGTCGTCATCATGCATGGTTCACCGAAGAAAAAAAAAAAGAGCAAAAAAAGCCACAAGAAAAAAAACGTCCGAGAGGAAAAGGATGCGTTGCAAGAAGTCGACCGGACCATGTACAACATACAGATCGCCGACTTGACCGAAAAACTTGCCAGGTATGTGTGTGTGTATGCATTGTTTTTAATTAGTCGTTGAATATTTCAAGCTGTTACATTTTTGGCAATGATATTATTATCAGTAATCTCAGCCATTTTTAAATTATCAAAGTTTGTGAAAAATTCGTAAAATATGCAGCTTAGAAAAAAAACAAATCTTTAAAAATGTCTGCAAAAACCATCGAAATATTATGCAAAAATATCTAAGTGTTCGTACAAATTAAACTAATGACTTATTGTTAATAAAATAATAAATCAAAATTATACTAAATTATTAAAATGGCTAATACTCGTAAATAAATATATAAATAAAAAAGGTGCACATAAAAATAAAATAAATAAATAAATGAATGTGTCGCCTGGAGTATTATGATAAGTTTTGTTTCGTGAATAGGAAGACTAAAAATTTGTTTAAAAACAATAAATATCATAAATAAAAGAAGAGTTTAGGATTTTAGGTACCAGGAGTGCATGTGGTATGTTACCGATTAGCTCCGCGCTATACGTTTAGAGTATTGCAGCGCAACGGTCTATGGAGACGGCGGCGGCAGTATCATGATGGTCGGGTGAGTAGCAAAGGTATAAGTATATTATACGACAGGTTTCGAATTAAAAATTCATTATCAGGTATAATATACCTGATAATGAATGTGATATACCTGGTATATCACAGTTAAAATGTAAAACGCGACTTAAATTTTGATTTTAATATACCTGATGAATTTAACTGATGAATTCGAAACCGGTCGTATAATACACTTATCATAGTACTCCAGGTGACACATTCATTAATTATTAACTGTATTTTTATGTATACATTTTTTACATACATAAATATTTATGAATATATTATATTTATAAAATATTATTAAATATATATTATATATGAATTAATTTCCCATATTGACTTATTTTTATAATTAATTTTAAATGACGTATTTTAGAGTGAACAATAGATACGCTGAGTTGGAGAAAAACAACGAATTGGAAAGAGAGAATGCTAATTCGTTGAAAGAAAGTCAATGTGACATTATTGCTTACTTATCCCGGCAGGTGGAAAAGAAAAACAACGAAATTATCGATTTAGACAATACAATTTCCACGTTAAAAACGGTATGCTGACCTGACGGTATTTTTACACTTATATAAGTAGTAGCGGGAAAACAGGGGGATATATAGGAAGTATAAATACTCACCTCAACTCCCCCAAATGATTTTTTCTCCTTTTCATGTTTATATTATACATTTATTGTATTAACTAATTGACAATCTTATCAGTGTTTCATAATTCATTAAATATTTAACTTGTGTTATTAATGGCGGGAAAAAACGTTTTTAATAAAATTAATATTATTTCAAAAAAGACGGATATACTTAGTACGTAGGTGCAGTCACTATTGTAGATGAGAATTTAGGAAGGTAGTAGAGGGGAAATATAATTTACATATATCTGTAAGCAACAATAAACCACTGCTAACGAAAAAACGATTCTAAACGGAGTTTAGTTGATAGTATTGGTTTGTAAACAATATAATATATACCATATTATGGTATAATTTCCTAGGCATTACTTTCTTTAATAATTTTTATTTAATATTGTACCTATTTTACCGTTTTTCCTATAGTTCTCCCGTGTTTCTTCCCGGATTTTCTCATGTTTTTGGAATAACTTCTGGGAAAATTGAAAAATAACTTTTTTGACGTACATCCTCGGTTTAATTTCCTTTCAGAAAAGTTGCTACACTTAAAAATCGAAGCAAGATTTCTGCTTGAAAAGTTGCACATAGATGATAAAAAAATAAACATCTTTGTAAAACCATAAGCTTCTTTGCTCCACTCAGAATCTAAAACAACCCTCTAATGAAGATTCCCTTGTAATATTGTTTTCAACAACATTTATAATTTTGTTTTGTCTTTAATGTCTAAAACCGATTTTAAAGGCTCTTTCATTTGTTTTACATAAACACATTTTTGCTACATTGTCCATTAAGAAGACAGATGGTAAATGTCATTATGTTGTCTCCGCCTTTCAAACGTACGACATAACAAATCTTGCGTTCAGCAAAGACAACATTGTACTCTTAGGTTTAATATTACAGTGAATAATTTGTTAATGAAGTACGGGTATGTGAAATAAAATTGCTCGAATCTTCTTTAAAAAAAAATTAAATATTCGAACATGGTTGGACTATATGATTGGTTGCACACATCTTGTTTTATCTTAAACTTTGATAATAGGTAAATTCACTCTTATATTAAAATTATCAGCACAAAGTTGTCCTGCTGAACGTCAATTTGCTATATGACAACATAACAAATTGTAAGAAGTTTGTAAGACGGAAGCCGCGCATGCGAAAAAGATTAAAAACATATTTTTGAAACACTACGGAGAAAGGTAGACTGAATGGTTTAATAATTATTTATATAGGTACACATTACACAATGATATAATGATAGATTCTGATGATTTATGAATAAATTAGTAATTGAAAAATAAAAATTATTAAAATATTTGTTTTAAATACAAAGTAGCAAAGTTTAAAAAAAAAGCTAATCTAGGGTCGGGTGTGCCACTGTTGTAGATAAGAAGTTAGGAAGGCAGGATACATAAAGTTATTTAATTTATACATGGAAGCAGTAACAGTAAACCATTGCTAATGAAAAATGATTCTGAGCGAATTTAGGTTATATATGTTTTGAAAAACCATAATATTTAATTTTTGTCAAAAATCAATATTACAACTTTAACTAAACTTTATTTTTTTGACCACTAATACAACGTATAATGGATCTTCTGTTAAATTTTCATGAATTTCTGTTTGGATGAACAATTTTATCCACAGAATACTTATCAAATAAAAATTACGTAAAAAAACTCGCAAAATTGAAATAATATAAGCATTATTTTCGTAAATTTTCCCTTTTTTTCTACGTTTATTTTTCAGTTTTGCTCCTTTATTAAAGAAAACTACAGATAAAATCAAAAAACGACTAACTTTGAGAACAATTAGATCCAAATTCAACAAGTAAGGTCTCTTAAGTAAGATATTTTTTGATTAAAGCAGTATTTTTAGCAGAAAATATAATTAAAAAAAATTAAAACAATGAAATCGATAACGCAACGGGACTGTTTTACAATAATATTGTTTCCAGTTTTTTTCAGATCTTTTGCAAACTTTTGTAAAATGATTTTTCACCAACTAAATAAAATTTCCTTTCAAAAAAGATGTTATACTTGATACATCGGAACAAGTTTTCTTTTCGTAAAGTTATTTACAAGCCTTAAAAAAACACATACATCATAGTTAAACAAACAGATCCTCGCTTCGCTCCGAATCTAATATGTTTTATGGACTTATACTGTATAATTGACGTGGTGAACTCAAATATTTCCAGAGGCGAGTATTTTTTTCCAATATCCACCTGTCTACCGACGAACCTATCATTCATCTATTGGCTATATAATTACTATACATTTAACTATGGATTTTTATCACTTTCTTAAAAATGGTAGGCATATACGTAGACCCCTTATAAAAATTTAGAGGTGGCTACCTCTCGATTACCCCCTTTGTGCCTATCCCTATTTGCCGAGTATATCTACTGTATAGACCTACCCGCTCCTCCGCCACTTTGATAAATCCTAGTTACGTCCCCTATACTTTATTTAGTTTTAGATACACATTTAATAGTTAATCATTATTATATTATGTATAGTTATTATTGTTATTTTCATATAGACTATCGAACACCAAAAAATGAACTATGAAGAAATTATAACGAAAAAAAATGCACAGTTCGAAACGGTTTTCGGACAGTTGAAAGCAGAAATCGGATTGTTAAGTATGTATATTATACATCGAGTGTAACCCTACTACTGTGCGGTACGATTAAATTGAATAAATCTATTCTTTCTACAAAATTATGCTTTACATTTCGCTAAACATTTTAACTTTCAATTTTGTAGCAAAAATGATTTTAGAATAATATAAAATTGCATACTTTTTATTTATACTTTATACTTTGATAATAAATATTAATTAAAAAGTGTTTAAAAGAGATGTAATGTAGAGAAAAAAATTAAATAGTTCTTAATAATAATATTACTTATTTAAAATGAAATAAAATAGGGAGGTAACCTTACTTAGTCTAACAATAAAGGTTACATTCCACTGAACGTACCGGAACGGCGCTCCGGTTTGTAATATTAGATTTTACATCTGTTCCGGTTGGTTAAAATTAGAATTTTAAAGTTCCGGTTCGTAAAAATATTAAGGTAATATTGAAAAAATGAATACGATTGTCATTCGGTGAGGAATTACAATGAATAATAACAATATTTATAATAAATTAATCAAATATTCTTTTGACAAATAATCTATAATAATAAAACAATATCGTATTTTAAAAATACAGCACTTTTATTATATCGAAATAATACGTTATACGTAATTAATCATTATTATTGTTGGTGCATCCAAATTAGGTACCACGTTCAAAAATCTATACTAGTTGGGTCCCGGGTTTATGCAAAAAGTTTACTAGTTGTTTATTACCGTAATATTAATATTAATTAATCTAATAGTTTAGAGATTTAGAAAAATATAACACAATATATCCATTTTAATATCTACCAGTTGATAGAATTTTCAAAAAGTGCCCGAATAAATACTTACATTTAAATGAGAAATTCAGAAAAAAACAAACAAAATTGTATTTAACAAAAAGAAAAATGCATAAAATATTTAAAAACAGAAAAAAATCAACTGGCACCTATAGATCCTAAATCTGTAAAAATAAGATGGAAAATGTTTTATATTTCTTTTAAACATTCAGATCCAACCAGTATAGAAAGCATTCAAAATTCATTGGAACTCAACTAGTATACTACTTATTAAAATCGCTAGGGTCCGGAATCTAACTCGGATGCAGCCATTATTGTAGGTACCTATCTCCACAACTCAATTTTAATATTTCTGAACTTTCTGTATCTAATAATTGTGTGTATCACTAAAACTGGTTTACAAGCAAAATATGGTATATAAGTTATACATGTCATATGGCATAAGTTTGTAAACGTTCCAGTTCGTATAATTCTCCATTTCGAATACTGACCGTAGGCCGCGTAGACCGTGTGGGCCGATATTTTACCAAGTTATCACAATATGTGATTAACTAACCAAATTGGACCCTTGATATAAAAACAAATATAGGTTGGCGGATTACTGATTAATTAGAAATATGAAATCCGAAAATAATAGGTATATTTTTATTGAATATTCAGTAGTCACTATTTAGTAGCTATGTCCAAACGAAAATATGATATGGATATATGGGAAATGTATCATGATCAATTCAAATTACATAAAGAAAAAATTATTAGTATATATATATGTGTAACCCACACGGTCTACACAACACCCGGTGTCAGTAGAATGCCGCTTTAAGTAATTTTTAACTATAATACATTAGAAATGAATAGAGGTAGATAGACGCAACTAGATATTTAAACGAGAGGATGCTTAAGCTCCAGGTTTTTTTGTAACTTAGTGAGACCTTTTTTTTTATCTGAAGTAATTACCAGTGGGACCTACATCTTACAACATTATTTGCCTGTATGTAAACGCAACAACTAAAAATATATGCAATAATATGTAATATATTTTATTCAAATTATTTATTACAATAATAAATATTTAAATCCATACGTCGGTTTTCCTTTCTTCCGAGTATTCGTCTAATATAATATCAAGGTCAATATTGTCAACAATATCTCTCTCGATATGCAGTAAGGAAATGTACTGAAACGCTCTTGTGGCATAGATGTTCTAGTCCAGTTTTTAATATGACGCATGACAGAAAAATCGTTCAAATGATACAGAACTGATAGGTAATACCAGGGCTACTTTAAGTAAAGAATGAATATTAGGTTACACTTCTTTTGAATTTATTATTTTTAATACTTCTAAACCAAAATTTGGTTCTAACTGTATGCCACAGTTGCGTGCTACAGTTATTTTACAATGTAATGTTTCTTTATCAATAGAAAATAATGCCTAATAAAATAAACTAATAATTACAATTATAGATGTATTAAACAATTATTATACTGCATTTATATTTTATATGTATTTATTAAAATTTACTTACTTGGTAATGATCAACAAACAGCATGTTTTTGTCCATATTTTATTTAATGAAAACAAAATAATCGTACGATAATATGTTAAAACAATTTAATAAATTTATGTTATTAATCAAAAATCGAGTTATTTCTTGTTTTACTCTTATTACACTTAATTTATTTAATTTTTATTTACTTAAAGTACAAGTTTCTTTGGATCCAAATTATTAATGTCACCCAAATCATCAAATTGTACATTCAAATTTAAAATATCCTTTTTTGGTTGAATGGTTTCATCATCATTATGTTCATGTCGTTCGTGGTTATATATTTTCTTTGCTCTTAATTCATCACTATGAGTCTCACAAGCCTTGTCAAAATTATGTTTTCGTGTTGATGTATTTTATTTTGTTTTCAATATTAAAAATTTGAAACGTACTTAAAATTCAGTAAATATTAATTATAAATATTATAAAAAAGTATAAAACTAGGTTAGTTTAAAATAAATTTAAAAAAAATGCACAGCATTAATAAACAATATTGACAATGAAATATGTCAATAATATCTTATTAACTAACAACGTCTAATGATCTAACACACCGCCCCGTCATAATTAAATTTAACATTATAAATAATAAAATGGTATACTATAAAAATTGCTAGTGTTATTGTAATTCGATAAATGATCAAGTTTTCATTAAACAATTTTAAACGATATTTTAGGGGGTGCTAAGGACCCAAAGCACCCTCTCCCTAGTTACACAAATGTAGAGGTAAAGAATTAATAGAGGTATAAAGATTTATATATTTATATCTTTATAACGTTCATACTAAATATAATTTGTATTTTAGACAGCAAAGTAAATTCATTAAACGAATTTAAAAAACAAAGAACTCAATTGACGGATAAATTTCTGAAACAAGAAAAAGAATTGTCTAAAACAAAAGAAGAAAAGGATAACTTATTATATGAAGCCGAAAAGAAACTTATTATTGCCAAAGAACAGTGAGTATAAATATATTATAGGTACTTAGCTAAAAACCTAACCGTCCAAACCAATCAGTACAACAACATTATTACAGTATGAAACGTCAAAACGAAACAAAACTTTTGCAATTATCGACGACGATCCAAAATAACCTACAAAAGTTGATGTCGTCGTCGTTCCAGCGGACTTTACAGGAAAACGTTGTCATCAAGGCAGAGGTAAATGTGTTATCGAATTCCATTTATCGAGGATAAATGAATTGACATTAATAATTCAATATAACGTCAACGTTTGTCTTAGCTGGAAAGATGTACCGAAAATTGGTTGAAAATGGACAAAAAGTGCACGTTATTGAAAGCGGATAAGTTAGATTTTAAAATCGAAAACAAAATGTACATGACAGAGAACAGTCGTCTGAACAAAATAATTATTGCTCAAAAACAGGTGAGTGACTGCAAATTTCGATATTAATACTGATGGGCACAAGGTAAAACCGAATAGTTACTATCGAATTATGCGATAATTAATAGCATTAAAGATCGATCTGTTCAAATAGTTTTTAATTTTTTATCTGGGAAAAACTATTTAAAAATTATATAATATATATTGCATAATATTGCCAATATGCATAATATCATTGATTATTGACTATGACAAGAGACTTTTATTTACATTTTGGATAATTTTTTTTTTTTAGACTGTAAACTATTCTTTTCTTAGAAAACTTACTCCAATGTATAAGTGCAGCACCTTTTCTGAAAGGTAATTTGATCTAATTGGTAATTACAGAAGTAATTTTTTGATTTTTAAAGTGGTATAAAAATAAAAGTGATTAATCGGAAAAAAAATTCAGGATTTTTCACAATTTCGTTATTTTAAATAAGTACCTACCACGTTTTTTTAGCACAAATATGACTCCAATTTAAAAAAAACAAAAGACATTTCTTGTTGCATTTTAAATCTAGTTTTCTATGGTGCATGTTGTTTTTTTTTTACTAAATAAGTCTAATATAATATTAAATAAAATAAATAGTACATAATTAATTAAAACACAGAAAGTATGACTAAAGAATATAATATTATATTTGACTTACATTTGCTTTCTGCTTCTTTAAAATACAAACCATAAAGTATTTAATTTTTGTTTTTCAATATTTCATCATCAATTAGGTGACTGGTTCAGCCAGAATTCTACCTCATTTTGTATACAACGCAAATATACGAAATAAAAAAATATTTGTACACGTGATTCAACAAACGTTATACGTTAAAGTAAAGTATTGGAAAACAAAAACGTTTACAGAGAGACGAAAAAACACAAAGGGTTCTTAAAAAATCGGTTAGCCAATCTATAATATAAGACTAACTTAGGTTGATGACGTAGGGATCTCTCTAACTAATGAGATTTCTAATAACGTTATACTTCTCGCACGTTTAATCATTGTCAATTTGGTCGACGGGGAATCCTATTACGAATAATAATAACCGTATAAACGTGTTGTCGTTTCTATACTCATATACCTGTAAAACGATACAGTTTTCCCAGAGTCGTATTTACCATTTTGGCGCCCTAGGTACTCAAATTTTGACGCCCAAGTTTTATTTCCATTTAACAACATGGGCATAATTACAAGACGCTAGGTGACGTAGTTTCTCACAGTACCCTCCAATATTTAATTAAATATTAATGAATACCTACATTTCATATATTTTCCCGTTTTTTCCTGTTTTTTTCATTTGTTGATAAAAATCCTATATAAAGTACCTTCCTAGTCAGATTTCCTTGCAAAAAAAGTGCTATCATAGAAAAAAATTTAGAAAAAAAAATTGCTGTTAGAAAAGTTACTCACAGAAAAAAAAAACATAATATTTTACTAATATATTTCGTACGTTTTCCCGTCTTTCCCCCGCATTTTTGATTTTTCACATTTGATGAAAAAACTCCTGAGAAAAAACAAAACCGACCTCTTTAAGTATTACACCGATTTCCTTTCCGAAAATGTTCTACACTTAAAAACCAGAGAAAGATTTTTGATACAAAAGTTGCGCATAGATAAGAAAAGAGCGATGAATGTATTGGTTTTACAATGATGTCTATTTTTTTTTTCTATGAACAAATTTTTTATCAGCAATTTTACTCCGATTTAAAATAATAGCACTTTTTCTGAAAGAAAATCTAACTGGGATGGTATTTTAAGGAGGTCATTTTTTGATTTTCTTAGGGTTTTTTTCATCGAATGTGAAAAACCAAAAAAAAAGGAAAATGTACGAAATATATTAGTAAAATATTACGATTTTTGTTTTCTGTAATAACTTTCCTACCAGTAATTTTGCTCCGAATTACAAAGATTGAACATTTTCTAAAATTAGTAAAAGTATTTTAAAAAGCTAATAGAAACATGATCAATGCCTATTATACCATATCAAATACTGAGCGTATAGTGGCTATTATGATTTAATAATAGAGCCAGATAAAGTATACATTTTTATAACATGTATATAAAAATTTGTGCATGTAAAATGTAAATTTAAGATATAAATATTAAATACCTTCAAAATTTGAAACATAAGAAATGGCAAGTTCACAAAACATTAGAAATTTTAATTTTAATTGTTTACAATTGTACAGCCATATGTAATACTAAAAAATATAAATTACTTTATAATCATACAATGTATATACCTAATTAACAGGTCAATAATAAAACAACCTATAATTTTAATAAATACACTTTTTAAATAGATTATTTTTTTGAATTATAACTTAACAGTATCAATAGCTCACAATTTCACAGCCTTATGTAATATAAAAAAATAAATTACCTTTATAAACATACCATGTAAGTATGTTTTTATAAGGATTTTAATATTAAATTTTGACAAAAATTGTAAATACAGTACTGTACAACAGTCTTTCAAAACATGTATAAGTAACCAAACTTCACTGCGAATCATTTTTCATGAGTTATGGTTGATCGTTGTTTGCAGAGATAAATTAAATTACTTAATGTATCCCACCTTCCCAACTTTCTTCATACTATAGCACCCGTCAACAGTATCAGCTTTTTTTTTTTTGCAGTTGATGAACGCGATGAAAGCCAAAAAGTTGGGTCTTGGTCTCCAGGTACAAGACCTGTCGTCCAAGAACGAAAAGTATCGACGAATCGTACACAGCGCTAGTTGGACGAATGTGGCAATGACCAAGCTAAAGCGAAAGTTAAAGGCGAAAAACCGGAGAATACGCGTGTTAACGAAAAATTTGACGGTTCTGAAAACAGAACTGGAAACGCTCTGCCTGCACATTTACAAAATGGACTCGATGCTTGTGACGACTACAACGTCAATGGAACGAGTTTTGAAAGTAAGTATCTAGGTACCTGCATAAACATGACAAATGGCCCAATCAAACTAGAACTTCAGCTAGGAAAAAGCACTATTGACTTGAATTTTGGTATACACTTTTAAAACATCGTTATAAACAATGAGTGAAAAACCCCAGTCGAGATCATATAGGTACGTATATCATATATTATGTACAAGATATTAAGATATAGGTATTATACTCGCAATTTTGTAAAGAGAACATTAAAATTAGTATAGATACCACAAAAACAGTGTTACTATATACTAGTATATACTAAAAAAAAAAAAATAGTTAACCCAACTTTTTTTCGTAGACAAATAAAAAACGAGATATTAACAGAAAAGGCATTTTTATGTTCTTTGACCTCGAATAACCTTTGAAGCATACATGATCTCGATTGAGACTTTTCACACATTATTTATAACGACGTTGCAAAGTACACCTGAATGATACTTTCACCGAGCTGAAGGTTATTTTTCGTTTAATTTGACTGGTCTAAAAAACCAACAACAATAACACATATAATTGGTTACCTACCTCCAGTTTACATTTAATTATGTCTTTCATCATACGTTACAATGAAGTCATTAATTTAAGGGAGCAGATAAATTCATATTTTAGTTAACTAACTTAATTTTTCTTATACAGTTGAACGAGACCGACCAGGCAATAAATAAATATAAGGGCAACGTCTACTACACGTTCGTAGCAAATTTGTATAAACTTTTTATCGCCACCAAGTTGAGAAAGGTCGAAATACAAGAATTTGATTCGTAAGTATATATTTGTATTCATTAATATTTTTAGTGTCCGTTAAGCCCGTTTAGATCAGTAGTTCCCAACGAAATGGTCCGTGACACATTGTGTCTACGAGGTCGTATCTACAAAATTTAAAAAAGTATTTAACCTAAATCAATAGTGATTATTGAAGTTTATTACGTCGCTTATTTATAAATTTATACATAATATTATCTGTTTAATACAAAAAAAGTACAGGGTTAAGTAGAAAAAACATAAAAAGAAAATGTCATTATTAACAAATCGTGGTGATCCACTGCCTATCGAAAGTTCTCCAAGTAGTCTATATTGTCAAAAAGGTTGAGAATCACTGGTTTAGGTATATTAAATTAGATAACAAATGTTTTTCACCATAAAAAATAAACTTATTAACAAGTTATTACATGTTTAAGATACATGTTTGGAGATTTCACATACTTTATTTTACCATGTTTCAGTATTGAAGGCGTAAAAGTTTCTCTATTGAACATCAAGAAAAAACCCAAATTGACAAGGTCAGTTTTCAAATTTCAGCGAAGTCGGTTAAAAATGAAACACTTGAAATCATAAAAAAATAATGTAGTATTTTATACTTGATTTAATTTATAGTAAAAAACATTAATTAGAGATTAGTAAAATTGTATAATGTTGAAGTATTATGATATTATTTGATACATTATCTATTGCATATAATTACATGAATAGGTAGCAAATTTGAATTAATGTAATAAAATAAACAAAATAATTACCATAATACTTAAATATTGTTTTTTTTTTGGCTGCAACATCTGAATATGTCCAAAACTTATCTTGTTATTGATTATTGTGTAAACCAATACTAAATAACTCAAAGTAGTAGAAATTCCAATTTAACAAATTTGGTTTGAAAACAATTTGTGCCCTTGAATAACATCATTATAATATGTCATTATTTCAAGTTTTTCTTATAAAAAATATTCTTAAACGAATGACAAAAAGTATTTTTATAATGAAAAAAATAAAACACTTTCTAAAAATGTTTAAAATACAGTATTGAATACTTCTGAAAAAAAAAGTATTTTGAAAATATTCAGAATGCAATATTTACAATACTATATTCCAAAAATTACTCATGACTGGTGAAATACTAATATTGTTATTGAAATTACCACATTACCATTATCTTCGATTTAATTAAAAAAATTGTTTGTGTGTATGAATCATATGTAGTATAAAGTTCTTATTCAAATTATATGTTTTTTCCAAGGTAAAAAGATATTTTAAATCTTATATATATATGTTTTTGTATATATATATTTTATTGATTATTTTCAATGTTAAAAATGTTTACATTCTGTATTTTTGATTAAATAATTAAAATTTATCACCAAAATTTAGGATTATGAAAAACCACAGGGAAAAAAACCATAATAATAATATTTACATTTTTTTAATGAAAATAAAGAAAACAATATTTTATTATTAAGTATATACTGTATGAATAATAATAACAACAACAACAATATAAAATAGTGCAAATACGCAGTTTTTTAAAACTGGCCTAAATGAAACACACATAAAATAGTTAATAATTAATTAGGTACTAAAGTACAGTCTATCTTACTTCTCACTCTCTGTTATGATACTCCTATTAAATAAAAAAAAAATTTATTGTAATTAAACATACAGCTCAATACAGTGTTCTATTAGAAAAAAATACAATATTATTTATACTTAAATATTATATTTTTGATCAAATTATTTATAATTTAATTATATTCAGTACACGTTATAGCATAGAATTCCAAACAAAATTTGAAAAAATTAAAGTAAAATATATACCTAAAATAATATTTACAATGATTAATGAATGATTTAAGAATTAATAAAATAAGAACATAGTTAATATTAATAAAAAATAATTACATATTTTAGGCGATCAACATAGTATATTGGTAACTTGATAAAATTGATATATCATATATTTTAATATTATATATTAATATTGTTACAAATAAAATGGTTGTTATTTGTTTTTTTTCTTTTTGCCTTTTTTACATCTTTTTGAAGATGCTGTTTGATCTATTTGATTAACCAATTGGTCACTTTCTTCAATTATCTCTAATTCTGAATGTTCTACAATAGCAAAAAAAAACAAATATTAACTATGTAACATACTGGTTATTGAATACAATATAATCATACTTTTATCTGGAGACATAGTCTGACAAAGTATGTCAAGCTTTGTCCAATAGAACTATTTTACTTGCTGTAATTAACATAATATTATGTCATAGTCAAATCAGGCAATTAGTTTAAATTGTATAAATGGTACATTTATATCAAATATTATTTGTACTTCATGAAATTATCTAATTGTTTAATTTTCCTGTGTTTTTCAAGTTTATTTATATTAAAACTACAATATTATATTTTGGCTAGGGATATAACTTGATTTGACTATTTCAAAACTATATTTGAGATAGCATAATATTATAAAATGTAATGTATACTAATTTAGTGTATACAATAATAATTTAAAAATAAATAATTTGAATTTACATTTTTTGATTTAACGACACCATGATTTTTGTCTCTTCGAGAAGTCTTATTTTGGTAAATCCGATTTATTTATTTTCCAAACATTGTGTTCAAATAAAAATAATATATAACACACCAATTTTTAATAACAACTGTAGTTACATGTCACTAATCACAAAAAACCATTTTTGAAGAGTTTTTAATTGTTATTGATATATTATAATACAATTTACCAGATTTGTTGTTAATTTGAAAATTTTCACTCATAGCTTCTGCCAAATCTTCCAGTATTTTAATATCACCTTGATCAGATGACAACTCGGAAGAATCACCCGGGTTTACATCTAAAAACTTTGGCGAATAATCAAAACTACCTGCAGTACAAAATATAACAATTTATTTTATTCATGCTAACTTAGTAAAAAAAATGATACAAAAAAAAATTGTAATGTATTATTTCCTTGAAATTTGCATATTAAATTAAATACCTTAGTTTTCAAACAAGGCAAAAATATACACTTCCATAAAATGTATAAAAAAAAAAAAGAGCTGATACTGTTAATGGGTACACCGCTATTTTAGCTGGGAAGTTGAGAAAGTAGGATATATCTGTAAGCAATGATCAACAATTGCTAACAAAAAAACACAATTCTAAGCAAAGTTTGTTTTAAAGTGATTTGTAAGACCATATTATTTACAATTTTTATCAAAATTTGATTTTGAAACAATAATAACAATACACTCTAGTTTTTTTTTTATTTTTTTATTGACATTAATACAACATATAATGAAAATTCTATTAACTTTTAAAACTACCAGATATTTAAATTACAAATATAAATTTTCCACCAAAATTTAACATCTAGCATTTGTATATTTAGCAGTGGAATATTAAACCTATTTGGATACATAAAATACATACTAACAAACTGGATATCGAGCTCAACTTAGTAATGAAGATTGTAGGAGAACATTAAAATGGCTACCAGCAATATTGCACCTCCAAAGATCTGAAGAGAATAAGTCCTCATTCAAGAATTTATCATGATTGCTAATAATCTAAACTTGTTGATAAATACGAATTTAAGAATATTTGGGAAGAAGCTGTGACTTAACTTAAGTCTCCTAAAATACCATTAATAACCATAAATGAGCTGTTACTAGGGGGATATATAAAATGGCAAAAGGATTGGATTCTAAAAAACACTGACAGACAATACATTGTTACCCATTCAACAATCAAACATTCAAGCTTTTATCTGCAAAGAATGGTTTGGATGATTTTAAATCACTAAATTTACACAATGTTTTAATGATTAATAATAATTTTGATTTTATCATGGTGTTAAGAATGAAAACATACGGTTGGTTAAAAAAAAAACCAAATGATTTTTTAGTTGAAATTTTAATCTAGTTGATGACTAAGAGAGTTTTTTTTGATTTTATTTGTAATTTTTTTTTTATAAATTAAGCAAAACTAAAAAATACATGGACAGAACCAGAAAATTTATGAAAATAATTATTTTGTTCATTTAATTTTTTTTTTTTAAATGTAATTCAGTTAAAAATATTTACAAACTTGAAATTCTGATAGAAAACTCATATTTGCTTTTTCTAGATGTGGTAAAATTCTCAAAAAATTTCAGCCATTTTAGAGATATTTACAGACATTTTGATTATGAGTTTTTGCATATAATTTTTATTTACTATGTACTCTGTGGATAAAATATTTAATCTATATAGAAATACTTGAAAAAATGAGTGATAACTGACGAGTAGTTTTTTTTTCCTAAGTTTTAAAATCAAATTTTGATTAAAATCTTAAATATTACAGACTTTCAAAATATGTATAATTGACATTCACTCTAAATCATTATTGGAGTCCTCGGGTATCATTCTTTTTTTTTTTATTTGATAATCAATTCATTAAAATTTTTGTCAATATTAGGGTATTCTTATTTGTTTACTTTATTCAATATCTAGTACATTCAGTTTTTATAATTATGTATGTTTATATTGTATTGCTCAATCTTATCATATAAAATAAATACAGGATGGTCCATCAAGCATGCTTACACCATTTTTTATGGTAAATTATGCATATATTTAAATTCTGAATTTTGGAATTTTTAAGTGTAGATCAAAAAGATCATGCAGGAATATCATCTTTGGGTTTTTAAATGCAACCTATATTAAAAATTCTATAAATAGATTGAAATATAGTTAAAAAGACAGACATAGTTAATACATGGATGAATCATTGTTATAGGTGAGGAATTGGAAAGGTTGGATATAGAAGAAATTTAATTTATATTTGTATGCAATAATTAAACATTGCTAATGAAAAAGGATGCTGATTTTAAAAAGTACTACATCAAACTCAAATTTGCCTTATTACAAAATTACATGAAACACTTACAAAATCACAATGTCTATAAATAGCTCAAAATATATAAAATGTTCTGTTCAAATTGTAAGTCTATATGAATATTTTTAACTGAATCACAGCAAAAAAACCAAAATTAAAAATACAACTGTGTAAATTTCTCATTTTTCCTACATTTTCTCCTATTTATTATGAAAACTATTTGGAAAATCAAAAAATGACTCCCTTAATGTATCAACTAGATATAATTCCCTTTCGAAATAAGTGCTATACTTGAAAATCAGAAAAGTTATTCGGATAAAAAATAATTAATAAGTAACATAATTGTAAAACCAATACATTCCTAGCTTGGCTCAGAATTTAAAAAAAAAATGGTGATCATTTAAAAAAAAAAAGATGTCCTAGGATAATTGGAATGAATACAGCCAAAGATAAGGATAATTTAATGTATACTTGTAAGCATCGATAAGCCATTGCTGATTAAAAAAAGATTCTAAGTGCAGTTCAGTTGATAATGATGCTTTGTCAACAATAAACATGTCATATTATGATAAAATAATTAAATAGACATTATATATAATAATATTTGTTTAATGTTTTTTAGATTTTCCCAGTTTTTCTACGTTTTTCCCATGTTTTTTTTTCTGGTTTTTCACATTTGCTGGGAAAACTCTTAGGGAAATCAAAGAATAACCTCCCCAAGTTATCATGGAGATAAAATTACTTTTAAAAAATAAGCTACTCTTGATACATCGGAGCATGATTTTTGGTAGAAAAGTTTGCACAAAAAATCTAGGGGTATTTTAAGTCTCTAGGTACACCCAAAATGCATTTGGTTTTTCCTTCTTTAGATAAAAGGGAAATATTTTTTTCAAATTTGATGAGGAAATCGAAAAAAAAAAACCTTCCTAAAATACCTCCCGCACTGATTTCTTTTCAGAAAAAGTGCTATACTTAGAAATCTGATTAAGTCTTCTGGTAGAAAAGTTTTTAGCTGATAAAAAAAATAATAAATATCTTTGTAAAACTATAAGCTTCTTCTCTCCACTCCGCCATTCAGAATCTAAAAATAAATAGTATTCTGTGCATGTGTGTACCAAGAGTGTTAAAAATTTGTATTTCCATACTCCCTATCATCTCCCAAAAACCCCATTTCAATGCAAGGTCGTTTAGCTATATTATGTAGTATCCCTTATTGTGAATACACAGTGCAGTATAACTATTTTTAAATACTAGAAATGTAAACTAGTACATTAAGCTGTAATACATACTATTTGAACCACATTCAATAAACACAGGAGTGCTTTGTCTACTTATGTTGGCTTGTGGAACGCTGACAGGATTTGATTTCAATAATCGTGAATTGTTTTCAATTTCGCCCAATTGAGTATCAGAATCAGATCTTCTGAAAAATGATTTGATATTTAAATTTCATTACCTTGTATAATACATATTTATTTTTTTACTTACCCCAATGAAGAATTACACGTTTTGAACACAAATTGTGGTCCCATCCAAAGGCGACGATGTGGACCTGCATGTGTACTTATTTCTACCTATAATTAGTGTACATTATTTATAGATAATCGAAGAAACATTTTATTTATTACTTGTGATAGCCAGCGTTCATCAATGCTTTCTAATGGATTTTTTTCAGAACTTTTTGGGGGATTTATGACTGGAAAATCAATAAAAAGATCCAACAATGGATTGCCTTTTTGTAATGGAGGGTTAACAGTAGATGCATGTAGAGGCGGCTTGTAAAGATTCCATTCGGTTTTGGGTTCAATATGTAATTCTATTGTTGTATCATCGAATACTTTATCTTTTGATATAGCTAACCGAGATAAGAATCAAACAAATTCTTTAGTGATACAAAATTTATTAAAACTAATAATTTTAATGCATTATACTTCCATACTACATTGTTCTATACTCACTGTTTGAATGCACGGGATACATATCATATTGTGTTAGAATGCCGTTGTTTGTCATTACATATAAAGAATCTGTAATATATTTCTTAGGATTGTGATTTGCATTTGATATTTCCCTAATCATAGTGGTGTCCAAAATACGGCCATGAGAAAAATACGTAGACAATTTAATGGACGTGGCAATTCCTGCATCATCCTGTTTTAGTTTGTTACTTTGTGATCGGATTTGGCACAATGAATGTACAACAATTGAATGTGGTATTGAGGACATGCAAGGATTAGAATATGGCAGCAAAATTTGAGAATTCTGTATTGATTCAGTCATCACAGGACTGTTCGGAACATCTGTTACTAAACCGGCACTGCGATGAAACCTGCAATAATTTTTTTATATCAAAATAATGCAGACATTTTTTACAACTTTATGTTATATATATCATACATACATTTTTCCAGCCCCCCCCCCCATCGATTTTTTATATACTTTTTTGGCAATCATTTAACATTTATTTTGTACATCAATAAAGGTATAATAAGTTTAGTTAAAATAGGTAAACTACAAAAAATATAATCAATAAAAGGATTCCTGAATACATTAAAAACAAATTATTTTATAATCCTAAATCAAGTACCTATTTATAGTAAATTAAAGCACATACAGTAGTGTAAAAAAAATAATTGTTGGCAGAAAATATTGAAAATTGATATTTAACATAAGTACAATAATATCATTGTATTAGATTTAAAGCAAAGCAAAGAATTTAAAAATGTATCGGTTTTACCATAAAGTTTATTTTATTATTTATTTATTTTTTATACAATTAACATCTGTAGAACTTTCAAAAAATGTTTGCTTTAATTTTTATAAGTGTTTTAACTCTAAAATCAGTATGGATTGAATTACTTGCATTCATAATAAATAACATAATATCCGAGAATACCAGATAGTTTTCATGTTAAAATTATTAAATGGTGGTGCCAAATCTCATATTATTAATTACAAAATTGAAAATAGCCAGTAAGTACTTATTGCATGTAGGTTTTAGAAATATGAACAAGTATATAAATATATAAAGTGTGTTTCCAATTAAAGATAATACAAAATATTTCTGTTCAGTGATTGAAATGGGGTTTTCGGGAAGGGTTAGGGAATACTGAAATACACATTTTTTGATAATTTTTTAATTTTGAACCTTTATTGTGGGCATGCACAATAAAACTTGCATTTTAGATTTTAAGCAAAGAAAGGAATGTATTGGTTTTACTGTTTATTTTTTTTATATATAATGTGTACAAAAAGTCAACCAGAAATCTTGCTTGGATATATAAGTGAAGCATCTTTTCTGAAAAAAAATATTGTTTAGAATTTAGACAATAGATGGTATTTTAAAAAGGTCTTTTTTTTGATTTTAAAAGCATTTTTCAGAATATTGAAAAACGTTGGAAATTTACGAAAATAATAAAATAATGTTTTTATTAACTATTATTGTAATTTAGTTAAAAACATTTGTGAAGACAGGCAATTTGGCCAGAAACCTTATATTTGCCTTTTATGGACTGGTAACATTTTTTGTCAAATATGTGAGCCATGTTTAAACTATTTATCGCCTTTTTCATTTTGCAAGGTTTTTTGTAATATTTATTCAGTAAGTACTCTGTGGATAAAATTGTTAGACCAAACAGAAATGCTTGACAATTTAATAGGAGGCTCATTATAAGTTATACTTAGTGGTCAACAAAAAAATTTGAGTTTAATGTAGAATTTTTTTAAATAAGAATTTGAATATCAAATTTTAATGAAAATCTTAAATATTATGAATTTAATTCCCCTCTATATCATACTTTCCCAATTTCTTACCTAGAACAGTGGCCCACTCATTGTGTGTAGTATGTCTGTCTTTTAAATGAGAACATTTAAAAATAATAAGTACAATAATATTTTGATATTATAATTACATATGAGTATAAATTATAAATCCTGATTTATTTATCAGTATAACAATAAATTAATTAAAATACATAATTATCTATAACTTAATAAATAAAATATTAGTATTAAACGTAACTATGGTCCTTGCCAATAAAAAAAAATTAAACAAAAATGTCCACATTCATAAAAATTAGAACTTAGTTTATTTACTAAGTTCATTTTTGAATTACCTTACTCATTATTGATGGTGTGGTATTTTAGTATTATAATTACTTATGAACATTGAACAATATCCCATAAATAGATAAATATGTTTTATTATTAACTCTTTGAGATAATTAATTTCCAATATTATAATAAAACATAAAACCAAACAATTCTTCTACACATTTTTCTGTTTCTTCTATCACATATTTTAGTACATACCCATAGATGTGTGCAGGGTCAGAAGCTGCACATAATTTATAATATCTCTGTAATATCAGAACTTTAAATAACTATAATTTCGAAAATTAGTCCACTCAATTCTGACTTCACCATCTTAAATCAGCAATATACATTTATTCAAAAAAATATTGATTTTTCGTCAAAAATGTTGATATTAAAATTCCCTTATGAAAAATAATACTTCATTAAACTCATTTTTTTTTTTTTACCATAAAATAATATTCTTAATGAATCTCTTGTTAAATTTTGAAGCATTTCTGTTAAGTCTAATAATTTTATCACATAGTTCCAAAAGAATATAAGTTACATACAAAACTCACAAAATTTAAATGTCTATTAATAGCTTAAAAAGGCTCAAATATTCTGAAAATTTTACCATGTCTAGAAAAGGCAAATATAAGTTTTTGTCTAAATGTCAAGTCTCTACGAATATATTTAACTGAATGACAACAAAGAACAAAATTGAAAAATAATAAAAACATTATTTTTGTAAACTTACTTCTTACAGTTTATCATATTTTTCCTAGAAATGATGAAAACCGCTTGGAAAATCAAAAAAAGACCCTCCAAAAGTACCATCTAGATAATATTTCCTTCCACAGCATATTAAAGCAAGTCTTTTTACATAAAAATAATTTATTCTAATAGGATAGATTATTTAAAAATAATTATTTTAAAAAAAATTAATAATAAACATTTTAGTAAAACCAATACATTCTTCACTACACCCAGAATTTAAAAACAGACAATTGCATATGACATTATTACCTTGATAATTTATTTACAATATGTGGTGTTGAATGGGTTCGTAGTCCAATTGGTCCTCCATATGGAGTAATAGGGAAAATATGAGTTGTTCCTCTAAGTGAACTTACAGCTACCCATCTTGAATCAATTGAAAATTGAATATCTTGAATTTTAGCTGTTGTATCACCTCTAATAATTTACAATTCAAATTTATTTTCATATTTGATAGAATATTTAGAATATAAAATACCTGTGTAACGTATATAGATGATGGACAGCTGTAAATGAAGAACCTAATATACTAGGATGTATTTTGAATACATTAAACCTATGTCCATTTTTATCTGCGGTTACTAACATAAGACCAGACTGATCAAAATTTAAAGCCACGATAGCCTCGCAGTGAGCTGCAAAGTGAGCAACAATATCAGGTCCTTGAGGTGTTTTTTCTTTTAAAACTTTATTCTGAAAAAGAAACATTTAAACCATATTAATTTAAAAAAACTCAAATTTGTCTTATTGTTAGAACATTAGAAACACTCATTAAGTCAAAAACAGGGCATGATGTTTATAAAACTAATGAGTACAAAAATATACAGGATAATATTATCAAAAAGCTTTTTAATATGCTCTGAAAACTCTTTTCTACTCATTTTTCATTAAATTTAAATGAAATTTATGAAACACACAAAATAAATCATTATATGATAAATATTGACAAAAAATAATACCACAACTTTAAAAATAGCTCTAAAAATCTAAAAAATGTGCAAAATTGTTTTGGAATATCTGTTGCATAAAGTAAGCTTATAGCTTTCTCAACTATTTTTATCTATATCATATTATAATGATTAGCTACAAAATCAGAGCACTGCACAGTGGGCTAAAATTAATTAAAAACTGAACAAAAATGAATAATTTGATGTTCAAAAAATAAATAATCTGTTATAACACTTTGATAGTGGGATAAACCTAAGTAATTTTATATGCTGTATAATATACCAGATAACAAGCTATAAATATACATGTTATAAACTTTCTGTTTTCTGATATCATTTGTACTCCTGTATTTCTCGTTTTTCTCTATACACATTTAGACATTTAACTTCGAAATAGCATCATTGAATACATTGATTAGTAAGTAATAGTAATAATATTTTTTTGAAATATCCTATTTTATTATTAATGATGGTTAACCTTATTATAGTTTTTCTGTTATTAATCTATTCAAAATCACTGGTGCACACTGGGGTTTCAAATTCAACTTAAATATTTAATCACATTAGTGGATTGTATTTAAAAAAAAACTGTCTGCTTATGGCTGTCAATTGGGAAGTTATCAATATATTAAATAAATCATGATTCACTAATTATATTTCACTATATAAAATGTATCTATCTTTTTTTTTTTTTTTATAGTAGATTAAATAATGAGATAAAAATACCTAATATTATGGTCAGGAAAATACTCTACCTTACAGTGGAAGTCTCATAGAAATTGGTTCAACTATTTCAAAGATAAAATTTGACAGACAAACAGACAAACACTTTAATTGTATTTATATATGTATAGATTGTATTAAAAAAACACAAATGGAAGCAATAACTAATAAGTAAGTAATTTTTGGTTTTGATTTTTAAATAGCTATTTCTAAGACTTTTATAAATCCAAATCAAGTGAAATACACCAAAGTTTATTTTTGTCCCATTATAAACTCATTCTGGCCCACTATGCATACTAGTTAAAAATAATATAGGTTAATAAAATAGTTAATTTTAAATTTTCATCATCAGAATCATTTTTTAATAGTCAAATCAATAATAAACAAAAACTACAAATAACCTATTAATGACCCTTTTTTTTTTATAGACATCATATAAAATTAGAGAACTTTAATAATTAAGCCCCCAAAATAAATACAATTGTGCATTTTGAAATATAATACATAAAAATAATATTTTGACAAAAATGTTAAATATAATTAAAAATGTTTCATAGAATAAAAAAAAAATCATTATTATTTATTTTACTACTTTAAAAATTCTACATTAACAGACTAAATAATTTTGGGGGTAGAGAAGTAGTGGAGAAAAAGGAACATAAATAGTTGTAAATAGTATTTGTTCATACTTTGATATCAATTACAGTTATTATGCCCGGATTCATTTGATTAGAATCATTTGAAACTGATATGTTGTGTGACGAATTTGAATTGTGTACACCACCTGTTATTGTACTAGCCACAGACCCACTTAAATCTCTCAAGCTTTGACTCAGCGATTTCGCGGCATGCAAAACTGTAGCTGTATATGAATGGTCATTTTCACCCTCGTATCCACCAGCTGACCGATTCCAAGTAGTCAATTTTTGATCTGCATATGCCAACCATCTAATTAGATAAATATGATTATCAAGGAGTCAGAAAATGTATAATTATTCATTATTAAAATTACCTTGTTCCTAATGAAATGGGATTCGATTTAATCCCAGGACTAGGATAACAGGTAGTAATTGTTATTATGTCTTCCACAGTAAGAGCATCAAATATTGCAATGCGTTCAACAAAAACTACAGCAATAGCGAATTGATTTACAGCAATATCCACTACAGAACTTTTAAATTTAATTGTTTTAACCTGAAAGAGAAAAAAAATGTATGGGTTTTATATGAGTAAAAGTTGTAATAATATATTTTACTGATAAAAATTTACATACCACATCACCGCATGTCAACGAAATAAAACTAACTGAACAGAACTGGGGGCCAGCACCTGAATTATCACACAATGCAACTAATGGCCTTTTATGCGCAAATGGGTCCTGTTTACATTTCAATTCTGGCAATGGTAAAGGTATAAATTTTAAAACTTTAACAACTCCTTGAGACCAAGACAAAACTTCATATGCTTCACCATTTGCACTAATATACCAAACCTACAAAATAAAAATGGTATAAGTACTACAAATATAAATTTTAAATAGGTAAATAAAAAATAAGACAAAAAAATTGTATTTATTTAAAGTAATAAAATACAATTTAGTACCTAGTAATAACAGGATATAATTATGAAATTTAACACCAAAACACAGATATTTATATTTATAAGAGTTGATAAACTAAAAACTAACCTTACTTAATTTTTAGAATAAATGGGTTTTGCAATGATGTTTATTTTTTTCTGTGAACTATTTTTTACCAGAAATCTTGGTCTGATATTTATTAAGTGTGCACATTCCCTTTTCTAAAAGGAAATTTTATCTAGGTCATGGTACCTAGATGATAGAGAAGTCATTTTTTAATTTGGTGGTTTTCATAATAATTGGAAAAACAAAAAAAAAAATGCTATTATTAATTTCAATTTTTTATTGTAATTCAGTTTAAAATATGCTTTAAGTGTTGAAATTTTCAAAATCTTTGAGCCATGTTTAAGCTATTTATAGACATTTTAATTTTGCAAGTTTTATGTAATTTATTATTTGTAAGTACCTTGTAGATAAAATAGTTAAACCAAACAGAAATGCTTGACAATTTAACTAGATGTTTATTTAGTTGCACTTTGGAAAATGTAGAATGTTATTTTGAAAGAATTTTAATATCAAATTTTAACACATTAAACAAATAAATAAAAAAAGAAATATCAAATTTTGATGAAAATCATAATTATTATGGCCTTATAAAACATATTTAAGTATGTTTAATTGTTGTATACAGATATTCATTTAATTCCCCTCTATAATCTACCTATTGTGCAAATTATGACCTTTTATTTTCATCTGAATAAATAAATGTTAATAAAAAAAAATCTGATACTGCTGACATTGTTGTGGGGGGTTGAGAAAAGACATAGAATACATACTTATTTTATTTATATCTGTATTCAATATTAAATTATTGTTAAAGAAAATTATGAGCAAAATTTAGTTAAACTTCATTTTAAATCCCACAATTTTTACAATTTTCATCAAAATTTTAACTTTAAACATGTATATGATAAAAAAGACATACTTCACAGATGCAGATACTGTTATAGGCAGGAAGTTGGGAAGGTACGATACAGAAAGGAATTTAATGTATATCTATAAGCAACAATATATTATTGCTAACAAAAAAAAAAAAAAAAGAGTTCATATATTATATTATGGTAAAATAATTAAATAGGCATTATATATTTTCTTTAATAATATTTGTACCTATTTCCCAGTTTTCCCATGTTTTCCCTTTATTTCACATTTGCAGGAAAAACTCCTGAGAACATCAAAAAAAACCTCTCTAAAGTACCTCCCCAAGAAAATTTCTTTACAGAAAAGGGTCTACATCTCATACATCGGAGTAAGCTACATTTCAATTCTTCGCTACACAAAAAATCTAAAAAGAGTTATTTAATTAGGTTTCATTGGATATTCATCTTTTTCTTTTTTTGGATTAGGTTCCGGTATCACTCACAACCAATTCTCCAGCAGACTCTATTCATTGCCAAATCCTTCCAATTTACTCTGCATCCTAATTCTTCTACATCTTACCTATATCTTCCCATCTCAATTTTGGTCTCCTCAAGGGCTTTTTTCCTACGAGATTCTGTATCCGGATTCTCTGTATGAGAATTTTGGATCCTCATTGCATGTCCTGCCTTTCTTTCTTAATCTACTACAATTTAATATTTTTCTACTATATAATATTTAGTGAAATTATTTTTTTCACTCACGATTATGCCAAGATATTAGAATGAATTAACTTCATTAAATCTAAAATGACTTACATTCAATCCTCAATCCGCATTGGATATTTATATATTAACTTAATTTTTAAGTGTTCAATTGGTCAGTGAAAAAAATCTAACTCAAGAATTTTTATTTTATAATATTTGTTTAGATATATCTTTGGTCCTAATGAAGGATGATTAAAACAAACTTCGGCATATTTTTATAATTTATGTTATTACTTCTATAATTTTACAATTCCATAATCTTTATCATTTTTACCAAATTTCATTTGTGAAATAGATTAAAACCCTTTTTTTCCGAGTCTATAAGTACAAGTATCAATTTCAAAATACTTTATGTGATAGGTGGGCCACTGTTGGGAAAGTTAGGAATGTTCTTGTTTTTACCAGTTATTATGAAAACCACTTGAAAAATCATCTCTCTAAAGTACCGCTCTGATAAAATTTCTTTTCAGAAAAGGTATAACACTTGAAAATAAAAGCAAGATTACTGATAGGAATGTTAGATGAAAAAAATTTAATAAAATTATTAAATGATTATTACCCAAAAATATATAACTTTTTATTACGGTCAATAGGAAATTTGTATTCTAAAACTCTGTTTCATAATTTATTTTTAATCATCAGTAGGTAATACAGTTATTTTAATTTTTTTGGTCATGCCTAAATTAATTTATGGGCCCCAAGTAATATCTTATTAACTAATAAAAATTGTATAAGTTATTCAGTACTTGAACACCGAATCCATAGCCCAAGACAAGAAGTATGGGCGATACACCTGACATAATTGATTCATCACTATCAAAACCAATAGGGAATTCATTGGGTTCCACAGGTTCGAATTGCGTCCATAGGATTTTTTCTCTGCTGTCCGCATTCAATATGTTTGTATATCCCTGTAACAAAAACGAATAAACATTAAATATTATGGCATAGTGGGCTTGGGGAAATCTATCTTCCCTCTTAACCTTTTTAGGTTTCTATAAATAAGTTTCAAACACCTCATATTCACACATTATTCATATTCATACATATTCATATTCATACAGACAGATGAATATCTGTCTGTACATACCTATATAGTTACTAATACATAGTTATAGTTGTTGATTTGGTTAACAAGGAGATAGGAACATACTGTTTTTAATATTATTATTATTGTAATATTAATTTAAATACAGGGTGATGATAGGAAAGTATAAACTTTTTTCATTATTTGTTTTATAGAACATTTAAAAGAAACAAGCAGCTCCACAATTTTACATTTGTTTTCTTTTTTGTCGTCCTTATTTTTAGTGGTAAAACCACTACCTACTTTTGATTTTCAAATGGCAACCTATATTAAAAATTCCATAGATCTAAAAGTTAATACTTTCCGAGATAATAAGTGTTTTATGAAAGATTGATTACCCTGTATACCTAAATTTATAACATCGAAATTAGCAGATAATATTATTATTATTATGTCATCAGCTACCCGCCAAAACCTCACAAGTTGATTGCAACGAGTTTTCTAAAACTGTGGCAATAAGGCTACAAGGAAAATCAAAAATGATCACCTAAATGCATCAACTAGACAAGCATTTATCAATTCTACAAAAAATGTTTAGTTGTAGCAAACAAAACATGTTCCAAACAAATAACAAGTAAAACTAAAAAATTTGCATGGACCAGTAACTAGATTTGTTCCACATAATTTTTTAATCAATTGATTTTCTTCAAAATTTGTACTAAAATTCCTTTATAAAAAAAAAAAACTACATTAAGCACATATATATATAATTAGATAATAGTGTAGATTATAAACACAATATTGAATATGTCCATTAGGTATCATAGATGCTAAAATATATTAAACAATAAAAAGATGAAAGATAAAACACACATAATTATATAATAATAAGTGCTATTAAATTTGATTAATAGAGTAAAATAAATGTAAATTAATTACAGAATTTATTATGAATGTTATGTTTATTTATTTTTAGGGTAATATTGTTTAGAAGGGAGGTTTTGTCTATTTTATTATCAAGTAGTTTGAATAAGAAAGCTATATACAATTGTTTTTTTCGAAATTTTAATGGTTTTAAAGTTTAAAAATTAGCTAATACTGGGGATGAGTGTAGTCACTGTTGTAAGTAGGTAGTGAGGAAGATGGGATACATAAGGTTATTTCATGTATATCTGTAAGCAACAATAAGTCATTGCTCGACGAAAGACGATTCTGAGCACAGTTCGATAATACATATTTTGAAATGCTGTATTTTTTTTTTTTTTTGCGATTTTCGTATAAATTTAATTTAAAAACGATAATTAAAAAAAAATACAATGAAACAAAAAAGGTTTCTTGTCATTTTTTGATTAAAGCACTTTTCATAATAATAAACGTTTTCCGTATTAATGTTAAATAATAATATCGTGCAATTTTAGGTTTTTCCTAAGTTTTTTCTCGATTATTATAAAAACTAATTCAAAAATCAAAAAAAACAAACTTCATCATTAAACACAAGATTAATAATTCAACAAAAAATGTCTCTTATCGTTTTTCAATTGGAGCCATATTTGTGCTAGAAAACGTGGTAGGTACTTAATTAAAATAACGAAATCTTATTTTTTTTCTCGGTTAATCCTTTTTATTTTAATTATCGTTATGAAAATCAAAAAATGATCTATAAGATACAGGCAGACCAGGCAGATAAAATTGACTTTCAGAAAAGATGCTACGCTTATACATCAGAGTAAGTTTTCTAGGATAAAAGTGGTCTACCGTGTATAAAAAAAGTAAAGTACCATTATAAAAAGATTTAAAAAAGAAAAAAAAGTCGTCCAATGATTTTGGAAATTTTACAACATCTAAATAAGTCTAATATAAGTATTATTACTAAGTTTCAAGTTGCTATGTGCATTGATAACCGGATTACAGCAAAAAACTCCCAAAAATTAAAATTCCTTAAAAGCTCAAAAGTTTTGGCTATGATACAGTAAGTAAGTAAATCGAAAATTCAACAAAAAAGATGATTTTTAGATTTAATCAATTTTTCTGGTAGAAAACGTCATCGGTGTTTTTAGTCAGTTAATTATTATTTATTATTTTTATATTACCCATACTGTGCTACTAATGTACTATCTTATTGTCATTCACAGCATACTGTATTATATAAAAGGGCTTATCATGTTTATTATATATAAATATAAAACAAATATTAGTAAATAAAATATATATTTTCTAACTATGTAATTATTTTACCATAATATGACATAATATTGACAAAGCAACACTATCAACTGAACTCCACACAAAATTGTTTTTTCTGTTAGCAATGGTTTATCTTTGCTAACAGATATACATTAAATTTTCCCTCTACTACCTTCTCAACTTCTCCCCTTTAACAGTGGTCCACCCACGTATAAAGTATGTCTCTCTTTTTAATTTTAATCATATAAAAAAGTACTATAGATATCCTTGATACAGGTTTATTATACAAATTGTTTATTGATTTTACTTATTCATTTCATTGTTATCTTTTTTGGAGAAAAGTATATTTGGAGATTTTCAAATTTAAATGTATGGTGGCTAGGTATCAAAATTGATTTGTTAAAAAAGAAAAGAAGGCTGAAGGATAATGGAAAATATATCATATTTAAAAAATACAGATGGGGTAAATTCAATATCCATTGATATAATTTAATTTTTATTCAAAAGAATATTTCTAATAGTTTTTAATGGATATGAATATACAAAATATTTAAAAATAGGTACCTAATTACATCAAAATATGGGAAAGTATACAAAATAAAAATCTTACTTTATTTAGTGATATGAAACGTATTCATTTTTATTCAAAATTTAGAAATTTGCTTTTATTAAAATTATGCATTCACATACAAATCCATGCATTAATTATCATTTATTTAAATAGGCTTGAGAAATTGAGATTACCACTCGAAAAAAAGGGATTAAGGATAATAGAAGTAAAACAGAGTATTTAAAGAACGAGTTTGGAGGAATAAGGCAAGACAGCTAATGACAATAAGTAGTAACATAATAGGCGAGGTTGAGATTTATAAGTACCTAAGTTCTTTTGTTTAAAAGAACTATGACTTTGATTATGATGAAAAACATAAGATTAAATGTGGATAGATATAGTGAAAAGAAGCATCGGGTGTTTTATGTGATAAGAGAAATTCCAATAAGACTTAAAGGTAAGTTTTACATGAGTATGATAGACAGAAAAATAAAACAAAAAATTAGTATAGCAAAGATGTGAATGCTTAGGAAGATGAGTGGAAAAACGATAAAAAATAAGATAAGAAGTGAGTACATAAGAAGTAGCTTAAGCATTCAACAATAGACAAAATAAGAGAAAATAGACAAAAATGGTTTAGGCATGTTACAGAGAGACAAAAGCAGTACCTACAAATAATAATGAAATTACATGTAGGAGGAAAAAGAGGGGAGGAAGAACAAAAAGAAATGGTTGGATGTGATTGAGAATGATATGAAGACACTCAAGGACAGCCAGTGTATGCTAGGTGAGAAGTGGAAAAGTAGAAATTTAGTATGAAGTAGCAGACCTCCATAGTTGGGCTGAAAGTCAATGAGAAGATCATTATTTATTTAATTATAAGTATTATAAAATGTATACTTTCATACTAGTCGATATTAAAATAAAATAGGAATTAAAATATAAGTATAAATATAATAGTAGGTACCTACTTAAGTATTTAAAAAAATGTCTTGTTAACTATTTACAAATTAAGTATAAAATTAATTAGGTAAGTTTATTTAGATTTTTACACATAAGCATATTATAGATCCTAGGTTCCTAAATTCTTTCAAAATAGTATTTACAATTATAATTTATTGTTTAAAATACTTTCAGAAACCGGGAACTTTGCACACTAAGTAAAATTAGTAGTAAGAACTTTATTTTAACTAGTATTTATTATTTATACAACTACCTACGGATTTTTAAATTAAAATGTTAACTTTTAAATTAAAAATCAACAATTTAATGTATTGGTATCTACCTAATAGTACATATATCAAAAAAACATAAACAAATACATTTTCTTATTTAAAACGAAACCAATACTCAAGCCATTATAGTATGAAAGTTAGATTAATAAGTACCTAAATAATAAATATTTACCTACACAAATCAAATTACTTGATTTCAATGATAAATTAGGACAGACTAAATTATAAATTATATGCTAAATGCAGTTTAGCTCAAATGATAATTTTTCAATTTCTTTTTTTATAAAATGTGTGATGCAACTGAATTCAAAAATGGTGTTGCTCTTTTTCATTTTGGAAGTTATTAGCATTTCAAATTTTATAATTTTGAATAGGTACATTGAACTAACAATCAAACCTGACAAGTATAAGGGTTACTACATCTGTAAAAATAGCATTTATTTTTGTGTTTTTTCCTCTATTAACACAAAACTTGAGAACTGGTACATATGACCTAACTTGGGCCATATTTATTATTTAAGAAATTTTTAATTATGCCTTGTGGTAATAGAGTAGCATTTATTGCACATTTTTGTTATCGTTATTACCTAACATATTTTATCAGTGATCACATTATCAAACACTACTAGATATTCAGCAGAATATATCAATATAAGACATTTATAATTGCATAATAAATGATACCTTCTTGAATTTTTTAAAATAATAATAATAAGTTAAACATGAAGTTTGTGAACAGCTATCTCTATAAATTACTATCTCAAGTAATACCCAACCAAGTAGGTACTTATCTTAGAAAAGGGTCTTTTCAAAAAAAAAAAGTTCAGGAATATATTTTTTTTTTATTTTAATAATAAGGTTATCTTTAATGAAACAATACACATACTTTATGATCTAATTAATTTTATTGCCAGTAACATATTCTTGACACAAATACCTTTAAAAATATCTTAAGTAGCCCAATTTTACAATACCTACTTGAAGTGGTTTTGCAAAACAAATCAGTTTATTTTCAATAAAAGTCTGACATTAGATCGTAAAGATAATGAATAGAGGAACTTTACGTTCAAATTTCGCATAGCAAAGTTGAGGTATATATTTCAGACAATATTCACCTAACAATAGTATCAAGATGGCAAGAGAGCAGCCTCTCCGCAGATGTAGCGAGCTGTCCACCACAATTGTTTGTTTTTGTACACGATGTATACCTAGGAAGATATGGTCTTCAAATTGCTAAAACTTTAAAATAATAGTTTGCAAAAATTTTGAATGCACCATAATCTTAACTAACCGTCGTTTAAAAAAAATTTTTTTTTTGAAGGTTTTGATATTTTTATTTTTTTGGAATAACTAGAGAGCAATAATTTTTTCAAACCATTAAATTCATCATTTTAAAACACATTTTTGAAAAAAAAAAAATCGAAAACGAGCATAGGAGTAAAAACTGCATTGGCTCCGAATATCTCAATCGACTTACATGCGGCACGACGTCCTGGATGAATCCGGCCACGCTATCAATGATCGACCTGTCGACTACAGGCCCGGGTAGTACCAGTTTGCCGACCACGTTCTTGACGATCTTACTCGGGGAATCAGCAGACATTTTTTGGTCGTTTCTCGGTAGACGCTGGTCAGACGGAAAATCGACAGGGTAATAATTGGCTGACAGACGACGACGAAGATGACGGTAACGGAAGCAATGTCATACCGAAGGCCGTCGCAGTCGCAGCAGCAGCAGGCTCAGCATACAAATTTCGAACGCTAAGAAATTTTACAGTAATGACGTCGCAACGGTAGTGGCAATCCCGAATCAAAATCGCCGTTGTCAGCGTACAAAAGAAAACCTGAACACTAGAAACGCCTGTAAGACGACGGTGACAGTTTTCGGCATTTTGGACGGTCGGGCATTTTACGTACTTACCTGCCGCAAAAATCAATTTTAAAATGTACAAATAAAACTTTAGATTCCGTTACGAAACGCGAAATAATATTATTAAGTACTGTGACAAAGGCCATAAAAATATTTCCGTTATCATACGTAATCGATGGGTTTGTTGTTGTTATGCGTTATCGAGGCTAACAGCTGTTGACGTCCGTGTGCAGCTGCAGTTACAGCGACTGCTGCTGCGCAGTATTATTATTATTGTATTGTGAAAAAAAAGTCGTAACCATGAGCCCGTGACGAGAACGTATTCACGTTATACCTATATTAAACTGACTACAGAGCGATACCAATAATTAACGATTAAGTTTTTGACTTTTTCTTGTAAATTTTATTTCGATTTTTTTCGGCCGATTATATTTTAATCGTTAAATAGGACGCTTCTTGTTCATCTCCATGGCCTTTATGACTGAAACAATATCATTAATTTTTGTATTGGTTTCGGACCACGACTCTCTCACTTGTGTTTATTGGATGGGACATGGGTGAAGGGTAACAGTTACATTTTTCACTCGGCCTACAAATTAAAAGTGCATTGACTGAGAGCTTATTAAGTAATTAATAATTTGATCTTGAAATTATATATTTTAGCCAAGCTACAAGGAAAACAGTTTGATTATTGAATATGTGATACATTCTTGATACTTACCTAATTAGTCTTAAGTAATAAAATGTTAAACCTCACAATACTAAATTGTTCATTTAATTGTGATCTAATCCCACGCTCTCATGTTCCTCAATTATGTGAATTAAAGCCTTAATTTCTCTGCCTAAAGGTTTTTACTTTATTAAAATTTAAACAATTTTGGTGGCTTTAAAAACGCAAAACCTGAAGATAGCATAACGGAGAGGTATTAACTTGCGAGTAACACATGCGGTTTCTATATCGTTTAAGCTTTTCATATTTGAATAATATTAAACGAAATAAAAGTGGATTTCAATTTGCAACGCGAAATACTGCACATAACGTGGTCACGTACGATGTACAGTAATAAGATTAGTATATCACAAAATACAAAGTATTGGCGCGTTCGAATCGCTCAGTGTGTCATCAGCTATTGGACTGTCCAATATTAAATCCTGATTTTGGAATTTTGGATTGTTAGCTGAAAGTAACTCAATACTATCAGGTGTTAGTCGTTGTTCGACAGATTGTCAAGGGTAAAACGACAATATAAAATATCAATATACGCAGTGTTTAATTTCAATTTGCATGATTTGTATTGATTGACATGAAGCTTGGGTAGGGTTACTAGACACGTCCTCTTTTCTCCCGACGTGTATTCTTTTTAAGGTTAAATAAAAAAGTCCGGGGGGGGGGTTCAATATTGGAAAATGTTAGGGTTTTTCATAAACTGTGAATTTATTAAATAATCACCTCGATATATCGAGATCAAACAGTATATATTTATATAATATGTTCATGATTATGACCATAATTATATTATTATTTATCAATTTTTATTATTATCACAGACATTACAAATTACAATCCAAGTCTGCTGTTTGGAGTAAAAAGAATAATTTAAATTTGCTGGCTATTTATAGTAACACCCTTTAATATTAAATACAAGATGCCATAATTCATATAATTTTTAATTACAATTTACAATATCAATTGTTGCAAAATTAATACGTATAGTCGTGTAGTGTATCATGTATTGCCATCTAAATTTTAAAATATGTCTAAAAGAAAATGTACATTTTCTAACAAACTTGAAGCTAAGTGTCAATTGGACGAAATTACTTTAATGCAAAATGCTGTATTTTTGATTCATATGTTTCTGTTGTAAATAAAGGTGGGTTATTTGAAGTTTCCAACAGAATACAAGTTAAACTTCTAGACTTAAAAAATACTCCAAATGAAAAATCTGAAACTATTTCTGAATCGCCCATACAAATGTTAAATAAATATAAGTTAGGTAACAAATGTGTAGCTTTTGTATGTGAAAACACAAATACTAATTTTGGTGGTTTAAATAGAAAAGAAGGCTGTAATAATTACATATAATTGGTAATATATTTACCAATTTGAAAAATAATCTCAACCAGAAATTAGTTGGTATTGGCTGTCCTGCACATATATTATATAATTCCACTTAGCATGATGTTGATCAATTAAATAAAATAGATATTGATTCTATTGTTTTAAAAATATTCAATTATTTTTCAAAAAAACTAAAATCAAAGGAGTTCTGTAATTTTGTTAATATTAATTACCTAAATTTATTTTATCATAATAAAACTAGGTGGTTAGGTCTATTCCCTGCAATTAATAGCATTATACAAATGTATCCTGTATTGAAATATTTTTTTCTATCAGAAAAACAACCTCCAAAAGCTATCAAGAACTTTATTGAAAATAATTTTAGTGAAATATATTTGTGGAGACTTGAAATTTGGACATAAACCTTATATTTACCTTTTTTGGACGTGGTCAAATTTTCAAAACATTAAAGTCATTTTTGAGCTATTTATAGACATTTTAATTTTGCCAGTTTTATACATATTTTTTATTCTGTAGGTACACTGTGGTAAAATTGTTAGACTTAATAATAATGCTTGAAATTTTAACAGGAGGTTCATTAAGTGTCCTACTTTGTGGTGAAAAAAAACAATGAGTTTAATGCAGTATTATTTTTATAAAGGAAATTTAACATCAAATTTTGACGAAAATCGTTTGAGTAAAAAATTATGTGGAACAAATCTAATCTTTTAATTTTTTTTTTTTCAAACATATGTATATTGTAAATTTAAGAACGGTGGTAAAGTCAGAATTGAGCGGACAGACTTAGTTTCGAAATTTTAATATTATGCGGATATTATACAGGCCGTATCAGAAAAGACTGGCCAACCCTACGGATTGTGACTCTATATGTGGTTATAAGAATTGGTTTTTTGGAATTTTTGTTTTCTTATCAAAACTTTGGTTTTACCCGTTTTATTTGTATAATACCCATACAAAATAAAAATAAACCATTCCAGAGAATTTATCGCAAAATTCTCTTACGAAATAAGGGGTCATTCGATTTTTTCCAAAAATAATCATTATCACCGTTATTTTTGGCTTATCATGTCCAAAATTGTAATTTTTGTGTGACACATGAAATTGTATGTAAATTTGTCAGGGATTTCAATGGAATAAATTATTTTTTATTTAAGCGTCAATTTAACGATCCTATCCGTAAAATACGACTCATTTGACTGTAAAAAACATTAAAAAAAATGCATAAATTCAGTTGTTTTTATTGAATTGTTTTATAATTAATTATTATCAGATAATAAAGAAATAATATTTAAAGTAAATGTTCAATATGACCTCCGTGTACTTCAATACATTTTAAAAGTCGTTCATGGAATGACCTTCAAACATTTTCGATGACACAAAATGGCATTATGTCAATAATACTACCAAAATAATAATCTTCTAAAATTTCCATTATGATCTAGTGATGCTATCGTATCCATTATTAAATTTGTGTATGATAAAGTAATAACTTCATCATTGTTATTATTGATTGTTTTTTTTATAGTATTGATTATGGTATGTAAGCTTGTGACTCCACGCTGAACACGTATCAGTTAGTGTAGTACGTCGATAAGTTACTGGTGAGTTTAATATTTTTTTCCAGATTTTGTATTTAATATTAATTAATGCTATAATTATTAATTAATAATGGTGTACACATTTGTTGAATACTCTGATATGGTTTTTATTTTAGGTAAGGTTTTTCTTGTAATAAAAAATGTTATGTTATTCTGAATACGTACATCTAATTATGAGGTGCTGCTAATGGTATTGGTGCTCAGGCAGTTCGATTATGGGCTATTTCCAAACCGTCAGCAACTTAATCGAAAAATCTTCACCGATGTTTTTCGTAGATTAAGAGAAACGGGTATGTTTTTTTTTAATTATCCAAATAATAATAAAGTTTTAATATTTAATTTACAGTCAAATGAGTCGTATATAAGCGGATAGGATCGTTAAATTGACGCTTAAATAAAAAATAATTTATTCCATTGANCGGTGATAATGATTATTTTTGGAAAAAATCGAATGACCCCTTATTTCGTAAGAGAATTTTGCGATAAATTCTCTGGAATGGTTTATTTTTATTTTGTATGGGTATTTTACAAATAAAACGGGTAAAACCAAAGTTTTGATAAGAAAACAAAAATTCCAAAAAACCAATTCTTATAGCCACATATAGTCAAAATCCGTAGGGTTGGTCAGTCTTTTCTGATACACTCTGTATATTTTGTTAAATAACTAAATATTGTCTTTATAATTTTATTAGTCGTAGACGAATGGTACATGCCTAGTTCCATTCTAGGGTTTAGAGTTCATACCCGTGTTTCGAAAAAAAAATGTTGCACTTATTTTTTCCCTTTTACTTTAACAAGGAAAATCTAATGTATTTTAGGAGTACCTTGAGACCGCTGCTATCGGTCGCTCGGACTATTTTAATTGACAAATATCCTTTGATTTATTGTCTAAGCTTTTCTATCAAAAATCTTGCTCAGATGTATCAAGTGTAGCTTATTTTCTGAAAGGAAATTTGATCTCCATGGTACTTTAGTGTATCTTACCAGCGAAAACATCAAATTTATGGGTCATCTGCTATATAGCCCGAATTTGGCACCCAATGACTTCTTTATATTATCACACATACAAATTGCGTGGTCAACGTTTTCCGACGCCTGAAGAAGCAGTTGATGCGTTCAAAATGCATGTTTTGGAGGTATCTCAATTGGAGTGGAAGAAGTGCTTCAAAAATAGGTTTAAACGCATGTAAAAGTGTATTGATTTGTGGAGAATATTTTGAAAAACAATAAAACCATTTTTAATGATTAATGTCATACTTTATTTTTTTTGTCGTAAAACTTAAAAGGTAACCTACATATACATTAAATTACCTATAAAAATGGCTGCACCCTTCTCCATTATCTTTTTTATACCTACTCGTCTATCTTATTCTTTGTAGGTACTTCTATATAATAGCATATTATTTTAATTTTCTTTGTCTTCCATTACTACATATAGTGTCTAACTAATTATTATTTTAAATTTCCTAATTTTTTCTGGGTAATTAGGTATATCTTCGTGGGACACCGTTACTTTAATTTCCTAAACTTCTGCCACTTATTTAAAACAATTCAAAACGCAGCCAACAAAATAAATTATGTTATATTCAGGCGCGTCCCTGTGGAGGAAGGTGAAGAAGATCATAATTTTACAAAGATGTTTCTTTATTTATTTATTTATTATTTTTTATCTGTGCACAACTACCAGAAGACTTACTTAGATTTCTACGTGTAGCACCTTTTCCGAAAGAAAATTTCACTAGTGAGTTACTTTAAAGAAGTCATTTTTCTATTTTCCCAAGAGTTTTCCCAGCAAATAGAAAAAAACCAGGATAAAACACGGGAAAATCGGTAAAACAGTAAACACATATTATTAAAGAAGATATATAAAACCTTTTTAATTATTCTACTATAAAATGATATACATATTGTTGAAAAATCATCAATATCAACTGAACTCTACTCAGAATAGTTTTTTCGTAAGCAATAGTTTATTGTGGCTTACAGGTATACATTAAATTATCTATAACTGTGGCTGCACCAGTCCTAATTATCCTAGGACGGCTTTTTTTTATTTTTACTCTGACAAAAATATCTACCAGAAATCTTCCCCCGATGTGTACGTGTAGCACCATTTCTAAAAAGAAATATTGTCTAGATGGTACTTTAGGAGATTATTTTTTTATTTTTCAAGCGGTTTTAATATCGGAGAAAATGTAAGAAAAACGAGAAATTTACGAAAGTCGAAAATAATGCTTTTTATTATTTTCAATTGTGTTATTGTGATTTAATTTTAAATATTTGTAGACTTGAAATTTGGACAGAAAACTTATATTTGCTTTTTTATACGTGGTAAAATTGTAAAAACATTTGATACATATTTAAGCTATTTATAGATACTTGAATTTTATGAGAAATTGTTATTTGGTAAGTACTCTGTGAATAAAATTGTTAGACAAAACAGAAATGCTTGAAAATTGAATAAGAGGTATACTCATACTGTGTGGACAAAACAAAAAAAAATTAATTAAATGTAGGACATTTTTTTTATAAGAATTTTAGTATCAAATTTTGACGAAAATTGTTTTAGTAAAACAAATCTTGTTGCTGGTCCATGTAAATTGTTTCAATATAATATTTATTTTACTATAATATGACAAGTTAATGTAAATAAATATATGTAAGGGTTTACATATAAAGATATAGAAATGGCTTCTACACTATTTGAGAAACAGGATATGCTGATGTATCACTCTTCAAAAGAAATAACTATCTTTAGGTATAAAACCAATTATAAAAGAACCACGAAAGTAAGAAGAAGTAAGAAAACTTTTTTTTGATGAAAACAAAAATTAAGATTTTTCAATTGGCGCTAAAGAATATTTTAAAATATAATTTTTCTACACTCTTTTAGATAAAATCAGAAAAATTATAAAAGAAAGATTTACTAATTTTGAATATCATAAGCAATAATGGAGTGGAGTCTGGAAAACTTACAATCTTCTAAACATTTTTTGACATACTGTAAAGACCTACATGGAGTACTTGCAGATGAAAATAATGCTGATATAAATGCCATAGAACTTTACAGTGATAATTTTACCAATTGGCAAAGGATCACAAAGCAGTGCTCCAGTTTATACACAATATGAAATTAGTTGATATATTCCTTTACACTTGAATATCTCTAAGAATATTGACGATCCCAGTTACAGTAGTATCAAGTGAACGAAGTCTCTCTAAACTTAAATTAATAAAAACTTATTTGCGTTCCTTAATAAAAAATGATAGGATATCGCGATTTTATATATATATATCTTTTATATATATTCGCTATTTTGTCAATTGAAAATGATTTAGCTCAAACAGTAAATGAATAAGCAATCAGTTTTTGAATTAAAAGCTAGAAAAGTGAAGTTCTAATATTATTAATTACCAATAATAGTTATTAGTATCAAATTTAAAATTTTAGAGTAATTATAAATTTTTCATTTGATTATTTTTCTAATAATCAAATTACTCGATAAATTATTCCCATTACTACTAAATATCAAATATTACTACAAATATAATGAAAATGAATAACTGCCAAAATTTAAGTTAATTCAATTAAATTGCCTTTAGTAAAAAAGTTAACAAAGAAAAAAAATTAAAAGTTTAAAGTTAAGATTGAAAATAAAAATTACGTTTTCTGCATTTTAGTACGTTCCTAAAAAAGTTAATTTTGTTTTTCAAGCCATAATATTCATGTCAGTCATAAATTGCCATAGTATTTTCATTAAATACAAACATTTACAAAGACGTTTAACATTAGGTTGTTAATATTGTACATATTAGAAACTTCATCTATACATACTTGAAGATTAATTACCAACAATAGACAATACTTAGTAATTATCTACTATCAATTTTTCAATATTTCTTATCAATTGACAATTGTGTAGACTGCTTTTAAACATTTACCATTTGGTTCTATAATAATAGACATATACTCATATTAAATAATAACTATAAAATCAATGATAATAACTTTGTGTTACCTACCAACAATTAATTTAACATCTATTTTGATTATATTATTATTTATTTATTTTTAGTGTCATATGTCATACTCATATTTACTTATAACTAAAGACACCTCTTAAAACACCTAAAATATGATGCTAATATTTTCTAAAAAACCTTAAAATATATTCTCTTAAGTTTGAAAAATAATCAACATCAATATATGCTTTAATATGCAATTTTTTTTTACAAAATTTCATAATTAGTGACACTTATATATTAAAACAGAATAATAGTGCACTTAAGTAAGTGTAGAAATAAAATAGAAATATAATAATATAGGTAAATTAATTTTTAAAAACTTAAAATCACATTACACGTAATTGGAAAAGTGCAAAACAAAATATTTGGATATTTGAACAGTTAATAATGATTAATGATAAACAAAAAACAACTGCCAACATTGCAGGTTAGCCACAGTAACTTATAATAGGTAAGTACTATAACACTAAACCTTTTTATCAAATGATATAAAAAAAACAATTGTGAATGTTCAAAATATAATTTTCCAGGTACCCTATTATTAAAATTAATATTTTTTTTCTTATAATTTATAAAATATCTCAAAATATGCAAAATTCCTTAATCCATGAAATTTTCTCAAATGTGCAAAAAAACCTTTTTTCCTATTAACTCAGAACTGAAAGAATTTTCATTAAAATTTCTCATTCTCAGAAGACTGTATAAATTCACTTACAATATGTAAAAACATATAAATGCTTTTACAGTGAAATAGTATATAAACCAAAACAATCACAGTATTTACAATACAAATAAAATAAAAAATGTACATGTAAAATTTGAAAAGGGTTGTGCCAAAGTTATAAGTAGGGCTCAGAACTTTTTGTGGATTTTAAGTGCATTAAATTCCGAAGCCTAGTTATGAGTAATAGGTAACCATGGCTAATAAAAGTAAAAAAAAAATTTGAGGAGAGAAGGGGAATCAATAAAACTACAAAGTAGAAATTAAGGTTATAAAGAATAAGTGTGTAGTTATGAGGAGGACATTTGATATTTAGGGCATATTTCACAAAATTTAAGAATTTTCTTTTTACTCTCAATTTCTTTATTAGCATCAACTACTGTTGTAAGAGAGTCATAAAAGCTATATTCTTATAAATTTCTACAAAAATAAATGGGTTAATCTTCTAGTTTAGACATTTCAGTTCTCAATTTAATAAGTATGTCTTCATTTGCCACCCCTCTATGTTGTGGGCTTTGAGTTCCTGGTTCATCTGGTTTTTTCTCGCTGCTACTTCCCACATTTTGATGACTATACAATCTTAATAAAGACCCAAAATATTTAATATGAGGATGAAGTACCTATTATTTGAAGAAAAATATTAATTAATTAAAATATAAAAATGTAAAATAATATATTTCAATACCTTCAACAATGCCTGAGCTCCTTTTTGTCGTCCATCACGTTTATTTTTGCAAATAACAGTGGCCATATGATTCTTAACTTTCATAGTAAGACTATAAAAAATTTCAGAATCACTACTGCTCTGCATTTTTTGCATATCAGTCTTGACATATTCATCTTCCCCAAAATTTCTATATCATGTTTACATAAATTATTAGTCAACAAGTGAGATCATCACTATGATATATAGATCTATTAAGGCATTTTATAAAAATGTCCCTTCTGATTTTTGGATCTAAAATATCTCTGGGGATTTGGTGATTGGATAGTGGTTTTAACGCCAAAAACTTTGGCTCTACACAAGTCCCCTCCATAATTTTATATAATAAAGTTCCTTCTAAAGGAACTAACCTGAAGTTTGTCTGATCGTCACTAAACTTTAGAAATAGTTCACCCTCACCAAATGTAGTAATAATTGAAAGGGTTTAAAAACAGTCGGTGGGTCATTATTTACACCCTTATATCCCATTATTTAGCACCATCCTTCTCCCTGAATAAACTATTTTGAAAATAGAAAATTATAACTACTGTAACAAACAAACCAAAGAGGTCAAGGTGTTAACTCCCCTAAAAATGTATGTAAAATATGAAGAAAAAGCTTTGCTGTGGAATATTCTTAAATTTAATTAGTTTTATTATCAATTATGATTCTGTTTTATCAAGTCAATTAAAATAAATGGTAAAATTGTTAGACTTAACAGAAATGTGTGAAAATTTATCAGGGGGTTCATTAAGTCTTATATTGTGGTTTAAAAAAAAAATTTGCTTTTAATGTAGTATCTTTGCTAACAAGTATATATTAAATTCTTTTCTGTATCCTACCATCCTTATTTCCTACCTATAACAGTGACTGCACAAGAGTGTGAAGTATGTCAGTCTTTTTTAATTTGTTGTCGATTTTATTGTTCATTCAAGAGTTTTGCTTTAATTAATATTATAGAATGCAAGGAGCTCATAAAAATTTTCTCCAAATGTGTTTTTTAAATGATGATGACGAAGACGATTTCCAACTTAACTAACATTACTTTTTAAATTTTTCGACAGCGTTTTCAAGCTGTGGCAGTCTTATCCATACAGATTATACTGCTTCGAACTTCTCAGTAATTTTTATCCACTCAGCATTTTTAAATTTTATGCTTACTCTGTCATTAACACCGAAGTGCTCAGTAACAATAACAAATATAATTTATTAATTAGAACTTGAAAATGCATTCTCGCATTCTTTTCAACATGTTTTCCATTCTTTAATAATCAATAATTTACAAAAAAAAAAATAACTGCAAAAACATTATACAGAGGAGTAGCAAATAACAAATATTAAAATATAAATTTATCACTTTATCAAGCACCACAGCTGTCTTGATAATGATATTAATTAAGTAATAAAGTTAAAAGTTGTTACTGTAATTGTGTACCACTATTAAGTCAATTAACACACAATATTAAACCATTGCATACTAAAAACAACCATGAGCATAATTCAGTTGATAGTAATGCTTTGTCAACAATATATATGTCATGTTAAAATGAAATAATTAAAGAGGCATTATATATTTTCTTTAATAATATTTGTTTAATATTGTACTGGTTTTCCCGTTTTTTCATATTTCCTGAGAAAATTTTAGAGAAAATTGAAAAATTACCAACTTAAAGTACATTTCCAACAAGATTTCTTTTTAGAATTTTAGAAAAAGTGCTATCATTGTAAATTGGAGCAAAATTGCTGATAGAAAAGTTATTCACACAAAATAAGAAGGCCGTAATATTTTTAACTAATACCTACCTACATTTCGTACATTTTCCAGTTTTTCCTGTTTTTCACATTTGTTGAAAAATTTCGTGGAAAAATCAAAAAATGACTTCTCTAAAGTACTTCCTCAGTCAGATTTCTTTTTAGAAAAAGTACACAGAAAAAAAAACATCTTTGTAAAACCATAAGCTTCTTCGCTCCACTCAGAATCCAAAATTATGATTGGATACTGTGTGTCCAAGCTATAATGATATTTGTGTAATTCGGGCTTTTACCTAAACTGGCCCTGGCCGATTTTTACCCCAATCCACCCCTAAATATACCTGATGATGAATTTTTAATTCAAAACCAGTCGACATTACACTTATCATAATACTCCAGACACTGCATTTACTTATTTATCTATTTGTTTATTTATACATTAATTATAAAAAAAAAAATACTAAATTATATTAAAGGTTTTATTTGACCACTAAGCATGACTTATAAATTATAATGAACTTCCTATCAAATTTTCAAGCATTTCTTTTAATTCTAAAAATTTATCTACAGAATACCTACCAAATCAAAATTACATAAAAAAACTCACAAAATTAAAATATCTATAAATAGTTCAAAAATAGCTAAAATATTCTGAAAGTTTTACCAAATTTAGAAAAAGTAAATACAAGTTTTCTGTTAACATTTTTAGTCTATACGAATATTTTAAACTGAACTACATTAAAAATATAAAATTTAAAATAATTAAAGCAATATTTTCGTAAATTTGTCTATTCTCTCTAAATTTTCGATTTTACTCAATAATTAAAAAAAAACTACAGGGAATATCCAAAACAACTTTCTTACTCACCAAATACATTAAAAATGCAATAAAATAAGCCTCTTGTTTTTTTTATAACAAGCAATATTTCTGGTAGATAAAATAAACTGTAAAAATTGTAGATAAAGGAATCATAAAGCCATAAATTTTTCAGTTTTTATATTTTGTCTTTCTTCAATTTTCCCAATTATTACAAAAATTACTTGGAGAATCAAAAACTGACTTACTCCATAGGAATCTAGATCTAAAATTCAATAAAAAAGATCTCTTAAACATTTTTTGATTAAAGCAATATTTCTGGTAAGTTAAACAAATTAAAAACTATGAAATCAGTAGGGCCACTATAAATATTTGGTGTTTTTCCTACAATTTTGCTTCCAACTTTTCCCAATAACTTTGAAAATCCTTCGGAAAAACAAAAAATAACCTATTTAATGCACCAATTAATATATTTTTGAATTGTGTTAGGTATAATATTATAATTAGACAGTTTTATCAAAAAACATGGGAGTTGTTAAAGAAATGCATGCAGCTTTCATGGACTTTAAAAAAGCCTATGTTTTGTCATAAAAAAAAAGTATGTGAGAAGTGTTTCCAATTGGAGAGATCTAGCATTGGACAGAAAAGGATTTTTTGTGAGACGGGATGGTCTTAAAGGCTTAATAAACCCAAGAAGAAGAAAAATGTCCAAACTAGATAAAATTTCTTTTCAGAAAAGGTACTACAGGTGTCCTATACAATTATCATTATACTAAGAACTCAATATTAATTTTTTTTCCAATCAGATTTTGTGAAGTACACATGTAGAAAAACATTAGTTTCCATTTTTTGAAAAATATATTATTCTAAAAAATTTAATGTATTCATTTCCGAGCAATAATTTCTTAGTTATTGTGGCTTTAAAGTATAGAAAATAAGTGTGAAAACAATTAATATTCAATAGAAGATAAAGAATTACCATGCTGATTGTTAAATAAGGTTAATTTTATTCATAAATTAAGAGATGAAAATAAACATTTAATTTTTCTCTAAATATGGGACTCCTTAACAAAACTTGTAACTGAAAGAAAAAATATATGAATATTAACAGAATTATTATCATAAAGATAACACTGTATGTACACATTGAAGCAAGATATCTTTTGTAAAAGTTGTTTACAGACAAAAAAATAATATAAAAAATTGAATTTTAGAAATATATTTAATAAGGGGTGGATGTGGATAGTTATAAACCTTTTCTGGACAATGTAAGATAACTTCCAAAGTTTCACGATGATCAAATTAATAGTGTATACACCATTCATCTGATGTATAAAGAAAATGATGTCCTATAATAATGGAGATGAGTGCATTCACTGTGGATAAAATTGTTAGACCAAATATAAATACTTGAGAATTCAACAAGAGTTCATTAAGTCGTATTTTGTGGTAAAAAAAAAGTTTTGAGGAAAGGCTAACTGGCTTATCACTTTTATACATTCATCGAAATGACAACATTAATATAGAGAATATTGTTGATCCAACTGCTTGTAAAACGATGCTTAAAAAAAAAGTTTTGCACTTAGTCATCTAACTTTTATTAATTGTTATTATTATTTTTTTTTTGTTATTATTATTTTTTTTTTATTATAATTATTTTAATTATTATTTATTTAATGTGAAAAAAAATGAATTTAACTTTAAAATTGTACTGTTTTACTACATTTGTACAATATATTTGCAGTTTTCTAAGCTAATATATGTTGAAATGACATCAGACATACATTTTTTTTAGTTTTTGTTGACCAAAGCGGTAGTATTCAAGAATAAAAATAAAGTAAGTAAAAAATAAAAAAACAAATAAGTAAATAATATATACCACAGTTGAATAAATAAATAAATATAGGAATAAAATCAAAATAAAAATATTTATAAAAAAAGATGTCTGACAGGATAATGAGGACAAGTGCAGCCAATGCTATAAATAATTTTGTATACCTGTAAGCAATAATAAACCACTATTAAGGAAAACTGATTCTGAGTAAAGTTCAGTTGATAGTGATGTTTTACCAACAATATATATACTGTATTAAATTTAAATAATTAAATAGGAGCTATATATTTCTTTAATAATATTTTTTTTATGTTCTACTGATCTCTCCAGTTTTCTGACTGTTATCAGTGTTTTTTTTTTTTTTTAAATAACCTTCTAAAATACCTCTTTAATTAAATTTCCTTTTAGTAACATTACTATTAATATAAGTTGAAGCAAAATTGCTGGTAGAAAAGCTGTCCACAGAAAAAAAATATAAACATCTTTGTAAAACCACAAGCTTCTTTGCTCCCCATAGAATCTAAAATATATTATAGTAAAACTAATTCCTAATCCCTACACTCTGAATCTAAAAGGGAGACAATATAATTTCCAAACTAACAGAACTGTAAAACACATACTATAATCTATTCTTTGAGAGAATACTCAGATCAATTAACCCATGAATTTGTAACCCCAACTTTTCATCACGCTTAATTTGCAACTTTGGCATTAATATTATATGAAACCCTAAATCTCTAAATCTGTCAGTCGTAATGTGTAAAAAGTGAGTATTCTCTTATGGAACAGAGTATATGTGTATTTATAACACAATACCTTTTTACGCAAATCTGTAACATATCATATGGCATCGATTCAGCAGCTTGACAACAAAATGATGGTATTCTGGGATCTTTAATTTTCAATTTGTCAAAGACCTATAATATTAACAATTTGTAGATAAATTGAATAATTATAATATTATATTATTATAGTATAACCAAAACTACTTACTATGTCTCCATTGAAAACATTACCAATTTGAGTTTCGGACATTCCCTGTTTACGATTAATTTTTATTTGATCTTTGGCAGATGGCAGTAATATTTCCAATGAAGCTCTAGCAGAATCAAGTTTGGCTTGTTTTTTACTGGAACCAATGCCAATACCATATTGTATACCATCCAAAATTACAGTTGCCAAGTAAGGATATCTGGAATTCTCTGAAATAATAATAATTTAAGTATTTCAAATATTGATCACTGTATTTTATACTAACCAAGTTCTTTAAAAGTATATGATGGCTGTGTTTTCAAAACACGTTGAACATATTCATGTAAAATACTGATGTAACTTTTATTATTTAAATTAATTATCCATTCTCCTGTATCAGGTTCAGTTGTATTTTCTAAGACTAAAGTAGAAATAAAAAAAAAAAGTAAAGTTAAATCCAATTAATAAAATCTATTTAAATTAAAGGTCAAAAATTAAAATACAATATAAAGTAAGAATTAATAAATTTAACCTTTTTTTTTTATTTTATAGTATTCAGATTAGAATAAGAATAAATGGAATTTGAGTTTTTATAATTTATAGTAAACAATAACTGTGAACAAGTGAAAAAAATAAAGAGGAACATACTTTGCACAATGGGTGAAACTGTTGTAGATGATAAGTTGGGAAGGTATGATATATAGGGGAATTTAATGTATATGTTTAGGCAAAGATTAATCATTACTAAGGAAAAACGATTCTGAGCAAAGCTTGGTTAATAATATTGCTTTTTCAACAATATATATGTCATAATGTAGTAAAATAAATATAAATTGAAACGATCCCTATGAACCAGTAACTATATTTGTTTCATTTTACTAAAAGGATTTTTGTCAAACTTGATATTAAAATTCTTTTTTTTATACTACATTAAACTCAATTTGTTGTTTTGACCAAAAGATAAAGCTTCTAAGGAACCTCCTGTTCAATTTTATCTACAGAGTACCTATCAAATAAAAATTAGTTACAAAATTAAAATGTCTCAAAAACCTTAAAAATGGCTCGACTGTTTTTAGCTTTACCACTAAAAATATTTTCACCTAAATTACAAATGCACTATTTTCAATAATTTTTCCATTTTTCCAACATGTTATCCTGATTTTACCCAGATATAATAAAAACCATTTGGAAAATCAAAAATAGTTTTCTAAGTACTATCTAAATCAGTAGTGGGCAAACTTTTTTAATGGAGGGCCACAAAGTTTAAGAAATTTTAGGAGGGCCAGAATTAAAGAAAAAATGAATTTTGTATTAAAGCTTAGAATCATAATATTATAAAAACATTACAGCATTACACACAAATGTTACAAATTACCTTTTACCTTAAATAATAATAAATTTAACTTTTATTTGGAGGCACAACCATGGTAGGCGTGTGAGACATATGGAATTGTTTTTGATTTTCCATAATATTTTCGAAAATAGGTTCCAGGTGTGACGAAGTTACTTTCAGCAAAAGGTGTTCAAATCAGACCATTTGTCTGTTTTATTCTTTAACTAATCTTGTATTTCCTCTTTTAAATTCCAAACCCGTTCAAATGCATATTCACAACTTAACCATCTTACTTTCGTGTGGTAAAGGTCAGAATAATCTGCGTCGACTTCAATCAGAAATTTTTGGAATTGTCGGTGTACCAAGCCCCGAAATCGAATCCTATTAATTAGTTTTGAAACCACATTAAGTACATGGGTAATATCTATTGCAGCTTTACAAAGGACGTCTTGGTGAATTATACAATGTAAAAATAGAACATCGTGATTAGGATGCTGGTTCCGAAAAATACGTGAAAATCCCTCGTTTTTTCCAACCATATTTGGGGCTCCATCTGTAGTTATATTGCATAATTTTGAAATAGGCACATTTAAATTTTGAAGACCTTCGGAAAATTTGTTATAAATTATTTGCCTCTCGTTTTTCCTTTTAACAATTGCAAACAAGCTAGATCTTATGTAATATTAAATTGGTCGTCAACACCTCTAATGAAGATTAATAATTGAGCAGTGTCACTTCTATCCATACTTTCATCCATCGTCACAGAAAAATATTTAAAGTTTTCTATACTCTACCTAAATTGAGTCAACAATTTTGATGCAATGACATTAATTTGCGTTGTTACTGTTTTTCACAATAAACTGACAGACTCAACCTCTTTAATTTTTTATGGACATCAAATTTTACTCATACTCACCATACAATCTTTTACAAATTCTCCTTCCGAGTAAGGTTTGTTATTTTTAGCTATTTTATAAGCCACAACATATCCAGCCAGTGTAGAAGCCTTCTGAGCAGTTTTGCTTTATTAACACATTCCATTGAGTAGATATTGTTTTTTTTAGGTTTTCTGCGTCATTCATCAAAGCATATTTGGTTTTTGAATGTTTGGTGTTAAAATGACGAGCAAGGTTAAAATCCTTAAATACCGCCACTACTACATTACAAATAAGACATACTGGCTTACAGTTGTATTCCGTAAAAAAGTATTTCCAAGCCCACTCTTCTTTAAACAGACGACACTGGGAATCGACTTTTCGTTTTTTATACGCCATTATCCCAAAAGCACAGATTTTCTTTTAAACGATTATGAATATAAAATGTTACGCAAACAAGCAAGAACAAGAGACAAAATTAAAACAAAATTAACATAAAACGTGCAGCTTGATCTGTGACAGCATAGTGACTGAGTTCACTATATATTTTTTTTTTTGGCTTAAAATAGACCCTTCAGGTCCTTCGCGGCAACCACTACTTCCCTCCATCTGTCTCTATCCGTGGCTAGCTCTTCGCCTTTCAAAATTCATTAGTTCATTCAAAAGTCTTTATGGACCCTATCTACCCATCTTTGTCTTGGGCGGCCGAGTGGTCTTTTGCTCTTCGGCTTCTAGTAGATGATTTGGCCAATTGTCTACTTTCGCCTCGCCATATATGCCCTGCCCAGCTTATCCTTTTGCTTTTCATAGTCGCTCACTATAGGAGTTCATAGGAGTTCACTATACATACTATATGTAAACAGAATAACGATTAGGTATAATGACAGTGCAAAGACTGATAGCATTACACAATTATTATACGAAAACTAAAATAGAAATTATATACCTATTATCATAGTACCTACTATCTACTTACACCACGCTGTGAGGGTTACCGTGAGAGTAATTATGACGAGTCATATACTATCATGTCAATATACCCTCGGTGGGCCGGATTAAATACTTTTGCGGGCTAGAGTTGGACTGCGGGCCGTACTTTGCCCACCACCGATCTAAATAAAATTTCTTTTCAAAAAAGTTGCTACACTTGATACATCAGAGCAAGATTTCTGATACAAAAGTTTGCCATTAATATATTTTTCCATTAAAATAGTCCTTACGAGGAATGGCTTAGGTTTCTAGGTGTAACTAAAATGTATTTATTTTTTCCCTTTTACCTCCGTCATCTCTATTTTAAAATAGTTTTAGACAATTATAATTTTGCCAGTTGTATACTTAATATTTATTAGATAGGTACTCTATGGATAAAATCGTTAGACCTATCACTAAACAGGCCTTTTAAAACATGTATAACTAAACTCTGCATAAAAACATTAAATTCCCATCTACATCCTACCTTCCCAACTTCTCAACTACAACAGTGGCCTATATTATGATACCAACCATGGTTGAGTATATAGACACAACATTATAAACAACAAAAGTTATAAAATTTATGTAACTCTTATCACATTTTAGTTTTACCATAACCACTATTGAAAAATATTGATGACATTTTTTATTATTTTTGACAATAAATGTATAATATTGAGTTGAAAATATGGTTTTAAAAATCTGATTTTTTTTCCTCCATAATAACAGAGTAATCAACATGTACAAGTCGATTCTTCCCAATTAATACTAATAATATTATTTTAACTCAGTAAATGCCTGATGTCCTCTCCTCTACTGGGGAAAAACTTATAACTTGGTAAAAAACTTAGTAAACAAAAAAAATTATTTTGTCTTATGCAACCCATTATTCAATATTGATAAACGAAAAAAATCTAACTCAAAAAAATTAACTCCAGATCTGGAAAGGTTAAGAGTTTAGAAAACTATTTAATAATATTATGAATATTAAAATTAATTTTAATAGTTACTCGGTGGATCAGCTGGAAGTGTTATTACTGATGATCTGTCTTTAAACTTTGGAATCTCCTTACTTCTTCGATCAGCTTTTATCATTCGAATATATTCTCGACGCTTATCCCATGAACTTAAACAAGAAAAACAATTTTCTAGAATTAACCTTCATATTTTTATTAAAGTAAATAAATATATAAATAAAAATTATATAAAGTGGCACCTGGAGTAGTATGATAAGTGTATAATACGACCAGTTTCGAATTAAAAATTCATCAAGTATATCAGTCAAAATGTAAAAAGCGACTGAATATAAAAAATTTAATGAGGAATACAAAAAAAAAAAAAAAATTATACAAATTGATCATTTAATATAAAATATAGAAACAATTTATTTTAATTGGAGGTTAATTAATATTGGTTATTATTAGACGTAGATATGTTAAGAAATATAAATTGTTTGGTTATTATTTATTAACTAAAATGTATTAATATAAGATATTATAATTTTAAATCTGTTTGTATATTTAAAATATTATTAAAATTATTTTTCTTTATTTCATTGTGTATGTATAATTTTTCTAAATCTGAATTAATGTAAATTTAATTGATTATTTACTTAATTTGAAACCGGTCATATACGAGTATAAGTATGTGATGAGTGTATTTACTTATCATAACACTCCAGACGCATTCGTTAATTTTTTAAATTTTATTTTATTTTTATATTTATTTACGCGGATTAACCATTTTAATAATTTTGTTTTCACTTTATTATTTTATTACATAATATTTTAACAAGTAAATCAGTATACCTGAATTTCAAAAATTTAATTTCTTTGAATTTAAATAATTTTTTACAATATTCCTTATACTCTTCTGGAGTCATTTCATTTTTAGAATCTGAAAAAAAAACCATAAATAATTTGTTGGTGTCATTTAAAATTGTTGTTTCTAAATAAATAGATAAATAATTATTATTTATTTAAAAATCTATTACCATCCGATTCATCATTATCTTTTTGAGAAATTTTTTTTTTCAATTTTAATTTATAGTTCAAACAAGGTATATTTTCTATAGGAATATTGTGGTTCTGTAAAAAGAAAGCTAAATAATAAAATTGTTTATAGACAAGATTACTAAATATATTCAACTAAACCTTAAGACTTTGGGTTCCAAGGTAATATGGCTTTGAAAAGGAACAAGCTTTCATTTCTTCATTCAAGTAAATTGGCATACCACTATGGTGGTTTATTTTCTTCCATCCTGGAGGTAAATTATTTTTACCACATTTTTCATCCAATTCTAAAATAGAAATAATATAATATAATATAATGGAAAAAAATTCATTTAAAATTAGTTTAAAATCACCATCCAAAACAACAGTTTCATTTCCTTCTTGTTCTGTTGAGATATTGCCAATCTAAATATGAATAACAATTTAAACATCGTTGATTTTACATAATCAATTTATCTTACACTACAACCAAAAATAATCAATGATACCTGTTCGTTCCCATCACTAATGTCGTGTTCTTCAGATTTTGAACAAGATGCAGTAGATTCAAATTGATTATCCAAAACCATTACATTTCCATTTTGCTCAGTTCCCATGTGATCAACCTTAATACGTGAAACAAAACAAAAATTAATTACCTAATAAATTTACTTTATAGTACAACCATTAATAATCAACAATTATCTTACCTGTTCATCTTCGTCACTAGTGTCTAATGGATATTGCATATTAACAATCTAGATACAAATAACAATAAAAATTGATTCATATTTAATTTATCATACACTACACCATTTATAATCAACATGTATTATTAATACCTCTTCGTCCTCATCACTGGTGTTTATCAAAGTTTCAAATTTACCATTCAAAATCATTTCATTTTCTTCTTGTCCTATTTGTATGTTATCAATCTAAATACAAATAGCAATAAAACAATATTAAAATTTATTCTATGTATTTAATTTATCTTATGCTACAACCAGCGATAATTAATATTACAGATATACCTGTTCCTCAACATCACTATCTGAAAAATGGCATTCCGTGGATTTCGAACAAGATGCAATACCTTCTGCATACGATTCAAGAGAATTTGAAGTAAATTCAAACGCTGGACTTTTGTCTTGTTCAAAACTATTTACACTGTCTTCAGACATCTTCTATAGGTCGAAGCAGTACCTCACACAATGACACTACACTATAGAATATAAATAAAATAAAGTATTATTAAATCGATATAGAGTGCGTTTCGGTTGGAATTATTATATTATAAGATTATCTATGGTTCTGTTCGTCGGAAAAACTTTTCATCTGATCCATAACCCTAACGTCACTGTTACCGTATTGCTGTATACCACGGTTGTAAAACCATGTGTAATACTATTTTGTGTTATCAGAACTAATTTTATTATTGATAATAATATAATATACGATGTTGTCATTTTGTAAATACACATTATTTTAATTATTATTTATATGTAACTTTACTAATGAGTCTATAACTGACTGAGCCTGTAACATTTTACTGGCTTGTAAAAAAAAAATGTAGTTACATAAAAGATTTGTATTTTATTGTACCATAGTGATGTGGTTACCAAATATATTATGCCATTTTGGCGGGGTACACCAATACACGAGGTTTATGATAAGTAAAAGTAACGTTTATTTACAACATAACAACATTAAACAAGTGCTCGCCAGCTGACTGCTTGTAGCGCGAGAACAGGCGAGCACTCATTTATTAAAACAACATTAGTGGTAAAAATCAATTATACATAATGATGGTTCAGAGTCGGAAGACAATGTTTCGCGAACGGCGTCGGTGCGAAGAGAGCGAGCGAAGCGGTCGAGACGTCGAGTAGAACGGAACTGTGGCCGATGACTATTGATCGTCGACGGCGAGGGGAGTGTCCGACGTCCGCCGCGAGTGACGCGCAGCGGGAAGCAGTAATGTGGCGCGAAACCCGCCACACCATATTTTATTTGGTTACAATGATTATTGATTACATTATCAAGTGTCAATTAATAATAAATAAATATTTAAAAAAAATATTCAAGCCACAATTTATATTACAATATTTGTTTGGTCTTTGATGATGGTCCCAAAAAGAGTAAGGCATAAATACTTTCCTGAACGAAAAGAAACGACTAATGGAATTGATAATTCCATATAAGGACATACTTGAAAATAGTTAGGTATTTGATAGGTTGTCTTAATTATAAATTACAATATACAAGGTTAATACTATTATATATTTTAGACTGATTTTGATAATGGAAAAAACCTTGGAAGGAAATACCAAGCTGTACAATAGTAATAATCCAGAAACTGGATATAGAAAATAAATAATGAATAAGTTCATTAGAATAGTCTTCATCAGATATATCTGATGAAGAAATAATTTTAAAAATATTAATAAACTTCCAAAACCTAAAGATTCGTGAGAGGTATAATCCTTTGAACAATTTTGATAATTATAAATTTAAATATTGGTTTAATAACCAGTATTCTGGTAATAATCTGAATATAAAACGGAAAGATACCGCTGTTTCGAAAGTCAATTACTACGAACATATTAATATACTAGATTTTATCACCGTATCATTACTCCGAATGTATTTGTTCCTAATGTAAATAACTACGGTATTAGATTGGGCCGTCTACAATTACTCCGAAATAGTTTTATCAAAATTCAAAATAAGAATTGTTATTAATTGTCACCTAAATTTTTGTCTGGACTATTTCGCTTTTAAAGTAAATACATCCCATTGGGACGTTATAATTAATATGAATTATTTTATATATAGTATTTAAACTAATAATTATTACCTACCTACCTACCTATCTATATCGAAGGCAATTCAAGTAGACTATTTGATGTGGCAGGCAATTCGAGTTAACAGTAAATTTTGGCTGCTGCCCTAGAACCCCCCTGTACCCTGGGTCCTACACCCGTCACCAGTATCAGTTTTTTTTCAATATTTCATGAAGATAAATCTCTAATCTTTATGTAATATTTATTTTATCTGTGGTTATCAGTTATCATGAATGTAGATATTGAGCATAGAGTAATAAATCGAATGGAACAGCGACAGAGCACCGCACCGATAAAAAAAATCCACCGGATCTGTGGCATTTACGGACTCGTCAGTCATTAACACTACTATATCAACTCATATTATTAATCAAAAACTGTGATAGTGTAGTTAATCATCTGTGAATTCAACAAGGTCGAAATGATGATAAGCCAACTGATACAGAAATAAATGTTCATTTTTGTGTAACTACTTCTATAATATAAATAATTGTATTAATTAAATATTTTGGCAAATTGAAACAAAAAAAATATGGCTAATTGGAACGTTTTAATACCTTCCCAGTTTAAACCTTCTGCTTTCATTGCTGCTCTAAGATCATTTTTAGGTGGAGTAAGTATTTATATACACTTAACATAATATACTATATATAATTATATATTTTTTTAAATTACCAATAATAATTGAATGCATTGATTATGTATGACTTTTTTTTTATTGACTTGGATTTTAGTTCTATCATCAAACAATTAAAAATCATTATCTAGTTTCTTTTCCGTTATTAATTTAGAATTGTATTTTTATAAACTTTGTGAAATAAATTTTGTCAAATGTGTTAATTAACTAAAAAAAAAACTCATTCATTCATATTAAAACAACAAAATGTTCAAAAAAATAGTCATTGAAAACTATCCCTTAAACATTATATTGTTTAATAAAATTCAACAAATTGATTAGGTACCCCATTCATTCTCAACCTTTTTTTACAATACCTAATTCATAATGATACATAAAAATTACAACACATTTATTACAGCTAATGAATTTTTGAAAAGCAACAATTATAAATCTATGTAAATTATATTTACATTTTATCATTGTATTAAAAATATAAATTTACACGATTAAGAATTAAACAGTTTTAGGTAGGTATTTAAATAAAAATGAGTATTTATACAAATATATAAAAGTAAATCAGTGTGATAAGTGAACTGAATAATCTTAAATTTTTCAGCGAATGGTTGACAAACTTTTGTGTAATTCACTTTTAATATTTATGGGCTTGGACCTTTATTTAGTTTTTGGAAAGCTAAATTTACAATGCCTTTTTGCTCACTTTGGATTATTAATTTTCTAAATAAATCCAAAATGAATCAACTTAAGATTCATAAAATTTAGATTTTAATATTGTATCTTATGATCCTATTTTTAGTAAGTTTTCTTTTTCCATAAAAGTTAAGTTTGCATTTTTAATATTTTCTTCCTGTCTTTATTATGCTATTACTGGATAGCTTCTCTAAGTTTTTTGTTAGTAAAAAAAAATAAATATATATACATTATTCTACATATCAACTATATTGAAATGCCACACATCACCTAAACTAGTTTTATATTGGTAATAAATAAGACAATCTTTAATTTAGTTTTTCTTAGTTATGGTTCTTATCATGTCATAATAAAATTATATATTTATGTTTTGATCAAGCACAATAAATATAGGTACTAAAATGCAATTAATATTTTAATGTTTACAAATTTCAATCAAATTTTTAAAACTATTTTTTTTTTTTTGTGACATACATTACAGTAATATTTATCAGTTAATATACCAGTTGAGAATCACAGGATTACCTAACAAATTTAAATACAATAAAGTTAAAAGAGAGCATTTGAGTAAAACAATTAAGTAATATATTACATATTTATAAAATTTCAATTGTATTACAAAAAGAGTCTACATTTCAATATTAATTAAATGTTGTATTTAGCTATAAAATGACTATATAATCTCGAACCAAACATTTTAACATTTAATCTTCTTTAATATAATTTTTAACTCTTATATTGGAAATACTATACTACATATATTTATTTTGCTGTTTGCTAATTGCTTGTTGTGATGTTTGTATACAGCGAAATTTCAAGCCAAATATCAGAATGGTCAATGAAGTATCACCTGCAACACAACCTCCCCCCGATGTTCCTGGTGGTCCTTATCATAAGGTTTATGACAATTATTACTTTGTACGAGATGGCCGTAGGGAAGTTACACATCCAATAGTTATTGTTGAAAATTCTATAAAACTTATCGCTGAAGAAAAGTAATTTTTATTTTTTATTTATTATGCCAGAAAATAACATTTACCTAACAATAAAGTAAATGATATTATCATTTTTAAAAATATTTTATTGTTTAAATTAAATATACTCTATAAAACTTACATTTATTTTACAGATTAATTTAATAATATTTTTATTTGTTAAAGGTCAAAATCTTTGGAATCTAGTGGCCAGTCAAAATTACCACTGCCTGGAAAAGTTTACCACTGGGATTAGAAAATGCTATTCATAGTAGTAAAAAAAATGTAAAATGTATAGCATTAAAATATAATGTAATTATTAATAAATTTAAATAGCTGTACACTCAAGAGTGTCTATTTTATTTTAAAATATTATGTCCAATTGCTTAATAATAAAACAACAATTATTGTTTTATATTATAATGTTAATTTTTGAAAATTTTGTTTCATTAAACTAGATACTCCAAAAAAAAACCAAAAACCTTATTATCTGAAATTATAATAGTCAAATAGTGTTTATAGAATCTATTAAAAATTAACATTACTTAAAATTGATGAATTAGTTTTAAAAAATTAAATATTTTAAAATATTAATACATTTTTATGATTAAACTTTGAGATCAATTTTCGTTTTATAATAAACATAATTAAAACATTTAAATGGATTGTGAATCTTAGAGAAAGAACAAACATCTCCTTTTTTGTACGATGGACAGATTTAATTTAGAATTCATACTGCACTATAACACCTCTATATTATTTTAATATATACATTTAAATAGCTGTCATAAGATTACCTGTGCCAAATAAATGTGTAATAAAAACGTTGTCCCCTGGATTCCTTATTTCAATCCACATTACTATCGCTACAGTTAACTATTGTTGCCCTTAAATGCTTAAAAATGGCTTTTCTTTGATTTTCATTTCAATCTTATATGAATTAGTCATATGGTTGCTAAGCAATGAAAAATACCTATAAATTGTTATTTTGTATCTATCCCAAAATGCTATAGGTTAGGTCAACTACTACTACTATTGGCTAGATTGAGAATTTTAATAGTTTAAAACTTTCTCCAGAAAATAAGGATCATTTTATGAAAAAATTCAGTGCTGTAATAATAAAAAAAAGCAGAGGGTTTACTATAAGTTATAACAATACCGTTATTAAGTACGTAAAAATGTAATGACCTTAAGTACATTGTCTAACCTAATGTTTTAGTAGGGGGTATAAATAGTAAATAACTTATGTTTTCATAATTAACCAAAAATTAATATAATAATAATATTTGTATACTATATTTTGTGATTTCACTATGACAGAGAGTATAAGACCATAACGAGAAGATATACAGTGGTAATTCATAATAATCAGAAGGTATACCCTCCACTATAGGCCTGTTAAAATTGGCTAAATATCCTCAAGACATTAACATTTCAACAAATAAGTAACATCACTTTACTTTCAAATGGTTTAATGAACTTCCTATCCTTATAGATATTAATCGTTGGGTAACTAAAACTGGTGGTGTAAAACAATGGTATAAAATGAAAGCTAGAGGAAATAATAAAAAAGGTAAATTGGCTTAACACTTTTCATCTGCATCTCATAAGTTGGCTATGTTGGATTATTATGCATTTATTAGTAAGTCAAGTCATGTTGATTTTATTTTTCAATAAATCTACTTGACAATTAGCAATACCTCAAAAAAGTAAACAAGAGTTTAATAGACAAACAGTAGGAATGTAGGTTGATGATGTCTTAATGAAAAAGAAAATGAGACTCGAAATGGAAATTTCTATCAAACAATTACTTTATTAATTTACAGACATAATCCTATAATGGAAGATTGTTAAGTGATAAATCTATGTCTCCTTATCGTTTAACATACCTTGGATCAAAGTCTCAAAATTAATTTATTGACCTAATCTTTATTGAAAATTATAAAACTGTCCTACGAGAAATTTATTAGTCAGAATTTTTTGCAGTTATAGCTGGTATTACACCAAACGTATCACTGAAAGATCCATTAGCTGTATGTTTAAGATATGTTGATCAAAATGGAATAAAAAATGAGTGTTTACTGCATGTAGTCGAATCTATGAATAAAACTAGATATGGAACAGCAAAATCTATTTATAACTGTCTCTTTAAATATGAAATTAATACTGATAATGTATCTTTACAATTTTATGATTATGCAAGCAATATGAGTGAGATCAACAAAGGAGCTCAGTGTTTCTTAACTGAATTTGTAGACCATTCAGTACTATATATTCCATGTCAATCACAAAGGATGAATACTTTTTTTTTTACACAGTTGCAATGCTAGTCTTAAAATTGGGGATTTAATTTTTGTGATTGAAAATATTTATATATTCTTTTCAGCTAGTTTCTTTTCTCTTAAAAATCAGATGGACTGCTAGAGCAGAAAGCATAAAATCTGTCTGGATATCATTAGATATAATTATTGAAACATTAGAAAATATAATTGGGTCAAACAATTTTGATAGTTTAATAATGATTTGTCTAAAGTTCTTGGTTTAAAAAAAAAAATTAATTTTGATTGTTTTGTATTATTAATGTTTATGAAAAACATAATATGTAAACTTAAAAATTTAACAGAACAGTTAGAAGCTAAAGAACTGAATATATGTGATGTCTATTTGTTAATTAACACTGCTATAAAATCATTGGAAAACAAGATCAAAAACTAAAAATATGAATAGCTTAATTGAAAGTTCCAAAATAACCTCAGAATCTTTTGGAATGAACCCAGAGATTTTAAACGCTATCACCAAACTAGAAAGATTCCAAAAAGAATTCATAATAATGCTGACAACTGTACAACAATTGATTTAACAACATATTACCGGAAACAATTTTATCAAATATTATGTAATGATATGCTCACACAACATAATATTATACATGTATAATTATTTATTATTTATATCATAACAAAAATGTAACTAATAGTTTTAAATATGGCCGAGTACTTGGTATTTTACAAAAGGTAAATAATTAAAAAAATCTAACGGATCGTTCGTTATCCTAGAGGGATACAAGCTTATCTGCAAGCAAAATAATTTAAAATGTGTCAAATATAATAGAACTCCATGCCATCTGCTACGGCTTTTTGAGGTCCATGCTAACTATTTAAAGATTAGCATTTTTATCTGAGTGCACACAGGTGCTAAGTGTTAATTAATTAAATTAGTCTATCTTAATTAAATTGTGATTGCCGTCCAACGACTCCAGGTTCACGTGAGGTTATCTATAAGTATACACCCTAGCGTTCCAACACCGTGGGCAGGTAAAATAATTATATCTTTCTTTATTTATTGATCTCGTCACCATTCTCGGATTCACGACTCCGAATCCCTTTCAAACATCAAAATGAAGGTAGTAATATAATTAGTAGGCTGGATTTTTATTATGATTAAAGATAAATCATTCTTTGTAGTAGCAAAAACTAGATCAATTATTTTATATTATATAGGTACATTTTTATACTTCTCTATATTTTATTCTTTGTAGGTACTTTTACATAATATCCTATCATTTTAAATATTTTTGTCTTCTATTACTATACTTAGTGTCTTAGTCTACTACTATCTCACCCTACCCCAAATTTATATTTTTCCCCTTTAACTCTTTTATTTCCCCCTTTTTATTTATCCTATTTTTTATATTACTATAATTAGATACTCTAATAAAATATATCAAAATAAAATCTTAAAGAATTTGTTGCAACTCTCCAGTCATTTTATAATATTTTACAAGTTCATTAAATATTGAAGAAGCAACAGTCGAAAATTTAACAAAGACATTTTATCTTTTTACCTCCTAAAAGTCAAGGCGATCAGTTAACGGATTTGGATGCAGTAGTAGCCAAGTTGAAAATATTATGCCATCAATGTAAAAATTCTGAAACACTTATGCAGGTTATGGACAAATCAATTGAATTACAAAAACCTTTGCCTTGAGCAAACTGGTTATATCGCCTTTCATTTATAGCTCCAGTAACTACAATATCAAGTGAACGAACTTTTAGCAACTTAAAGTTGGTTAAACATAGTTTGCGTTCTAAAATAAATCAACAACTCGTTAATGATTTTAAACTGTAAAAATACTTGACTAACAAAATGTATATAAATTATGTTCTTCAAAAATGGTCTTCTGCTAAACAAAGAAGAATTGAAATTTAAAAAATACAAAAAAAAAAAATCAAAGTATTAATTAAAGATTTTATATTTTGTTATTTTTAAATAATAAATCATTCATAATCAAATTGACAAGTTTCATATTATTTCTTCAATGAATGTTCTTTAATCATTATTATAATATTGAGTCAGGTAGGTACTCAAACTAATGTTCAATATGTAATCAAATTTTAAAATTATACCTAATCTTATTTGTTAATTTTTATCTTATATTAAACTATCATTGGAGATCTGTATTTTAATCAAATCTTGATACAGAAACAATTTTTTCTTAAACATTACTACATTAAGCATAGGTGGCGTTTTTGTTATTTTTTTTTTGCAGATTATATGTTTTAATGGTTTTTTAAAATTAATTTGAGTACCTTTATTTACTTCTTTGACCAATTCATAAAATGTTTAAATTTAATCTCTATTCTTTTAAAAGTGGGCTTAAAGCATTAACAAGACTTTAATACATTAATACAATTATAAGACTAACTAGAACCTAAATTCGTCATTCAAATTCTTTTTCCAAGAGGTCCATACTTGCAGTAAGTAATAAATTGAACTTATGAGCTCCTCCCATTCTTGATCTATACCTATACAACTTTGATATTACTCATATGCTTCTTATTAAATTTAATATGAAAAAAAAAAAGAAATAGATTGAATTAGTTTGACGAAACAATAAATTAAAATATATATAATTGTTTATAAACCTTAAACCTAATTACTTATACACCGAATTTGTAATATTTGGTTGACTCTTATAAATAATCAATTTTAATGCTTTTATTTTTAAATTTTATCACAAATTTTACTCCATTGGCATTCATCTAATGTTTGTCAATTAACCACTCCCTCACCTTTATCACCCCATCAACATAGAGTAGGCAATTTTTTGGACACATCCCCCTAGGTTTTATCTTAAAACCACCCCTGGGTGAAGCCACTGTTATAGGTAATTTCATATATATCAGTAATCAAAGATTAACCATTACTAACGAAAAACGATTCTGAGCGGAGTTTGGTTGTTAGTATTGCTTTCTCAACAACATGTATGTCATAGTATGGTAAAATAATTACATAATGCATTCAGGGATGAATTGGCAAATATGTTGAGCCAGGGATAATAAATTAAATTCCTTAGATCTTACAATTTCCATGATAAACAATAAATTTTATTTTAGTATTTATAGGAAACTTACACAAACTGATTCTATAATACCTTACGATTCTAACCACCCTTATTCTTAAAAATATCATTTTTTAATTCAATATTCTATTTTAACGACAATAATATCAAGTTGTTGACGTTGTCGAACGTTGTATAACCTGTTTTCATGATCGAAGTTCAGCCGTAAGCAGTAGCTACATTTTCGCAGCTTGTCACACTAATCGATAACTACAAGTTTATCTGGCGAGGGTGGTAATAGTGGGACGTCCGCCCGTTTGCACTTTGAACGCGGACCTCTATTGATTTTTTCTTTCTCTCCCGGGCGGTAGCCCGGCTGCGTAATTCCCATCCCTATACATTATACAGTCTTCGAATTGTAAGTTAAGCCATAATTGAATGGATGTATTTAATATTTAAACTATGAGCAGTGATGTATTGGTTAGTAGTGGTAAAGGTGCCGTCAAATATTCTCCAATGTTAAAAAGTTAAATAATTGTTTTCGACATTTTAATTAGGTACCATCCTAAATATAAAATTTCTCCACTTATCTACTACCCAATACCGACCCATTTAGAGGAAGGGGTGTGGTCTTTTTTTACTGATGAAAATGACTTAGCGGAATACTTAAATCATTATTACTTAACATAGTATTTGTCTAGCATTTTGTTTTTAATTGATAAAGAATAACATTCTATAATTCATACTGAACTTCGATTTTTCATTTAATTTAAAATAATGGTAGAAAAAAGAAGTTGGAAATTATGTTTTTTCAAGTTATTTAGATATAGAGTTGTGATAAAAACATTGAAAAACGGAGTTCATTGTGATCTATAGGACGTCTTCATCTTTCCAACAAAAAAATTACCATTGTAATCGGACCATTCTACTAAGCATGAGAATTTTTCCCGAAAAGCATGTTTTTGAGCCAAAAACTGCGCTGGCATCGGGCTAGAGGGATTGGTATTGCGCTACCCGGTTATAAGATATTATACACAAGTATGGCAGTCGCCAAACCCAGACGCCAGTTATCATTTCGACTCGATCCGCGCTCACCGTCCACAGCTCGTATCATTTTTCGGCGAAACAAAACTCCCAGGATTGTCTAATTATTAGGTAGGTAGATATTGTTCAGTGTAATTTATAGTAATTATTACTTTTTGTGAACATATATCTTATTAAATCATTGTGTATTAGTGTATTTTAGTCCACTGACTTGGCACTTTAGTCGGCTTAACAATGTCGGCAACGTCTTCTGATGATGAATCAAATAACATGTCTACTGAACAGGGTTCGTCGGTCCTTGAACGAGAATTGTATAACGACATGGAAATAAAAATGGGTTCGTAAAACAATCGGAAATACGACTTCGAATAATTGTATATATTATTAACAATGATTTTTGTTTTACATGTACCTACTTACAGAACGGGAATACATGAAAGATGTTGAAAAAAAAAAGAAGTAAGTCATACTTTTTAAATAATATTATGCAAACGAGCACAGTATTTTAAAACTTAAACATTACTAAAAATTTAATAACTTAATAATTGTTGACAATTTATGAATATGTTTGCTTTTTTTTTTTTGAAAATTAATACACTTATTTAATATTTTGTGTTTAGCATAGAGTTCTTAGCAATGATTAATTGTAATAGGTTTTTAATAGATAATTTGAATTATTAGGTTTCTACTTGAGAATTTAAAACCATAAGTAAGTAATATTTAGTTCAGGTAAATAATTAATATATAATCAAATTACACTGAATAAACCAAAAAGCCGTTGATTAAAAGTTAATCAACCTAAATACTAAGCTTAAATACTAAATTTAATTTCAACTAACTAGTTGATGAAAATTGGGTATTACTAAAATTAGGTAAACTAGTTACATTAAGAAGTTAACAATAAAAATAGTTAAGTTGAAAATTTGTATACAAAATATATTATATACCTGTTTTTTTAAAATTGCATTAAAAATATTGACATAAATGTAATAATTGTATTATTATATTGAATGACAAATTATTAATGGAAATCAAATATGAGATATTTAATTTAAGTTAGGGTCTAAAATTTATAATTTATAATCAATAAATCAGTTAGCTTATAGTTCCTTCAATAATATTTAGGTACCTGATGTTCGGAATTTACAAAAAAAAAATCAATCCTCATTTTAAAAGTAAAAATACAAATTGAATAATGCTTTATCAGGTTATTATAATTTACAACATTTTGAAATATTTTTTCTAGTAAAATTATACTCTTACATGATATAAATCTGTTCCTTATTATAAATGTATGATAAAATTCACATTTTTTATATAATACAGTAGAATCCACTTAATTGGAACACATTGGGCGGTGACCTATTTGTCCCCATTATCCGACTTTCCCGATTAACCGAATAACTAATAAACCGAAACTATTAAATTTTACAGGTGCACTTTTGTTGTCGTTTAATTTTTCCCACTGTTCACGAATAGCTTTTTCATTATTTTCCAATCAGCTTAATATTGATTTAGAGGTGCCTATTATTTTCTCTAACTCACAAAGACTGGAAGAATGAGGTTGAGCTTTAATTTTATCCAGATTAGAAATTTTTTCAATCAACGTTAAATCTTTACGAGACATAATTGTTACATATTAACACAAACTGAGATCAATAAAAACACATACGTTAATACGCAGAGATGAAAGAACGCAAACTAAAGTTTTTCAATTGATTACCTATATAATAGAGCTATAAAGATTAGATAAATGATTGACATAATTGACATTACCTATATAATAGAGCTGTAAAGATTAGATAATGACAGTTTCGATAAGAAGTAGATAGATGATTTAGGTCAGAATATCTAATTAGACGCTTTTATTTTTGTCTCTTATAACCGATGGTTGTTCCCAGATAAACGAAGTTAAATTGCCTTAAACGAATACATTCATTCGGGACTATGTCAATTTGTCCCTATTAAGTGGTTGCCCCCTTTATCCGGTGTCTCAATTAAGTGGATTATACTGTATTCATAAAGATTGTGACTTGTTAAAACAAAATATTTAAAACCACTAATACAATTTGTTTTTAAGTGCCCATTGGTATTGATATATATATATATATATGTATTTTAAATGGAAAAATAATAATTAATTGTTTGTCAAACAATTGAAAACAGGTTTAATAATATTAGGTAGATTATTTAATAATACAAATGGAAATTAAAAAAATATTTTAGTAGTAAGCCCATAACTTGTGCGATTTAAACCATAAATGAGAAAGCTTAAGAAGTAGTCCAAGCATTTGATAAATTGAATTGAAGTGAATATGCCTATAGGAACTAATAATATAATTAGAATCCATAGTACTTTTCTTCGGTCATATAAACTAATAGACATGACTTATTGTATGTTAAAACTAGCACACTGTTGTAGTTATGATATAACGTTTAGGTATTTATCAATTTATAATATTGGTTTATTACTAATTGTGAGTTGTTTTTCATTGACTTAAAGTTAATATTTAACTATATTAATTTGTTTAGATTTGAATCTTTGAATAGAAAATTGGGTGTACAGGGTGTCGCACGATGATCTGCCACTTGAAATAACTTTTGTTCCATTCAATATTTTTGTTATATTGGCTGAAACTGAATTTAGAATATTTTAGCAAACAAATAATTTAAATATAGGGAACATTATAGAAGTATTAAATATTAAATGGTTGCATAATATGCACAAATCTGTTTTTAAATGTTTACATGGTCATATATTTGATGAAGATCATTAAGGTAATCGTATAATATCTTTAGTCAAAATTACATAAAATATCACTTAATATTTAAAGATATGATTGCACCACAAAGTTGACTTGATCAACAATTTATGACATATTAGATATATATGTAGTGTATTACCAAAGCAATTTTTTTTTTCTAATCAATAATAAATCACATAATAAAACATACATTTGTATTCAATGTTAAGTTTTTTTCTATTCTAAAATTTCAAATTTTTCGTTAAGCACTAAAGACAGACTTTGCATTGTACATAATACTTACATAACTATTCCCAAAAAAATTATTTTCATTTTAAAAATAACAAACAAGGGTATCTTTTTGTTCTATTAACAATAATTTAAAAAAAATTAGAAATTATGCTTAATTATGAGATACTATATAATTATAATGTATAATGCAGTTTTTATTATAATAACCAAATTAAAAAAAAATAGGAGGATTCCCTGCTATGTATTACTCCACAACATATTCAACATATGACATATCTATGAGTTTATAATATGATTGAAGGTACATTTATATCATAGATATCTCAACATTAACATAGCTATTTCACTGGTCTGAAATGAATAACTACAACTCCACAGTGGTACAATATTAGATACATTATTATAATTGTTTTCCGTGTTTATGGTTTCTTTAATCAATGCTGATTTAACTTTTCTCGGCATAACATAATTTATAATAATTAATTTTAATTATAAAAACTTTATATTTATAGCATAGCTCCATAAGCTAAAACTATAATTCTTAAATCATAATGTATTTGACAGTTTTGATGATACATATTCCATTATTCTAAATCGCTTATTAAATGTCATATTCAATCAGTTTTAATTTAACCATTCAACAATATTTTAACAAATTAAATTTACTTATGATATTAATTATTTTACATAATTTGCATTTAAATATATCGATATATATTTGTTTAATAATTTATATAGGTAACATGATATTATTTAAATGTATCAAATGTATGAGTACTGCCTAAATATGATTAAAAATACTTCTCTAATGTGATTTTTTTTATAATACCCTTAATAATTAAATATTAATATGCTGCTTGTTTTTCATTCATATTATAAATTCTGATTTCCTATTAGGTAACTACCAAAGAATTATGACTAACTTTATTAATATTAATAAGAAATTGAATGTATAATATAACAAACAATAATAAACAGATTGTTTTGTTGTACTGTTTTAATTTACTATTAAAACAATTTTCTCTATACATATTTTTATGCCATTATATTGATCCTCCTTCAATATTATTACCCAATATTTATGACACTAGTATTTATATATTATTATATTAATTATTATAGTTAAAAAATGTTTTGACTAGTTTATAATTTATCATTATATGAATACTGAATAGGTATTTAAATATACTTACGTTCTGTAATTAATTTTTTTTTCTTAATGTTAATAGAACAATCTTGTTATTATTAATAAAGAAATCTGTAGGTATTTTATACATTTTAGTTTGGAACAAATTTAATTAATTGTATCTTCCATTTATATATTCAATTTTTTTTCAAATTTTATTTTTTATCACTTATTCTGAAAATATTTGATTTTTTAAATGGGAACTATAAGTTAAGAAGTTATATGATAAACTTTAAAAACCTTCAAAAAACAACTTTTTATTTTAAAATACTGGATTTTCAACAATACTGATGTTAGTGCAATCAGAATAGTATAAATCCGTGGCACAAAGCTAAGTAAAATAAAAAGAGCTCATATGTGACTTTAGTATATTACATGAGACAGCCAACTCCTATTTAACCTGTGTAATTGTCCTCTCTGTAGCCTAAACTAATGGGCTGATTGTTTTGAAATTTTCTGGAGTTGATCAGTATGTTTCATAAATGATACTTTTGTAAATTTCAAGTTGATTAGATGATTACAGCCTGAGTGATATGCAAAAATATTAGCATAGTGTTTACTCGAAGCACAATTTTTTTCAACAATTCAACAAAATATATGTTGTTACCATCTGTTTGCGGTTGAATAAACAATAATTTTGATAATTTATTTTATCCCTGTATTACTATAGTGTCATTTTCCAGTAACATTCATAATAAGCTAAATTCATAGCTATACATCATAATATATTAATTTATTCAATCCATAAAAAAACAAAGATACTTTGTCCCCATAATTTTTCACTTGATAAAAAAAATATAGGTTAATTTTATATAATATTTTAATAAAATAATAAGTGATATCCTAACAAAAACCTTCCGTATTATGGTAATACTAGCCGACCCGTCACGGCTTCACCCGTGATTGGTTGTTTAATTTGCCTTTGGATAATGATATATAGAACTTTTTAATCAAATTCTATCGTTTAATAATATCGGCAAATTAATATAAAAAAAAAAAAAACGGTTAATGAAAACGTATTGAAATGTTTCAAGCGGGATTAATGACAAATATATTTTTACTAAAAATGAATGCAGATACAAAAGAAATGCTGAGTAATTTACGGTTGATAAAGAATTTTATAAAACTTTTGAGTATATGGCGTTTTTTTGTTTTATCTCCTGTTGAAATTAAAATCATAAGATGCTTCGGGTCCCCAGTTCGAGAAAATCCCACGTATAATTATCCATGTGAAAAGCACTGTGTTCGAAGACCTACGCCAACGTACCTGTATGTTTGACCTTGAGCTTTGTTTATCGTGATTGCCAAAGAAACTTTAACAAAGAATTAAAGCCGTTTGAACGGAAACGGCAAGTCCGACGGAATCACGGGAATTCTTGGAATAAATGCAATTTCTCCTTTTGCCGGCCCCGTAAGAATGACGGCTCCTATAACACTATTCTGCAACGATTTTATTTGTCATCTTGTACCGTTACATAACTTCGGTGGTTGAAGATTACGTAATAATGTAATCGGAGTACCAATTTTTAATTTNGTGCGTGCGATAAACTTCTCGGAACAATTCGTACCTACACGCCGATGTCAAACACGATACAATTTGACGAACAAAAAGGTCAGGTCGCGGGTAGCTGTAAACCCGCGGGCCGCCGTGCCGCACAATACGTATATAATATGGGTAGACAATTTTTTAATTTTTCAAGAACTTTATACTTATTTTTTATTGACAAAAGTGGTACTAAAACCTTCAGCAGAGTGTCGGGTACAACGGTAAAAAATTTCAGCCAAATCGGTACGGTGGTTTTCTCGGTTAGCGCGGTCGTAGAAAACCCCTTACAATTTTATATAATAGTATAGATAACGAAGTTATAATAATAACAATATAGTATAGATATGAATATTGGGTATACGTGTTGTCGGTGTAAGTGCGATATACTTCTCGGAACGCCGATATCAAACACGATACAAAAAAAAGGTCAAGTTACAGGTAGCTGTAAACCCGCGACCCGCCGTGCCGCACAACGTACAATTGTTTTTAATTTTTTATGAACTTTTATGAACTTTTTTACTGACAAAAGTGGTACTATAACCTTCAGCAGAGTGTCGGGTTTCAGCCAAAAAAAATTTCAGCCAAATCGGTCCAGTAGTTTTCTCGGTTAGCGCGGTCGAAGAAAAACCCTTACAATTTTATATAATAGTATAGATTAATAAATTATAAAATGGGGATGTAAATATACATGTCAGCATTGTATCTTTATTTGTAGTCGTAAATATTAGTAGCTGCCAAGCTAAGTTAAATTAATTGTATTAAATTATCACACTTCATCAAATACAAACAATTATAAACAATTTCTATACTAATGAATTTAAGAAATTACTTATCTCCTTTTTGATATCACAACTTTTCTAACTTGGGGAGGTTTTTTTCTTAGCATTGTTTTTACACGTAGTTGATAGAGGATTTTCGTTAAGATATAGTATACTAGCTATAAGTACATAACAATATTATTAATGGAAATAGTATAAAATATATGCTACCCTTGTCCATACATTTAATTTTTTTATTTTAGGAAGATCTACAAAAAAATGGAAGCGATAAAAATTAAGCTGAATCAATTAAAACGTAGGTCATGTGTAAATTATAAAAGGGAATTGAAAAAATTGGAGCTTGTTCAAAATGAAAAGTAAGACAGTCAATTTTTCATTATTATTTAACCACAGTTCGCTAATATTTTTATAACATAATTGCTGTAAAGATTGCGTTTGTTGAATTTAAATCGTGAAAGAGAGACTGCACAAATCGAAAAAGAATTTGAAGAAGACAAACGCCAAAGTGCCGTTCTGAATGAAGAGGAATGGAATGAATACATATCAAAGCAAATGCAAAATGCTAAAGAAAAGAAAACTGGCTAATGCAGAACTCAGTGTATCATATTTTATTTCCCTTTTAAAGGAAAACTACTAATTTATCAGCAGTATAAACCTATATTAGATTTATGGTACAGTAAAAATACCTCATATTTTAGTTTTAAGATTATTTAAAGTTCTAAATTCCATACTTATTTATAATATTGGTATTTAATATGAAACTTTTTTTTTAATTTAATATTTGGGTTTTACTGTTCCTTTTTTATTTTCATTTTATTATGCATTTATCTATAATTTTTAAGTTATAATATTTGTTTACTTTCTCTCCCTTACTTTACAAATATTTAATATGAGAACAAATTCTTCAATTTAATACAATAAATTAGTATACAATATTATTTTGTGACTTTATTTATTATTAATATTACCTATGTTAAAAAAAATGTAATATAAAGATTTTAAATGAATAGAAAAAAAATAATAATGTGATTGTAAATGTAAAAACTAAAAAAGAGCTGTTACTGCGGACAGTTACCACTGTGGTGAAAAGTTGGAAAAGTAAGAAACATTAAGTTATCTAATTTATACCTGTAAGTGACAAAAAACCAACAAAATTTGGTTATAAATATTTAAAAAAAATACCTACTGCATGACACTAACTTTTTTTTAACACTTGGATCAACTTATGAAAACTAAAACATAAACTTGAAAATGTTTAATGTTCCTAATAGCTCAAAAATCACCACTGTGTTAAAAATTGTACCATATATAAGTTTATTTTTTGTGATAAATGCATGTTTCTATAAATATTTTTAACCAAATAACAACAAAAAAACAAAAGGGATGGATATTTTTCGCAATATGGGTGGCCTACTATGGTAAGTAAGACGTTGAGAATGTAGGATATAGAGGGGAATTTAATTTATATCTGTACACACGGACTAATCATTGCTAATCAATAACAAATTGCTTTTTCAACAATGTTCATTTTCATGACAACATGATTGTTTAAAATGTATTAAATAATAAAAACTTAATAATAACAAAAAATAAATGTAAACAGTTGCCAATGACAACATTATTTATTATCTTTTTTAACTTAAAGAACTAATTTTTCCTCAATATCTCTAATTATTAATTATTAAATATTAATAAAAATTTCATAAAATGGCATTTCTAAAGTACCAACTGGAGCCAAAATGCCACAAAAAAGGTCTTTTATCATGTTTTGATTGGAACAAGGTTTCTAGAAGAAAACACATTATAATAAAATTAATTTCTAATTTTTAATAGTGATCCACATTGGGGAGAGAAGAAGGAAAAATAATAAAATCATTATTTAAATTAAGTTTCCTGTTTTTCTTACGTTTTATTCTGGTTTTTCCCAGGTATTATGAAAACCGCTAGGATAATCAAAAAATTACCGCCCAAAAATAATATCTGGATAACATTCCCTTTCAGAAACTGTGCCGCTCTTATAAATCGGAGCAAGATTTTTGGTAGAATTTTTGTACATAGTATTAAAAAAAAAAAAAAACATCTTAGTAAAACCACTACATTTTTCTCTACACTCAGAATCTAAAAAGGCCGTACTATTTTTATCAACTTGTACTTACATTTCGTACATTTTATCGTTTTACATATGTTAATTTCTACTGGTAATTTGTGCTTATACACTTAATAATAATATTTAAAAAGACGTCCTAGGATAGTGGAATCGGGTGCAGCCACTGATATAATTAATTTAATGTAAACCTGTAAGCAACGATAAACTATTGCTAACGAAAAAACGATTCTGTGCGGAGTTCAGTGGATAGTGATGCTTCTTCAATTATATCATATGATAAAACAATAAAATAGGCCTTATATATTCTTTTCAGTAATACAACTTGTTTAATGTACCGATTTTCCCATGTTTTTTTTCTTTGTTTTTCACATTTGATGAGAAAAATTCTGAGAAAATCAAAATATTATCTCTTTAAAGTACCTCCCCAGTAAAATTTTCTTTCAGAGAAATTGCTACATTTAAAAATTGGAACAAGATTTCTGGTAGAAAAGTTGTTCACGGAAAAAAAAATAATTAAACATTTTTGTAAAACTATAATCTTCTTTGTTCCACTCAGAATCTAAAATAAACTGAATCATAAATAAAAAATAATATTATCATCTAGACATGTACTGTCGATAGTCGTCATCATCGTAACTCGCCTCCGGTCTCATTTTACAACGGACGACGTTGCCCCTCGGAATAACTCATGGCTCATGCTATTACTTTTATTATATCTACATATTATAATATTATTACGGAAGTTGATTAAATTATATCAATTTACATATTTTATTCTTATTAGACTATTAGTATAAAAAAAAAAAGTAATAAACATTTTAAAATCAATAGTTGTTGCTGTAGCCGATTTTTTTTTTTATTAAAACAGTAAAAATTTCAATTTGTTATCCATCAGCCCATTCCAATTCGTTAGTAAGCTGCCCATCGAGAATTTTCCGATTGCCCGATGGTCTAATTCGTCCATGCGTATAACTGATTGGATGATTTTTGAATTGTTTGCTTCTAAAAACCGATGAAATATGTGAAATATGTAAACAGGGATGGAAAAAAGACTAGACATTTTTTTATATACATACATTTATATAAATTTATTTAAAAATACATAAATCCGATTATATAATACTATGGTCATGTGTGAGGGTCTGCCGGCCGTTTCGCAAAAAACCACACAACACTCTTTGTGGATTACGGACGTTTGCTAAAAAAAAAAAAAAATAAATAAAACAATAATAAATTAATTGTAAGTTATAGCTGATGAAAAACGGCGATAGTTTATCATAATGTCTTAAAGTGCATCTTCAATTATGTATGCGCTGGGATATATTTTGAATTTGTGAATTTTTTGTATAATGATGGTTGTGTTGTATTTTCACAATTAGACTTTGTAGCACAATATTTTCTTGCAGTAACATTTAATAGTGTGTATAGTAATCTGTGTACCTACAGTTTTAGTTATTTCTGAAAGATCCTAACAGACTTGATATTTTTTTCTTTAATTTTTCAATTTAAAAAATGTGTAAACTGCTGCGCTCAATTCTTTATCAATATAATTATAGAATAACATGCATACTTGGGAATAACTGTCTCTTAAGGGGTGGAAAAACTATAAAAATTATCGATTTACATCCTGACCTAAGCTCCTCGTTTCTTGACCGGGCTGAAATTTGGAAGATATACCCATAAATACCCGGCCAATAAGACGTAATATCCAAAGATCAGCATACCACCATTGTTACTCTTTTTTCAGAGCATCACTATCCACTAATCACCGCTCAGATACGTTTTTAGTAATCAATGGTTTATCGTTGCTTACAGATACAAATTATTTTCCCCTCTATATCCTACATTTCCAACTTCTCACCAACAACAGTGGCTGCACCCATCGTGCGAGGTATATTTGTCTTTTTTTATTTGTTTATATTATGTATAAAAATTCTACTAGAAATCTTTCTCTGAAGTATCAAGTGTAGCATCTTTTCTAAAAAAGAGAATTTTCCAGAGGTAATACTTTTAGGAGACCATTTTTTGATTTTCCTGGGAGTTTTCTATATACCTATATTGAAATCACTTCTCTGGCTTCGCCCAGCAGAAGCAGGCATTTTTGCTCACTCACTCCAACCATACTTTTTTTCCAAACCTATACAGTAGTTGCAGATATCAAAGGCGGGCTGCTGTATTTGCTTCTCCCTATTCTATATACCTGGTAATTGTGCTTGTTGTTACTTTTGTTTTACCATAGACTGTGTTTATTTCTTCAAAAAAAATATATAATATTCCGGTACGTAGATGGCTATACACATCTCGTTAATCGGTTGTGAATGTAGAACGGACGTGGTCGTAGTGCCGACGTCTAACTCGTTCACTTCCGTGAGACGGTTGTCTATACGCTTAGAAAGGGCGGTGGAGAAAATACAATTCTTGCTATACTAGCATTGTCTATAAACCTGGTTACCGCGTTATGAGCCGAAGGCAAAAGAGGATTTACACGTCTATTGGGTACCTAACGAGGTGTATACATTGGAACGATTCATAGATACCTATATATCTTGCTCCTAATATTTTGAGCAACGAACGTCATTGTTAACTTCAAGCAGAAAATAAAAGATAAGTGTTAACCTTATATATTTTCGTAGTAGAATATTAATAAGAATAAAATAAGCAGAAGAGAAGTATAACTTCTTACGATTGACTATAGCCATCGTTAATAAATATAATAGGTACGTGTTTTTATCGACACAATATAAGTATTCGTACATATATTACAATACAATCCAAACGACCGCGCGCACACACACACACACACATAGAACCATTTACACGCACATTATACCAATTTTGTCAACATATTACGCTGCGAGTTTATTCAGGGTCTTATCCGACCGATTGCACGTTGTTGCAACACTGCCGTCAATCATCTTATCAATAGATAGAATGCCGCACGTTTGCGTTATACGTCATAAATACGAATATGAATATACCTATATCTATCAACCCCGTATAACCCCTTATCCATCCTTACTCTTTCCCATACTCTACTCTACCCCTCCTATCATTCTCTGTTTCTTCACCCTTCTCTCCCTTCTACCTTCCCTCTTTTCACTGCTATTTTTTTTTTAAATTCATTTTTATTCTACTATAGTAGGTAATAATAATCTATTTAGTCTTTGGACGAGTTTTAGAAATGTTTTGTTCAACTAATTTACTAATGATAACGTGCTTATGATAAAGATAAATGATAGTTTACTTTATCCGTTATTATGCATTTTCCAATAGCACGGTCTTCGACTATTAACCTAATAATAATATAACAAAAAATATCATAATTTTTACAAAATAATTAATGAAGTATAAAATAACATGAATACATTTATTAGGTTAAAACATGTAAAAAAATTCAATGGGAGGGGGTTTAAACACCCAAACCCCCTGGCTACGCCACTGGTTTTCTCGCTTATTTTCTAGAAATTAAAACAGCTATAATTTAAAAACTATTGATCGGATATGAATGTATGATACATTAAAATTTTAAGAACAATATTTTTTACAAAATGGCCTTTTTGAACATTTTCTAAATTGAATAAATAAAGTTATTTATTGGGGGGTTTAGGAAATGAAAATAAAAATTCAATTTTTCTCCAAATCGATGTCTCCCTCAAAGACAAATTGATTGAAAAAAAAAAATTAATATAGCGCTGGAAATATCCGTCGAACACTGTGGGACACACTGTGTATAGACACATATAGAAGTCAATACAGACGAAGTTAAAGGAGAGTAGAAATCAGTAGATTGGTTATTTAATGAGAAATAACAATAATCGAAATTGTTGAAAAGACAAGAAAGAAAAATAATCAAGGATTATATTATATAGATAATGCAGAACTCAAAAAGTGAAAAGAAATATAAATAATATTAGGAATAAATGGAAAAAAACATCAATCATTTAAGCACTTAACCAATTTTAGGTTTAAAGGATAACTAATTATTTTGAAGTATTTTGACGGTGATGGTCCACGAGTTCTCTACATTTCCTCCTACAATGGGTTTGTTGCATGGTAATAAATTATTAACAATAATAATACTAACCCATCTAGGTGACAGCTGACCAATAAAACGTATATCTTTTATTATAATAATTGTAAAGTGATGGACTGTGCGGCCCTCTCAATAACTGATCTCATTTTAGATTCCGAGCGTAGCTATTGGTTTTACTAAGATGATTTTTTTTTTTTTTTTCTAATTTTTCTTTGTTCTAGTCTGTGGATACGTTTTTTCTTTTAGTAAACTTGCTCCGATTTTTATGTGTAGCAACTTTTCTGAAAGCTTAAGTTGTCTAGATTATACTTTAAAAGGGTAATTTTAAAAATAAAAACTCTTAAGTGGGAAAAAACGTAGGAAAATGTACAATTTTACGATTTCATTATTTTATAGAACACGGACGACGTTTTCTACCAGAAAAAATGATTTAATCGAAAAAAACACTAGGTACCTTTTTTGTTGTCTTTTTGATTTAATTTCTTACGGTATCATCATCAAAACTTTTGAGCCACTTTTGAGCTTTTAAAAAATTTATTTTGTGGTAGATTTTTTGCTGTAATTTGGTTATAAATACACGTAGAGACTTAATAATACTTATATTGGAATTATCTAGCCGTGGTCGAATTTCCAAAATGATTGGATTACTTTTTTTCCTTTTTTTAATTTTTTTACAATGGTACTTAATTTTTCTTTTTTTATACTGTAAACCACTTTTATTCTAGAAAACTTGCTCCGATTTATCAGTGTAGCATTTTTTCTGAAAGTCGATTTTATCTCCTTGGTAAATACATAGGTCATTTTTTGATTTTCGAAATGGTATTCACAATAAAAACGATCAACCGGGAAAAGAAATACGATTTTTACACTATCTTGCTATTTTAAATAAGTACCTACAACGTTTTCTAGCACAAATATGACTCCAATTGAAAAATGACAAAAGACCATAATTTTGTTGATTTGTTTTTTAATAAGAGTTTTGAAATCAAATTTAAACGAAAATCGCAAAAAAATTACGGCACTTCAAATTATGTATTACCGAACTGTGCTCGGAATCGTCTTTCGGCAGCAATGGTTTATCGTTGCTTATAGATATAAATGAAATAACCTTATGTATCCTATATTCTCAACTTCCCACCTACAATAGTGGCCGCACCCGTCCTCAGTATTAGTTTTATTTTGATAACAATCGATAACGACCTCCGCGAATCGGAACAGGAACGCATTTAGTAGTAGGACGATTTTGGGATGCGTGGGACCGACAAAAAACTTCATTGTTTGAACGACCTCGTACCTACGACCCACCCGAAAAGTTTTCAACATCTTAAATTACATACCTGCTTATATCCATACTTGTTTATTTTCTTTCTGTATACAGGTTAATTCAAAATTTATGTTACAACCATTTCATCATGTAAATATCCAAAATAGAGAAAAATGTATAGTCAAAAAGTTTTTCAATCTATAAATATTGTTTTTTATAGGAAGATCAGGAAGGTTACCAAATTACATATTTTGAGCATATTTTCAAAACGTTTACCCATGAGCAGGAAAATTTACCTTTTTTTAAACTTAAATGTCATTGTTTTATTACACACTACAATTCGAATAGGCAATACCTATATAATAATAAGTCTCATAATTTTTGAGTGACTTTGATTTGATTTTTTTCTTTCCCGAAAATTGCTCGAGAATAGCTACATATGTGTGTACCTATATTTAAAGTTTATTAAAAAAATTTTTTTTCTTGATTTTTAGAAAAATTGACCAGCCTTATACAAGCCTCAACAACATATATGCCATATTATACTAAAATATTTAAATGAGTTCTATATATTTTCTTTAATAATATTTGTTTAAAGTTGTACCGATTTCCCCGGTTTTTCTACTTTTGTTTAGTTTTCCCATGTTTCATTCCCAGTTTTTCACATTTGCTGAGAAAACTCTAGAGAAAATCGAAAAACGACCTTTCTAAAGTACCTCTCCAGTGAAATATCCCTTTAAAAAAATTAATCATTAAAAGTTGGAGCAAAATTGGTGGTAGAAAAGTTGTTCACAGAAAAAAAGGCCGTAACATATTTTAATTAATTCCAGTTTTTTTTTTTTCAGTTTTTCGCATTTAGTGAGAAAACCCTTGAGAAAAGTGAAAAATTACCTCTTTAAGGTACCTCCCAACACTGATTTACTTTCAGAAAAGGTAGTATACGTAAAAATCGGAGCAAATCTTCTGATAGAAAAGTTGTTCACAGAAAAAAAAAATTATACATCTTTGTAAAACCATAAGCTTCTTCGTTCTACTTAGAGTCTAAAATTGTTGAGAAGTAGTGAAATTTGAAACCACCTAAAGGCACATTATTGATTCTTGCACTAGGCATTTACAAAATTTCATCATTTGGCTTAAGCGGTCTGTAAAGGTGTGTAAAGCTTTAAAACACCTTTTTGCAACAAAGGCATAGTGCAGTTTATACATAAATCAATCAAAATTTGATCGCTTCAATCCATCTATAAAAAAAAACAAACAATGTACAATAAATTTATTTTCATAGAAAATTTGACAGAAAAATATTCATCAAATTGGTTGACAAATAAAAACATTTATGTTCAGTTACCACTTCTTGCCACATCAGCGTTAAAATGATTTATGTCATGCCTAGACTAGAGTTCGTGAATTCTAATAAATTAATAGGTAAACCTAATTAATTTAAGATTCTGAGTAGAGCGAAGAAGCTTATGGTTTTACAAAGGTGTTTATTTTATTTTATTTTTTTTTATCTGTTAAAAACTTTTCTACCAGAAGACTTGCTCGGATTTCAAAGTGTAGTACCTTTTCTGAAAGGAAATCGGTGTAGTGAGGTTTATTAAGAAGGTAATTTTTCAATTTTCTCAGGAGTTTTCTCACAAGTTTGAAAAACCGGGATAAAACATGGGAAAACCGGGAAAAACGTAGGAAAACTGGGAAAATTGGTACAACATTAAACAAATATTATTAAAGAAAATATATAAAGTTATAAGATATATGAGATATAATGTATAAGATATAATATATAAGATAATATATAAAATATATAATATATTTTATACATAAATATACAAAATAATATTAATTATTTTACTATATAATGACATGTATATTGTTGACAAAAGCATCACTATCAACTGAAGTCTGCTCAGAATAGTTTTATCGTTAGCAATGGTTTATAATTGCTCACAAGTATACATTAAATTATCTATAACGGTGGCTGTATTCGTCCCCATTAGACTAGGATCTCTTTTTTTTATAATTATATATTTTATCACAGATCTATAATAATATGGACTTTGTCATTTTTTTAATATATATATATAAATCATATAAATTATATATATGGCTCCAATTAAAAAATGACAAGAAACAATATTTTTGTTGATTTTTTTTTTTAATAAGCGTTTTGAAATCAAATTTAAACGAAAATCGAAAAAAAAATTACGGCACTTTAAATTATGTATTACTGAACTGCGCTTGGAATCGTCTTTCGTTAAGTAATGGTTTATCGTTGCTTACAGATATAAATTAAATAATCTTATGTATCCTACCTTCTCAATTTCTCACCTACAACAGTGGCTGCTCCCATTCCCAGTATCAGCTCTTTTGTTCTTTGTTCTTATTCAAGTCTGTGGACACGTTTTTTCCTAGTAAATTTGCTTCTATGTATAAGTGTAGTAACTTTTCTGAAAGCTCAAGTTGTCTAGATTGTACTTTAGAGAGGTCATTTTTTGATTTTCGTTAGTTGATTTTTTTAAATGTAGTTCAACACAATCCTAGATTATCATTTTGTAAATTATTTTAATGAAAAATAAATATGATCCTGTCAGTGTGTCATTTTATAATTTTAAAAATAAATATTTAGTTTTTCTCTGTGTGAAATTTTTGGATTTGCTTTCAGAATTTAACTACTAAGCAAATTCCTTGTTTTTATTGTTATTATTATTTATTGTAATAATATTCTATCTTAATTGTATTATAATAATTATTTCAACAATATATATATTAAGGCAACATTTTTTACCTGAGGTCTGGTATTTATAATTATATAATTAAATATTCTCATTTAAGATTTAACTTTAAGTTATTAGTGTTCTCTGGAATTCCAGTCCTTGAGACTTTCGAATTTCCTGAAGGGCCAATCCTAATCATAGGTATTATATAGTTTTTGAACATGTTATTGCTGGAAAATGTTAGTGAACATTTACTCCCCGCTCTCTAAAAAATAGCTTCATGAGGCCAAACCGTCCCTTGCACATTTGGACTTTCCTTAGCTACCTCTCCCCCACCAATTATTGAGAGATTTTCTACATAAAGTACAACATTTTGTTACAGTTTACCAATACAATAACATTTATTCATTTTCTAGTACATACATAGTAAGCAAAATCTTACTCTATACCGAGTGTCCATTTGGGCAAAGAAAACCTTGCAAATTGCTCTGCGTTATTGTGTATGCGCTTTCAACTCCAACAAGAATTCTTAAACAAAAACATAAACTAGCACACTTGAAATGTATAATGATTACCGTTATAAATATTATTGTATTATTATCCACGGTCTGATTATAAACGTTCCCTGTCGATCTTGTGCGAACTCTTACGTATTATATTTTTAGTGGTTTTATTTAACGTTAAATTGCGATCACATTAATAGTTGGATGTTAAATTCTCGGCCGATTTACTGGAGCACGTTAAACTATCGTTTAGTAGAAAGTAGGTACACACAATGTTTGCATGACTTTAGACTTGTATACGCTGCAGAGAAACGGAACCGTGTCCGGAAGGTGAAGTCTGAATAACGTCTTTAGTGATTAATCCAGACTTGGACAAATTTTCAAAACATTTGAGCCATTTCTAAGCTTTTTATACAAATTTGAATATTTTTGTTGAAATTTAGTTAAACATATTCGTATCAACTTTATGGACTTAAAATTAAGACACACAACTTATATTTATATTTTCAAGATGTGATCAAATTTGAATAAAATTTAAACCATTTTTGAGCTATTTATAGACAATTTAATTTTGCGAGCTTTGTACGTAATTTTTATTGTGCGATAAAACTGATATACTTAACAGAAATACTTGACATATTTTTAAACTGTGTACAAAAATTCAAAAAACAGGAGGTTTACTTAGCCTTACTTTGCAGTCAAAAAAAAATTTAAGTTTAATGTAGTATTTTTTTTTATAGAAGAATTTTTATATCAAATTTTGACGAAAATCGTTTGAGTAATAATTTATTACTAATAAATTATATGGAAAAAATTTAATTTTTTAATTTTTTGTTTTAAACGTATGTATATTGCAGATTTAAGAACGATGGTAAAGTCAGAACTGAGCGTATTGAATTAGTCTCGAAATTATAGCTTTTTGAAGTTCTGATATTATGTGGATATTTTTAATGTTAAATAACTTTATATTGTCTTCTTCAAAGTATGTCTGTTATAATCTAATGGTGATAGATACTTATTGTCATCCTAGGAATCGCGAATTCAAACCCGAGATTCGCAAAAAAGATTTTTCATTTATTTTTTCCCTTTTACTTAAACATGGAAAAAAAAATATGCATTTTAGGTGTACCTAGATTAAGCCATCGCTCGTTTGGACTATTTTAATTGAAAATTACCCCTCGATTTGTTGTGCAAACTTTTTTACCAGAAATCTTGATCTGATTTTTAAGTGTAACACTTTTTCTGAAGAAAACCGTGCTGGGGAGTTATTTTAGGGAGGCCATTTTTCGATTTTCCCAGGAGTTATCCCAATAAATAGGAAAAACCGCAGAAAAACGGGAAAATCGGTACGACAATTAATAAATATTATTTAAGAAAATATATGCCTATTTAATTATTTTGCTATAATATGACGTATAATAATATATTGTTAGCAAAGCAACACTATCAACTGAACTCCGCTCAGAATCGTTTTTTCGTTAGCAATGGTTTATCGTTGCTTACTGATATTTCCTCTCTACTAACTTTCTAACTGCCTACCTACAACAGTGGCTGTACCCACGTGCAAAGTTTCGAGTATGTCAGTCTTTTTTATATAAAATGTACATAATAGGCTCGTTTGTGCTAAACCCAACCCAAAAAGTACGATGAATAGTGTCTTGCTATATTAGGTGCGAGAGACAGCGAAAACCAAAACATTACATGTAACGATTTTTTTTCGTTGTGTACTCGGCTACAGTGGTGATTCACCGGAAGCGGTGGGAAACCGCCGCCATATTGACGCGTGCCGAACAGCGTTTTGTCGGTCTGCAGAGGCGGCGTCCTCCACCCTTTCCCCCTCCACGGACATCCGCATCGTCGGCGGGCGGCCAGCCGGTCGGGTGTGTCCAAGCGTCCGATTTCAATTTGTGTTTGGACGTGAACGAAGCTGCTTCGATCGCTTCTTGTCTCGACTCAATCTTTTCAACGTAAAGACTTGAACAGTTTTCCAAAACCGTCAACATGGTGAGTATATTATAATTATTACTATCATAATACTAATAGTAACGACTAAAAACATTTTAATAATGATATGATTATCGAATATTTTATAATATCAACGTGGTTTAAATAAAAAATTATCCCCCGACCATCCAGAAATTCGACGGTTTTTTTTTTCTTACTCTAGTTTTTGCGTTATAATAATAATATTACATTCATGACAGAATCGACAATTATGAAGTTATTTTTCCGCGTTTTTCCTACCGAAATAGTTTTCACTCCTTGCTGGTCGAGTACTCTATGTAGGTACCCACGCCTAAATTATTGTATTTTCATTTGATTTTGGAAAAATACCCAATAGGTAGGTACAGTATAATCTTTGTCGCGATTTTCCCAAGGTGCGTCCATACTGCTAACGAGTGTTGTACAGCGAACACGTAACAAATCGTTATTGCACAATGAGGAGGGGGGAGGTTGGGAGTTTGGATGTATAACCCCTTTGGAATTTGAGATATTATTTTTGTTTATGAATTCTACATAAAACGTATACGGGATGATCGACATAACATTAATATTTAAATGTTACATTTTAGAGCTGCTTATTTCTTTGATTTTTTTATAAATCTAATTCCAATAAATAACGTCCGAGCGTCTTGCATCACATATTTTTTTTACTGCTACAACAGACATTTCCTTGTAGTTTTCAATAATTTTGAATATATATCTACGCATCTTAGATACAATTGTGTCTTTTAACTTGTGTCGCGATACTGTTCTGGAAAGTATCGAGTATCTTGTATAAGGTACTGTAATTAAAGTATCTAGATACTTATTTTGAAGCATTTTGTCCATTGGTATCCGGAAGGGGGATGAAAAAACTTGTTAATTTCCTCCCTTGTTTTTTCGAAAAATACATTACAAATTTAAAGTGATTATATGAAAACGGGGAGAATTATTGGGAATATACGATCTTGTGTTGAATAATGATAAAATTTCGAAGTAAAAATATTGTTTGGACGCTACATACGTATTGTTATGCGCAGCTGTCCTTTTCTTGCATACGTACGACATAGCAAATTTGAGTTTCACCGAATCGTTCGTGTGTTTTTGGTTATAACGATACGAGTGATTTTACCTATTACCTTACTACCTTATTGTTGTAATGGTAACAACATTATTATCAATGTGTGTGTATTTGTTGTTTTTAGGATTCTCTAAAGTTTTAAGCGAGATGTAAGTAGCGTTTAGCACTGTTATATTTCATACAAAATATATACTCATTCAGTCGCTGTAATATTAATAAAACGAACATATCAAAATTGATTCTGTTGAAAGTACATTTACCATGTCGTGTGTAGGTATTCGTAACACAGAAACAATAAAATATGAGTATGCCAGACAAAAATAAAATTGTTTTAACGATTTATAAGAAAATGTTTACTTGTTATCAGAATACCATTGTTGACAAATATTTATTTTATTTCATATATTTGTCTTATTTTTTAAATATGATACCAAAAGGAAAAGAAACATGGTCATAGTATGCATACTTTGTATTTTTAAATTAAAGCTTACATTGGTGACCAAAATTCCTGGTCGGTTATGGTTACCGAATTACCGAAAAAGGAAAGGTTCATTTTGGCTGAAAACGGTTCCTTCCCGAAAAAAAAAAAAAAAAAACCAAAATCAAATTTACTCTAAATCTTCATACATATAGATACCTACCTACATACTATTATAGATACAATCGCTGAAGGTTCGTACTAAAGTAATCACTCTGTACATACTGCCGGTACGTAGATACTTTCGCGAACCGTTATACTTCCAGAGTGTGGGTATAATAGGTACAATGAACTTGACATTATGTGAAACTCGTTTCGAAATGTTTCGCCGCACGAACAATAATATTTCACTATTTGTTTTTTTTTTTCTTAATATTATATAGGTACCTTGTTATCTATAACTGTGGAAATAGAATATTTTTCTGTAAGTCACGTATTATTATCATTCCCTGTGCGTCTCGTGTAATACAAATAATATTATATTAACGACTGCGGTCATTGTTGCCCGCTGCTATTATATTTATGCATAAAAATAATACACGAACCTTTTACACTGTGGGTTTAGCCGCATTAATGCTGATTAACAATATCAACATGTCAACTGTGGTTCAGCTGCATTCTGCCAAAATATTTGTCGGTAGAAATTAGGTTCAACTGTTTCCCCTCCACAGTATTAGCGTAAACGGGTGTCTAGAGGCCAACGCCCTCTTTGGAATTTGTTTTTACAACTATTATAGATGTGCCCACGTGTAGTAAAGAGTGTGAACCTAAATTATCTGCAAGACCAATTAAGCATTCGAGTTTATATTTTGTTTAAAGTTAATGAAGTAGTTTTTGAATTAACTAACAGCTTATCATTACATTTTCAAAATAACGAAAAGAAAAACTACTCAATATTTCAATATTAATAATGCCACTCTTATGGAGCTATACAATCTCTTCGAAGTGATATGGTCAATTTGAAAAAAAATTGGGATAAAACAGAATAGCTTCCAACGAATATATTTTACCGCTCATAATTTCAAGAATCGGAACAGTATTTTCAATATTAGTTAGTGCTGAAAACAGCAAAAAAATTTGTATTTGGAAAAAGACTTACTTAGCTGATTTAACAATATTACATTCACTATTTATAAAAATGTTGTATCTATTCCAATGAGTTCTGTTTCGAATGAACGTTCATCTTTTATCGTCACTACCAGACTTTATTGTAATGTACAGTAGCAGTGCCTGATTATGACTTGGGAGCCCGGGGTAAACAATGCTTATTTTGAAGGCTCACGCTTTATAATATAATCAATAGATTATATTAGGTTCAATTAGTCTTAAGGGCTGAATACAACATATATTTCTTATATTTTTCCGTTTTTTTTTTCGGTTTTTCAAATTTGATGAGCAAACTCCTGAGGAAATCGAAAAATAACTTCTCCACACCGATTTTCTTTCTTGAAAAGGTGCTACACGTAAAAATCGGAGAAAGTCCTCCGGTAGAAAAGTTGTCCTAAAAAAAAAATTATAAACATCTTTGTAAAATTATAAGAATTTTCGCTCCACTCAGAATCTAAAATAATAACACGCGTGCCAGGTTATATAATTCCTTTGTGTGCCTCTTATACTCGTACATCTGATCTACTCAAAAGAGAGTAAAGAGTTACTACCCACTTCGGTATTTCTTCGAGCACGTAATATTTATTGGTTTTAGGTAGGTACCTGAATAATATATTACAACTAAACTAGAGTTATAACTCTATAGGTATTATTTATGATTTTCAAATAATTATTATGTTTAACGTGACTAAGCTGTTATACGTATTTAACATAGTTTGACTTTTATAAGTGCTACCGAATATGAATCAGACGTTGGCTATAAATTAAAATTCAAAACTATATAATTTTATAGTTATACGTACTTGTTATAGTATTGTATACCTAACCAAAATTCGATTAAAAATGTCTTAAAGCCGGGAAAATTAAAAATATCGCTCAGTTTAACCTTCATTAATATATTATACGTAATGAATATAGTTCAAACTGAAAATTACTTAAATAATTATTATTATGATAGTATTAACTGAAATTTTAACAATAATTATCACTTTTTACGGTCGTATTATAATTATTTTTCATACACCACGGGTTTGTTAGTTAGGCTAATGTGCTGATGTATTTAGATGTAATTATTCAAATTTAAATAATTAAAATGCAGGTTATAACTATATGAAGGTTATGTAAAGACATAAACAATTTAAATAAGTTATTTTAAGCAACTAATATTAGTTTTATGCATTCGCTCTTAAATAATTCCCCCCAAATGGTTTGGCGTCTGGAATTTTGAAATGTTGCACAAAACTTACTTATACTATGTATAGGTGTGACCACTGAAGAGTGATTTTTCAATGTTTTAACTACGATATTTTTACATTAAGAATTTATCAAATAAATAGTTGAACGTGTATTGTTGTCTGTTTTTAATCGAAAATCATTCTCTTAGGGGTGAAAAAAGGGTGTAACAACCGGATGATTTTTATTTTTGTTGATATAATTGCAAAACTGAATAGAATAGGTACCAATAATTATTTAAATTCGGAAAAAGTGTAATTTCTGCTGAAAATCATATCAGTTTGTTTTCAAGTTAGCTATTAAAGAGAGGTCAGCTATTTTTATTCGGTAGTTACCTACTCAGTGGATAAAATTGTCAGACCAAACAGAAATATTTGAAAATTTAACAAGAGATATAAGTAACATTATAAATCATACTTTGTGGTAAAAAAAAAAATAATAAAAGATTAAATGTAATGTAGAATTTTTTATTTTATAAGAATTTTAATATCAAATTTTGATGAAAATCATAAATATTACGGCTTTTCAAAACATGTGTAACCAAACTCCGTTCAGAATCGTTTTTATTAACAATGATTTATTATTGCGTACAGATATTCATTAAATTTTTCACTTTATGCCCTACCTTCCCAACTTCTAACCTACAACAGTAGCCCACCCACCGTGCAAAGTGTGTCCGTCCTTTTTTAAATTATTGAAGTTAAATAAAATACATTATTACCAATAGACACATTTATTATTTTTTCAATAATTCATATAATATCCTCATATTTATAATTTTGATTGCAAATACCGTTATCTTCCGTTTCTTGATAATTTGCCATTTTGTCGTTGTAACTATAGCTACAAAAAAAAGTGGAAATAAAAAATGAATTTCTAAATTTAAAATAATCACAGTCATTACTAATGCCTTATATTCACGTAAGGCATTAGTAAATCTTAAAAAATATTTACCCATTAATGTAAAACTATAGCTGTCCCGCCCATCGTTACCCATGCCAATTTGTTTATTATTTGTTATACCCATATTACTTTTTGGTATTGACCGTGTCAGTATTGAATGAAAACGATTAAAAGGTGTAAAGCGGGTCTGTTGTGACATTTTTTCATGATTTTCATATCGAAAATATCAAATAATTCGCTGCACTCAGAATCTAATACAGAAATTTTACAGCATTTAAAAATTTGTATTTTTTCCACCTAATATTGAATTTCAGACCACTATGTATCGGGAAGTATATTTGCATTAACGCAATTATGCAAACATATTTTTGTGGGAGAGGGGGACTGCATAAACTTTCATAATTTGAATTGCATATTATATTCAATATTTAATTGATCTGTAGGTAGGGGCTTATCTGAGTTTCAAGGACTACTCTTTAAAGCCCCCATTATTGACGCCAATACAATATATTTGCCTTTCATACACCCCGTATATAGAAAAGAAATTATTGTGATAATAATTGTTTTCTTTTTTCGTGTTCTATAGCGTGAATGTATCTCTGTACACGTTGGTCAAGCCGGAGTCCAAATCGGTAATGCCTGCTGGGAATTGTACTGTCTGGAACATGGCATCGCCCCCGATGGTCAAATGCCGTCCGATAAGACTATCGGTGGTGGCGACGACAGTTTCAACACCTTTTTCAGTGAAACCGGATCCGGCAAACACGTGCCCAGAGCCGTGTTCGTCGATCTCGAACCGACTGTCGTCGGTAAGTAACGCGGGATAGTACTCGTATAATTATAATATATTAAGTCAAGTAAAAATACAGGCTTTTAGAAGGATTTTTGAAAATTACATAATTGAATAATTTATATTTTTTAAAACTATTATTCATTTATTTTTATTTATTTATTTATTTAGTTTATTTAAATTTTGAAATATAATATTTTTAATGTTCCTTATCAATCTTGACCCATTTGCTACTAAATAACTTGTCAGTGACTAAAAATAATTAACACTACATTCCGAAGTCACTATATGGGTTAAATTGACTTAAATTTTCTTACAAGGTGCATTAGAGCTTAAGTCACTACAGTAAGTTACATAACTTAAAATGCACCTTGAAATATTTCGTTAAGGAAAATAGATTTAGAATATCCTACACGAGAAAAAAAGGAATTTTCTTTACTTTATTGGTGAAAACAACCTTTCTCATAATTTTTACACTAACAAATTATTATCATGTTGCGTTTACACATTTTTAACTTTAAACGGAAATTATCGAAATATTATATTGTATACATATTTTTTTCGATTATATAGACGAGGTGAGAACCGGAACGTACCGTCAACTGTTCCATCCCGAACAGTTGATTACTGGCAAGGAAGACGCGGCCAACAATTATGCCCGCGGACACTACACGATCGGTAAAGAGATCGTGGACGTCGTGTTGGACAGGATCAGAAAGTTGGCGGACCAGTGCACCGGTCTTCAGGGTTTCTTGATCTTTCACTCGTTCGGTGGTGGTACCGGTTCCGGTTTCACGTCGCTGTTGATGGAACGACTCAGCGTTGACTATGGCAAGAAGAGCAAACTGGAATTCGCCATCTATCCCGCACCGCAAGTGTCCACCGCTGTGGTCGAGCCGTACAACTCCATCTTGACCACCCACACTACCCTGGAACACAGTGACTGCGCATTCATGGTTGACAACGAGGCCATCTATGACATCTGCCGACGTAATCTCGACATCGAACGTCCAACTTATACAAACTTGAACCGTCTCATCGGCCAGATCGTTTCGTCAATCACGGCCTCGCTGCGTTTTGACGGTGCTCTCAATGTCGATTTAACCGAATTCCAGACCAACTTGGTGCCGTACCCGCGTATCCATTTCCCGTTGGTCACCTACGCGCCGGTAATTTCCGCTGAGAAGGCCTATCACGAGCAACTGTCCGTATCCGAAATCACCAACGCATGTTTCGAACCGGCCAACCAAATGGTGAAATGTGACCCTCGCCACGGTAAATACATGGCTTGTTGCATGTTGTACCGCGGTGACGTCGTACCCAAGGACGTCAACGCGGCAATCGCTTCCATCAAGACCAAGAGGACTATTCAGTTTGTCGACTGGTGTCCCACCGGTTTTAAGGTCGGCATTAACTACCAACCGCCAACTGTTGTCCCGGGCGGTGACTTGGCCAAAGTGCAACGTGCCGTCTGCATGTTGTCCAACACCACTGCCATCGCCGAGGCTTGGGCTAGGTTGGACCACAAGTTCGACTTAATGTATGCCAAGCGTGCTTTCGTACATTGGTACGTCGGTGAAGGTATGGAGGAAGGAGAATTCTCCGAGGCCCGCGAGGACCTGGCTGCTTTAGAAAAAGATTATGAAGAAGTAGGCATGGACTCCGTTGAAGGAGAAGGCGAAGGAGGCGAGGAATACTAAATGACGTTCCAGAAAGAAATCTAAACTTTATTCAGTTGCTTCATAAATTAAATTATTCTCCACTACATTTATTTTTTTTTGTTTTATATAAATGGATATTTTTAGAATTTTTATTTAAAATAGACAATTGCAAATGAAAATACTGGTTTTTTAATTAGTATCGTTATTTATTTCCTGTATTATCATAAATTCTGTCTTTTCCTATAATTGTATAATTAATATTATATGATATGTATTTTTGACACGGGGTTTATTTGCAAAACAAAAAATCGGGTGAAGGAACAGCAAAATGTCGGGGAACGCACTAGATAATGCGTATAAAATCAACCAAGATCTAACAAATGGTGGGATCTTTCCAACAATGTCTAACAAACCATAACGAAGAGTTTTAGATAGTTTTTGAAGTGTTTGGTGAAAATTTGGCTGTTGATGTGAACTCGGTGGCGTTTTAAAAAAATTATAAGTTGTACTCAATGGTAAACAAAAAATCTGAGTGTAATGTAGTGTTTTTTTTAAATACTACATTGGTTTTACAACGATGGTTATTTCTTTTTTTTATTTTTGTTCATACTGTGTACAAAATATTTCCTAGAAAACTTGGCTCTGATCAAAAAATTAATAGTGACCTTTTTTTATTGTATTTTGGATCTAATTGGTGACTTAAAACATTTTTTGATTTTCTAATTCGAAAAAAAGAAAAGCCGAAAAAATCGGGGAAATTTACGGCAACAATATTTCATTATTTTTGATACATTCTTTTTGCTGTAATATGGACAAAAATAACCTGACATTTTCACAGTTGTATTTATCCTTTCTAGATGTAAACAAAATTCAAAACGTTCTATTAATTTTGAAGTTATTTATTTAAATTTACTGTTTTCTAATTTTTTTTATTGTGACATTCACTGTACTATTTTTAGAATAATTTAAAAAAAAATTATTTTGGCCGATTAAAAATGCATGCAACTTTTACATAATGTTAACCATAAGATGTAATTTATGATAAAAATTTAAAAAAGTTGAGATTATTAAAACTTATTTAGATTATATACAAAATCAATTTCCAAAAATAACTAATTACGTAGACAGAGAGAACACAAAACAAAACCTAGGATTTTTTTAATTTGAAAACGATATTATGTTATATATCAAGGCTTATTCTACTGGTTTTTGACAATTACGTATTTGATTTAATTAATAACCTAACCTACAGAAATAGAACCATGATCTAAAAACATAATATCAAATCATAGGTACAAATGGTAACATTTTTTGGTTTTTGGTATATTTTAAAATTTAACCTATAAATTAGAAATAAAGTAACAAACATATGTGTTCATTTATTATTTTAATTTATAATATCATCTTTTTTCATAATATTTACCATGCATAAATAAAACAGTTTTAGAACATTTTTTTTTCAGTTTACTCGTCTTCAGATTTTTATTTCTTATAAAAATAAAAATAAAAATCATAAAAATCCTATTGAACCAATTGTTTTCTTTGGTTTATGTGTATTTTTGAGGGGGCTTTCACTTTGATTTAACCTTAGGTACCTATATTGCTGGTTTGCGTTTTAATTTTAAAGAGTAGACATGATAAAGTGAATAGAAACATATTCATAACAGTTTTTACTTGTAAACTTTGACGATTAATTAATTAAAGAATATTACTTCAGCGCTTTGGGGTTTTGCAGCTATAATACAAGCAACTAAAATAATATTATTTTTTAACTCGGTAGACTCGAATAACCTAAAACCCAATAAATTAAACACAAATTTAAATGATTCGATTAATATCGACAACAATTTTAAGATTATATATCTTAGGATAAAGTCAGTTAGCATGTTTAGTAATATTTGTTCACCACATGTAATTACAATTTACTAAAAACAGTATTTATTATAGTTTGAGATTCTGAGCGGATTGCGAAATGTAGGTATTGGTTTTACAATGATGTTTATAGTTATTTTTTATTTTATGTGAACACTTTATCTACTAGAAAGCTTACTTTGATTATCAAGTATAGCACCTTTTCTGAAAGGAAATGTTTTCTGGGTGGTAATTTAGTGAGATTTAAAATTCTCATTAATATTCGAAAAAATAAAGAAAACTCGGTTCTTTAAGTTAAAAAAGATTCAAAAATTAAAAATGAGTTTGTCATTGGCAACCTTTTTTTTTATTTATTTTTTGTTATTAGTTTATTTAATAATAAACTAATAAATAATATTAAGTTTTTATTATTTTAATCTTTTTCAAACAATCATTGTTGTTATGAAAACTTATATTGTTGACAAAGCAACACGTTGTACCCCGCTCAGAATCGGTTTTTCATTAGCAATGATTTATCATTGCTTACAGATATATATTCAATTCCCATCTGTATCCTACCTTCCTAACTTCCCACCTACAACAGTGGCAGCACCTGTGTGCGAAGTGTGTCGGTCTTTTCTTTTTATCTATTATAGGTGCGTGAAAATGAAAAAGGTTTCTTGTTTAGTTTACATCTATACGTTTGAAAAAGTAGACACTTTTAAAAACCTGGAAGTAATTCAAAACCAACAAAAAGATTGGAGCATAGAGTCTGCAATAGATTAAAGAAAACGGAAAAAGCGTATTATGCCCTGAAAAACTCAGAACTATAGTTATTCTTGAAGCGAACAAAGATAAAACTCAACACAGCAGTTGTGAAACCAACGCTGACGTATTGTTGTGAAGTATGATCAATAAAAAATAGCCTGTGATAACTTTCGAGAACAAGATATTAAGAAAAATAAGTGTCCTCCTTAATGACAATGAAAGAGTCGAACGGATATTAAGGTATGACAAAGAATTAAGAGAGAAAACTGGAGAACCGTTATTTTTTACAAATTATGTAAAGGGCCAAAAAATCAAATGATCACGCAATGAGAAGAGATAGCACAGAAACAATAAAGGCAACAATTATTAACTGAAATCCAAATGGAAAAAGGCCAAGAGAATAACCGAAGAAGCGCTGGAAAGATCAGATTAAGGATGAAATAGAATAATTAGGGGTAGTAGACTAGGAAAATTACACGCATGATAGTGAAACGAGGAGGACTTTTGTAGGCGCCACAAAAGCTCTTCGTGAGCCGTAAAGTGAAAGAAGAAGATAGATGCGCGAGTTCAAGTGGCTCAAAACGTATTTGAAAAAGTGCCTTATCATAAAATACCTACTGAATGTATCGTATAATATATATCTATGTATAATACAAAATATATTAAAGTCGGTTTTTATTATGCCGCGGTTATTAAATATCGTATTTCGTATCCCGATATATTTTTTTTTTAATTTAATTTTTGTTTTTTTTATTTTGTGTATGTTCAATTCCTTCCCGAATATGACGAGGGCGCCACCATACATTTAACTCGATATTTTATTATACTCTTGCGGTAATATCCGGAGTTGTAAATTACCAACCTATTATTTCGATAATACCAGCTATATCGAGTTTATCGATAAAAATATTTTATTATGCGTTACTAACGTATAATAGCTAATAGGTAAATTAAAAGAAAAAAAATAAACCAACTCCACTGTAGTAATTTAAGATTTTATACATTCGTTACCGAACGATTTATGTATATAAATATGTACTCAGCGGCGTCATTTAGGGAGGGGCAGGGGAGGCATTTGCTCCCATTTGTTATCAGCGGGCTACAATCGGGCTGAGTATGGGCTGGTATCAGCCTAGTTTTAGGCCACAAGCCTTCGAACATTCATTTATTGATTTATGATTTATATTGTATACGGCCAATCTGAGCTACAGTTTTTTTAAGGTTTATTTGTGATAGTAATTGTGATGAGTATGATACAATATTTCATATTCTGAGTGGAGCGAAAAATGTATTAGTTTTACAATGATGTTTATTTTTTTCTGTGAATAACTTTTCTAAAAAGAAATTTCACTGGAGTGGTACTATAGAAAGGCCATTTTTTTGATTTTCCCAGGAGTTTTAACAATAAATGAAAAAACTTGGAAAAAATACAGAAAAAACGGGTAAATTTACGGAATGTATTATTTTCAAATCGTAAATATTACGGCTTTTCAAACCATGTATAACAGAACTCCATTCAGAATCATTTTTCGTTAACAATGATTAATCGTTGCATTCAGATGTACATTCAATTTCCCCTATAACAATGGTCCAACATGGCCTGTTATTGTGAGTATAAAATGATGTAATAAAGAGGTTATGTTGAAATAAAAGTGTAATTGTGACGTATAAGTTAGCGAGCATTTTTTTTCAGTTTTATTATGGGCTGGTCAAAACTTATGCCCCCTCCTCCTCAAAAACTGAAATAACACCACTGTATGTACTATATGTACTGAGTGGCTTTTTCATCGTAAACCCATAGTGATTTTACCTATTGGGAAATGTAAGTGGTTAAAGTAGGGAAAATGTCAAAGGTATTTCAAATATTTATCGAAAATTGAGTAGCGTTATCGAGAATTAACTAAACCTAACCAAACTTTCAGGAATTTCATCACGGAGACAAGACTTTCAAAATGGTTTTTCTCACACACATTTGTACATAAACACTCTATACTTATAGGGTTTAAAAATAAATTTCACCTCCCGCCCAAATATTATTTTACGCATATACCTGCTTTATAAAAATAAAATAAAACAGGGTCTGATTACTTATAATCCGATAGGAGTTAGAGAATTTATTTTTAGTAAAAATCATTCTAGTTTTTAAAATGTCATTAAAAATGTCTGTGCAATAACAATAAATAAAACGCCCTCTCACGGACTTCATTACATGTTAACAGAAATTCGATCAGAATCGTTTTTCATGAACATTAATTTATCATTTCTTACAGATATATATTATATTATAATCCCGTCTTCATGTTTTGCTCTAGTTTTTTCTTTCTTTGTTATCCAACAGCAACGCGTATATAACTATTAGGTACAGTCGCCGCCTAAGATAGGAATAGGTAAGTAACATATAAATTCCGTACAAATTGGCCAAATTTGTTCACGTTGTAGTTGTCGACTTCCTCGGCATACGCAAACACTTACGGGTAATATACGTTATTTTATTGTAATATGAAAAACAGTTTAACTAACACTGCAAATAATATACGATCACGTCGTTGAAAAAATTCCTAAAAGACACACGCATCGTTCGGCTTCTGCGCAGAAACATTTTTTCATCACAACAAATAATACGAAGGTTCGCACGGAGAATCCAAAGAGATATTGTAGCGGTAAAACTCGGACAAAATAATAATATATTACCTACTTTGGCAAAGTCAAGAATATAATTTGTCTACGACGAGAACGAGTAGACTAATAACATGCTCTCAGAAGCTGATTTATAATA